GTCACTAGGTGGCGAATGTCAAATATTTACCCCTGATACCACAGTATAACCCAAACTAATCCTGCTTTAACCTTTTCAGCTAGTGTAATATTTCTTGCACGTGATCTTTAGAATAGTTTTGGAGCTTGGCATGGTCTAACCTCGGCATGCATTCTGCGTGGCGGTGTTTCGAGTGTCGCGCCGGAAGATGGTGGGGGTGGCTGACACTCAAGATGATTGTCCGGAGACATGTATTTCCGATGTTGGACGACACCGTGATTGGAAAGTGTGCGACCATGGGAAAAAGATTGTCTGTAAGCTTTATAAACTGGCATCTTCATCCCGCAGGATGGGGATTGGCGGGGTGTACGGAGTACGGAGTAAAGAATTAGCAACACGCCCTTGCGGGTGACTAGTTGCATGCAGGTAGGAAGTAAAATGGATGTCATCTTTTAGCACTTCTCTTCTTCCTCATCTTCTCACTTCTCTCCTCATACAGTCCGACATACCCTTCTCAAGATCTCAAGAGCTATCAAGACCTTTTATTCTCTTTAGCAAACCATCATTCATCAGTCGTTACCACACTACGCCTTCCCCCACCACAATGCACCACCACATCGTCGCCCTCGAAACCGTCCACCAACCCCTCCCGTCCTCCTTCTCCTTCCCCCCGGGAACGACCTACACCCTAACCACATACCCCACCACGCCCCCCACCCTCCTCGCCACCCGCATCCACCCGGCAACCATCCTCATCGTCACCACCATCCGCCTCCCTGCTTCCCTCCTCCTCGACCCCACCTGCACCCCAAACCTCCACCTCATCGCCATCATGGCCACGGGCACCGACCCCGTCGACCTCGCCGCCTGCGCCGCCCGCGGCATCCGCGTCGTCAATTGCCCCGGCGCGAACCTCGATGCCGTCAGCGAGCACGCCATTGGGTTGTATTTCGCGGCGAGGAGGCGGACGGTGCTGCTGGATCGGATGGTGAGGGATAGAAAGAGGCCGAGTGTGTGGAAGGAGAGGGGGAGTTTGAAGATGTGGATGGAGACGGGGGTGGAAGGGGAAGGGGAAGAGGGAAAGGGGTGGGGGAGGAGGCCGCCGTTGACGTGTCAGGAGGAGGTAATGGGTGTGGTGGGTTATGGTGGGTTGGGGAGGAGGATTGCGAAACTCGCGAGAGGGTTGGGGATGCGGGTGGTTGTTTCGGGGAGGAAGGGCGAGGTCGTTGACACGGATCCAGTAGTGGACGGGGAGACTAGGAGCGATGCAGAGGAAAAAGTGGAAAAGGAGGAAGACCAAGACCAAGACGAAGACATCATCCCCCCCTTCTCCGAAACCGAAACCTCCGACAACCCCACCCGCCTCCCCTTCACCACCGTCCTCCGCCTTTCCACCGTCCTCGTCCTCTCCCTCCCCCGCACCCCTTCCACCCTCAACCTCATCTCCGACCCAGAACTCGCCCTCCTCTCCCCCCACACCCTCATCGTCAACATCTCCCGCGGCGGCATCGTCGACGAAGCCGCCGTCATGGCCGCCCTGCGCGAGCGCCGCATCGCGGGTTACGCCACGGATGTACTAGCTGTGGAACCCGCCGAGGGCGAGGAGGACAGTCCCTTGTTGAGCGACGAGGCCGAGGGGTTGAATGTCACGGTGACGCCGCACCTGGCGTGGTTCGCGGAGCGGACGTTGAGGAATCTGGGGGGGATCTTGAAGGAGACGGTTGAGGCGTGGGTGGGTGGGAGGCCTATTAATGTGATTGTCTGAGGAGGGATGATTGATAGATTTGGAAAAGAGCATATAGAATTGCATCATCGGTCATTTTCTTTGGGTATCTCAACGCCCTAAAATCTGCGTGTAGACACTACATCTACAACCTGGCCGCCACCCCCTTCCCCTCCCCCTTGATAGCCTCATCAATCGCACTCATCGCCTCAACCAACTTCCTCTCCTCCAGCTTCGGCACCACAACCTGCACACACAGCGGCGTACCGATATACACGCTCCGATCAAAGTCCGTCCCTACAATCCAGCAGTATTAGCACTTTCAAAAACCCCAAAATCTTCACAAAAGAAAAACAAATCCACCACTTACAAAGCGCCCGATTCGCCCGATTCCAACTCCCCTTTCCTTCCTCTTTCCCAGACATCTCCCCCACCATATCCCCCTTTTCGAACCTCCTCACAGGCACAACACCAGCCGGATAATCCAGCAAAACAAACGAACTCGTATACCCGACGGCATTCCACCGATCGACGGGCGGCACGGCATGCGGCGCCACGGGACAAACCAACGCATCAATCTGCTCCTCTTCCCCCGTCGCCGTCGCCGTCTTCCAAATCCCCAGAAACCTCCTCTGCAGCTCCTCCCGCCTCGCCTGCATTTCCCGCACCTTCTCCAGCGGCACGACCGGTTTGCGTCGCAGCCGCGTCGCGAGCCACGGCGACAGGGGCTCCCCCGTGGCTTCGAGCAGGTCGAACATGTGGTTCCCGCCGTCGATGCCGAAGAGGGCGTTGGCGAGCGATTGGCACTGCGAGAATAAGGGCGTGATGTCCATGTCGACGACGTGCATGCCTGCATCGCGCAGCTTCGAACTGACTTCGTCGAGGAGGCGCAGGATGGGCGGGTGCGGCTCTGTGACGCCGTCGCGGCGGACGACGCCGATGCGCAATCTCCTCCTCCCCCTCTTCCCAGACGCATCGTAGAAAGACGACAAGGAACTCCAAGGCGAAGGCACAACATCCGGATCCCACCTCCACGGTTCCTGCCCCGCGACGGCTTCGAGGAAGAGCTGCAAGTCGCGCACCGAGTGCGCCAGCGGTCCCGCACTAGCTGGTATCCCCAGCTTGGCCATTGCAGGCGGAGCCCCAGTTTCCTGGCCGGCGAAGGGCATGCGCTGCCAGCTGGGCTTGATGCCGTACGTGCCGTTGCACATGGCGGGGATGCGGATGGAGCCGCCGACGTCGGTGCCCACGCCTAGGATGGAGCCGCGCAGGGCGAGTAGGGCGCCTTCGCCGCCTGAGGAGCCGCCTGCCGTGGCGAGGGAGTTGAAAGGGTTGATGCAGCGGCCGAAGACGTTGTTGTGCGAGTCGAGGGCCATGAGTCTGGGTCTGGTTGTTAGTTTCCCTTACATAAATACCTAACCACCACCCCCCCTTTTACGTTATGATACGATGCAGAGTCACTCACGTCTGCGGCACCTGCGTCTTGCAATACAGCACCGCGCCAGCTTTCAGGAGACACTCGACGAGCACGGAGTTCTCCTGCGCTGGTTTGAACGCCAATGCCGCGATGCCGATTGAGGCGTCGTAGCCCTTGACTTTGAACGTATCTTTTAGGGAAACAGGGACGCCGTGGAGGGGACCCAGCGGCGGGTTTCCGGCGTCGATATGGGCGTCTAGTTCCGCTGCTCGAGCGAGCGCGTCGTCGAACATGATTTCCGTGAGACAGTTTGTAAGTTGCTGAGCGATGGCTGCTCGCTGTACCAATTCCATCAGCACTCAATTCCATCAGCACTCAATTCCATCAGCACTCAATTCCATCAGCACTCAATTCCATCAGCACTCAATCCATCGTCCACTTCCAACTTTCCAAACCCACATCCAACCCAATCCCAGACCAATAACTCATAACTCATACCCCATAACCTTACCCAGACAAAAAGACAAAAAGAATCTACAGACCTTACAAAACGCCCTTACAACATCCACACACCTAACCTCCCTCGCACGAATCGCCCCCGCCAGCGCAGTCGCATCGTACGCCTCCGTGATCCTCAGCTCTTCCTCGCTCAGCAACCCGCACGTCCGCGGCACATCGAGGCATGTCCGGGTATCCGGCGAGGGAGAGAAAGGAAGGATCCATTCGGGCGGGATGCGCGAGAGGCGCTCGTCGCGCTTGGCCCAGGCGATGAGCTGCCATTTTGCGGGTTCTTTTGGTGCGGCGGTAGTTGTGGTCATCTCTGAGGATTTCGGAGGAGCAGTAGGGGTGCTGTATTGGTATAGATGGGACGAGGCATCTTGGTGGGATATGTGGAGTGGTCTGGTGGTGGTGGTGAGACGCGGGGAGAGCGTAGGCCGAGGTTGAATTGAGGTAACATGTTGCCGTTTGCGGTTAGAGGGATGCGGAGGTGCGCCGGGGTGTTAAGGGGACTTACATAATCACTCGGATAGAGTACATCCTATTCACAGGTCCCGAAGATCAAGGGCTTGATGGGAAACATGCAGGTCGTCATTTCGCGGAGGAAATGTATGTACGCAGGAGACGAGTCGAACAGAGGAGCTACTGATCTAAATGTTCATGATTGAAGGACCTAAACTCCGAGTTCTATATGAGTCTCCGCCCGTCCAACACCATAGCTCTCGACGATATCCATATTCATACACCCATCCTACACATCCCCCTCAATTCCTCCTCTTCGCCTTCTTCTTCCTCTCCCCACCCCCTTGCTTGGGACTCGTCTTCTTCCCATTCCCATTCACCTTCCCCTCCTCTTCCCCCACGCCCGCTCCTCCGTCCTTCTCCTCCCCCTTTTCCTCCTCTTCGGACAACAACCGATTCAACGCAGCATTGTAATACCCGAACCGCGCAATCTCCCCGATCCTTAACCTCATATAGTCAAACGCCACCGCAACCTTCATATCCTTCGCCCGCACCTTGATCACCTTCTCCTTGGACGGCGCCACCACCTGATCGGTAGGAAGAGCGGGCTCCGCACCCCCCGAAATCGTACCCTTCACATCCACACCCGCTTCTCCCATCTCCACATCCGCATCCGCCTCCCCTTCCTCCTCCTCAGGCGGATCCTCCGTCGCAATAGCCTCAGCATCCAACACATCCGCCGCTACACCCTCACCCTGGTCCATATCCACCGTCTCCAGGACCGGAATCCGCTGATACCGCTGGCTGAAATGCGTGAGCACGACCGCCTTCGCACCCATCGACGCGCCGATCCCCAGCGCCTCCGACGTCGTCGAATGCTTCTTCTTCTTCGCATCCGCCTGCATCTCGTCGTCAAACGTCGCTTCGTGGATGAGGACCGTCGTGTCGCGCCCCATTTGAGCGAATTGCCCGCTGGGCCGGCAATCGCCCGAGTAGGAGATTTTTAGAGGCTTTTTGGGAGGGTCGGATTGGGCGTCCTCCGGTGCGTCCGGGAATGTAAGTGTTACGGCCATGGCGCCGTAGCAGTGCGCGACCCGGCAGGCTTGGATGTCGGAGAGGCCGAGCACGGCTTCGTAGTCTTTTCTTTGCAGTGTGTGCTCGCCTTTGTAGACCTCGCGGCCATTGCCGGGCCAGAGGCTTAGAGTGGAGGGGGAGCCGGATGCGGGTGCGAATGGTGTGATCTGTAGGGGGAGGATGCGGCTATAGCCAAAGTCCTCGACGGCCGAGTACTCGCGGAGCCACTTGAGCATGCCGTCGTGGGAGACGACTGACAGTCCATAGAGTTGCAGAGAGTCTGATATATCCGGCATGGTGGGAGGCGTGGGACATGGTACACTGTTGTGCACGACGGCATACCAGGCTTTGATCACGGATGTGATTCCGAGATGGTGGTCTGCGTGCAGGTGGCTGATCCATATCATGCGTAGGTCGCGTAGTACCTCGATCAGCTCGTCCGGTTCAAAGACCCGTCGCAGCTGGCCCAGCGTATTCTCTCCACAGTCGAGGAGATAGTTGCCTATGCCTGGGACCCGGACTAACGTCGCCGACACATTCCTGTACTTTGATGGGAGCGCAGAACCCGTACCCAGCGTTATGATCTCCGTGTCGGGCCTGGCCAGTAATTGCCGCCACGCCAGCAAACTGTCTTTGTCGCGTGCAATGTTCTCTCGCGCCTGCTCTGCCGATTCAAGGATACTGGGCGAGGTGGAAGCTTCAATGGACGAGACATCCAGGTCGGGTTTGATCTCATCCGTGCGGATCTCCCAGTTCGGCATCAGACGGAATCTGAGACCTCGTTCGGCAATCATGACGTTTGACAACGGCTGGCCCTCTTGAGGGACCTCTCCATTTAGGCGCTTCTGCGGGATTGTGGAGACGTCATGAACGGGGACATTGTAGCTGGCCGGGTCAATCTGCTTCAATTGTATTGTCTGCCTTGCTACCGACTGCAACGCTACCCGATTTGGAGCCTCGTCTGCCGATGATATGACATGTTGGACCTGGTCAAACTTGTGCATGAAGTCTTTCAACGTTGGATGTCTTGACACGCCGGGTCCCAGAATCCACACGAAGGCACGAATTCCAGACATGACGCCGCTAGACGTGAACTCCTCCCTCTGGATGAGCGATTCGAGATGGCCGACCGAAGGAACATCCAAGATGGCAACTCCTTGGCCTGGCCTGTCCGGGCCCAGCACCATGTCGGGCGTGATGGTCTCTCCTTTGTCGTTTTCGACAGGAGTGCCGCTGGTAAGAATGGCGTATGCACGGCCGTCCCGCAACCCAAGGCTTCTAGCTCGGGTTACATCGAATTTGCCTCTCACCTTCCGAGTGCGTACGATATAGGAGACCGCTTCTAAAGCCGGTTTCGTGGGTGGAAGGCTCAGCACCGTGGCTCCAGGCCATGGCGTGCGTGTCAGCACTTTGATATCTGGTAGCGGTTCAGCGCCGCCGGGCATTGGGCCATTGTACTTTTCGAGTTGTCCAGTCTCCTGGTTCCTCAGGTACATCACTGTGGGCATCTCGACCTCGGAAATATGGTGTTCAACCAGCGTATCGAAGCTCCATGCTGAGTCGAACATGTGGCCGAGTACCTCAGTCCGGATTTGGTCGTATCTTATTTCCCTCTCCGCGTCACTTTCTCCATCCGGCTTGGGTTTGTGGTCGTCGAACTGATTGAGTGTCGCATCGTAGCGTTGCCTGCTGAAGGCGAGCGCAGCTTCAATGTCTTCATTGTCTCCAGGAGCCTGTGACGGCGCAACAGACATGGCCCAGACATGGATGTTTTCATCTTCCCACGTGGGTGAAATGACGCCTTCGGCAGTCTTCGACGGCGGCCCAGGGCTGTACTGGGTGGCGACCAGAGGCAGACCTTTCCTGAAGATGAACCTTCGACAAGTGGCCAGTACATGCTTGAGGTTGGGCGGTCCGTAAAGGTTCAGTTTGGGCGGTATTGGCGCAGTCCCTTTGCTCTTTTTCTTGTGGTAAGACTCCATAGCGCTTTCATATGCCGTTGCGCTGGCGTCGGCCAGCGTCAGGGCCATGCCCAGCAGTCCTCCAATGTTGCTCCATTCGGTCTTGCCCGTAATGAAGAAATCTTGTACCTTTGTCAAACGATGTCCACCCTCATTGAGCGCGCGCTGCGTGCCCTCCGCCTGGTTGCCAAACACATAGAACCGCGTGGGCGTCTTAAGTACCAGCGTCGTGCCCGGAGTATCCGCGGACGGTGTTGTCGCGATGTCGATGGTCGCATCCATTGCGCTTTCTATGGAGCTGTCTCGAACTCGGCGGCCTCTCCTAGGCTGCCAGTCCTCTAGTTTAGGAGAGAAAGCGTTACGAGGCTTGTGAGAGGCGAGGAGCGGCTTTCGTAGTGAGGACAGTTTCCATGCTTTGAAAGCAGGTGGACGACGTGTAGCAGTTGGTGTAGCAGGTTGCTCGATCGAGGTCGCGTTCTGCAGAGGGGTGTCAGGAGATTCCTTCTTCAACTGTATGTGCCCGAGAGCAAGGCGCTGTAGTTTGCTGAGGAGTGAATCCCAGGGCGCGCAGCGACGAGAGCTGGTGGAGATGGACCTCTGAGAGCGTAGTCGCGTAGCGCAGCTTGCGATGCGCCCACCGGCGGCCAAAGTGAGAGCCAATGTGGCTGAGTCTTTTGCAAGCGACTGAAAGACAGAAGCATTTACATGCTATCTTGGAGACTTCATGGAGTGATCATGACGAGGTCGCTCAAGAATTCGATGGCTTCTCGTAGGCTTCTCCCACTTTTTACGGAGACGAGCAGGGATGCGTCCACTAGATTCCTTGGCAATACCAACCTCATGTCCAGTTGGGAAAAGGGTGCAATTCTGCAGTCACTTGCCATCAGACTGTGCATTCTGGTTTCTGGTTGAAATACGATCGTATCAATTCTACTATTCTTCGAGTTCTAGACTACTGCACAGATTCCCAAGAAAATATCCCGCCCTCGGGATGATCACGAGCCGCAAAACGCCCATCAACTATATGAAAGAGATCCGAGTCTGTGGAGAGTTATACCCCGAAAGTGCTTCACCCACACTTTCCTATGAGGTTGAAATCAACATCCTTCAGCAGGTTGTAACCCCAACGCGCGCGGTACGCCGCCCAAGATTGTCCACTGAGCCTTTGCGACACCCAAAATAACAAGAGAAAGTTACAAGAACGGAATAGTATCTTGGATTCGTATAGCAGCGAGGTAAGCGTACAGGAGTGTTATTCCAACGAGGCCAAGAACTGTACGCGGTATTGTGGGATTGAGGGAAGGGGGAAATTAGACTCCTTCGTCATACGGGTGCCAGTTGAATAGATCCTGACCTGCGGTTTGGCCTGCGAGCACGCCCAGTTGCTGTGACTCAAGCTGCGTCATGCTAACGGATCTGGGCAAACCGGTTGGATTCTCCTGGACTCCTTCGGAAATAGTGGATAATGGCCCGTTGTTTTCCAGGGACATGTTCCTGGACGGTGAGGGGGTGGTGGTGGCGCTGGACATAGACACGCTCGGAGCCCGTGACATGTTCGCGAAAGATGGCTGTGGGATCGCATTGTTCTGCCCTGGGAAACGGGTCGCCCACAAGTTGGCCGAATCAGATGGCATAGATGTCATGGCGTTCATGTCAGTGGTAAATCCGACTGAAGAGGGTAAGGTCTGCGCGACGGGTGGCAGAGGAAGGTGGGCGAGCGAAGGTGCTGGTGCGTCGGCGCGCATACTCGATGCCATGCGCTCAACCAGTGGGTTCAGGCTACCTTGCCTCATAAGCTCTTCGAGAAGCACCCGGTAGCTCGCATTCTCTTTTCTGAGTTGCTGGTTCTCCATCTCCAGTTGCCTGATCTTCTCCTGCGACTCTTGCTTGGCGTTCTCCAGACTCTCAATCATAGCTAGATCTTCGTTAGCTCAGTATCACGCAACTGTGTAATAATGACTGACCCTTTCTACGTGTGCGGAAATGGCGGGCAGACACCTTGTTTCTGAGCTGACGCCGCTCTTTGGATGAGAGCTTTTTGCCCTCCTCAGAATTGAGGAACTTCTCGTCCGCATCCATATCGAGGTCATCTTCCTCACGGTTCGTATCCTGTGCTCCAGGTCGCGGGGCAGGCTGTGTGGAGCTCTGGGCCTCCTGACGAAACTGTTGCAGGACACGAGAAATGGTGCGCTCAGCAGTATCGTTGACGCCATTGAAGTGGGTATTCTGAGGGTGGGAATCCATCAGCTGCGCTTGAGCCTGTTGTTGAGACTGCCGTCGCTGCATTGCCGCCGCTTGTTGAGCTTGTTGCTGTGCGAGCAGCGCTTTCTGATGGTCGCCGGGACGAAGAGTACCCACGCCAGCGGCGGGAGGCCGAGTAATCGCGCTGGGCTGAATGTATTCCTCCGTTTGCATCGCGTCGGGTGGACACCCATTGATGTCGATCAGGCTAGCGATATCTTGCGAAGGAGAAAAGAGGTAATTGGATGGGAGAGGTGTCTGCTGGGGGAAGTGATCGTAGTCGCGGCTCGGGCCCATGGGGTACGAGTTACTGTCGGTTGACGGGCTCCATAGGTTGGCAGCGGTTGTCGATGCCGACACTGAAGACGAGGGGGTCGGTTGAGTGACCATCACCGGGTTGGAGACTGCATCATCGAGGTTGAGGAACTCGTCGAATGCTTCAACGCCGGCATTGTTGGGGTCCTGGAAGAAGGGGGTCGACGGGAAGTAGGCAGCCGCAGTCGCAGCCATGTTGGCTTCCTGGAACAGAGGGAGGGTGTGTCCAAAGGAAGAAGGTTGGCAGCAGGTAAGGTAACGTCCTCAGTCACGGGGCGAATGTTGAGAGCGAGGTCCAGATGTCGGTTGAGAGCGAGTGAAGGTGGGTGGTATTGCGAGTGACGGGCGGATTGGAGGAGTTGTGGTCGGGGGGATGTCGGAGGTTGCCTGTGTTGAGAGGCCGCGTCAGCGCTCTCCTCCCTGTGGCAGTGCTGGCCTTGGCAGCTGAGCAATCACGTGACTCCGCAACACGGACTTTACTTTCCGACCCTCCGTTGGTTCTCGCATCGCATAGACCTCCCTTTCCAACATACACCGTGCTTACTGTGTACAGATTTGTACAGACCCGCGATTTCGCCGAAGGAGTTTGGGTTCATACAGGTGAACGCCTGTAAGAATTACTCTGCGAATTATCTACATGTGAAAGGTTGAGGCTAGACGCTCTTGACACGGTGAGCTATCGTACAACAGATAGTATCAGACCCAAACATTGCAACCCACCAAGCCCGTCTTGTGCATCTGAGAGAACCTACTTGGGAAGTTTTCACAACGGCTTTGAAACAGCCCGTGCGTTACAATGGCACACCACCAATAACGCCGCTCTCGTCCAGCTGCTCGCCTTCCACCTGCTTCGCCTGCCGAGATTGCCCATTCCTCCCTAACCCTTCCTCTTCCAACCTCCCTTCAAATCGCGACTCGCCGACAGGAGCCTCCAGGGAGTCTGGTACCACTCCTTGCTTAAACTCAGCATCCACGTCCATGACACCAAGCTTGTGGACGACATGCCAGAAATGATCCTGCCCATAACTACCACCCGTTATGCCCCCCTTAGCGACACCCTCGCCATGCTGCACGTCTCGAACCACGCTCCGCGCCCGTTCCCAATCCCCTGCATCAGCAAGGGCGCGGACAACGGCGGTCAGGGCAACCCAACCAGGCAGCTTGCCGTGCATCGACATCGTCGTGAGAACGGCCATCATCTTGCCGATTTCGCCCACAGACGCATAGCCCTCGATAACGCGGTCGAATAGAACTTTGTCGGTAGGCGTGCCGGGCGTCTTCATAATCTGGAACCAGAGCTCATCGACTGATTGGATATCCGGCGGAGACTGCCGGAAGTAATGCGTAATGAGGGAGGTGTAGATGTGCGGGCTAGGGATCCAGTTACGTGCAAGCATGTGATCCACGACGGCTCGTACGGCAGAGTAATTGCTATATCCCTTGATGAGTCGGTCAATGGTAGCGGAGTAGATGTAAGAGTTTAGCTTGAGACCCTGACCTTCGAGGCCGGAGAGAATGGTGGATACTTGCTCCGTTTGCTCGGCTTCCGAGAGGCTACTGAACTGTTCGTTCTCGAATGCTGCGCTGACTAGCATGGTATATGTCGCTACGTCGGGCTCGATACCATCGGCCTCCATCTGTTGGAGGAGTGTGTGCACCGTAGGCCAAGCCCTGCCGGTGATGTTGAGTTGTATCATGATATTGTAGGTACGAACATCCGGCCGAATTGAGAAGTTCTTGGCCCATGTGAGGATCTCCTGCAGTGCCCGTAGCTTCCGCTCGAAGGACAAGGACCTTGGCGGGATTCTTGCAATGGCAGAGGCGGCACCGTTGATGATCTCAGTAGAGGGTTTCGGGGGTTTGTTATCAGGAGTAAGAGCAGATACCTCCTTCGCCCCCGATGCAGGAGCCCTTTTCTCCGCTTCCTGTGCCGCAAGCCATTGCCTTCCCATTTCATCCATGGCAGCGAAACCAGCATTGAGTTGCCGAAGGGACATCAACCCGTGAATGAAGGCAGTCCAAGCGAAGACATCCGGCTGCGTGCCCGATCGAATCATCCTATTCCATGTGGATCTCAGGCCGATGAGGTCGCGACCTTTTTCGCATCCCGAAAGCATCGCCGTCCAGGATTTCACATCAGGAGTAACTCCATTCGCGATCATGTGGTTCCAGACGGCTATCGACCTATCACCTGCATATAGTGCCAGGAAGCCGGTCAGGAACGCGTTGTAGATAGTAGTCGGAATCGCCACTTTATTGTTCGTCGTGGTATATGTTCTGATCGTCTCACCCCAGAGCCGCTCAAGCCGCTCCTTGTGCGTCTGCTCCTGAACGGCCCGCGCAATCCGCTTGAGTAAGGATTGCTCCACGGCGATGGCTGCGTCGGACTCGGATATGGGGTCCTCTGACTCTCTCCGGGTGGCCTTCTCTGCTTGTTCTCTCGAGCTCAATAACGAAGCAGCCTCAGCAGGTGCTGATTTGACGCATTTTACTATTCTCAAGAGAAATTCCTCCGGGAACTCATCATAACTGTGAAGGTAGTGCAGGTGCTGCAAGACGACGTCCACCTGTGAGTAGGGCAAAAGGCACGCCACGAACTCAGCAAAGGGTGCGCCCTCCTCTCGTACGGAACGGCTGAGATTTACTTTCCCGTACCCGCCATTTTGAAGGCTGAATAAAGTGAGTGCCGCAAATGCCATCGTTGGACTGATTTGCACTATGAAAAACTCGTGTAGGCGGCCCACAATACTGCTGCCACGCGGCCTTACTTCTGCAGGTTTAGGGAGGAGGCGCCAGTCGCCGACAAGGTCATCCAAGGAATGCTTTTTTCGGCCTGCCGCTTGAAACATGAGGCGAAAAACGGAAAGGAGCTCCGTCACCAAGCCATCCAAGTTTGGGCCGCCGGTACGGGTACGCGATAGTTTGGCCAGTATTTCGTCCGTGAGGTCCCGTATCACATCGTTATATGCGAATCGAAGCCTGTTCGAATATTCCGGGTGTCTGAGGTTTTCAGATGCAAACGCGAAGAGGTCCAATTGTTCGAACCTGAACAGGACCTGCGTAGGCGTTGCCGGAACTGGCGCACCCTTACAAAAACTGCGGACGATGCTTTCAAGTAGCTTCTTGAAGATCCTTCCGCCACCCCATAAATTCGCTTTGTCCAGTTCAGCGTCCATTTTAGTCTTGCGAGACTTCGATGGGTAGAGAGCATTGAACTCCCGCCATGCTTTCTCCAGATCGTCAAGGCTCAAGGCGCGCGCAACAGCGAGAGTACCTTCCGCTTCCTTCGAGCTTCGCCTCGATGGCATACGCGTGCTTTTCTGTGCACCCACATCGCCTGGGTTTTGGTCGGCCACATCTTCTTGCTGCCCAATCCCTGTAGACAGCACCTCTCGAGGCGCATATTTCGCATATCGGCTACGTCCGCGAGCGCCTGGTGAATCTCGTATCACCGGTATTTCAGGTTTTCGTAGCTTTTCCTGTGCCGCTATATGGTCGTCGGTAGTATCGGGTTTCGGCGGTTCAGGCGCTCGAGGGAATATCTTGCGCAGAGATATAAACGTGGCCCTGGGCTGCCACTGTAGGCTCCGGGAGGATCTTATCTGTGGTAGAAGTCGAGCCCTACATTGGCGGCACACGTAGGGGCTCAGCATTATCGCTCAATGGGTTCTGCGGGAATGGAGGTGCGGAAGTCGTTGCGACAGAGGTGAAGTTCGCGCCAAGTCCACGCCAAGTGCACTTCCTCCGAAGTAACGTTTTACCCTATATGGTTTAGCGTTCCCGTAATGGGCGCGACGACTTGCCGAGGCGGGGGGTTGCTGTTGTACGACCCCAATCACATAGCTACATCCAAGTGCATATACGAGTATTGGGACGGGCACGATGACTACGCATATGCCCAGGAAACCCTATACAAAGGAAGAGCTTGAAAAGCTCTACCCCAAAGAACTCGAGCTGAAGCTGGTCCAGATTCTGCTCCGACATGGTTCGTAGGGCCCGAATCATAGTCTATGCATATGGCGGAGGTACTGACGAAGTGCATTCAGGCGAGCGAACACCTGTATCACCACGCTTCCAAAATGTAAGATAACCCAAGTCTTTCTAAGCTATATATGATTGAAACTAATGCAATGCCAAAAGACGGGCCTGCCACCCTGTGAGTGCGGCCGAGAAATGGAGTGCAGTTCTCTAATTCATCCCTCACATAGACTGGGCATATTGCAACTCCGCGAAACAATTAGCGGGTGTTATTATGGGGACTGACTGGTCACAATGGGACCATCTCAAATATCGTCGGAGAATAGAGACATTTGGAGCAGACGATGAACCAGGTATGCTGTCCGTCCTATCTACGCAAACGAAAAGCTAACATGAGAAGTCGTTGCTGCTGGCCCCAATGGCGAATATGACGCTGTATGGTATGATTCTACCCGAGCCAAAGCCGCAGATGGATGTACTGGTGCTGATTCTGTGTAGTCAACCAGGCGAACTCACCGACAGAGGACGAGAAACGACGCTAGCACTCGGCCAACGCCTTCGACATCTCTATGTCGACCAGCTAGGCTTCATGCCCAAACTCATCTCCGACAGTGACATGATCTACCTGCGAGCGACGCCCATCAAGCGGGCTCTGGAGTCGGTTCAACAGGTAGGTAGATTGTCTGGCATGGTTCTGTTCTCCTATTTGCTTTGTAGACGATTCCATTCCCTGTCCCGCGATGGTTCCTCTTCACACACGATTCTAACCGTTCAATTCATTTCCCTCAAACGTTCTTTTCTACTGTCGTTCTCTTTCTACAATGTCAAGCATGTCACTCACTTCCCATCTCTTCATTTCCTTGATTCCAATCCATCACAGCTCTTTCGTCTACACTACTTCCTCAGTCTCTATTCATCAATCCTTCCCCCCTCCCCCTCAACCACGCACTCACCACCCCCCCACCAGACCTTCTGGGGCCTCTACCCCCTCTCCGCCCGCACCGCCTCCTTCCCCGCCCCGACCATCCTCACCCGCACGCCCGCCGACGAAACCCTCTTCCCCAACGACGGCAACTGCCGACGCTTCGCGCACCTCTCGCGGGCCTTCGCCCAACGCGCCGCCACCCGCTGGAACGACACCGACGACATGGCGTACCTGTCCCAACTGTGGTCGCGCTGGATGCCGGGCCAGGCCAAAGTGGCCGTGGACTCGCACCCGCGGCTCAGCGGCATCATGGACACGATCAACGCGACGGACGCGCATGGAGGGGATACCAAACTGCCCCGGGAATTCTACGACGAGCGCGCTAGGGACATCATCGATAGGATTGCCGTCGAGGAGTGGTTTGCCGGGTATCAGGAGTCTGCTGAGTATCGCGCGCTGGGTATTGGGGCTTTGATGGGGGATATCGTGAGTAGGATGGCGGGGAAGGCGGAGAGGTATAGCTCGGCTGGGATCGAGGAGGTGGGTGGGGAGGATAGAGGAGGAGGAGAGGAGGTGGGGAGGGGCAGGGGCAGGGGAAGGGGGGGAGAGGTGGATATCAAGTTTGCCATGAGTGGTTGTCATGATACGACGCTTGCGGGCGTGTTGACCAGTTTGGGCGCGTTCGAGGGCGAGAAGTGGCCTCCGTTTACGAGCCATATCGCGTTTGAACTCTTCCGGAAGAAAGACGTGGCAAGGACAAGGCGGGAGGAGGGCGAGGAGAACGAGAAAGCGATCGAACCTGTCACACCGGTTGGACAGTTGGCGTCCAGCAATGGGAATCGCAACTTCGACGCTACGAATCCCGGGTGGTGGGCAGCTCTTTTCGGAGGCTGGGGAAATGACAAAAAGAACGGGGAGACGAAACCGCAGTCGTTGACAGCATCGAAGGAGTTCATAGGCCGCAAGGCCATGAATGAGCTTTCGGACAAGCAGAGACGGGAACTCGAGGGGTATTATGTACGAATTCGGTATAATGACCGCGTGATGCAGGTTCCTGGGTGTAGAGTGGAGGGGAACCATCTCGAGGGGGATACAACGTTTTGCACGCTGGTAAGCTTGATCTCCTTATCGTCTCACCTGATTTCCCTGGCAAAAGGGGTTAATTCATTGGACGCATGGCTGACTTAAGCATAGGAAGCGTTCAAATCCATCGTCGACAAGTACGTCCCCAAGAACTGGAAGCACGCCTGCGCCTCCAACTTCGATGCTCCCGATTTTCCAGAGAAGCCTGAACCCGCCGGTTACTAGTAGGTCGAAATGCTTTCTCATAGATCAGGTGCCAGTAATCATGTGTTGCTCTTGGGTGTAATTAATTAAACAACAACGAGAATATCGGACATGGTGCCATGTAACCGCGAATCCATCATAGCTGCAGAAGAAATAGTGAAGTTAGTCTAACTCTGTTTCGCGCTCGTTAGCTGGAAAGTACATGGATGAGCGGGCTATCACGCGTTTGACGCCCGTCAACAAAGACTCTCTAGAAGCCGTATTGGAATAATAAATCTTCCCTTGCAATCTCACACATCACATCCCCCAAAATCCAGAGAGGACTCAATCAATAGTATACTCTTCCAATGCAGCCGCAAAGCTCTACGCAGCCGCAAAACTCTACGCAGCACAAGTACCTTCTATCACATTCACACGGGACGGACCAAACTAGCCATTAAATCTGCAAGCCCGTCGCATTTCGACCTTCCCCATCCCCCTTCTAGGCGCCAAAGACCGCATTTCTACGGGGTACTTTATAGCCAACCCCCAAATCCGATGCAATTTCCTGAATCCGAGCCTATCCCTAGCCGTTCCCAGTCCGGAAGAACGAATACGCCAACGCCAACGCTGATGTTAAGGATGTTACAAGCCAGAACGGAAAAAAGAAAAATCGAAAGCCTCTCCTGAGGAAGCGGTTCGCAGCGGCTCCCCCTTGCCATCTATACCACCCCCCCACCGCCCCCCCCCCAAATTGCTGAAGCATATACGGAGTACGCCCGTTGATCACCTCCCCTCATCCTTCAGATCCTTCGAATTGTCGCCACGGAACACCAGCGACACCCCACTGCTAACGCGCAGACACCGGCCGCTTGTCCTCATCCTTGTCCGTACTCTTCAGCCTTGCCAGGATAGACACCAGCGTCTTCTTCTGTTTCCCATCCAGATCCAGCACGTGGATGATATCGCGAATCTGGATCTTACGCGCATAGTCCGACGACTCCAGCGGTCCACCGTAATTCCTCCTCGTGCCGAGCAGCGCGCGGTCAACCTGGGGTTGCGCCGGCGTACTAGCACCAGAACCCGCCGCAGCGGCACTCAGACGTGGGGTCGAAGCACCGGATCCGAAACCGCCTCCACCACCGCTACCCGCTGACATCCAGGCATATTTCTTCTTGCCACCGAGAGCCATACTGGCCGTCTCGTTCGCCTTGCGGTGCAGCACTTCCTCCGTCTGACCGGCTTTGTTCAACCGATCCCGCTCTTTCTTGGTCATCTTCTCGGGCACGATGGGTGCCGCCGAGGGTACCTCTGGTGTAGCCGCTGCCGAGCCTTGCAGCCGTTTCTGGCGCTTTGCAATCCGCGCCTTTTCGTAATTATAATCCTCGTTCACTTTCCTCTTGAGAGCATTCGCAATGGGATTTGAAAAGGATATGGTCGGCTGAGGTGTCGGCGGAGCCTCTGTGGGTGGCGTCGGAAGTCGAGCTGAACCGATATCTACAGGCCATTAGCAAACGGCTCAAGCCCCTGAAACCACCAAACTCACGATTACTGCGTGCGACCGCCTTGGTACTGACCACACCATCCGGGCCCTCCCACGCGGTTTTGGATATATTCGTAGGCAACGCGGTAACTGACTTGACCTCTCCGTTCGCTTGAGCGATGTCAGCCAGACTGGGCGGGACAATGCCATGGGAAGTGATCTGTCGAGTTTGGGCCAGGGCAAATGCATCTTCGAGAACGGTGCGCGCCCGCTCCTCCGCGGCTAACGAGATCAGTGATAAGAGCTCCACAAACGGAGCATTCTGGTTCAGAAGGCTGTCCGACTGTAAAGCAATGATGGTTTCGCCGTTGGGACCAGTGACAGCGGAACGCTTCACGTTTTGCGGGGCGTCAGGGATTCTATCAAAGACACCCTCCAGGTTGACTTGTATGCCGTGCTGATAGGCGCGTTGGGCTATGCGCTGCCTAACATTGGCCGCCAACAGGAAGGGATCCGTAAGCGGAGCCTGTGCAGCCTCTGCTAGGGCACGGGCAGCTCGCTCATGTTTCCTTAGCAGCTCGGCCTTCAATTCCTCTTCGGTCAGGGGTTTTTGGCTGAGAGGACCGGTGCCCTGGAAGGCTCCATGTGCGCCCGCTTGACCCCACTGATTGAAGCTGCCATGCGGTGAGAGCGTGGATCCCGAAGTCTGGGAAAATGAAGTATCCTCTTTCCGAGCTCCAAACGATTGAGTAAGATACTCCTCCTCGGCGCGCAAATCGATGCCCGATCCTGTAAGTACGTCGCTGATATTATTGACATCCAAGTCCCGTGCATTCGCCTTCTCCAATTCCCCCTCCTGGGCCTTGCTCGCCGGTACCTTCGGAGGTGGCATCGACGTCTGCTGCGAGCGCGAGTTCGTATCACTGGGGTGATGATATGGCTGAGGCTGGTTGAAGGACGGTGTCTGATACGCTGGCGTGGCTGAAGGAGGCGGCGGGCCGAAGTACTGGTTGGTCTGCGTCTGCGTCTGCGGGGAGCCAGCGCTGTAGGGAGAGTGCATCGGGGCGTAGGGTGAGTTGCTGAAGGGGGACGTATAGGGCGACGGCGGATGGGGCGAGACACGCTGGCGCTTTGCGGGAGGGATACCGCTCATGGTGGGAGACATGGCGCTGGGAGATTGCTGGTATGAGTGCGGGGAGAAGGGGCGGGCAGGCTGCTGCTGTTGCTGCTGCTGCTGTTGCGGCGGATGGACTTGGGTCTGTATCGGAGGCATGTTTCCCAGATTTTGCTGGTACTGGCTATTGTAAGGATGCGCCATGGTGGAAGCAGCGACGGAAAGGTTCGCGGGCGACGGAGGAGGTGGTGAAGGTAGGTTCGGTGGTCGCGCGACGGCGGAGTCGTGCTTCGGCTCTATGGGCGTGTCATGGACGGCGGGGTGCGCGCGGGGACCGGTGCGACGGCGGTTCTATATGCACATCGGGGCGCTTGAGTGAAGGCCGGTAATGAGATAGGTCGCAGAGGCTGTGGAAAGGCGATGGGGATGGTGTTGAACTGCAGAGGGTAGGCAGAATAATGGGAGGCTGTTGGGGAGGGAGAGAGAGGCACGAAGCTGCAAGAGCGACGACGTCCGTGCGCGTCTCGGCAAAACCGCGGCTCTGGACACGAACAATGAACGACGGCGAGAGAGGCGTGACAAGCTACTGCGGTACTTAGAAACTTCATTCACCACCACTTCGGGCACTCATAACGTGCGCTTCTGAGCGCGAAGTGTTCGCCGTATAGCGCACTGATGACATCGTCAGCAAGATACTGATCCCGCGAAACGAGATGGCGGCGAAACGCAAGCTCGCCGCGATGGCGCCCGTGGACGAGGACCCCGTCGACCCGTCCGACGAGCTTATGTTTCTCTGCCTGGGCGGCGGGAACGAGGTTGGACGGTCTTGTCATATCATCCAGTACAAGGGGAAGACAGTTATGGTGCGTGGTCCGGATCTCCGAAGTGTGTAGCTTGTTTCGCTGACGGCCCATATATAGCTCGATGCTGGAATGCATCCTGCCTACGAAGGATTCTCCGCCATGCCTTTCTACGATGAATTCGATCTCAGTACAGTAGACGTGCTCTTGATCTCCCAGTAAGTTTTCAGGGCTCTTTCTCCCTTCTCCCCCGAATAGTGGAGGATGGGTAGGCGCATCATTGGCAGTCAGACAGACGACGGCGAGCTGTGCGGCGCATTCGTCGACGCTACATCCTGTACACGAGAAACAATGGAATATCTTTTTTCTTCTTCTTCATATCTGCTCGACTCTGATGATGTGCCTCCCACTGCTCACTCCCTGTCCGTTCCCCCATCCATATGCGTCCCTCCATGAACCTGCTAGTCGTATAGCACAGCTAACCGTAACTCCAGTTTCCACGTCGACCATGCCGCCTCGCTCCCATACGTCCTCGCAAAGACAAACTTCCAAGGCAAAGTGTACATGACCCACGCGACAAAAGCCATCTACAAATGGCTGATACAAGACTCGGTGCGTGTGGGCAACATATCCAACTCGTCCGAGACCAAGGTCCAGGTCTACACCGAAGCAGATCACCTCAACACCTTCCCCAAGATCGATGCCATCGACTTCTACACCACACACACCCACGCCGGCATACGCATCACACCCTACCCAGCAGGCCACGTCCTCGGCGCCGCCATGTTCCTGATCGAGATTGCGGGTCTCAAGATCCTGTTCACGGGGGACTACTCTCGAGAAGACGACCGACATCTCGTGTCAGCTGCCGTACCGAAAGACGTCAAAATCGACGTTTTGATAACCGAGTCGACCTTCGGCATCTCGACCCACGTGCCCCGTCTACAACGAGAGACGCAACTGATGAAATCCATCACGGACATATTGAACCGCGGAGGCCGCGCGCTCCTACCCGTATTCGCCCTCGGCAGAGCCCAGGAACTCCTCCTCATCCTCGACGAGTACTGGGCGAAACACCCCGAATACCAGAAGATACCCATCTACTACAACTCGAGCCTGGCCCGGAAATGCATGGTCGTGTACCAGACGTACGTCTCCGCCATGAACGACAACATAAAGAGGTTATTCAAGGAGCGCATGGCCGAAGCCGAAGCGTCGGGCGACGTCAGCAAAGGCGGACCGTGGGATTTCCGCTTCGTGAGAAGCCTCAAGAGCCTGGAGCGCTTCGACGATGTGGGCGGATGCGTCATGCTGGCTTCGCCTGGTATGCTGCAGTCCGGCACGTCGCGCGAGCTGCTGGAGCGATGGGCGCCGGATCCCCGGAACGGCGTCATCATCACGGGCTACTCGGTCGAGGGCACCATGGCGAAGCAGATTGTGCACGAGCCGGATCAGATTCCAGCGATTACGCAGAGAGGCGCGACGAATACCGCGCGAAGACCGGGCCACAGAGAGGGCGAACAGATCATGATTCCGCGGCGCTGCACGGTGCAGGAGTTCAGTTTCGCGGCCCACGTCGACGGCAAGGAGAACATGGAGTTTGTGCAGGAGGTGGCCGCGCCCGTCGTCGTAAGTCGCCAGATCCGTCCACCCCTTTACGAATCAGAAGCAGAAGATGATGATGAAGAAGAAGAAAGGCTAACATGACGCCTAGATACTCGTCCACGGCGAAAAGGGCAACATGACGCGCCTGAAATCCAAACTCCTCAGCTTCAACGCCCAGAAAGCCGTGCCGACCAAAATCTTCTCCCCCGCAAACTGCGAGCAACTCCGCATCCCCTTCAAATCCGACAAGGTCGCCAAGGTGGTGGGCAAGCTCGCGTCGTCGATTCCGCCGCCTCTGCCGCCGAATCATCATCTCAAGAAGCCCAAATCTGAAGAGGAAAATGGCGAGCCCATGGTACTAGAGGGTAAGGAGCAGGAGCACGAGCAGGATGGACAAGAGCAGCAGCAGCAGGACCAGGCGAATCCCATCTCGGGCGTGCTGATCCAGAACGACGATTTCAAGATCAGCCTCATGGCGCCCGAGGACCTGAAGGAGTATGCCGTCCTGACGACGACGACGGTCGTGTGTAGAGAGCACTTGACGCTGTCGGCGGCGGGCGTCGATCTGATTCGCTGGGCGCTCGAGGGGACCTTTGGCGCCATTACGGAGCTGGACATTACGGATGCGGCCATCTCGGGCAAGGAGGAGGCTGCTGCCGTGAATGGGAATGCGCATGGGAACGGACATGCTCGAAAAAAAGAAGAGGCGGATGAGGAGGTGCAGCGCACGACAAAGGCGTTCCGCGTCATGGATTGCGTGACGGTGTATTGCAGGCCCGGCGGCGGGAGGGTCGAGGTCGAGTGGGAGGGCAATATGATTAACGATGGCATCGCGGATGCCGTCTTGGCCGTGTTGTTCACGGTCGAGAGTTCGCCTGCGGCGGTGAGACGTATGTCCCCCTTTCATATTTTTTTTTTTCCATTCTTGGGAGGAGAGGGAGGGAGAGGGAGAGGGAGAGGGAGATATGTGCGATATGCTAACCACTTTTTCCCTCCAGAATCGTCGCGTACGCACTCGCACTCGCACTCGCACACCCACACACACACACACGCACGGGCTCCGCAAGACGACGACGACATAGCCGCCCAGAAACTCGGCCTCCGCTTCAAGCAGCCGCACCCGCTCAAGACGCCGGACCCCGCGACGCGGCTCGCGCGGCTGCTCATGTTCCTCGAGGCGCAGTTCGGCGCCGACGCCGTGTCGCCGATTGAGCTGCCGCGGACGCCGGCGGCGCATGTGCAGGCGGAAGGGAAATCGCTTGGTGATGATGGTGGCGGAGGAGGAGGGGGGGAGAAGGACGTGGTAATGACGAATGGAACACAGGCCGTACAGCAAGAAACGACAACAACAGGACCATCGTCATCGCCATCAGAACCGCCCTTCACCGTCGCAGGCCGCCCGCCACACTCCCCTTCCGCCCCTACCTCAACTCCCACGCCCTCCATCTCCCCCGCCGACGCCCAGGAACTCAAACGCCTGCACAGCCTCGGCATCCCAGTTCCCGGAATCAAGATCCGCTTCGACGGCGGCAAATACGAGGCCAAGGTGTGGCTGGAGGATCTGGACGTCGAGTCGAGCTCTGCGGCGCTCAAGGCGCGCGTCAAGGCCGTGGTGGAGAGGGGGGTCGAGGTCGTTAGTGGGTTGTGGCGGTAGGTAGGTAGGGGGAGCTATGTAGTACTATAGGGAGGGAAGGAGGGGTTGGGGTGATATGGGGAGGGGATGATATGGGGAGGGTGTGATATCTGGAGGGTGTGATATCGGGAGGGTGTGATATCGAGAGGGTGTGATATGCCAATGGGGAGGTGTAGGGTGATGAGGTGATGATGAGTGGATACCAATTTTTACCTATTCTCTCTTTTTTGTGTGTGGGATCGTTATTGTGCTGGCTGGCTGGCGTTTTATATCGGGGATCCTGATAGGGGGTAGCAGATAGATGGAGGGCGGAGGGAAGGAAAAGGTACGGATCTAGGTACATGGAATATGTCTGAGATCTATCTATTCTGCCCGTGTGCCGTCTGTGGCGATTGCATTCGGGCATTCCGTGTTCAGGGGCAAGGAATCGTGGAAGGGATCCTTAGAGAAGTGTTTGGAGCAATCTTTTTCAATGAGTCGGTGAGGCAATCCGTAAAGTGACCCATCAGATTGGAGGAATCCTCGGAGCAGTTTCAATCGAGCTGGCCTGAACATCACATATTGTCATACCAAAGCGGACAATTCGCTTCACTTCACTTCACGTATAGCAACATTCAAAACCGTCATACTCATCCATTTCCATTACCCCTTGAATTACTTCTCGAAACCCCCCTCGTCATCATTCCCTCCAGTCTTTGCAATTTGATTCCATCCCGTCCACCCAGAACTATTACCCTTCCATCCATAGCGCCAGAATAAGCGGACTCATGTATAGTATGATCCCCACACTCCGTGCAGATGAGTCCGCGAAAGTGAGTCCGCAGAGGACTCCGACGTATTCTCAGAGTCGAGGGAGCAAGGAAAAACACGAATCCAGTAAAGGAAGAAAGCAAAGCAAAACCTAGAGGCAAACATCGTCCAAGTAATAAGGACCGCCACGGGAAAGAAGTCGCCTATTAGTCAGTTGGACTCTTGTTGAGTGTAACGGAGTACGCCGTGCTGAGTTAAGGTATAGGCGCCCAGATGTGTCGGCATTGAGAGCGTGCGCTATGGTGTCGCAAGGTCTACACCGTAAGAGTCTACCCAGCGCGCAGAACTTGGTGGACCGCTGAACTCGCTCACAAAGGGTCGTCGGGCTGCCGATCAGCGTCGATCGATTCCGACGTGACAATCTGGAAAGGTGCAACGTCGATACTGTACACCATCAGTATCTCTGAGAACATATACACCCCGAAGGAGCACTCACACGTTGCCATACTTGTACGCCACGTTACGCAAATGTCCTGCTTTCCTGAATCCAAAAAACTTCAAAAACCTATTCATCTTCTTGAGATCCGCTTCACCCTTATCATTGCTGGCATATGGATAATGAACAGTGACGACCTTGACGCGGCGAGAGCAACCGTGCTTCAGGTACTCGCCATGACAAGCCCATTCATAGCCGCTCTTCGGTAGGTAACCGGTGTGGACCATGGAAAGAAGGCGGTCCAACAGACATTTTCCAATGCCATGGTGGAGATGGTCCTGATGGACAAAGATCTGGAGGTCGGCCGTGAAGCGGTAGATGGAGCCGTGATGGCTGTACTCTGTCTTGAGTTAGATGCGATCGAGGTGAGTATGTGCGACCAAAAGATGCTCACCGTCTAGATACGCAAACCCAACAATGTTCTCGGCTGAGAATAGAACGCGGTTCCGGCGCCCACGAGTATTCCCCTTGTGCACCGCGACAATCCAAGGCAAGTTATGCTGCATGATACTCTCGATTCGGTTAACCATGTCCGCCAAGGAGCGCTCCTGGAACTCTTGGGTGACGACGCTGGTTTTGATGTAATGGTTGTAGATGTCCATGATCTGGGGAGCGTCTGTGGCCTTCACGGGACGCAGGTAGATATTGGCGGCAGGCCTCATGCTGTTATGCGCAAAGATCGATGGCACTGGACTAGAGGGCCGATTTCTCCTCTTCATGATCCTTTCTATCCGTTCCTGGTCTCCGCGCGCCTTGCGTGCGATGAGATCGTTGACGCAGTCGTTGAGTTCCCGACGACCCTCGTCCTCCTTGAGACGGTGAGTTTGCACGTCGAAGGGGCTGAGGAGGCAGAAGTCCTCGCCATCAAACGTCTCCCAAAATGGAGGGATTTCGTTCAGGTCGACATCGCTCAAAGGGGCTGGAGCTCGCATGGGGTAACTGCGCCAGAAAGCTTGGGGCGAGGCGCCATCAATCTGTCTCGGAATCCAATGACGGAGAACAACGTCGCCTGCTGATGTCCACTCCTCCAATGCTTTCAGTCGATCGTCATAGTCTTCAAGGTCTTCTTCCGGGTATGCCGGCATGGGCACCCATCCATAATCGCCGTGAAAGCGGTCCACGCCCGGGCCATCATAACGAATATCATAAGCCAACTCGATACCAGAGAGCCATTTGTTGATACGCGAGCCGCGAGCGTAGTCATAGTCGAACGATGCACGGCCCTCCCAGTCAACCTCTCCTGGCAACCAGTTCCCATTCCAATCCACCAGCTTCTTGACATCGTAGTCTGGATCGTCTCGGTCATCTTGTTGCACAGCCCACGACGGATCAACGTAGGCGCCTCCATCACTCTCGTCATCCGGGCGTGGTTTCAAGTCTCTGTTCTTGATCCAATGGGATTTGCGCGGCGGCCCGTTACGACGTGAACTGTTTCTGTGAGGTCCACGGACAGTATCAGGTGGTGAAGGTGGCGCGTTGTTGTTTCGGAAGTACGGTCTACGATTCCTGGGTCCCCTTGACGGGTCTTTTCCCACTGTAGCTGCATCCCAGTTCGGCAAATCTCCATTCGGATCCCACGGGGCGGGTGCTGGCTCAGGTGCTGGCTCAGCGGGGGATACAGGTTTTGAGAGGGCTTGCGACACGGCGGCAGCCGGAGAAGCAGCGGGCTGAGGGGAGGTTCCGTCCACTGGAGACTCCAGCTTTGCAAAAGCTTGCGAGACTGCTGCCGCGGGAGAAGCGGATGTTTGAGGAGAAGGCAAAGTTGTCGGCGCCAAAGGAGTGGTTGACCTCTTGCGTAGATGGGCGGGAATCGAACTCGCAGTTTTCTGGGATGAATCAGGCGGGGTAACTGGAGAGGGAGTCGACCTTTTACGCAAGTGAGCAGGTATCGAAGCTGGCATCTCATCGGCGGTCTTCTCCGTTGCCGGCGGAGGAGTGGACTCTTGTGGTGAGGAAGACTTTGCGCGCAGGTGAGGTGGGACGTAGATGCGCTCGTTATTGGTGTTTGCGTTGGTCATGTTTGGAGAGGGCGAGTTCGAAGTACCGGCGTTGGGGTTGGTGGATGGTAGCGGTGACGTTAGCAGTTGCGAGTGCTGAGTATCATCAGCGAGTGACATCGGGATCCACTTTTTGTTGCCCTTGCGAGGAGTCTGCGAGTGAATTAGTACGGGGTCGGCAAACGCGCGTGTGAAGGTGAGGGTGAAGAGACGGCATTCGTGAGTGAACAAATGTGGGGGAGTTAGGGGAAATGAAGGGCAAACGGTGGTGCCAGGACCGCACGGGCAACGAAAGCAAATACAACGTACGTTTGGACCAGAACGAAGCGCTGGGCTAGAGGAGTTTTTGTCGGTGGGCAGTGGATTGGCCATGTTCGAGTAGGCCGACTCGCGCGAGCACAGGGCGTAGGCGGCCATGTCTCGGATGGAGGTGCCGGCGTCGTCAGTGAGTGACGCGAGACTTTGGATGAGTGTCTGTCTGGCGACCTGGGTGTCGCAGCGGATGGACGGTGACTGGAGGGAATGCGGGGCCACTTGCAAGTGAGAGGGACGAGCAAACGACTCTTGACAGAGGCGCCAGAGAAGCGCAGCGGGGTGGAGAAGGCGGTCGTGGTTCGCGAGGGAGAAGAGGAGAGAGAAGAGGAGTGGAGGGGAGGAGGAGTGGAGGAAAGAAGGAGAAGAGGGGAGGAGAGAAGGTGCAGGTGGTGCCCTGATGTTTTATATAGTGCACGTGGTAGCCGAAGCCCGAAGTGGAAAGGGAAGCGTCGAACGGCGGTGATCCCTTTTACCTTTTGCCCGTCCCAAGTCTCGCCCGCAAACCTCCGTCGCCCGTTTTCCACAGGTCCTATTCTATCGGTGATGACAATGGAAGTGAAGAGTACAATAGGAGATCAATACCCGGGAGGTGAAGGTAACGGTTGGGCCATGCGGTCCTATTGTCATGTAACACCGCCGAACGACGTCAGCGAGAATCAGATGCCACCGTTTGGTGCACAATCCAGAAACTGGGTTGTCTCTCTTCGGGGGAGCCAGATAATCTGTTTGCTAGATACGGTTCTCCTACTGGGACTTGTTGGACTCGAATACACGGGATTTGGGATATCTTTATCCAATAAGTGTAGGTTTGTTTATGATACGTTTGTTCGAGTTTCCAGCAGGCTTCAAGCCCTTGCTCTCCTAGAATGAATGTCAGCAGTCATCAAACATACCCATTGTGGCATTACTACTCTTTACTTCCTGGGCTAACACGACCATATCCTTCACCTGTCGTCTAATTCGGGATCCACACGTCGTCCTACGGCAAGTCTAGCCGAGCTCTCCTCACCACAAACACTCTGCACCCTCCAGCAGCGCGAATGACAACAATCACACGCACCCACATCCCGCGATGCTCTCAATACTAAGAAAAGCACGCCTAAAGGACAAGGAGATGCGCATTCTGATGCTGTGCGTTGATGCCCCTGTCGTGGCAGGATGCGGGGTACCAGGGACGACTAATAGCAAGCATAAAGAGGACTGGACAACGCAGGCAAAACGACCATCGTGAAGAAGATTATGAATGAGGATGTGCATAGCGTGAGCCCGACCTTGGGCTTCATCATCAAGACGATTGAGTATGACGGGTATGCATGACGAAAAGACATTTGCAGAGTGAAAGAGACTGACGATGACGCGCGAAGATACAAGTTGAATATATGTACGGCAGGCGAGGCAGCTTTGACACAATTGAGGGACCGAGTGTTGACCATGGACGGATAGGGGATGTCGGAGGCCAGAAAACCTTGCGCACCTACTGGAAGAACTACTTTGAGAAGACGGACACACTCGTCTGGGTCGTCGATGCCACGGACCGCGAGCGCATCGACGACTGCAGACAGGAGCTCGCAGGCCTGCTTCTCGAGGAGGTACGTATCTCCTCTCCTCCCATCACAGAATCCCATGTACTCATTTTGTTCACAGCGTCTAGCGGGAGCCAGCCTGCTCGTGTTCAAGAACAAGAGCGATGTGCCCGGCGCCATGACCGAGGACGAAGTCCGCAAGGTAGGTGGTGGGTCCACGAAGCCCGTTGTCTGGCCGATGATGGTGACGGTGCACAACAGGGCCTGCAGCTGGATGCCATCAAGACACACAAGTGGACCATCATGGCGTGCAGTGCAATGACGGGGATGAATTTGCACGAGGGATTGAGGTGGGTGGTCGAGGATGCAAAGGCAAGGCTGTTCCTCTTTTGAAGCATTTTCTAATAGGATGGAAATCGTATTAATAACCGATTGGTCCTGGCATGACTTGTTAGAATTGGTACGAGTTCAGATTGAATCCAATCACTGCGGTTTAACAACAAAGCGTCCACGGGTGTCTCTGAAACATTCCATTGTATACATTGTGCCCTCGAGAATACCCCTCCGAATGTTCCATCTGATCAGACTATTATCATTTCTCCAAGCATGGATTCTGTCGTGAGACTAACTTGAGATTTCACAAAAGTGGATCGCCCTTGTCAGCGTGGGCGCGTCAAGGGACACCAACATGTTTCCCAAACGAACAACCAGTTCGACCCATCGTGACTTGTTTCAACTCTCCCTCTTCTCTCTCTCTCCGCCATCCCTCCCCGGCCGCTGACCCCCGTCCCCCGTCCCTCGTCCCTCGTCCGCATCCCCCGCGGCGATCCATTGCTTCGCTTCCCAAACTCCAGAAGACCGTCCCGGTGGCCGCCCACGTGAATTCCCATATCCCCGTTCCTGCCAAGCCCATCTACAATTCCCAACGACCTCAGCAGCTTCGGTTTTGCCTGTCCTTGTTGCGGTGCACCCGCGAGCTGTGCTCCTCGGGCCCCTTCCCTCGTACATCACCGCAGCCATGGCCGACAAACTTGATCCAGCCGAGTTCGTCGAGCGGATCCGCCAGCTGGGCGAGCAGCGCGACCAGGAAGACGAAAACAGGGTACGCAGGCTCGAGGAGGAGATTATCCAGGGTCGCAGCGAGAGACTAGCGCGGCGAGCAGGTAAGCTCTTCCATGGCCCTGTTGTTGGTCTAAGGACTCTCTGCTGATGGTCGCTGTGTTTGCAAACAGAACGCGCCCGCTCCCTCTCCCCCGAAAAGCCCACCCCACCGCAACAGACACCGCGGAGCTCGCACGCACAGCCCAGGAGGCAAGATACAAAGGAAGAGGGGACTCCTAAACTGTCCGACACTCCTACCCCAGTCATGGAACCTTCTTCATCGCAGCAGGCCGCTCGAGATGCCTCGCTCCAGCGCCTGACGGGCTCCAACCCAGCGCAAGCCCTCGAGGACCTCGAACCGAAGAAGCCCACTCCAAGTGCGGCCGCATTGGGGCGCTCAGGCACCCTCTCGTGGCAGCGGAGACCGCAATCGGGCACGGGCAGCATACGGAGACCTCTGTCAGGAATGTCAACCTCGACGTCTCCCGACAGGACATCCTTTCCCCCACCGCAACAAGAGCCTTCAGAACCCTCGTCTCCCGCCGCCTCCCCGACGCCTTCCAGAGCCCAAATCGCCCAGTCACTGAGCAGCAAGGACCCTACATGGTTTAGACAGACGCCTGATCGCGGTATTGGCTCTGCAGCGTACCGGCGCAACCAAGACGAGAATCTCTCAGACATAGGGTCAATATCTACGCGAAGGCAATTGCCGGGCATGCCCTCTACCGCCAGCGCGGATCGCGATCTTGCAAGCCCACCTCCGGAAACACCGCGCTCCGTCTCCCCTTCGCGCGCCAGTTCCGTTCGAGGAAGCGCAGCGTTCAGCAACCGCTTCTCAACGAATACATCCATTTCGGGCGGCGATGCAGAGACCGTAGCCAAAACAAGGTCCCCGCTTCCAGTTCTCGACTCGCAGAAGTTTGCCCCGCCTTCGGAGCAAGGCACGCCCGTTGACGGCGGAGACCACGCCGGCTCTCCGCGCACTTTGGCCATGTCCCCGACGCAAGGGAGGATATCTCCCGAGCGGACAGACCGCCCTGTGTCTCCAACAAAGGGAATGGGCGGGTTCGTCCAAAGCGCCATGCTCAAGCGCAGCGACAGTGTGAGCAAGAGATGGAGCACGCAGACTCCTCAGCCCCTAAATAGACAGAACTCTACAATGAGCAATCGAGTCAGCGTTGCGTTGGGCGGATATGGTGCAGCGTCCAGAATAGAGAGACCCAGCAGTTTGAGCAGGGATAACTCTATCGAGCCCTCCTCGCGTCCGGCGTCAAGCGCCAGCAACATCACCATCACGAAAGGCCTGGGAGAAACGGATCCCAAGAAGGACACAGATTTCGCTCGTCCCGCCCTGCCACGACATAGTCGAAGCAAATCCGTCGCATCGACATTCAGCGAGGACAACCGGCCCCACGATGACGCCGACCCTCCGAGCCCTGCCAAACGCTGGAGTCCCACAAAGTCGAGCTGGCTAGAAAGCGCGCTGAGTAAACCCGAATCCCCGAAACCGAAACAGCCACCGCCTCAGCAGCCGTCATGGATGGCCGAGATTAATCGGAAGAGGCAGGAAAAGGGCAGCGTGGACATGGGGAAAAGTAACCCGCTGCAGAGCCCGCCGGCAGACAGTAGTGCCTCAGGGAGGAGCTCGCCTATCAAGGAGGTGCAGTTGAGGCCTGTTAGTGCACGCATAGCTGAAGGTTTGAAACGAGCGGACGTTGCGGAGCCTGCGAAAGAATCGCCAAAGCCTAAACCTATACTATCGCCTAAACCAACAGCTGCCGTGAGGGATGAACCTGCGCCCGAAAAGCAGCCAGAGGAGGAGCCCAAACCAAACGACGTGCCCAAGGAGATGTGCAACCCGAAAGAGGAGCCACAAGAGGAGCAGCAACCGGTGAGCACGAAAGAGTCAACGGCAGCTCAGATCACACAGACACCTCCAAAGCCATCTTCATTAGCTTCTGCAACCATCAAGAAAACCACAGCTGCTCCACCCACAACAAAATCCAAACCGGATACACCACCCAAGAAAGACTTCCGCGCAGGCTTGCGATCGCGGCAAGTTGCTCCTGAACAGCCAAAGAGCGGCTCGAACGAACTCTCCGAGTTCCAGAACGTGTTTGGCCGGTTGAAGAAGGCCGAGACGAAGAACTATGTAGCACCGGACACTCTCAAGGACAACATCCTTCGCGGAAAATCAGCACTAGCAGTATCTGGTGGACCTCAGCCTTCCGCCCGAAGAGATGAGTTCAGGGACAGTTTGGTCTCCAAGAAGGCCGCCATGTTGGCCAAGGCGCAAGAGAACGGCTCAGCAGCTCTGAAGAAGCCAGACATACCCGCTTCAAATCCTACCACGCCCGAGGCAATAGCAAAAAGGAAGCTGCTGGGGAGGTCGGACAGCATCAGCAGAGTACCCCCGCCAAAGGAGCCTGAGCCTGCGCCCATTCCCGAAGCACTGACCCGAAAGAAGAGTTTGCGTTCCCCAGAGCTTGACGTGGCTGAAAAGAAGGCTGAATCACCACCATCGCTGTCATCTGTTCAATCCGCAAAGCCTAGCAAGCTGGCAGATCGGTTTAACCCTGCGCTAGCTGGCTTACTTGCCCGTGGCCCTCCCCCCATGGCCACGGCGCCTTCGTCATCCCCGTCATCTCAAGACAGCCCTCAAGGATCAAACACGAGAGCAGTAGCAGAGGAGAAGGCTGGCCCTGCTCCTGAATTGACCCACATGACTAAGGGGAGAGCAAGGGGTCCAAAGAGGCGGGCTCCGGCTGCGAAGCAAGCGGCGAAGGAGAAGGAGCCAGTGACTCCACAGAAGGTCGCGCCTGTGGCTACCAGTCTGCCGAAAACCACGGAGTTCCGAAATTCGAGCGCCAGCCTAAAGGATGCAAAAGCGATACAGGAAGAGCCAGCGGCAAAGGTTACTTCGGCGCGGGATTCGATCAAGTCGAAACCGGAAACTCCGACCAAGTCGCATGAGCTTTCGAGAAAGATAGAGAAGGTTGAAACACCTTCTAAGTCCCCGGAGTTACCAAGGAAGGCTGAGAAACCGGGTACTCCGTCCAAATCACACGAAGTGGCACGAAAGCTTGAAATCTCAGACACATCCTCCAAGTCTGAAGTTTCCAAGAAGGCGGAGAAGTCCAGCTCGCCTGACGTGCCCCGGAAGAAGCCTTCTCTGGATCTGATAAGAAGAGTCTCCGGCGACGTCAAACAACCTTCGAGCGGGTCTAGCACAGAGAAACCGCAGTCACCCGTCCCCTCTCCGAAAGCTGCTGCGACTTGGAGAGCCTCGAAACCGCTGCCATCTCCACCAGCGACATCCGAGGCTGCGAAGCCGACGCCTGGCCTGCAGGAAATACCCACGTCGAACGGCGATGCATCTCCCACGAAGGAGGCTGACACCTCTTCTCGATTCTCGGTAAAGAACGCTACAGCACTGTGGGGCCGGCAATCTGCTACTTCATCCTCAACCGCTACACGAACCAGGTCCCCCGTAAAGCTACCTACAAGGGCAGATGAGCAAAAAGCAATGGAGGAGGCTGGGCTCAGCCGATCTGAGGAAGTGACTGAAAAGCCACAACCCAAAACCGAGGCGCGCACATCCAATCCTGTAGGCCTTGGTCTAGGGAGTTTCGCGAGCAGTTTCGGCGGACTGGTTGGAGCCCGGTCAAGGGAATCGAGCCCACCCAAAATAGAGGCGCCCAAGACCTATCCCATATCCCCTCCCGCCAGTGGCAATCGTCCGAAATCCGAACCCTTCGAAGCGCCCCCCAAGCCCGCACCCGGTTCCACAGAAGAACTGCTCGCCCAATTCTTCGACGAGCCGCCCATAACCACGGGCGAACTCCCCTCGCACATCGACACGACGCACATCCTCAAGTCCCCGCCCCTCGACCTCAGCCCCAGCGCCAAAATCCGCTCCCTCCGCAGGCAAATGCAAGAAATCACGGGCGATGGCAAACTCCTCGCCATCCCCCCGCAGGAAGAACACGTCCTCTTCCAAGACTCCATGTACCTCTGCACGCACACCTTCAGCGACTCCAAGGGCGCCAGACACACCGAAGTTTATCTCTGGGCTGGTAACGGGGTGGCCGACCCCACGCTCGAAGATGCACAGCTCTTTGCCCGCACGACGGCGAAGCAGAACCAGGCGAAGTTGCTGGTGCTACGGCAGGGAAAGGAGACGCCGAATTTCTTCGAGGCGCTCGGGGGGATTGTGATTACGCGCCGGGGGTCGCGGCCGGGGAAGAGCACCGAGTATATGCTCTGTGGGCGGAAACATCTAGGACACATCGCTTTTGACGAGGTGGAGTTTAGTCTGAAGAGCTTGTGCTCTGGGTTCGCGTATATTGTCCCCACGCAGAGCGGCAAGGTGTTCATCTGGACGGGAAGAGGGTGTTCGGCGGAGGAGGTATCCGGCGCACGACTCATCGGGATGGATCTCCTCGCCAACGGCGACCTGGACGAGATTGAGGAGGGAAAAGAGCCGCAGGCGTTTTTGGATGCGTTTCCTCCTGCTGAGGACGCCGGGTCCGCGAAGAAGGGACCGGCGATTCCCCGCTCGGCGGATCACTGGCGGTATAAAGCGAGTTGCGACAAGTACCGCGCGAGGCTGTTCAAGGTGGAGCAGTATCAAACTGGCTCGGGAGGAGCAGGAGGGTCCGGCTGGGGCCAGAGTCTGCAGGTGAGCTCTTTCTTTGCGCCGCTGCTGAGGAGGCCGTCGTGGCAGGGAGCCGCAGCAGTAGCACCACCGTCCAACCCCGTCGTCACGGCATCCGGAACCCTACACGCCGCGAAGGCAAATGCTGAACAGAGGCCGCAGACGCCTGTCACGCCCAAGAGCCCGATGAGTCCCGGAGGAGGGATTACGACAAAGGTGGTGGAGATTATGCCGTTTGTGCAGCGCGATTTGGAGCCCGAGGGGGTCTATGTGCTGGATGCGTTCTTCGAGGTGTACATGTACGTCCCTTTTCCTGTCTCCGCTCCTCCTTCCCCCTACCCATGGATAGACAACACTTTTTTCGGAACTTGAATAAGCTAATGATGATCTGGTACAGCATCCTCGGCCCCCTCACCAGCGCGCAACCGCACGCCTTCGCCACGGCCCTCCTCTTCGCGCAGGACTACAGCATCCTCGCCGTGTCCGAGGAAGATAGACCCTTCCTGCCCGTCTGCACCGTCGTGCTCGAGGGCGTGCCCCGCGACATGAAGGCCGTGTTTCGCTTCTGGGACGACGCGTACGTGCCTGCTGGGGGACTGATGAGGGGGAGGTTGGGCAGGGGCAAGAGTCTGAGGGTGTTGGGGTTGGAGAGGGCGTTGAGGGTTACGAGAGGGGGAGGTAGGTGAATATTTCTCGGTGGGGGTTCTTGAACAGGAGGAATGGGGGCTCTGGTTTTTGTGGGCGTGGTGGGTGAGTAGGTAGCATGGCATGGCATGGCATGGCGTCGCAGGCATTCTGCACCTTCTTCCATTGTAGTTATGATCTCCTTGGCGTGTTTCTGCATGTACAGTATATGTGGGATATGCTGTGTCTCCTGTCCTGCTCGGGCCTACTCTGTTTTCCGCTTTGCTCGATTTTCCGGCATGGGATCGGATGGCGTGCATGGTTACATGGTAATTCGATCGGTGATGGATGATACCTATCGTATTGTATCCCTACGGTTATTCAAAAACTGCTGACGGCTCAAATAGCCTGCAACTCAATGGGAGAAATGTAGAAGTCAACAATAGAAACTGGAAAAAGGACAACGAAAAAATTTCAAAAAAGCAAAACAGAAGAGTATGAGAAAATGTTGACAAGAGCGAGGTTCGAACTCGCGCGGGTTTCCCCACTGCAGCTTAAATGCAGCGCCTTGGACCACTCGGCCATCTTGTCGGTGAAAAGTTTGGAATTTTCTCCAAATTGACGCTTATAAAGTAAGATAGAAAGGAAAACATAAAAGCTGAATTTAAGGGGGGGAGGAAGGGGCGCACAGCCACAGGGGGGTTAGCCACCCCCTCGCGAGATGTTATTCCAGCGCCAGCGACCAAGTCAACTGTATGCTGTACCATGCGTACTTTTCAGACCGGCTAAGTACAACTAGGAACATTATGGATCGCCCCTCAACACGGAGACAACCTTTCTATTAAAAGGGCGCATCTAGACCGCGCAAATCAGACAGCTTTACTACTGGAATACTGTACTATGATAGTACGGAGTGCAGTAGACTAGTCTAGAGGTCGGCGAAATTCAAAAATGCCCTGGGGCGCCCGCTCCACCGTGCGGCCCCTTCCGAACGGAACTTCCCATCTGCCAACGCCATCTCAACAATTTGATATCAGCTTCTTGGAGTTCAGGCATGGGGTGCAGGAATAGGGAACTTGGCACGTGGGCCCAAATATTAATTCACCTGGGCAACTATACCGGGTAGGTAATAATCAAACGAGCGTGGGAAAACTGCTGGGAATTCCCCACTTCCAAGCGGTTCGTTCACTAGGCCTCGGCTTCTCGGAGATAGAGACAGGGCCCAGGGGTTGAAGTGCCGGGCGCCTCACCAAGGAGAGGGCGGGAGAGAGAAGTCAGCGGTGTGTAGATCGTTGGCGGGAACTGCGTTAGGAGGGGAGAGGGTAGCATATTAGGGACTGGTGTTTGGTTGGGTAGCATGCGAGCGGGGACTTGCCTGGGACGGGGATAGGAGCGGGTGTCCAAAGCGGTGAGTGAAACATAGCATACTTATGTAGTAGTCTAGGGGATTCCGTGGCCGAGGTTCTAGGAGACCAGGGGGATGGTGGCTGGGAATAGGTGGGAATGTGCTGAGTGAAGGTTTACGAGATTTCGACGGGGTACAGGTGTTGTTGAGGGGAATGTCGAAATTATATTTTGAAGCTCCTAATAATAATCGTTGAGAGAGTGATTGTCCCGCACGAATCGTGAATAAAGTTCCGTCAGATCGACCGGAAGATTTAGGTAAGATCGTCAGGGGCTTTGTGGACCATCGCAAACTCCGACATGGTGAGGAATCACTCCGTCAGCACAGACTGGAAAACACCTCAAGGGATGCATCTCGTTCCAGCTATATCCCCGCGTGGCACGTGGAAAGGCCACTCCAGTGCTGGGAGGCTGGCAAAATCTCCTCCACAGGGTTTCGAGAAGAGCATCTCCGCATTCTCTCCTTCCCTTTCGTATGTTCCCTGCGTCGCCCTTAAACATGATGCATTTCCCTGGTTTTTAGAGTCCTTTTGGTCCATTTGGCTGCCTGACATTCACTACTACTAACATCCCACTACTCGTGTGCGGGCGTGAGCCTCGCCACTCTCGAGGCTCACGATGGCGACTGAGGAGCCGATCCCGAATCGGGGCCCCATACTCCTTGCCGTGAACATTGCATTCCTGTCCGCTGCCGTGGTTTCGAATGCACTGCGATGCTATGTGCGGATACGAATGGTCAGAGGCTTCGGAGTGGACGACTGGCTCATGGCGGCCGCAACAGTGAGGAGGCCTTCCCATCTATCTTGTCGCACTTGTTCCTAACTCGTCCTCTAGGCAGCTCTTACCTGCTACTGCACCTTCTCCATGTCCGGCGTCGTCTACGGCAGCGGCCACCACCACCGCGACCTCAAGCCCGAGAACATCGAACGCGCCATGAATTACTGGTGGCTCTGCATGCTCTTTTACGCCGTCTCCATGGTCCTATCCAAGCTCTCCATCGGCTGGTTCCTCCTGCGCATCGCCGTCAAGCGCGCCCACGCCTGGGCCATCTACTTCTCCATGCTCATCTCCGTCGTCGTCGGCGTCATCTTCTTCTTCGTCACCCTCTTCCAGTGCAGCCCCATCCCCTACTTCTGGCGCAGGTACACCCTGACGGGCAAGTGCATGAGTATCGAAGTCATCGTCGCGCTGGGCTATTTGTACAGCGCTTTCAGCATCATTTCGGACTTTACGTTTGCCATTCTGCCCGTCTTCCTGGTGTGGAATCTGCAGTTGAACACGAAGACGAAGTGGGCGCTGATCCCGCTGCTCACCATGGGCTGCATGTGCGTTCTATTTCTCTCACATGCCTTTCTTCCCGCTTCTTCGACCACGACTCCTCGGATTCCGGAATTCTATGTACTGACACGTCACAGAGCAAGCTCCGCCGTTGTCGCCCGCGTCCCCTACATGGGCAACTTCCGCCACGAAGACGACTTCCTCTGGGCCACGACCGACATCGCCATCTGGTCGACCGTCGAGCAAGGCCTGGCCATCACGGCGGGCAGCCTCGCCACCCTGCGCCCGCTCTTCACGCTCATCCTCGCGCGCCTCGGCCTCTCCACGGGTCCCTCGAAACTCACCTCTGGTGGTGCGCGCCCGTCGCATTACGGCCATGCGTCGCGGGGTTCGGCGCATGTGCTCGGCGGCGGTGGTGGCAGTAGGAAGACGCGCATGAGCAAGGAGCTGCTGGATCAGCAGTATGGGTTGAGGAGTTTGACGGAGACGACGTGTACGAAGGGGGCGGTCCTGGTGGGGAAGAAGAACGCGGATGTCAGTAATGTTAACAGGATCGCAGGAGGCGGCAGGGGCGATGGCGAGAGCGAGAAGAGTCTAAAGGGGAGTGGGAGGAGCAGGAGCGGGAGTGAGGAGGAGTTGAATGCCAGTGTGAGGACCGAGGAGAGCTCGGAGGAGCGCGGCATGCAGATTGTCGTCAGCACGAGCTTCATGGTGTCGGAGAAGAAGTGATGATGAAGAAATAATTAATAGATATAATAAGAGAGCGGAACGATCCACGCTTCTCTTGATACTTTGTAGATAATACCCAGGTGTCCAGATATCTCCTAATCGCTATAGACTTGTAGTGCAACGACTATTGGTCCTGCAACTTTTGCTAAGGCGCTGCGTACACACCCTTCATCTTACTGGGGTTTTGGTAGCTTTTGGGCAATCTCCAATCGTATGACGGTTTCCAAGGCGTACGAGAGCCAGAGTTGAAAACACTGTGCGGAGTACTGTGGATCTGAAGCAGGCCGAATAATGATTCGTCGGCCAGAAAATAGGGTAATTGGCTTCTATATACGCTGTAAATGTGAAGGTAGGTTATGCTACACCTTCGATCGTTATTATCCTACAGGACATGAAGACAACACCGTTGTTCTTGGAGACTTGCAATTTCGCGAGTACCTATGTACCTAGTCACAGGACCCAGAATCGTAATCAAGTTGGAGTTAGGATGTTATTTATTTTCTAGGGTAGGAAAGAATTGCTTGCCCCTCTTGATCTCTTTCTCGTTGTATTCGCCGAAAGTTGTTGATCTCTTAAAAACCCAGAGTCTACAAGTCTTTCCAATAAAGCTTGTTTGGTGTGAGAATTGTCGCTCACGATAATCACTGCATACAACAAGCAGAATCAGCCAAGTAATGGGTTCGAGCCTAAGATATTGCTAGTAATAACGCCCACCTCACCCTCAAAAGCATAGATAACCCGCCTGCAATCATCAACGCAAAAGATACCGTTCCGACCATATTCCAGCAAGAAGAGGGAAGGACGAAAAGAAACAGAGGAAAAGAAACAAGATGATAGCGGTAAAATCTGGCTCGGTCAAGTTGTTACGAGGGGATCGTGAGCGAACAGCTATCATCGGCGCAAATTTTACGCCTGTGGATATATGCTCAGTGCGTACCAGCGCACGGAGGATAAGGGTAGATCATCATGAGCTCGCCGTGAGGGTGGGATTACTGGAAATTCTGCCTTGAGAGGAAGACGAAAGGATCGTGCGAGTAAGAGTGATGAGGCCTAAGTGGGTTTGAGCGGTTTGTTGGGAAGACATGCGAGAGCATCTAGCCTCATACGTGAAGTTTTGAGATTCTAATAAAACGAATGGCCTGTCTCGCAACGACTTGGACATGGCTTGTGCGTGTTAGTCCTGTGGAGGACTTGGCTTGTTAGTGAGATTAGGTGCTAGGAATGGACGACTGGAGGTTGGCTTGCGGATATAGGATTACGCTACATTACCACATGGATTCGGAAGTGGAGATTTGGACTGCGTATTCGCCAACTCAATGCTGATCAATGAGGGATGTACCAGGTCACTAAGGGAGAGGTTTCGCTGCAGCGTCGAATATCACTTTATGAGGAACATATTGCCAGTTGCATTTAGGAATAGCCCTGTTAATAGTAATGCTCAACATTACAAAGCCAAACTAATCCGTAGTCAGATAAAGATATTACCCACTCTATATCGCAGCAAGAAAGACTCCAAGCAGAAAATCGCACAATGAAACAACACTCCACTCTCCTCCCCGTCACCAACCTCCCAGACCCACCCTCTAATAATCACAATACGAAATCGACTTCGACACCACCGTCGTATCCGACTTGCACTCATCCAACTTCCTCCCATCCGGCTTACACATAATCGCCGGCCGGCCCTCACAATGCAACCATCCATTATCCCCACCGGGCCCAACCCTCCCAATCCCCTGAAACCTACACTTGCCCAACTCCGGCACCTCAATATCCCACTCCCCATTAATATCAGCCGGCGGATCCTTGCCCTCGGGCGCCCCATAGAGCGGGCCATTCACATTGATGGGATCCTCATTACACGGATCGGCGCCCTTTCCTTGCTCGCCCGCATAAAAGTACCAGTAGAACTTGGGCTTGAAGAGCGGGGGCATGCCAGTCCGGAGATTCGGCCCCTCCCAGTTGGGCTCGACCTCCCAAAACACCTGCACCGTCTTGTGCTTGTTGGCCGGCTCGTCGGGGTGCTCTGGCTCGTCTGGATGCTCCGGCTCCTGTGGCTGCTCCTGCTCGCCGTCGAGGTTACCCTGCCGCGCGGCTTGCAAGCGCTTGATGTACCATTCCGGATAGTCCTTGTCCGGGCGGAAGGACAATTTGTCGCCTTCGAGGACGAGTTTCTCCTCGCCTGGTTGCGAGATCCACGTGTTGGGGTCCCATTTGAAGAGCGTGTCTTTGGCGTAGAGGTCGGCGTTGATGGAGAAGTCGTTTGAGTTTTCCGTAGTGAGGAAGAGGGCTTCGGGGAGGGGTTGGCCGGAGGTGTAGACGTGGCCGTCGGCGAGGGGGAGGATGGGGTAGACGCCGACTTTTTTGTTGATGTGCTTGGCTGGGGAGGTTAGTATTTGGGCTTCTATGCGCGTGCGAGTGGCTTACCGAGAGCGTAGCCAGTCCAGTTGTCGTCGTTCTTCCTCACCTAGAGTTGCCCAAGTCAGTATAAATTTCCTCCCAGCATGTACACGGCGGACATGAGCCATCACTGACGGCCTGATTACACCGCCAAAAGGGAAACGGAAACGTACATAGTCATTCCAATTCTCATTCCGGATCGTGCGAGCCAGCAACTTTGCGTTCAGCGGCCCATACGCCTGCACGTCGACAATCTTGTCCGACCCATCCGGCTGCTTCTGCTTAACCTTGATCCACAAGTCCGTAATGGGTATCTTGTCATTGGCGTGCGCACCAACCGTCGCTCCGTGGAGGAGCTCATGGAACAGGACCTTGCCTGCGACATGTCAATATTCCCTTAAAAAGAGACAGACTCTATAGTTTCAAACCGCATACCTCGATTATGCCAATACGTATTCATATTATACTTCTCCTCCTTGCCCTTCTTCTTCCCCTCGTCCACCGCCTCCTTCAAGCTCGGAAACCCAAAATAACTATCGCAAAACATGATATTGATATAACTATTATCCGGATCGCTGTTGAACCCGTCTTTACCCTGTTTTGTGCAATCGCCCTTCTCGTTGCGCTCGTCGCACGGACACCGCCCGTCCTTGCACAAGGTGTTCCACTCGTAGGCGATGGCGCCCTTGGGACACCCCCGGTGCAAGTTCGCGTCCTCGGGCTCGCAGAAGGCGTTGACGCGCCAGCCCCAGAAGAAGTTGCGGCCGAAGGTGCCGAGGTTGTTGTACACGCTGAGGACTTTGTAGCCGATGCCTTCGGTTTGCATGTTGGGGCCGAAGTCTGTGGAGATTGTCAATCAGTGGGTGTTCTCACATTGATATGGGTATTATCATCTTTCTGGGAGATACTGATTTTTATAAGCGGTTAGGAGGAAGAATGGATACGTACAGTCATAAGCACCGATATCGCTATTCGTGTCAATCTCCGTGATCGAGTTCGCCAAATCGATTACCTCGTCCCATGCATTCGTAATGTCCCAGCTCTTCTTCTGGCCCGTCTTGGGATTGATATCGTCGCAGCCCGAGAAGTTTATCTCGACGCCTTCAGGAACGACGGGTTGATCGGGGTTGTCTTGTCGTTTGAGGCGCGCGAGGCTGGCGATGGCTTCGAGGGGGTGGATGGCGCGGGCGGAGGCGAGGGGGAGGAGGGGGAGGAGGGGAGCGGAGTAGTAGATGGACCGCATGGTGGGTAAGTGTGAATAGGTGGGAATGGCTTTGTTGGATCGGGAGATTCATGGTGGTAGATGAGGAGTATTTATCAAGTTGCAGGACCGGGGCGTTGTGAACAGCTTTCGAGTTCGATGGATGGAGGAGTCTCGAGGAGTGAAGGATTTCAGGGCAGAGTGTCGGGCTTGAGGCTCAGCAAAACTTGTAAGAGTTTTATTTGCTGTGATGTCTCTGGCGACTCGAATACGTCTCGGGTCAGTTCCTCTAGGGCGACATGTAAAGCCTTCTTCTTTGCTGAAGGGTGGGTAGAAAATCATATGTGGTAGGGTATAGGTGCGGGTTGTGACTGAGCCATATACTCCAGGATTGTCCGACGGGCGTAACAATCAATGTGATACAATATCTCATCCTAATCTAGGGCCCAAGGCGACATTGGGCTCAAGATGCACAAGTGTGAAACCAGATTGCGACGCAGATTGCTGTTGACTTTACTAACGCGCAAGGACACTGTAGATCTAGCACTGAAGAAATCTAAACTCAATGCTTGCAAGGTAAAGTGATGTACATTCCCAGTAGTCTGAATCAGTTGCATCCCTCATCAATACAGCCAGACCTTGACCTACTATAATACCTTCTAGAGGTGCATATATCCAGCCCGATAAATGTACTTCCATCAGAGTCCTACCACCCGAAAAAGGCCAAGATTCGAAAGAATCCCCACGAGCATCCACCAAATCAGGAAACACTCGAAGTAACCAGATTCCCATTTACGCCCCGTCGCCCCGACCAACTCGCCTTTCCGCCTTGCAGGTCCCAGTACCCTTACTCCAGCCTCTCTGAAAGCTAGCGTGGGGCACCTCAAACCCCTTCCAACCCGACGTAATAAGCTTCCTCTTATCCATATCTGCATGCCGTATAGGGTATACAACTCCGGTAGTGCCCCGCATACACACCCCAAAGCTGACACATGCATCGTTGACGGAATCAACCTCGCTAAAACGGTAACGTCTCTTCTCTCAATCTTGCTCCTGCATCCTGCCGCCATCCTGAACTTTGAGAATTCAAGAGAACACGTTACTATTTCTCCGGGAAGGAATTCAAATTCATACATTGACTTGTCGACATTGGAACGACAACCTCACAACTAAAACTCACGTCCGCATCATTTCATCACCGGCATCAATTCGCCCGCTGGAGTGGCCTTTGTACAACTCTCTCTCTCCGTCGCCTGAAAGCCCAGACTCCCGAGTTAGCCATAAGGCTATCATCCCACCTCCAACACAACCCCTCTATCTACCCACCACCTCAACAACCCCCCGCAAAGAAACCAAACCATGCCTCCCTCACCCTCAATCCCAAAATCACCACCGCCACCACCACCACGACAACCACCCACCCCCCAAACCCTCACACCATCCCCAGCACCATCTCCAAAACACCACCCATCCGAGCTCGACACAACCCCAGGATCCTCCCCACGGCTCCCCAAGGCCCCATCAGTCTTCAGTAGCCATACTGCTCTCATGACCGCCTTCGTCATCGTCATCGTTATAGTCTTAATTCTGCTCGCACAGTTCAATGTCGAGCACCTGTCGTCGCTGGTACCCACGTCGCTCTCATCATTCCTCTCCTCCCTCGCCACACCATTCCTGGACTTCATCTTCGGCGCAAGTAGGAAAGACGTAGCCTCCGCAAATGCAGCGACAACAACAGCAGCAAATGCAGCGACGACATCATCATCCTCGACGGCAAAAACGCCATTCATATGGTGCGGCACCCCTCTGCCCCTATCATCGGACCCGAATCGGTACGAGGATCCGCCTTGCTGGACTGTGTGGTAGCGCTTCTCCCGTCTCCCGTCTCCCGTCTCCCGTCTCCCGTCTCCCGTCTCCCGTCTTCCATCTTCCATCTTCCATGTACCCGGAAAAACAAAACAGACAAAACCCCAGGGAATCCATCACGGACGCATTTCGCTGCATACATCCATCCATCACGCATCCATCCCTCGTTCTCCCCTCCCACCTCCGCCGAACGCACTTCCTGCCCCCCCAAATTTTCTTTTTGCGAAAAACGGGCAGAGCGTGCATCCATCAACCGCTCGCCAGGAAGGAAAACCGCCTACTCTACCCAAAAAGGAGGACGAGGTCCAGGAAAGAGTACCATCGTCCCTCTCCGCACACAACAACAACAATCACCGCCGCTGAAAAAAAGAGAAAACCGCGAGGGAAGCCGGCCGGGGGCGGGAGGGAAGGGAGGACGGTTCTACGGAAACAGATGTATAGTCGCGAAAACGTACGGAGTAGTAACAACGACTTCATGTAGCGAAACATAATCTATACCGTTCCCCCCTTCTCTAGTCTCCTTCCCTTCCCTTCCCTTCCATCCTTCCATAATCCTTCCACTGCTACGCCATCGCACCGTCCATCACCCTCCCTCCTCGTACACTGCATCACTCCCATTTCCCATTTCCCGCCTCTCTCTCCCTCTCCCTCTCTCTCCCTCTCCAAGAACCCACCACCCAGCCACCACACCAGCCCTTCGAATTCGAAAAAAAGGAGAAAACCAAAAGTCAGAGCAACAAAAACACATCCAACGAAACTCCTCTCATAAAACGTGCCTAAACTACTTGCTTCGGGGGGGTATGCAACCAACTATCTAACCAACCCATCGCTGCCAAACACGTCCAACGAATAGAAACCAAACGTTAGAAATACGTTCGAAAAAAAAAAGAGAAAAAGAAAAGAGAAAGGAAAAGCATGTACCAAACAACCGAAATCTTGCAGTCCAATTCCCGACGACAACGCCCACTCCTCTTTTTCGCCCCACATCCTGTACAACACCTCACATCCCATCACACCACAACCCCACCCTTCCAACTCAAACCCAACCTCGATCCACTATCTGAACCGTGCCGTACACCTGCCCATGACCTCTCCCTGACACACCAACTCGGCGTTGAACTCGGACCCATCCAACGTGAGGTAAATGTCAAAGTAGACGCGGTAGAACGTCCCCTGCGGCGTGTCCATGCGCTCAAAGTCCTTTTCCAGGTTCTTGCGCGAGAGGTCCGAGGTCAGGGTTACGACTTCCTTGATTCCTGCATTATCAATTGTCAGTATTCAGTTTCACCCGAGCAGATCATGGTAAAGGACAAGGGAAGAAAGGGGACTTACGCGGATCCTTGGTATACTCGGGGCAGACATCGTCATCGCACGCATACAGGATATCCTCATACATGAGACTCGCCCCGGGAGCCACCTGCCGGAAGAAGCTCACTTTGACGGGCTCGCCAATCTTCACCCTCTGCCCCTTTTGCACGAATATCTGCCTCGTGTACTTGCACCTGTCCTTGCCGTCCAAGCTCGGCACGCGGTACTGCTCCGGGTGGTGGCCCTCCTTGAAGGGTTGCAGCGTCGCCATGAGGTAGTGTCTCCGGGCAACGCGGTGCGTGACGATGCGCTCGGTGATGCCGGCCGTGACGGCGCCCTTGACGATGGCGGCGACCGAGTCCATGGGACGGACGACCTTGGATTGATATTGGGGTGGGACGTGCAGTTTGATTTGCTGGAAGAGATATTCGGAAGCGCCGAAGCCGCCGACAACGAGAACGTTCTGGGTAAGTTAGCATCGAAGAAGAGCAGTTCATTATAATAGATGTCATACCTGTAATGACCGGTTCTGCGCCTGAATCGCAATGATCTGATTCCTGACCAACTCCAGAATCCGGTTCACCACGGGCTCGAAACACTGCAAAATCTCCTCATTCGTAAACGTCATGTAGCCCTCCTCGATGCCCGCCTCGGGGAACTCGGCCTCGATGCCCACGTCGACGGCCCACTTCTGCCCATTGTTGCGGAAGTCGGCCTTTATCCTGTTCTCAAAGTCCATGATGCACTTGGCGTAGACCTTGCCTGCCGTCTTGGAGCCGTCGGGCAGCTTCATCTTGCGGATCTTGGCGCGGAGGATGTTGCTGAAGTTCCGGTTGAGGGCGGTGGAGCCGCACGAGTCGCCGGAGCCTGCGGTGCATTCGGCGACGGAGAAGGGGTTCTCTTCCTCGACTTCGTAGGCGATCAGGTCGACGGTGCCACCACCGCAATCGACGATCAAGACGGCATCATGGATCTTGAGGTTGAGGAGGCCCGTCTTGGAGCAGAACATGGCGGCCGCCTCGGGCTCGGTGATGAGAGTCAATCGGTTGTCGTTCTCATCGCGCAGGAAGCCAGCCTGGATGGCAGCAGCACGGGTGGCGGCCTTGCCAGCATCGTTCCAGATGGCTGGCACGGTGAGGTAGTACCTGATGTTCCTTTCTTCCCGGTTGAAGACCTCGCCCAGCGTCTTCTGCAGCTGGTTGCGCATGGCCTGGCGCAGGTGGAACAGGTAGTCGGCGGCGACATCGATCTCGGACTTGCCCGGGGGCAGCGGCGGCAGGTTGATGGGATCAATGTACGTGTTGCCGGACAGCATCAGTTGCAGCTTGAACCACTCGACCTTTTGTACGCCGGGCTTGGGGTACCCCGTGGGGGCTAGCGCGTCTGCGATGTCGGGGCCCCACCCGACGACTTTCTGGTACTGGTCGTAGTAGAGGACGGTGGGGATCTAGACGGCCGTGTGATCAGCAAGGTGTCCACCCTATCTGTGTACTGTACTGTACCTTTTGTTTTGTCTGGTTTCCGGCGCCAGGCCATTCGGTGATGATGTCTTCCTTGGCCTCTGTGTTGGTAGCGAAAGCGAAGGCGACGCCTGAGAAGGTTGTGCCCTGGACAAAGAAGACGTGTCAGCGCATGCAGTTGCCACGCAGGAGAATAGTAAAGAAGGATACTCACAAAATCAATGCCGACAATCAGCTGTGCCTTGGAGCGACCCTCGCCGGCCACCTCGGCCATGTTGGGCCTGTTGTACGAGGCGACCGCATGCGGGGCCGGTTGGGGAGGATGAGCAGGCGGCGGAGCACCGTAACCACCGTATCCAGGTGCTGGCGGCGGCTGGGGAGGATAGCCCGGCGGCGGGTAGCCCATGGGCTGCTGCTGCGCCGGAGGGTATCCTGGAGCGCCCGTGTTGATGGGGGGAAGGGGGCTGTTGGGCCGGCCAGCAGCTGGATGGGGCGGGGCCCCGAGGCCTGGGGGAGCATATGTGTACGAGGGCGGGCGGCCGAGGGGATTCTGGGGATTCATGGTGGTGGTGTTGTTATTGTTGTTGGGAAGCGAGGAGGTGCTGCCGTTGGTGGTGGGCGGCGAAAGGCTGGTTGGGCGTGGAGTGGACGTCGACGAGGGCTGAGGGGGCTGCTGGGAGTTGGAAGAGATGTTTGATGATTTGCGTCTCGAGCCCACGAGCTTGTTAAAGCCAGCTTTCATGGACGACATGAACAAGGGGACTTTGTTGAGCGAGAGGAGAGCAGCAAGAGAGCGAGGGAGAGGGAGGGAGAGCGGTAAAAATGAAGGTGGGGGGTCTGCAATAGAAGGTATAACGTGCGGCTGGACTTCTGGGGCTGCTCTGCGCTTGGGGTGCTGTCTTGGGTGGAGAGTGGTCCTGGGCTGGGCTGGGGAGGGGACAACTCGAAGTGCTGGGGGGCAATTCATACGCTATACCCCTCTGGGCCTGCCCACTCTCGGTTACTGATGGCGGTGGAGGCGCAGGCGGAGGCGCAGGCGGACGACCAAACCATCACCAGATATCACCCACGAAACAAGTCGAGGATGCAATTACTACTCCAGGAGATGCTTCACCAAGATGGATTATCGTCGGTACCGTACGGTATCGTGAGCTGTCCTTAGGACCCCGTAAGTCCAGCATCCCAAAGATCTATGCGTCGCGGGTCATTATTCCCCCGGTTTTGTCACCACATCCGAACAATAAAGCGGACAAAGATCAAAGCATCTCCCTTGCAGGAAAGCCCACGTGCGAAAAAGACGAGCCTCTCCGAGTCCGTGGGTCACCGCCTGTCCTGCAGCAATGCGGGTGACTAGTTGGGCCATTCTTCGTAATATGCAGTACCGTACTGTAGAGTCGGCTGGTTGCACCACGAGAGTTGCCAATTCTAGTTTGTCTAAATTGCTAGCCTAGTTATACCTCTATACGCAGTGCGATGAATCACTGCAAATATATGCTACTGTATTCTATCCATTGGACCTACACAACAAGTCGACGATATAGCAAAATGCTACATCCTATTATCAATTATTAACCTTCCGCTGCCCCTCAATTGTGGCAACCCTCCCCTGCGTTCCCGATTAGAGTACCCTGCCGCGCCACACTAGCTCGTGGCTGTGCTCCAACCTCATCCCGAGCCCTGTTCCAGTATACGACATTTCCATCTTCGGGAACTACAAAGCACTCTCTATAAACTAGAAGACACTCAAGACATCAACACTCCAAAAACATTCAATTACATCCCATCTCCTTACTTCACTCCTCCATCCTCCCATCGCTATGCTATGCTATGCTATGCTATGCTATGCTATGCTAGTTAAATGACACATCCAAGAAAGAAAGAAAAAGACGCCGAGATATCTATACTCGACAGCAGAGCCTAAATAACAGAAGCGGACATGGTATATTCAAAACCGAAAAGAATCCATAGAAACATCGAATCCCTAAGTCGAAAAATTGCGAGTGAGGTACCGAAAACGAAAACGCCCGCTTCATGCGGAATAGCAGAAGAAGAAGAAGAGGAAGAAGAACGACATGTCCCCATACGCCGCATAACCCCCTAGAAACAGAAAAAGAAAGAAGAAACAAAGAAAGAAGAAAGGTATCCCATGATCGAAAAAAAAACTATTTCCACGAAAAAATCTCCCAGATGCCATACATCAAACTCCCAGCTCAATACCTCAGTTTGCCCAGCAGGGAAAACGAATACGCGCACTCCCGTTCCGATTTCATCTGCAATCCCCGTTAGCCTTCTCCTTCTTCATCTCCTCCTTCTCCAAGCCACCCTCACAAACCCAGAACAAGTTAAGGAAAAAACTCACCTGAATCATATACACCCTCGCCCTCGCCGCACTCACCCCACCCACCTTCCCGACCGTCCCCACCGTCCCATCCTCGCCCACCACATCCTCCCACACACTGACCGCGATCCCGCTCCTAGCGACCCGCTCGAAACAGCTCTCCCCCAGCGTCGCATCCAGCAACACCTCGCCCTTGGTCTTGCCCACCACCACGATCCGCTTCTCCTGCGACGGATCCCTCACCCCGGGTCCCCCTCTCCCATGGCGCTCCATCTGCTGCCCAGACGCCGCCACCGGGTCGGGCAGCATGATGGACAGGCGCGCGGAACCCATGTCTCGCCACTTGGAGGAGAAGCTGTCGCGCTCGTACAGTCGACACTTTGTATTCGTGATTCCCGGGGGCGCGCCCGGCGCGCGTCCTGGTTCGTGGTTGTTGTGGTTGTTCAGAGGCGGCGTGCTGGCTCCCCCGCCCGAGCCACTGGATCCCGTGTCGAAGCTATTCAGACTGCGAGATCCGAGCGTGGACCCCCGGATATTGAACCGGCCGTTCTTGCTGAAGCTGAATCTTGCCAGCGCGCTGCGGAGCGCCGTGTTCATGGTCCCAACGGACGACTCGGTGACGGCGGAGATGGAAGCAGCGCGCGTGTTGGTTTTGCGGTACGAGCTTCGTCGACCAAGGGTCCCGGAGAACCAGCCGCTAGAGGAGCCGGCGTTGGATCGCGCTGCGTTCTGGCGGTCCATGGCTTCCGCCCAGCTGGGTTGGCCATACGGTCCCCTTGCGTTCTGCAGAGCAATGTATGTTGGGTTGTTGATTCGAGCGTAGTTGATCATTGCGTACAACTGGGCGCATTCTGCTGGGTTGCGGCTGCGGAACATGACGTTGTTTCCGCTCTTGAGCCGTGACTCCGCCGTGGGAGGAGAACGGATCGTGATGTCGATGGCCGTCGACTTGCGCATGGGAACTAACGGCGTCAAGTCCAAGGCGATTAGGGGAGCCCTCCCTTCCGCCGGCATGATGTCGTCTCCGTCGGCCAGGAACGGCTTGGAGTGTGCTTCGGTGATTTCGTACGCTTGGATCTTCCCTGGCGTTACCACTATGCTGCATTCCTCAGGGTGCAGACTATCCCATCGACCGACATCGGACCATGAGAAGATTGAAGCTATCGCTCGAGATGCTTTACCCGAGCCTTGCGGCACTGCACGATAAGGGGTGTTTGAAGCTGATTGCGAAGGGGTTATCGTGTCGTTGGGTAGCGTGTATATGGAAGCAGGTGGGGAGACTCTCTGGAACTGCTGTTCAGGTTGAGTCGTGGGCATCAATGGCATGGGAACATCGTCGTCCAACTCGCCGTCCGTTGATGAAGACGTTACTGATTGATCGTCCGTGTCTGAGCCTTCCTCTTCACTTTCACTTGACGACTCCGTAGCGGTCGACGGCTCATATTCATGTTTGAGAGGGGACGATGAGCGACGCTTAGTCTTGAATCCGGGAAGTGTAGGCGTCAGAACGGGTGTCTTTGGCCCTTTAAGAGTGACAGGAGATGCTGGACTGGGCGATCGATGCGGCGGTACTGGAGGTGGTTTTTCATCGTCGTCCGGTATTGATTCTTTTCTTTCGGTATGCGCACTCTTATCCCTTCCCAATCTTGGTGGAGCAGAATCTGGAGGTGCAGCTACGTCACCAGTTCCTTCTTCCTTATTTGGCTCCTTGACAGGTGTGGTCGGTTGGCTTGTCTTTCTGATTCTCGGAATGGTTGGGAACTCCATTGATGGTACAGAGGAGACGCGGCGGTGTGTCTGCGACCTTTCGACGTTACGTGCTTCGTCGAAGTTACGGTCATCGTCAGAGGAGGATTCCGACCGTTCCACATCCGACGACGGCATCCATACACTGAATCCCTTGGTGGGCCGAGGCAGCTCTGAGCTTGGTGAACTCAGTGGCGGTTGAGAACGGCGCTTAGTTGACTTCCTCCTTGGGGGCTCAGGTTCGTCTTCGGGATCGCTGACCACAATCTGTCTTGAGGGCCGGTTTGGCGACGACGGGGACGCTGGAGAGGGTGACAGGTTCTTGGAGCGCCGTTTGGCTTTTGCACGCCTGAGACCAACTGGCGAGCCCCTTCCAGCCATCCTCATTGCTTCGTTGAGGCTACGTGGAGTTCTTTCGTGATCGGCCTCATCGTAGTTGTCTTTCATCCGCGGGCTCGTCTCGCGATTCTCGATTGCGCGACGGCCTTCAGTGGGCGAGCTTGGTGACTCAGGACGTGTGACAGAGGGCCTTTCCAGAGCGGACGCATCAGTACTAGGAGGGGTGATTGGAGAGACCTGGGATGATTTAGGACGTCTATCCGGTGTAGCGTAGTCCCATTTCTTCGATGTAGCAATTGCCTGCTCTCCGATAGGAATCTCAACCTCGTGCGGACTAGGCGAGCGGCTCTTCTCTGGATCAGTCGATCCCGTCGCCGCTGAGACCAGGCTAGATGTGGCGTGACTACTAGCTGGTCGCGGTGGTTTGTTGAGAATGCTGGGATCGCGCTTCAGCTCCGAAATTTGAGGAGGGACTGGTTGTAAACCGAGCATCTGCACCCATTCGAACGCAGCCTGCTCGTCATCGATGCGGAGGGAAAACACCTCTCTCCACTCGGTTCCGTCTCCATGGTATCCGCGAATCATTACTACAACCTCCCCTTTTAAATCCCCATTGCGAGCCGATACGTACTTCAGCTCTATAGGAGGGAGAAGTAGCCACCTCCCCTTGGCATCGACTTCACAAAGCAGAATGTCTCCACCAGTGCCTACTCCTGATGCGTTGTCTCGTAGAAGCAGCTCCACCTGGCAGTTGATTTCCTGACCACTTGAATGAACCAGATGCATGTCGAAGTAGTCTCGCGCCCGAACACAGCGACTGGGATCGATGCGCACGCCTGCTAACGGGGCCAAACTCCTGGGATCTCGGGCACGCGTAGGGTCGATGCTCGCGGCAGCTTCGTCTTCGAGCCGCGCGCGTTCATCATGAGAGCGCTTTCGTGCGGCAGTGACAAGGTCCTGGAAGATGTTGGACATCTTTTCTGCTTGGTCTGAAGGCTTCACATGGTTGATTCCCTGGTAGATGTCAGGTTCTTTCTACCCAGTCTCTCGCACTCGACTTACCCTAATGGTCTTTGCGAGATACTTCAAGCGTACCAAGGGTCGCTTGAGCATGTAGGCCACATCGACTCGCTCTCCGTCACCATTGACCACGTAGCCCTCGGCATTCTGAGCCAGACCTTCATCCCACGGTGCTGCGTCATCCGGGCCGTGGACAACTTTCGCGGGTGTGAATGGATCCTCATCGGCAGGAGCCAAACTGACAACCACGTCCTCGAAACCCAACCGCCAGGCGTTGATATAGTCATTATAAATGCGCTGCGCGCTCTGTGCCCAGGACAGGAACTGATCAGAGTTGGCCTTTGGAACACGCTTGTGTACCATCTTGAGGCGGTCCAGGCAAACACCCATGTCAACAATTGGTTTCGTCACATCGCTGGGCTCCATCTTGGATGACCGACTGAACAGCCCCGCAGCGACGGCCGAGTCGGACTTTGACAGAACGCAGTTGAGAAGCACAGGGATCACACCATCAACCAGCGTGCGGAGCTCCCGCATGTACTTGACCTCATCTGAGGCGAGCTCGTTCATTATGTCTTCGACGGTGGCGGTCGCTAGTCGACTACGGTTCGTCCTGATGCTGCGGGCGGAGACGATACTTCTGGTGCCGGTCCTGGGCATAGAGAGAACAGAAATCAAATCTGCATGGCTAGCGAGCCTGTTGCGCCTTGTACTCCTCCTACTGAGCGTCGTTGCGGTGTCTGCGTCCACTTGGCTGCTGCTCGCTTCGGAGGCGGCCGCGAGCGTAACTTTCTTCTTCGGATCAACCAGAGGTTGAACAACCTCTGACCCAATAGCTACGGAAGGGGCGGCATTTTGCAGCTTCGTCGTAAACGTCTCTACAGAGGCGATTGTTGATAATCTTTTCCCAGTCGTCGGGAAGATCCGACGCATCGCTGGGTTTTCCAGACGCGGTACGGGTAGTTGTTCATCAGGCCCTATGGTTGAGGCATCAACGGAGGAGCTGACCACTGACGAACTATCCACAGACGAGCTAATCACCGAGGACGTGGCTATTGATGAGCTGAGGACAGAGGACGTGGCAACGGAGGAGGTAACAACAGAGGAGCTGACGACAGATGTACCATCATCCATATCTTTCCTTTGGAGCTCAGGAGCTGGCGGAGACCTTGCACGTTCTTTTGTGGGTGAGTGCTGGGAACGTCTTGCGCCGCGACGCTTCAACTTTGGAGTAGGAGATCCTTCAGTATCCCTGGAATCTGTAGTACCAGTGATGTCGCTTGATCGCGCCATTGATGGAAGTTCATCCAAGTCCCTTGTCTTAACCTGTACATTTGGGCGCGGTGAACGCCTTTTTCGGCCGCTCCCTTCTTTCTCTTCTCGGATATCTTCAACCTTCTTTTCCTCCTTGGGTTCACTAGACAAGCTCGTTTGTGAGGCGCCCTTCTTGGGAGGCAACTCGAGCGTTGATACAGAATCCCGGGATTTCCTTCGTTTCCGAGCATCCTCGTCCAAAAAGGGGTCAGGCGTGGTCTGTAGCCAGGCCTGTAGCCGATTGCCCAAAGGATTCGGCGGTGTGCTAGGTGTTGGTATATCCCGTAGTTTTGCCCTTTCCGTTTCACCATCAGGCTGATGTGACCTTCTACGCATGTAGTTTCGCTTTTTAGACTGTGTTTCTCTCGATAAAGCTTCTGGTGATGTGTCTGCCCTCCTCCGTTGAGCTCTTCGTTGCCGTTGTCTCGTATTCTCTCTGACAGGCTCGTTCAACGTCGACTCGTATTCCACGATAATCTGATTCCCAGTGTCCTCTCGATCTGATCCTTCCGATCTGCACCCCTCTTTCTTCTTCACCGGCGTCGCATCATCCGCAGAAAGCGAACTCCTAGGCGACGGCCCCGACCGCCGTCTCCTCCGCACCCGAACCAATTCAAACTTGTCAGGTGGCGCTTTCGGAGAACGCGGCAATGTAGAATCCTCATGTTCGCCCTTTTCTGCCTTCGAGCTCCCCGACCCACTACTAGTAGGCCTCTTCTCATTCCCTGACCCCAAAATCTGCGACGGTCTCCTCCGCCGTGCGCTTCGTGTCCGCTGTCCCCCGCTCTTCGGCTCCAACAGTACGATAGGTTTTGACTCAGGCTTATTCGGTGTCGAGGGTTTTGTCTCGGGGCTCGCGGCCGCTCGCCGAGCTGCAGGACGCACCCAAGCGGTGGGTAACGCTTTCGGAGACGGTTTCGGGGCCGCACCTGCAACTGCACCAGCACCGGCATCTTTCGACGGAGACTTGTTTGTGCGCCAATGCGAATCGCTGACCACGCGCTTCTTCGGCGCTGTCGCTATTACCACCTCCTCATCCAGCGGATTATGCGTTGGTTTCTTCGCGCTCTTTGGCTTCTCCGGCAGTATTTCCACCGACTTGTTGTTTGGCGTCGCGGCGGGCTTCGGACTCGACTTCGCTACCGCTGCTGCTACCGCTGCTGCTGCGACGGGCTCGGCCTTTGGCGTCGACGGCGGTTTCGGCGACGCTGCGGATGCAACGGGACTCTTTGCACCGGCGTCCTTGTCCGCTTCCAATTCAGCCTGCCATTTCTGGATCTTCGCGCGCACATTCGCCGGCTTGTCGATGCCAATGGCCTTTCCGAACTCCCCGCCCTTCATTGCTGTTTGCTTCTCGGTGATTGTGCCCTTGGCTTTTGCAGGTGTTGCATCCTTCTTTTGGCGGAGCGAGGGGAATGGATTCGGGGGCGATGGCGAGGTGGGCATAGGGCGTCTAGGAGAGGTGGGCCATGGTTAGTACGTGTGTGGTATACGGTGGTTGTACGAGGGGATGGCGGGGAAGGGAAGCTGATGTTTTGGCTGGGTTGATTTGTTGCCCAGCCTTGTGTCAACAAACAGCTTCCGGGCGGTCGCTTACCTCGCAGCCCACCAAAACACCAGTCAGGCGCAAAGTGCGCGGAGTATCTACAGGTTGAATAAATGGATCTGTCGGTCACTGCTGTAATTCGGAATCACGCATCGTCTGGTCTGAATTATTCTTTCACTTAGACTCACTTCGCGGTGAAGGTGAATGTTGGCAAGGTCAAAACAAGCTAGACAACCATATCGTCACCAGTCCCTCGGGTTGGTGCCGCATCGTGGTCTGATCTCGTACAAGCCACATCGGGAGATGGATAGGCACCGCCACACTATCGGAATCGAGATCTTGAAATTACCATTATCTATCGTAAATATCTACTACATGCGGCACTTCCACCTTGGTGTTCAACATTCAACAACTAGGAATTCGCACCCGCACTACTGCTTCTTCTTCAACGTCTTCTCGAATTTCTCCAAGGCCGAAAAAGCCCTCCAGGTCGCGCCGACGCTATTACACAGCAGCCAGAAGGGAATGACAATCCAAAAGGCATTCATGAACACAAAGTATCCCCAAAAGTACGCCGCCTCCGGGCGCGAGTAGGACAGGTCAAGGATCCAGTGGTCGAACATGCTGGTCGCGTAGTACAGGACGTCGCCGTACAGCTGGCCGAGCGACACGATGAGCTGGAAGGGGTAGCGGAGCGGGTGGTCGGTCGCGATGAAGGAGGCAGTGAGGAACGAGAGAGGGCCCCAGCAGACCTGCGATAGACGAGTTAGCGCACTGCTGCGCATGCGCCGTTTGCATATGCGTGGAACTTACAGCAGTGATGGTCTCCATGCAGAGCACAAACGCGTTCTTGGTCAAGTAGCGCGAATCCGAGAGCGAGTACTCCTTCCACAGCTGTCCAAACAGATCCTTCAATCCGCCCATAGCCCTGAAGTTGTAGACATAGTAGCCCTCAAAGAAAAGGTGGATGCAGCCGCCTATATTGCTCCAGTCAGTCCTGCCCCGAACCCAGAATCTGGAAGAATCGCAAACGTACACAGGACGAACCACAACACGGTGACGAGATCCGAGTTCGAGATCTGAGGTCGCGTCCTCTTAACAACCAAGTACGTGATTGAGAAAATCACCGCGCACCCCGCTGCAAATGCGCCGCAGAGCTCAAACGTATTCAACTCATTGGCAAGATATCCCACAATCTCTGCCTCGACCGGGTAGTAAGGGTGCAGCGGCTTCGTCATTTCGGGTACCGTCATGTTCTCTGGTGTCGGTGCGAGGAAATTGTTGCGCAGGTTCTTGAAGATAGTCGCCATCCTTTTGAGTTTATACAAAAAGAAATGTTGACAAACGGGCGCTGCTGGTCGTCCAAGCTTTTTTGTGCTGTGAACGGTTAGATCCAGGGGAAATGTGCGGATGCCGAAAGACCGCGGCGATTTCGCGCCCGCGCGCTCCCGCGTCCGGGCGGAAATTACCCGCCGCTACCAAAGTATTTTCGTCGCCAATTCACGTGCGCAGAGGCGCTAACCTTACGCGGATGATGTCTATAAACAGGTACAGGTTGAGTGTTTGAAGAACGTAATTATACAAAAAGATATATTTCCAAAGTACAACCTAGAAGACATGGTGGGGAATACGAAATGCTCAAACGCCATTATTGCATCCCATGCCCCCAGATCCAACCAGACCAAATGCAGCCCCAGCCAGCCAAAGTCTAAACAGCACTGTACCCACCCCTACCTCCAGGACCTTGCACCGTGTCCTTGACCCTTCTCGCGCAATCCTTCAGAATATACGGAATGTCGCGGATCGTATCGCCGTGGGGCAGGAGATCCCACCCGCGAGCACCATAGCGGTTGTAGTTGAGCCAGGAGCCGAAGATGAGGTAGGCTGCGGTCAAGAGGAAGACACTTTGTACACTGTTAGTAGGCGCGAATACGGCCGGTCAACGGACGGAAGACTTACATGATGATGAACCATGTAAAGAAACCCCAGTGCGAGCTCGCTTCCGGTTCAGGCGCATCCTCGCATGCATACTTGGTCCGCCATTCCAGCCGCAGCGTATGGACCTTCTTCTCCTTCTCACCCTCCTCCACCTTGTAGCTCACAAACCGTAAACTAGCGTCCTTTTTCTCGTCATCCTCGCCATCCTCGCCCTCCCGCTTCCGTAGCCGTCCGTCCTTTTCCTCGCCCTTCTTGCCATCCTCGGAATCCCCCTTCTTCTCATCCCCACCCTTATCATCTTTCTTATCATCTTGCTTCTTCTCCCCCTTATCCAGCTCCTCTCCCTCCAGCCCAGTACGCTCTCGATCGCAAACAAACTCGATTATCGCCTGCTGATCCATGCCCTTCTTATCATCAAACGGATACCGCCCCCCATGCAGCTCAGCCCGAACTCCTTCCCGCCCAACATCCGTATTCGACTTGGAATCCCGCAGCAACGAGAACTTCGCATCAATCTCCCTGCCCGTCTGTAACTTGTATGTCCCCGCGATCGGAATCGCCTGAATAGTAGCGTTTCCACCGCCGCCCAAATCATACTGTTCCCTGATGGCACATACTATGCCCACCGTTAGCATAACATCGCTCCTAGACCGATCTGCCGATACATACTCCGCGTCCCTGACGGGCAATCCCTCTGTTTATCCCCCTTCAAGGGCAGCTTATTACATATATCGATGGTGAAATTGTATTTATATTGCGTCTCGTGTGCCCAGTCTGGATCCTCGTCCCAGTGTACGATGCGCGGCCCTCCCAGGTCCTTGAAGTTGAAATTCACCTTCCCGGCGACGATGTCTTTGCAGTCGAATGCCGAGGACGGTGAGGGCAGGCCGAGAAGGAGGAACGATAGTGTTGTGAGAGAAATTAGTGTGGAGGATGGTTGGGACCGGGTTGAGGGAGAAGTTCGGTAATGTGACATGGTGCACTCTGCGAAGTGATGGTAGAGGAAAGGGGACAGGAGCCCGTCAGCGAGAGAGGGGTGGGCTAGATCGAATAGGCGCGGGTACGTGAGTGCTGAAGCCGGGGGGACAAGATGTACAAGGAAATCTGGCACGAGGGCGCCCTAGAATCGCATGTGTGGGTGGGAGGGAAAGTTGCTCACGGAGATGTTGGCTCGGATGACGGAATCGGAGATCGGGCACGGAGACGTGGCGCAGCCGTTATGCCAAGCAATACTATCCACACATCATCTCGACCTCTACGGAGTAGTACAAACGTGTACTGGATCTGATGAATCTTTAACATCATCATCACCAAGAGTCGAACAAGGCAGCTGGAACTACACTGTCTTTGACCACAGTAAGGTCTAGGCGGAGTATTCCCGCCATTACGTCCCTGATGTACGGCCATTTCTGCATACCGCAGCTACACCCTCATTCTCATTCAGCCGCCAAGTCCCAACCACCAGACTCAACTCTGCGTCCTGCGCAACCAGTACTCCGTAGTCCCAGAAAATCTATGACTCAGTGACGCCTTCAAGCCCACATTCCCATCGGCGTCCGAATAGCGCCTCAAGGAGACTGTCCTGTTGTCCTGTGTACCCTCATGCGTTGTAGCCCCTACCTCACTTTTCTCCGCCCCCACTCCCAGATGCATCTTACGAAGTAACTCAGCTCTTCGCTGTACAGTCCCCATAACCACAGACTCGAACGTGAGTCGAGATTTTCAGGGGTCCGAAAAGGCGTTTTATGTTTTAGGCGAATCGTAATGCATGCGGGCATTTGATGGAAGGTCAAGGTGCTGACGGCCTACAGAGATAAGCTTTTAGTCCCAAGGTCCGGGCAATTTGCAAGGCTGACGATTCCCCACTGGAATCCCTGTTAGTCTCGAGGAAGTAGGACACATCATGAGTTCTCTGGGTTGATGATGCTCGCGAACGGGTCAGCGAGACGTACGGGGTCGATCCGATGATGGAAGAAGTAGGTTTCCTCTGTCACAAAATTGTCGTGTTGAGAAGAAGATTTGCTCGCGCATTGGGGTTGACCCCGTCTATTCTATGTCTGTGTCTATGTCTATGTCTATGTCTATACCTTGAAAAGGAATGTGAAGGAGTAGAGTGCAAGAAAAAATCGTATATACAGTAGAAGAATGAGACAGGAAAGCGTGACGGTCGTCGTTAGTAACATGCCATGACTAGAAAGACACCCCTCGTCTATATACAATATCGGTGAGGAGTCGAAAGAATGAGTGTGGAAGAAATATGAGACGGCGGGCGAGGAAAGAATGACATAGAAGTGTGAGAAATTGGAAACCATAAGACGGAGATGCTGTACAATCTAGACATGATAGAGGAAAGTTTACCTCCCTAAGGAAAATGACACTCATTCCGAACACGTTTCCGGTTCATGCAGTCGTACGGATGCGTTGCGAATCCACAAGGAAGGAATGCAGTCATGGCCTCTCTCTGTGACGGATTGCGATACACTATTTCCCAGAACTGCCGCTTCCTTGACTACCTTGGCCTCCACGAGCACCGCCAGGAATGGGGTACGGGAATGGAGCGTACGGCAGGTGATATCCCGGATTGGAACCAGAGGTGGAGCCGGACGTGGTGGTGTTGCCAGGGGAAGAAGCTGCGGAAGACATTGCTGCGGAAGTTGACTGTTCGGTTGCGGAGAGTGCGTAAGGAATCTGAGGTGTACTGGATCGGGTCGTCGGCAGTGAGGAGCTCTGATAGCTGTTTCGCTGATGTTCGACTAATCGGCCTTGGCCTGGCACAGATGCTGCTCTCTCTCTGTCACTTCGGTCGGAGATCGGTGATGGTGGCGGCTCGCTGACGAGGACTAAAGGCGCGGGTGGTCCAAATGGGTAACGGGTTTCTGCTGCTGGCGCAGCTGAGGGTAGAGAAGGGTATCCAGCGGTGACTTGAGGAGTCTCTGCAGAGCTGAAGGACCGGTGCGGCCGTTCTTTTGGGGAACTGCAATGCGCCGAACTTTGACTTGTGTCGAACTGCTTTGGAGATATTGATGGACTGGAATGTTGCGGAGGACGATTGCTCATAAAATATCGGATCGAGGATCTCGGGTAGGATGGAGACTGTGTATTCTTTGGAGAGTCGAGAGTTCACCTCTTTATACACTGTGGAATAGCTACAGACTCCCTAGCTCCGCCTGCCACGATCTCGAGGACGCCTGCTAGCGAATTGGCACCTAGGACTGGCACAATTGTGATATACAGGGCCCCCAATTCATGGCTTAGTCCCTGTGACGGGGTTCGATTCGGTCGTGTGGCACTTCCGAAGATGAGGGTTGCGAGACGCGGCGTAGGAGAGGTACTTCCAAGACGCAAGTCTTTGTCGACGACGCTATGGTAAGATGTTGAGAGCCGTTGCGGATTGGGTAGAATCTGTTGCAGGGGAAGTATACAGCGACCTTTCAGCCCCGTGGCGTTCAGAATATTATCCGCGTGAGCCTATATGCGGTCCGTAGAGTAGTCTGGAAACTGGGGTTGTAGGCTTGCTGTCGTCAGATTCTTATTTCGAGCCGCAGGGAAACACCGGTTCAATCCTCAACGTTTCGTCTCGAAAATGACTTTGAAGCTGACGATCACGAGTCTGAGGCTGCTGAGGGGGCATGGAGAAGAACATCGCGGTCCAGGGTCGCAACAGCTTGGATAGATATAGGTGTGAAAAGGACGATGCCATTGATTCCGCGGTGTTGAGAGCAATATGGCTTGCGTCATTTGCGTAAGCATAGTGGAAGCTAAAGGAATTGAGCATGCCAAAGATACTTCGGATGAAGGCTATCCGCTGGCAACAGCATACTATTGACAGTCATCAATAATCGACGTTGTCTTGGACCGGTCGGTTCGAGCTCGGGACCTCCAGGTCAATGGCATGTCCAATCCCCATTTGGGGGTTTGGAAATCGGAAAGTCACCATTCAGCGCCATAACAACAGATCTGCGCCTCTTCTCGAGGCTTCTCATATTTCGTTATTGTCGAAAAAGTGCACGAATTCCGCATCCAATAGGCCAATAGACTATTGGGCTGATTAGTGGAATGCTAGGGTACCGAGGTGCCCAGGTCCTGTGTAAGCGGGATGTTTACTCAGCTGTCGGAACGTTTCGGCACGGCCATGTACGGTCTTCCCAAATCGAAACCATTTCCAACCATCATGTATGAGCAACGCCATGACATCATGTCCAGCGCGGTGGGAATAGCTTTCAGTCCTCGAGAAGGGAAAACAGCCGCAGAAATTGATCAGCTAATCGTACTTCAGTCGGCGGTGTCCGTAGTTCTGTTGCTTAGTGAAATCGAATATCCAGGTTTTCCAGCGAGCTTGGACCGTCTCGCGTGGCTGCACCCGAAGTGAGCTTCCAGAAGCTTTCCAGAAAGAAACGGTCAGGTCGAGCGACTGTCTGATCTCAGACGGGTAGATAGTGTGCTGGACTCATCTCTCCATAACCCGACGAATTGGTTGCGGCTCCATTGCCAGCCCTGTGGCAGAGCCAAGCGCGCGAGGAATATTTGTCATGACCGATGAAGGTGGCTGCGGGATGTGCATGCCTTACCAACCATCGGTAATCGACTCTGTTGCAAGTTCAACTCTAGATGGGGCTGTACAGGTTCCGTGACATTATTGGCCAGGGGAGAATTTCTCCAGATCCGGCAATCACTAGTTGCTGGCTCTGAGTGGTACTTCGACGTTGCAAGGGTCAGAATGAAGCTGGGTGGTGACAGAGCAGAGCTGAAAATATCAGCAAACCTGGGGTGTGCTTCCAGTGCGGGAGTGTGCGACTGTAGTTTAGCGGCCTTTGCCTGCGCGGGAGGACTACAGCGCTGGCGGCTTACCCCATGCTTACACAAGCAGCTGGCTGGACAAAAGTCACCTCTTTCATGTGTGAAGATCTCCTTGTCGTCCGTTGTTTCCATTGAACCGATATCGTGCTCGCGAGCTTGCGCACATCTCTAGGTGGGAGAATATGGACGTTTTCGGTCGGCCACCAAAGGCGCATCCTTTGGTGGGATCATCGCTGCCGAAGGCGTTCGTGAGGGGTAGGAGAATCATGTGGATTGGGACTTTTGACAATGCGATCGGGCGATGGTGGGTCTCCCAATGTGTTCAGCGATGGATGGTGCGGAGTAGTGTCGTAATTTTACTTTCATAAACCCTCGCGCTGCAGTGTGTTTCTTGACCCAAGAAAGAGAACTTGAGTAATCGGCAAGAGCAGGGCCAATGACTCATTCATCCAAGGAATCTCCGACCGCCTAGGAGCATATGAACGACGACGGGACTCTGGTATCGATATTCGATCTGAGGCATCGTTGAACCTTCTGCTTTGAAGTGATTTGCTTGCGAGGACGACCGGATGTTATGCGCGGCGTCGACTCTTTCGAGCCGTGAACACACTGAAGTGCAGTTGAGGTCGTGGGAAAGAAAGGGTGATGTTACTAGCCGTCGAAATTGAACTGCTCGATGCATTTATGCCTCAGTGAACGACCTCGGACTGAAAAGTTGATTTCAAATCAATAGCTAACAGTTGCCTTGTCGGGTATGCAAACTGCGACATTCATGGGTATGCAGGGCGCCATTGCTACCTTCGGCTGGTGAGCTAATTGATTAGGAAACTCTGAGCTGCATGCCTTCACGGCTACACATCGTTCATACATTTGTAGCGCCAGGAGGCCGAGCTTCCCGGACTACTACACAGTCACCGGCTTCAGGGACCGAGCAGGTTGAGACCATGTCTATCGAGGACTGGTGTGGGCGTTCCATATGCTCATTCCTGTGAAAGCGGTTGGAGATGTTGAGGCCCACGCGTGCCGAAGGCGAATTGCTGTTGAGCGTCAGGCGGTGCCCGGCTAGAAGCTCAGCTGGCTGCTGACGGTCAAACTATAGCCCCGGGGAATCGGATTATTTCCGCTGTCAATTGGTAGAAGGCCGTCCACGGCGTGTAGGTAGCCGCTCGCCTTCGGATTAGCTGATGTCGACCGTTTCTCTCTCACAGGGAACATCTTGGGGTCTTTGGCGGGCAGCTATTGCTGTGTTACCAGGTCAGCAAACCTTATGATGTTCATCTGAGGAGGCCACGGGATTTTACGTTGCAGACATAGTTTGACAGTATCCCGAACCAAATGCTTCTAAAGCTTCGCCCGGGACGGTTGAATGGTAAAGGACTCCATCAGATTTGTACTGTTTCCCTGTAATCGCCGACCACCTGAACAATAGGCTGAACAGGAGATAAATGCTAGAATGACGATCTTGACGCAGTAGCATCTGAGCTGCAAAGTCGGACGCAAATGCCTCTCCGCGCTGGAGGCTAGGGTTTTCTAGCGGTCTCGGTCATGGGCACTGGCATATGAAAGAAGCCGACATGCCTACTGCAAGCAGGACTGACGTCTAGGCCCATCCTGCAGCATCCGTTGCGCACGCGCACTCGCTGATTATTTCGAGTACTGTTCTCGAACGCTTCGCTTCCTTGAAACTGCTACCGCGGTCGTGAATAGGTCTCGTGCTTGGAGACCTCCTCCTGCTCTCGACGCCATCTTGGGACGGGCTCGGTATTATGTGGTCTTTCGAAAGCATTGTTCTGTGCAAGTAGTCGAGAATCGACCACACCAAGCAGAGAAGTCCACCATGTTGCGCCATACCTCCATCGCAGGTTCTCAGTCTCCGTCCACCTTCTTTTCATTGACCCTCAACAGGCCCATCACAACCTCCACACACCTACGGAACCCCTCCATTTCCTCTTCCACAGTCCCACCCATCCCTGCACTAGCGAAGCTTATAGAGTTTCCGACATAAACCGGCTTTCCCGCTTTTCGTGCCAGCACTTTGGCGAGACGCGTTGTGAAGTCCAAGTTGCCGGCGTAGGTGTAGAGCGGGGTGCTGAAGACATCGGATGGAGAAGATCTCTGATTATGGTTAGTTTCCGCGTGTATCCGAGAATAAACAGACGCGTACATTTGGCATGGCGTAGACGAAGCTGCCCAATGACGCCAGTGTGGACGATTCAGATGTTGTCGTTGTGAGGAAGATTACGAGGCAGGTGCGGTTGTCTGTGAGCTGGAGGTGCGCATTTGTTTGCGGTGCTCTTGGAAGAGGGAAAGAGACTTCTATGGGCGTCGTTAAAGCTGTGCCATTGACCATTGAAGCCGCCATGATGACTACTAGTACGCTTGCGGGATATTGTGGAGGTGATGTGTGATGCAATGAATTGGTTGGGGTTCCTGAACTTCAGCTTCATTGGCTGTTGTACATTCCGGCGTTAGTTCGGGGTTAAGCCATGTGAATGAAGATGGCGGTAAACGTCGATGGAAGAGCCCAAAACTATATATCAAGATTCTACGGACCCATCGTATTGGTTTCTCTATAACATATTGCTAATTCCAAGGTTCCGTCGCTGCCAGGGTGTCCAGCAGTAATATCACGTGGTGGGTGTACTAATTGAGCCTAGCGGCTTTCTCAACTCCACCTGGGCATCTACAAGAAAATCCTCCCAGGCTCGCTCGCCTCATCTCTTTTGTAGGTTTACCACCACATCCCGCTCATCTCTCTTAGCGTCCAGTGACCTGCATCTAATAACAAAACCACTTGGGAACTCGTTCGTGCTGTCCCAGACCCAAACACTTATCCAGCGCTGTTGTTGACGGAATTGAGCAAACCGCACACCACTGGTCCTATGATGGTATCCAGCAGAGTTCACTGAGGCCACAGGGCATTCTCTTGCTCTCAGAGCTCATACTATGCCGATGCAATAGAAGTTCGCTGGCTGTCCAATATGGGTTATGCTTATTTCTCTCTACGTGTATGCTAAGGCTCACAGTAACTGTGGCACATCGCCCAACCCATCACCCTATTTGAAATCGCCATACAACCCACCCAGATTCGCAAGGTCGCACGTCGCGCCACCCACGAGGCACCACTCACTAGCATACTTCCTCGTATACACATTCGTCACCTTCCCCCCGTTGTAGATATAAACATGATGATTCGGCATCTGCCGATGGTTACCCGACCTTATCGACCAGCTCCCCCCCTTGGACAGCGACATGGTAAACGCCCCATCAATCGCACCACCGGGGCAATACGGATTCTTCGCATGCGTCACCATCCTGATATCCACGGAGCTGCCCGACGCCCCGAGTTTCTTGGCCACCATGTCCTTCTTCGACGCCGTCTTCTCCGACACCAGTTTGCCGGTCGACTTCTTGTACACGTGCGTCGTGCCGACTGACGTGTGGCCCTCTACTTTCTTGCTCGACCAGGTGATGACGGCGTGCGCGGCGGTGCGGTAGCTCGAGGCTTTCCAGTCGAAACCATGGTTGTCGCCGCCGAACTGGTAGCCCTTGCCGTACGTGCAGAGGGTTACGCCCGCCTTGACGGGTGCGTCGATGCGCTTTTGAGGGATGAAGGTGACCCAGGACAGGGTCGTGGTCGCTGCCGCGCGTTTGGCGATGGAGGCGATGTGAGAGGTGGTGTTGGTGTCGCGGGCAGGAGTGTGCACTTGGAGGGACCAGCGCTCGGCGTTGGGGTTCAAGTCGTCCCTCTTGAGGAGGGGGACAATATCGTAGCGGTAGGTTGAGCCGGGGGTGGCGGTGGTGTCGCGGTAGGCAGTAGTCCCAGCGGTTAGGTTGGCGAGCTGCTCTCCATCGCGGATGAGGAGGTAAGGAGTAGTTGGGGAGAGGGGGTCCCAGGAGAGGTCGACGAAGTCGGTGCCCGATGCTGCGAGTACGCCGCGGCGCAGGAGGGATTCGTCCACGATGGCTTCGTCGCCGGACTCGGAGCGTACTGTACGCAGATCGTGGGCTGAGAGGATGTCTCTTGTCGAGAGTTCATGGGTGTGAGTGACGTCTGAAAAGAGGTTGGCCCGGGCAGCTTTGAGGGTGAAATGAGGAAGCTCTTCGGAAGAGCGAAGTGCTTGGGCAGCTCCGATGGCTAGTGCGCAGAGAAACGATTGTACGGGAGCCAGCATTTTGAAAGTAAGTAGATCGCAGTGCTGTCTGCACCTCTGGGCTTCGTGAGGCTGTTCAAGCAGTCCTCAGGGCAGTACTTGTATTCGCAGAATGCACATGCTAGAATGTTAGCTTTAGGCCTGGACATTATGCGGCTGAGCTGTTTTCTGGGCACTCGCGATAATTATGGGGTACTGCTCGTACTCTGCGGCCTACTAGGAGTAGCAAGGGCCTATCCGCGGCTCCATTCAGGTACTCACACGAGGTACTGGGGCGGGATACTCGTACTCGAATGCCTGAAATAGCCAACCCCCAGTCGACTAATCCTCGGCACATAATCGGTATTCCTCTAATCCTAGCATTCCTACACTTATTACGGTCCTGGGAATTGTATCGCCATAAGGATACCGAGGTACACGGCAGAATTTGTTACTCAAACGCCTGTGACTGGTAGACCTGACTGTCGAGGTCTGTAGCATGGTCGGCGACGTCCCTCTTTCAACATAACGCATTCCACATCTGCAAAACATGGCCCAGAATGCGAATCTAAAATTATCGACAACTCAACGGGAGTTCTATGGGATACGATAGGTACCTACTGTACTTTAGGTTCGGCCCCCATCTTGCAGGTAAGTCCGAGGGCTTCGTTTCGTCCTCATTGCTCACAATACAACCGTCTGCCGGAATATGCTTGTGCTTTGTTCTGCAATTGTCTAGGTGGGCACGATACCTATAAAGTCAGTCCTACCTGAGAAGCAAACTTCTTGGCTTCGTTGGGTCAATGTTAGGGTTTCTCTCTATGATTATATGAAGCCGAGTACATATTCGTTAGTCTATATATGTCTTGCGCTTACAGGTGAGGAAAATTCCAAAATAGCAAGCATATACGACGGTTTTCTGGTATTTGGTATTAGTTGAAGTATGCTTGGATGTAATCAGCGGGAGCTGTTTTCGACACCGGGTTTAATTCGGAGTTAGAGCTCCGAGAGCATAGATATAGATGGATAGCGGGGCCAACACATCCATCAGCAACCACCGTCTAGTTGTAAAACTCGTCATCAAAAGGACTCAATTCTTCTTTGCATTTGATTCCTTTCACTCCGGTACATCCGACCATGCAAGACCCGAGCATGGAAACCGAAGAATGGCAAGGCGACTTCAACCCCATGGCCGACCCCGACGAACGCAAACACCTCCTCTCCGTCCTCGAGTCCTTCCGGTATGCCTCAACACCCATTCTACAACCACAATTGCAATACCTACAGCGTACTAACCGAACACTCTAGCTCCTACCGCCGCCTCGCCCACTTCAACGGCACCCACGTGCGCCGCCAAGCCTTCTACTCCCTCCCCTCCTTGCACTGGACCCTCCTCTCCCAACCCCCCTTTTCCATCCTGGACTCGCTCTCCAAACTCGACGACCTGATCGACTCCAACGCAAAACTCGCCGAAGCCATCTTCACCCACGGATTCCGCAACTTCCTAGCCCCGACGCTGGACAGCGAGTGGGTCGCGACCATCGTGCCGGAGAAGTACGCGCACGATGAGTTTGAGGTGTATTCCGCCGTGATGAGGCATCTCGACGTGCAATTGAGTCCGAATGACGTCGACAAGGCGCGGAGTTGCGTGAATCAGTTTTACCGCGAGTGGAGTGCTGAGGGGGCCGTGGAGCGGTCAAGATGCTTCGATCCTATATTAAAAACCCTCGAAGATGACTTCCACAAACGCGCTGCGACGTCCCCCGGAGTGCAAAAATCCGATATCAAGGTCCTGGTCCCGGGCGCTGGCCTCGGCCGTCTCGTCTTCGATATCTGTCGCGCCGGCTACTGCGTCGAGGGGAACGAGATATCCTATCACGAGTTGCTGGCGAGCTCGCTCGCACTGAATCACATGGAGAAGGTGGAGCAGTTTACGATTGCTCCATTCGCAATCAACTGCTCGAATCACGTTTCTCGCGCTGATCAGTTCCGGACGTATAAGATCCCGGACGTGCATCCTGGGTCTGAATTGAAGAAGGAGAAGGAGAATGGGCCCGCCGTTGAAGCTTCGGAGCGGATGAGCATGTCCATGGGGGATTTCTGCGTCGTGTATAATGATAAGGATAGTCGTGATCGGTTCGATGCTGTGGCGACTGTGTTCTTCATCGACACTGCGCCGAATGTTATTCGGTACGTTGAGGCGGTTCGGAATTGTCTCAAGCAAGGAGGCTTGTGGATTAATCTGGGTCCGCTTCTGTGGCATCATGCATCCCGTGGACAGCCATCTGGTGATGACAACGGCGATGACTCGAAGAAGGGGAAGTCCGATGCTGATACTGGTATTGCGGAACCTGGATCGGTGGAACTAACCGATGAGGAGGTCGTGGCGTTGGTGGAGCACTTTGGGTTCAAGATAGAGAAGCATGAGACGGGAGTGTTTGAGACGGGATATATCTCTAATTCAAGGAGTATGCTGCGGAGTACATATTGGCCTTCGTTCTGGATCGCACGGAAACAATGATACCCACCTGGTGTAATCAGCCTGCAGACATTTTCCCAAGACCCCTATTGAAGGGCCAATTCGTAGAAATAGATTCAAGAAAGGAGTCCAAGTACTGGTATATGAGTCTATAGTCTATACTTTATCCGGTCACATGGAGATCTATAACTTTTCATCCGCCTTTGGAGTCACAAGCTTCGCGACCTCCGGGTCCTTGATCACCTCTTCATACGACGGCCGCGGAAGCTCAAACCCCTCCGTCACACGGTTAAACGTGATACCGCCCATACGTCCAATGGGTTTCAGCACCTACACACATAATCAGCACTCTCACGTATCACTGCACAATTCAGCATGCACTCACCGCAGGATCAATCACCGTCCCCTCCTCATCGACCGCATCCTCCCTCACCCAGAACCTCACCCCCTCCACAATCGCCAACACGCCCGTCTTCTTCCCCGGCGTCACCTTACTCTCCCACTCCCTCGACTCCACCAACTTGGCCTCGACACTAAACATGGCCTCCTTCACCCTTTCCGGCCCCACACACGTCCCCTTCACCGGCGTCAGTCCCGACAACGGCCACTCCGACACCCCCTCTGGCGCATTAATCGAAGTGAAATTCGCAGCCTCAATGTACTCCTCGGAAATGATATTAATCGTGCATTCCTTGGTCGCCAGCAGATTCACCAGCGTATCCTTGGGCCTGTTGTACCCTCCCGAGAAACCGAGAACGAATAACGGAGGATCGTGAGATATCGTGTTGAAGAAGCTGAAGGGGGCCAGGTTTTTCACCCCGGTTTCGCTGACCGTCGATACGAAGCCGATGGGCCGCGGTACGATGCCTGATATCAGTAGTTTGTAGTTGTGCACGACGGGGCGGCCGGGGGCGTAAGGGTCGATTTCTCGGTGGGAGGCGGAAGGGGGTGCGGGGGTGTTGGCGCCTGAGCCGGGGGTCCATGAGGGAGAGGGCGTTTGGGTGTAGTGCCATTTTTGAGAGGTGTTGAAGGGCGGACGCGAGGCTTCGACGGTTTTGAAGTCTGGGTGTGGGTTGCGTTTTATGGTAGGTTCGAGGTCGGGTTTTGCGGGGTTGGAATCGGCCATTGTGGAGGAGATGGTTAATGGTTGAGTGATCGGATGGAAAGGAGAGCGTGTGTACGTTGGGGAGCAGGTGAGGCAATCGAATTCTCTTCCCAACTCCAATGTCCAGAATTTTCGATGTTGATTCTGTGTCGGCAATTCAAGGTATGTAGATGTTTTCGGATGGTTAGTTCAGGAACGAAATTTGGGCCTCGGATAGCCGTCGGGAAAAGGGATTCGTCTTCATCTCGGCGCCTTCTGAGGACTACCCCACAATGCGCCAGAGCTACCCCGCTGTTTGTTCAACACCATCACCAAGCTTGATTGGGTGGTGGTGCACCTGATACGTCGCTATGCTGCATTGGACTCACCTACACTTCATGCATGCAGCCCCGACAGGCATGCAATGAGCCCGATCTCCTCAGAGAGCATTTTTGCGGTCTGTCAGCACTAGGTTTTATTAGTTCATACCCAGGGAAGCTTCGTCGCATCCTTCAAAGTCTTTCGGCTTTCTCTCGGAATTGACTTCAAAGCTTCAGAGTGCTTTGAAATCCGCTGTGAAGAGAGACGGTAGTATGTGGTGCTTTGGTCGAATATGCTTTCCAAGATGCGGAAGGAATGGCTGATATAAAAGTCGTGTACAGTCTGTCGTTTAGTGTGCGAATCATTAGCATCTCCCATTGTCCCCAGCATCCCAAACAACTCCAACGCCAACATGGCTTCTTCCTCTTCCAACGCGGACGACTTTCAAGTCTACAAGCTTGGTGATTTCAAACTCAGGTCTGGCGGAGTCATCCCGGATGCCGTTATTGCGTACAAGACGTTCGGCGACCCGTCTTTGCCAGCAGTCATATACCCGACATGGTATTCAGGCTGTCAGTGACAAGCTCATGCCCTCCATCTGTAGTCATACCGTTGACTTACGCAGTGATATCCGATAACCTCTGGCTTATAGGGCCCGGTAAGACCTTGGACCCGGCGAACTACTATATCATCATACCTGCACTCTTTGGCAACGGCCAATCTTCATCACCCTCGAACAGGCCGGACCTCCGCCCCTTCCCTGAAGTCCTCTTCTACGACAATGTTCGAGCTCAACACGAGCTTGTCACGAAGCATCTCGGCATCAAGCATGCTAAGGCCGTCCTTGGTTGGTCCATGGGTGCTGGCCAGTCATATCAGTGGGCGACGCAGTACCCAGACTTCATGGATCTCATTGCTCCCTTCTGTGGCAGTGCCCGCACGAGCTTGCACAATCAGGTGATGCTGGAAGGCGTCAAATCGGCCTTGTATGCAGCGAAGGGCACTGCATCCGCCGGCGTATCGAAGCCAGACGTCCGCACCGCGCAGGACGGATATTCCGAGTTCCCTCAAGAGGCCAAAGAGGCCGCACTCAAAGCCCTAGGCCGGGTCTATGCGGGTTGGGGTTTCAGCCAGGCCTTCTACCGTGAGAGGGTGTATGAGAAGGTGCTGGGATTCAGAAGCCTCGATGAGTTCCTCGTCGGCTTCTGGGAGAAGTGGTCGTGCTCCAAGGATCCTGAGAATATGCTTGTCATGGCGCATACATGGCAGGCAGCAGACTGCTCGCAGCAGGAGCCGTACGACGGCGATTTCGCAAAAGCAATGCGTGCGATCAAGGCAAAGGCTCTCGTGATGCCGTCGAAGACAGATCTTTACTTTCCCCCTGAGGACAGTGAGATAGAGGTCCAGAGTATGAGTCCGGGTATCGGGCAGCTCAAAGTTTACTCCACCATTTGGGGCCATTGGGCTGGCGGTAAGTTCATCCCAATGCTTCAACTGGCCTTCTTTTCGCTCACTTCCATTCCAGGCCCCGGTGGAAGTCCTGATGACGTGAAGTGGCTAGACGACAATCTGAGGGAGTTCTTTGCCTCAAACTGACGTGAAGAGGTCAACGCTGGGGGTGCTAGGAAGAAATAACGGAAATTGACTAGTACTTTTATTGTTCGTCATTCAGACTTTTCGAGCTTTCCATATTGCAAATGAAACGAGTTGAAGTGAAGTTTGTGGAATTGCAAAGCGCGGGCACGAGTTACCCGCGTCATCACCAGCCACATAGCACAGCCATAGCCTTGGCACGCTAGAGACGCGGCTGGTCGGTTCATTGTTCAACGGTGATCCAGCTTCGCATCACCAAACACCAACGCCGCTCCGAGAGAGTGGTTGTCGGCATGAGGGATTATTAAGGCCGTCTCGGAGGGTACTGGTAGCGTTGCTTCTTTCTGTGCCCTCGCCATAAGACACCGCCGCATTATCGACTCATATCAACGTGCCGAGCACCTCCTCCAACATGGAAGGCCAGCAGAAACGCCAGTGGGGCGTCACGAATCCAATTTCGGAAGCGCAACCCACGGAAGCAGATCTCCGGCTGAATGATCTCCTCATAGAGGCCTTGAAAAAGGAGAACAACTTTGAGAGTCCTGAGGGTACGGAGAACAGGTTCGTTGCTCCCCCCGTAGTCCTGCACTCCAAGCTTGTTGGCAGCGCTGACGCGGAGCAGAGTCAAGGTTCTCAAGCATCTCCAGAAGGTGGTCGAAGAGTTCGTTCGCCGCGTCGGGAAGCGGAAAGGTGTATCGCCCTCTACAATCGAGAATGCAGGAGGGAAGATCTTCACATTTGGCAGCTATGCGCTGGGTGTCTACGGTCCAAGCTCGGATATCGATACTCTTGTCGTCGCGCCGAAACACGTAAACATGGCAGATTTCTTTGACGTCTTCCCTGAAACGTTCAAGGAAATGTCAGACCCGAAAGATATCACCGAGTTCCATCCTGTGGAGGATGCGTACGTCCCGATTATCAAGATGGAATACTGTGGTGTCAGCATCGACCTCATCTTCGCATCCTTGCCGTCAATGTCCTCCATACCACCAGACCTGAGTCTGCTTGACCGTTCTCTCCTTCGTGGTCTAGACGATACTGCGATGCGTAGTGTCAACGGAACAAGGGTCACGGCGGAGATGCTCGATGCTGTACCACAAGTGAAGTCCTTCAGGCATGCGCTGCGGGCTATCAAGTTGTGGTCAACCCGTAAGCCACCCGTTTCCTGGTTTAGAGAAACCAGCTAATAATGTGCAGAACGAGCAATCTATGGAGCTGTTTTCGGATACCCTGGTGGCGTTGCTTGGGCAATCATGGTTGCGCGCATCTGCCAGCTTTATCCCTTTGCCTGTGGCGCCACGATTCTTTCCAAGTTCTTCAACTTGATGATGAAGTGGCACTGGCCGCGTCCGGTCATGCTGAAGCAGATCGAGGAGGGGAGTTTAGGTTTAAGGGTGTGGAATCCGCAGGTGAGTAGCCCCCGTCACATCTCCAGCTGCTGCTGACAAAAATGTAGATATATCCCCAAGACAGGGCCCACCTAATGCCGATCATAACTCCTGCCTTTCCTTCTATGTGCTCTACTCATACCGTCATGCACTCTACGATGAGCATCATGATGGACGAATTCAAAAGGGCTGACGCCATAGTCAACCAGATTCATAGTGGGCGCAAATCCTGGGCTGATCTGTTTGAGCGACACACTTTCTTCACCAAGGACCATAAATACTATCTGAGTGTCATTGCGGCTAGCCGCACAAAAGACGCACATGACGCTTTTGCAGGATTGGTGCAGTCCAAGGTGCGATTACTGGTCAAGGGCATCGAGGAGGGCGATGCAGGTGTTGATATCGCTCGGCCCTATATCAAATCTTTTGAACGTGTCCACCGCTGCCGAAATGAGGACGAGGTCGACCGAGTAATACAAGGTAACATGGACTACCAAGTTCCGAAGGATTCGATCCAGAACGGAGCGGCACCCGCTAATGGAGATGCTTCCAATGAGTACCACACGATATACACGTCCACATTCTACATCGGACTCACTCTACCCGAAGGTAAGTCAATCTGTATATATATTGCATGGCATCTTGTTAACAGGTGCAGGTGGAAACAAATCTCTCGACATCTCTTTTCCGGTGGCCGAATTCAAGCGCTATGTCACCATGTCGGATACGTACAAGCAGGACCTGATGTCGATACGTGTGGTGCACACGAGAAAGTATAAGCCTCTGTCTGCTTTGCTCTTCATTTCGCTGACCAATCTAGTTATCAACTCCCCGATGATGTTTTCGAGCCTGGCGAGATAAAGCCTGCGAAGCCAGTGAAGGAAAAGAAGAAGAAAGCGAAACGCAGTTTCGCGGAGACTGGACTCGACGTGCGTGAATCAAAACATGTCCCCAGATCCATCAAAGGAGTATACCGCGCCATCGGCGGGACACATGGCCCTTGCTGACGACCCTGCTAATTTAGGACAGCGAGCACGCTCCAGCCAAGCGGCGAGAATCCGAGAAGGTCAACGGAGCGTCGACAGCAACCCCCGCCTAAACAGGTTCCTGCTTCAACCACCGCAAGCAGTATGCATTCGAAGATGCTCAATTCCGCAAATGTCTCAAATACAGGCTCGCCAGATACGCCACCTTGGTCAAACCCTGTTCTACAATCCTTACGACAGAAAATACCTCGTCAGATTACCGACTTGAGTCGATAACCGGTCGCTTCCGGTAACTTCGGCGCCAGCCGTTGACGGATGCCACATCAGGTTCGTGTCTTTATAGATTCGAGGATCTAACACAAAAAAACCAGAAAAACAACGATGAGCCCCTATCACGGTGGATGGTCGAAACAAGAACACCACACTCTACTAATCCTAGGCTTGCCGGCGTGCCGGCTCAGGTGAGCCCCTCTCCTTTGTCACGTAATGGGCATCCCCAGCTGGGTCGCGGGGTTTATGGGCGTTCGTGACAGTGTTCAATCATGCATCCAGTGGTGAAATGAGGGTTTGTGGATGGAGTAGGGAGGTTCGGTCGCATGGGGAAGGGATTCTTGGGGCGGTAAAGCCTTCAGTGCACACACCGTAAAGGGAGGTGTTTTGTGCGACACTAGACAGAACAATTCATTACATTTAAGGAATCAAAGGATTCCTTCCAATCTAAAACCGCAGCCGGTCACTACTCGGTCGTTCTGTGTTGGTGTGATGTTCCAGGTGAATGGTTCCCGCCATGGCCAGAGTGCAGTGAAGACTTTCGCGGAGTGTGTGTCTTTAATATGTAAGATATCGAATGGGAAAATAGAACGTAACAACGATGTGTGATGGCAGCGTCGGTGGTGCAGCTATGTTATGGCTCCTTTACACTTCAATCCACAAGTTTTGTCGGGTTTGCCAGTGGGATGAAGTTCCGCATCCTCAAAGGTGAGAGCTGGACGGTTTCAACATTGACGGCACAATTTATGAGAAGGCTTATGGAGAATATTGAATGTCTACAATGGGCTCTAGAGGCACTGACACAAATGCGAGTCTTCATTGTTCTTGTTGATGATTATCAGTCCCATGGACTTGTCTCAGGATCATAAGTCTAAGTATCCTCGCGTAAGGAGCTCTCGAACCATGATGGCTAAGTAACTTTGTTTGCCCTCTTCTCCCTACATAGATAGCCAGATAGCTAAAGATGCACTAATGAAAGCTCCCACCATAGCACGGGAAGACAAAAGAAGACTCGTAGCAGCGCCGCACTCCGCAAACACCCAACAAGTACCCATTCGACCTTGACTCTGCTCATCCTTCCCCGCTCGAATATAAAAACTAGCAATCTTATACGGAAGCGTGCCGCAGCTCCCTTTGTCCTCACTCCAACAGCTGAATCCATACCAAGGAAACAACGTCGTGTTGCTGTTCGGATCCGCTTCCGTACATTTCGGTCCTCCATATATCGTCACTTGGCGATCTGCATAATGCCCAGGTTTTTGCTCGTCCGTCGTGGGGTTTGTTATATGCTGGCGATACAGAACTCGGGAGTAGTTCGCTTGCGGGTCAAATGTGTCGGTGTTTTCAAGTTGCCAATGGATGCCTGCCTCGCCCCAGGCGTTCTGTCCCTGATTCCGAGTCTGGTTGATGAAACCCTGTGTGGCGTTTCCGCTGAAGAGGTCCACGAAGTCGAAACATTGGCCTAGGACGGGTATGCTTGATGTAGTGAAGGTCAGGGCGCGGTTGGAGTTAGCATAGTCGCATGAGTCTTGTTGGTCGCTCTGGAAAAAGCGGAGTGTTAGGTTCTGGCTGTTAATAATAGTCAATCGATGTCGTTTTGGCGAGCGGACATTTGGAAGAAGACGGTACGAACTTTGACGTGACGACCTGCGCGTGGATGCCAAGTGGAAAGGAGGTTAAAGCGAGAGACGCTACTCTAATGGCTCGGAGAAGTTGCATTCTTACTGTTACGCAGAAGGTCTTAGGATAAGTGCTGGTAGAGGAGAATGAAGGGCCGCAGTGTGTAGGAAATTTTATTCTAAGGAAGTAAAATCCCCGGCCCTGTTTTAATGTTTTTGCAAAGGTGCGGCGTAGTACCCTACCCTAGGGTAAATAAGAGGCACAGCAGTCTGCCAAGGGCGGGCGATACGCCTTGAAACATCTATGGCGAATCGAATGCGATAGATGCACGATCCGGGTCAGCGTCCGATCCTTCGATCTTCGAAACTGACACATTGATCGGCATGCGTTTTCCTTTATCCAGTGGAAGTTGACTTTTAGGAACCTTGGAAGGTATTGGGTGGCAAAAATATTAATGTTAGGACAAGGATCGCTACCACGATGTATACTGTTACAGGAAATAACGAAAGCCAAGGAAAGATGAAGCTATAGCACACGGGAAATTTCTTAGCCACGCGGAAATTCTAACCCTTGATTCTCAGCTTCCGCTGTATTGCTTATGACTATGTATCCAAAGCCTCAGTCTACGCAGTGCTCTCCGCGGCCGCAGTAACTTTGTTAGCCTAGAACAATAGGTATCCGTGAACGGCAAAGTATATCACTATGCGGTTTGAAGGTTATCGTCAGTGGTCCCCGCGATCTCATCACTGTCGATCCAACAACACACTGTGCTGTGACATTTTTCGCCCACTGTGCCCCGCGGAATGATTCAATCGATCTTCCTTTATAAGATCTTCACCTATCCGGCAGGCTCTCAGCTAGTGTCCTATCACTAAGATATATATATACCCTTTCCACCGTTTGCTGTCTTCTGTTATATCAACATCCCCACTGTTACAATCACTAGACGATACTATTGTTCTACAGGCACATTGCTTGCCTACTTCACCCTGGCTGCAGTCGTGCACGCAATTGGTATTATGGTAGTGGCTTAACTACCATTGGTTTCCCTTGGCTGCAAAATAGTTTCTAGTAGCCTCTGTACCACCTGCAAGGTTGTAGACTAGGCACTTGACGCCGACGGGCCCATTACATCGCTGTTTCGGACAACAACGACGCAACATGGCATCCTTTGGGTTTAAGGTAACCTTGGAACAGTTTGACACCACGTGAGGTGGTACATGGACCGGCGAGAGCCTATCGGACAGGCTTGCGGCCTAGTCCGGTACAGCAGCGCAGAAAAAGCATGAAGACTTTCAGAGGATAGATGCGAATAGCGGCCATTATATCCAAGTGGACTTGGATTGATGGTGACAATACGAACGGCATTGCGAACGCGGCTCTGGAAGTTGGCGTTGATGGCTACGGTGAGAACTTTAGTAGGTATTAGATACACGTCAACATATGTAATAATGTATAGTTAGGAAAATATGCACGCTCCCCTACCATATATAGAAAAGACAATGACTTAATGGCAGGTAGGCCTTCACCTTCGCATAGCAGCGTAACTCGCTACCCTAGGGTAACTTGCAATAAGAAATCAGCAGGAAGCCTTTGTACTGTAGCAGAGTTCCCATAATAACACCGTGTCAAATAAGCCCAAAACACTAAAGAATAACAGCATAAAGCGGCAGCACGATTAACGATCAGGCTGTGACGAAGAATCAAACGAAGATTTAAGAGACGCAATGGGTATCTCACGTCTGCGTTCAGCTAAGTAAGATCAGTAGCTTCGCATGAGGTAAGCCAGGCCCCTGTGAATGTGGCGCCTCTCGCGTATCTGCGACTGTGAATGCACAGCCTTGGTGCGCAATATGAGTTCACCGGTGGGGGTTGGGAACTGCCACATAAATGATGAGGACAACGACTTACATCACCGGCGATCGAGCAAAATTTTGCTAGCGTTCTGCTATTAATTATAGCGCGTGACTTGCGCAAACCTCTATGAATACCAGCACCTGCTCGGTACAGCAGCCCCGGGAGTACCCCGTTGTGCCTACCCTAGGGTATGGCTGCGGGTCACGTTCTATACCCCCTTATCCTACGATGCAGTATAAGGTTTGCCACCTTAGGTTTGTGCGCCTGTTCAGCGCTTATTATTTAGTGTTTAGGTATAGATCTCCTGTTGTTTGTGTTTGAGTACGATTGCTTACAGCAATCGTACTCTCCATCGTGTATAATAGTGGCCATACGCCCTCATTCGATTGAGTAGCTCATTCAGCCATTTTCAGCCCACTCTGGTTCCATAGACGACGTTTACGATTGGTGTAATCCCAACGCAGGATCCTAACCCTCACGAGACGGGGTTCCACATAGCATGTCCACTCCCGTTGACCTTCAGCTTGATCTCGTTTCGGGCCCGGCCCAGCTACTCTCTACAGCCTTGTCAACCTACCAGATGGCTCGAGGCAGCAGACGAACCGTCAACTGGAGTCTCGTCACCTTCTCTCCGGTATTGCGCTATGTTACTCAACAAAGTAAGAGCATGGCGATTGCGTCTGTTATTGACAAACAGAACTCCTGGTGGAAAGGGAGATGGTGGTGTGGCAGCAGACTTGGGCCATTCTGGAACAATCTAATTGTCAACCAGAATCATAACACTGCCGGAATGAGCCAATCTCTCCTAGCCGTGGCATTGGAGTTAACATCAGTAATGTCGCAAACAGAATCCGCCGAGGTCATGCTGGGCCTTCTGTATCCTGGAAATGCGACGGACAACGCTGTAGTAATTGCAGGATCTCTCGGCTCGCTTCCCTTAACCATTGGAGATGTCATGCCAGCACTCCGGGAATTGGAAAACCAGGGCTCCAACATGTACATGGCAGATGAAAGGGCAAAATTCGAGGAATCTTTTTTCAAAGCGCTTGGACCCGATGTCCCCGGAACGTCCACTCATCTTTTCGGAGTGTACACGCCCGCCGACGTTCAGAGGCACTGGAAGCGGTCAAAGAGTTGCTGGGAAGTGCTGAGGGAAGCGAAGCCGAGATAAGCTGTTCCCAGGGAGCGATCAAATTGGGCGTTTTCGTCCATATGCTATGGAGAATCTCGGTGAAGATCATGGCCGATAAAGACCGCGGGGTTGTTCTAGTTTCTGAAAGCACAAGGACTTCATGCTATACTCTAAGCATTATTGCATCCGCATGGCAGAAGAAGCCGAATCGCTGGACGACCATGGGCACACTTCTGTCAACGAGAGCGGCATACAGTCATTCACGTTCAATCTATTCTGAAACATGCATGGAGGACATCTCCACTATCCTTACTCGGTGGGAGCACCATTGGGGTATTCCGCACGGCGACATGTTGGTTTTCTCGAAATGCCTCTTGAGCCAGCTCGTCGATTGGCGAAGGCGATCGAAGTTCTCCGGACCTCTCTGAATTACGAATTTCAGAATCAACGACTCGGCAGCAGCGAATACAGCAAAGAAGGATGTGGAAAACTTGTTGAGGGATTCGCTGTCAAGGACGTGGTCTCCAACACTGACATTGTTAACGTCTATGTCAGCTGTTTGGGAGAATATGCCATCAGCCATGATGAGATTTGGACGTTGATCCACGATGAAGAGAATATTGACGGTGCACCATACGGGAAGACATTTCATGATCGTATGTACAATTTGACATTGGGGAAGACTTGCCACTGTTACAAGCATATGGGCCGCTGCTTGCGGCCCAATGGGCCCAGCGGTCGCTGTTCTGCAGACGACGGACATTCTCTCTTTAACTTTCTTGAGGGCGCAATGCGCCTCTTGACTCTGGTGGACCTTGAGCACCTAGAATACGCCACCCCTGACGCGAACGATCTCACCCAATCCTTCGAAGTGTTCAGCAAGAGCACTTTGGGGCGAGTGTACCACGGACAAGCGGTTCGCAACGCGGTCGCTCGGCTGCCACGCGGTGACGACCCAACCAAACCCTGGGAAACTCTTACATGGGATTTCCTTTTGCAAGGAATCGCTTGGCTCCTTGGCGGCCGACCCAGTGGGATCATAACCACCTGGGGCAACAGCATTGGCACTGCTAGAGTCTTCATAAACGGAGTGGCGATAGTAGGCTCCTTTTGCTTCAACATGACAATGTTGCCTCGGGACGCTCGCATCCATCTCTCGTTTGGGAAGACCTTCTACGCTGGTTCACAAATGTCGAGGCTCGAATGATATCAGCAAAACCTCGGGGGTGTCCCTCCAGAGGACAAACCCTTTGGGAATGCGTCGGAAGACCTCAGCCAGCTGAAGTGGTGCTGCCTGCGCTTGTCGGGGTGACTGATGCTTCGTCGACGCAAATGGTCAGTCTCAGGGAGGAGATTGCAACACTTGCATTGCGGATATGCTGGAAGGAAACCGGGACTGGGCCGCTGACAGGAACACTAGTCAGCCCTTCAAACTACATAAGAGAACTTGGCTGGCATGTGTTTTCGACGCATTGTCATCACAGTGTTAGCACGCCGGCAGGTGAAGGTACGATCAGGGTCGCAAGGGCTGGAGTATTCCCTATACAAGCCAGTTTCGACGCACAAGGGAATCCACTATGGCCTCCAGAGTATGTTCCAAACCCTGATTTGCCGTCTCCACAGGGCTTCAAAGGGTGCGTTGTGCTCAGTAAAGGGTGTCTGGAGCTTCAGATTGCATTTATTACCCAGGCTGGAGCGGGGAAGAGCGTGGTGCTGCAAAAAGACTGCTGCTTTAATTGTGCATGCCAGCTGGCTATGGAGGTCGATGCGAAGTATATCATGTGTTGCTAGGCTTCGGACCCTTATGCACCGGGTGTCAGCACCGTCGGCTTCTCGCCGGACAGGCCAGAATTTTGAATGTATCGAGATGATATTCTGTTGCGTTCCCCTAGTAAGCTACTGCCCTTATTGTAAGGAACACATGCGTCTTGTATCTTCATACAAGACTAGTGCGTCTCCAATATTCGAAAGCCTTGTGCCTAGGTGGAGAATCTTCCTGGCTCCGTTTGAAAGATGAATATTATTGTTAATGGAACACTCTTCAATACAAAGGTCACTTTCCAGTGCCACTATTGTGGACAGAATTGGTGAGTGTCTCACTCTCTTGTCGTTCTCATCTAACATAATATTAGTCAAACTTCATTCGGCACATGCGCAACAACCAACGTAGCTTCCAGCACAGGCGAGTGCGGTGCTAATAATAGAAAGTTTACATGCACGGGGGGGTCCTTTTGATCGCAGTTGCTGCAATGCATCTGGATACTAGTAAGTCGAGCAGATTCTGTCCATGTGAATAAGTTAGAAGCTAATGAGTCTGGCTTAGTACCACGACATGCGACCGTTGTAGAACAGGATAGTAAGTCTTGGGTATTTTTCTTTGCCATTGGTGCCAGCAGAATCAGTCAAACTGGCTACGGGAAGTGCACGTGAAGCCGAAAAAGAAATGTGGCAATATCGTCATTGTATTGCTATCTAGCCGCCGGCGATGGTGGAAAGGTGAAATAATTAGGGTCGTCCGTAGATATGTCCCAAATGTTGGAGGGATCCAGAACGAGGATTATGAAACGCCCTGAATCTCCCGGACTTCGTCGAGAGGGTTCAGGAGACCAAAATCCGGGCGGAACATGAAATCAACGCGATCGATGAACTTCACTCGAAACCGGTGTTTGAGCTCTACTGAAAGCACTGTGTCCCATGGACAGAGAAACAGTTCATAATCCATACCCGTGTCTACAGCTCGCTGGACCCAGGTATTGCTGTGTGGTTCTACGACAGTCGAGGCCATGTCTTTGGCTTCTGCCCAATGATTGATAATCCTGATAATCTTGAGTGGTTCACTCCAGCGGGATTTCTTGAGCGTAGGGCGATAGATAGTCTTAGGAAGTCTTCCCGATGGCCATAAAGTATCGTTGAACAGGGCCTTTACATAACCTTCTGTATCGGGGGTCTCCCCCTTTCCACGTTCATATGACCAGTAAGTCACTTTCCAGAGCTGAAGAAGCGCCAGTACTTTTCGTTCTTTGTCGGTGAAGAGCCTTTGAGGGATAACCTGGGGTGGATGAACAGGTAAGCTAGGGTCCAAGTTACTGGGTTCTGGCTGCGAATAGAGCCAGTCAAAAAAGCCCTTAAAAAGAAGGCGTTCAGAGTATTCCCAGGAGAAGTCATCATTGCCGAAATTATTGTAAGCTTGGCGATACAGCGGGTATTGTCTCGTTTCCTCCTGAAAATCTTCCCAGATATCTGGAGAGTGTTCGCCTTCTTGCGGGGGCATCTTCTCCAACGCATTGATAACAGGCTGGGCGAATAAGCCCTGGCCGAAGACAGATCCAAAGGCGCACATGCGGTAGAAACTTCGCAAGTACGTCTCGATATACTGAGGTGCAAATTCTGTCATGCATTCGTGTATGGTGATACCACACTGGATCCCAGGCATGCCATGAATGATGTGGTTGATGCCGTTTTCAGCGGTGGCATGAAACGCGAGCGCAAGCAAATACAGGTCCATCACCGCTTCCAATTCCTCATACCATGGCGCTGAGGGAGGCAAAGGGCAGCTGTGGATATCGCAGGGAGGGACAGGGCGGCCCTCCATCACGGCCTGGAAGTAGTCTTGGGTAGGGATGAACGAGTACCGATTCTGTGAGAGGCTGAAATGGCAGCGAGAATCGATGGGAATACGCTGGAGCCGAATGGCAAGGAGCGCATCGTCGAAAGCAGGGAAATAGGCGCGACATAATCGAAGCCTCACATTTGTGCAGGATTCCACGATGTCGCGATAGCGTCTGGCTACGGCTCTGAACGCCAGCAGCTCACGGGGAGAATCGAAGTGGTCGCAGATGTTTGCTATCAATTCTGTTGGTAGCTCGTCCATGTTGCGTTGGATCCAAGGCGTGTTTTTCGAACGAGGAGTTTGTGAAAATGCGACGCTATAGAGATGTAGATTTGGACCAAGGTTGAAGGGAGAATGGAGCTCGAAGAGAGACGCGGCGACATGGGAAACAATGCCACAAGGAGCGCGGGTGAAAGGGGCACGCGAAGGCTCACCGGCTGGAGTACTGGAGTCTGACATTTCAATACCGCTCGCCACAACGGTCTTGGAAAACGATTTGGACAATCCCTAAACGGTGCGCTGCCTCCCTACCACCATACAAAGTAGCAGACACGCCCGGAAGACATTAGCTGGTACATTTCTCGTTCAACGATGCAATGAACAAGCGTAGAGGTTGGCGTCTTCATTTCCGAATCTAGATAACGGAATTTTATTAAACTCTCATGATCGTAGCGAATAGGGGACATGCGTTGATAGATGTCTTCAGTTTAAGGATATCTTGACGCCTCTAATTTTTAAGTATATAAGTTTCAAATTTTTCAAATTTTCACAGCTCACTACAAGGCAGCGGAGGTGTACCAGCATCAGTGGTCCAGCGGTAGGATATTTGCCTTCCATCGGTGTATATGCACTGGGCGAGCAAATGGCTCGGGTTCGACTCCCGGCTGATGCATTCTTTTATTCTTTTGCTGCTCCGTTGGCCTCGGAGAGTCTTTTTTAACCCTGCATGCACGAGAGGAAACCGTTCCGCCCGGGCGTCCAAAGAAGCCAAAGAAGTGTGCTAACCACATTTAGTACGCCTTAGCGGCGCCAAGTCTTGCTCGTGCACGTCCCTATCGAACTTTTTTGTCGGACGTTGTAAAATCACGAACCCGGGCCAATTCCCCGTCAGACCGCAGATTCCCGTCGTTATGGCTCCGAAAACCGACGACGATTTCGTTTTCACGATTTCAGACCACGATGATGTCTCGGACGATGGCGGATTGGACGATCTCGCGTCCGAATCGGTCAAGCTAGCTGGACGCGGGAAGAAGAGAAAGCACACGGAAGATCCGGACGCGAACACGAGGGCGAAAGAGGGCCCACAGAAGAAAGCGAAGAAGAACAAGAAGGGGAAGAAGGGGAAGCAGCAAGAGCCGGAGCCGGAGGATGAAGAAGAAGCCGGGGAATTTGAGGCCGGAGAAGATGTCGTGGATAATGACGATATAGCGTCGGATTTCGAGTTTCAGGCCGGGGATGTGGATACCGGGTTCGTGGAGGATTTTGATGGGTGGGGAAGTGAGAAGACGGTGCCTGGCCAGCCGAAGGAGAGGACGAGCACGGCGGTGGATGTGGACGAGATCATTGAGAGGCGGCGGAATAAGCAGAAGGAGAAGGAAGGCTCAAAGGCTAAGGAGGGGGGTGACGATGAAGAGGAGGCAGAGGATGTGGAATTTGAGGGCTTTGGTGATGATGACGAGCTTCTCGCGGAGGATGGGTTCGGCATGGGGGCAGAGAGCGAGTCCGAAGAGGGGGACGAGCATGAAGAGGAAGGGTCGGAGGGAGCCAGCGATGATGAAGACGCGGGGACCAAGGAAGATAAGGAAGAGGAAGACTCTGATGACGAAGTGGCTGCCCATGTGCCTCATCCAATGGATCTAGAAGCATCCGCATCAGAGGATGAAGATGAGAAGGAGGATGCAGCAGAAGCAAAGAAAGCTGCTGCATTTTTTGCTCCTGAGGAGAGCGTTCCTATCAAGAAAAAGAAGGGTGCTAAGTCGACTGGATCCTTCCAAGCTATGTCGCTGTCCAGACCCATCCTACGTGGTCTGGCTTCAGTCGGATTCACCGAGCCCACGCCCATCCAGCAGAAGACCATTCCCATTGCCATGTCTGGAAAGGATGTTGTTGGTGGAGCTGTGACTGGTTCCGGTAAAACCGCTGCCTTCCTCATTCCCATTCTCGAGCGTCTTCTCTACCGGCCGAAAAAGATCCCTACAACTCGTGTCGCCATCTTCATGCCTACGCGTGAGTTGGCTGTCCAATGTTTCAACGTTGGGAAGAAGTTGGCTGCCTTCACCGACATTACATTCGCCTTGATGGCAGGTGGTTTCTCCAGTCGTGAGCAAGAAGCGGTTTTGAAGACCCGCCCAGATGTCGTAATCGCGACTCCGGGTCGTTTTATCGATCATATGCACAACACTGCAGCCTTCCAAGTTGAGAATATTGAGATTCTCGTGCTTGACGAAGCCGATCGTATGCTCGAGGAGGGTTTCGAAAGCCAGCTGAACGAGATCTTGACTACGATCCCGAAATCCCGCCAAACCATGCTGTTTTCCGCGACTATGACCAGCTCTGTTGACAACTTGATCCGCGTCGGCATGGACAAACCCGTCCGCCTACTGGTCGACGCCAAGAAGCAAACCGTTGCAGGGCTCGTACAGGAGTTCGTCAGACTGAGGTCCGGAAAGGAAGACAGACGTCTAGCTTACCTGATGTACCTCTGCACAGAAGTATACACCGAACGAGTCATTATTTTCTTTCGGCAGAAGAAGGAGGCCCACAGGGTGAGGATTGTGTTCGCACTCTGCGGACTCAAGGCTGGCGAGCTTCACGGAAACTTAACTCAGGAACAGGTAAGTTCTACCTCTCCGTATTTCTCACTATGTAAATGGTACTGACAGGACACAGCGAATCCAAAGCGTCGACGCGTTCCGCGATGGCAAGACATCTTACCTGTTAGCGACCGACGTCGCGTCTCGTGGTTTGGATATCAAGAACGTGTCAACTGTCATCAACTACGAGGCTCCGCAGACACACGAGATCTACCTACATCGTGTGGGTCGTACCGCCCGTGCTGGCCGCACCGGCCGCGCATGCACTATCGCCGCGGAGCCAGATCGCAAAGTGGTCAAGCAAGCCGTCAAGGCCTCCCGCGCCCAGGGCGCAAAGGTCGTCAGCCGGCAGATTCCGAGCGAGGGGGTCGACAAGTGGGTCAAGAAAATCCGCGAGTTGGAGAATGAGATTGAGGAGGTTTTGAAAGAGGAGAAGGAGGAACGCGCGCTTAGCATCACTGAGCGGGATCTTAGGCGAGGTGAAAATCTGATCAAACATGAGGACGAGATCAAATCGCGGCCGAGAAAGACGTGGTTCGAGTCGGAGAAGGAGAAGAGGATTTCGAAGGAAAAGGGTGCGGCTGCGCTTAACGGCCCTCTTGAGGGAAAGAAAGAAAAGAAGAAGCCCAGTGGAAAGGACAGGAAGAAAATGGAGCTGAATGATGCTCGGACTGAGGGCAAGGTATGGAAGAAGGGGAAGGATCAACGTGGTAAGAAGCTTGAGAAGAGCAAGGATAAGAACAAAGCAAAGAAGGCTGGTAAAGCACAAGCGAAGGGTAGAAGATAAGTAGGAGCACAGGCATACTCATCTGAACCATGTCCCATTGTATACAAATCTGCGTTGGACCTCCCCTCCCCTGACGTGCGGGTCTTGTTCTTCTCTTCTCCGATGTGCCAAGCCCCGCACTCAAATTTCCTTATCGGGTCTAGTCTAGGGCTGCCCCGGTGGCCCATCCGGAACCCGCGGACCAAACTTTCCACCTGCTCACCAACGCAGCTCTGACATTACACAGTACACTCCTTTACACCTTCTACCCACTCAAGCATCTGCTGCGCCGCCGGTGACCGCTCCAACTGACCTCTTCTTCATATACAACCCTCAGACTCGCCGATACAAACTTCAACAATGACCGAGACTGCGCCCTTGCCTAACGGTAATGGGAGCATCAACAGGCCGATTCGAAGAGAGGTGGATGAGGAGGAAGAAGAGAACATCTTTCTGTTTTACCCCAATCTGATTGGTATGGAAACCATGTCCCAATCGAACTTCCCCCAGCTTATCGATCCACCTCCGCAGGCTACTCGCGCGTTATCCTCGCCGTCGCATCCCTCTACTACATGCCCCTCCACCCGCGCACCTGCTCCCTCCTCTACTCGATATCCTGCCTGCTAGATGCGCTCGACGGGTTCGCCGCACGGCGATTCGAGCAGTCGACCAAGTTTGGTGCCGTCTTGGACATGGTGACGGATCGGTGCACGACAGCATGCTTGCTCGTATTCCTGGCTTCGGCCTTCCCCCGGTGGAGCATCGTTTTCCAAGGCTTGATCAGCCTGGATCTGGCGAGCCACTACATGCACATGTACGCGACGTTGAGTATGGGCGGGAGCGGACAGAGCCATAAGAAGGTCGACGAGAGCCGGAGCTGGGTGCTGAAGATGTACTACTCCAATAATGTAAGCCAGCCCTGGCTACCTACCTTTTTGACTTTTCGAACCAGCATCCGCTGACGCAGTTTCTCACAAACAGAAAGTCCTCTTCACCTTCTGCGCCCTCAACGAGCTCTTCTTCATCGCCCTGTACCTCCTCTCCTTCTCCTCGCCTTATCTCTCCCCCACCCTCCTCAAAGATAGCCAAGAGCCCTCCTCGCTCCAACCGGGATCCCCCGCCGCCCCCAAACCATCGCTTCTCTTCACAAGCCCCTGGTCCGCCGGAGCTATGGAAATGGCACGGTAAGCTGCCCCCCCTCCCCTGCTTCGTATTGGCCGCATGCGTATACGTATCCCGGAATACTAACTCATTACCGCCCAGAGCAAACAAGATGGACTCGACCGTCCCCTGGATCCTCGCCGTCATCTCCTTCCCCGTCATGTTCGGTAAACAAATCATCAACGTCGTCCAGCTCGTCAAGGCCAGCAAGTGGCTCGCCGAGGGCGACAGGCTCGAGAGGCGGAAGCAGGGTCTCCCAAGGAAACGGGCCAGCCAATCGAAGAAGAAGCTATAATGGCACGGAGCTCCGTTACTTCGTTTCTAGGAGGCTGGTCTTTTGTCTGAAGGGGAAGAATGAGAACACTGAGTTGTGGGATTTTGCATTAAGAGGGTTACGTCTTCTCGGTTGCGTCAGTGGCAGTAGCCGTAGTGGTATCAACCATTGGTGACGCAGCACGTTAGGAGGTTATCTCAGGTTAAGTGGGACGGCGTTTACTTGGGTCGGGGGTCGGTGCATGTGTGGGTTCGCTTCAGCGCTGTGGACATTCTCGCGCTCGAGAGTCAGGGGTCACTCAATGGGGGTTCAAGAAGTGCCATGCACTCGGTGAGCACATTGAGCCGGAGCCAACGCGCTCGTGAGGTTGATTCTCGATTTGACTTCTCTTCTGTTCTCTTCAGGTTTCATCGCCTGTGGTTTATCGTGTATTTTCGTTCTGTTCCTTTCACTTCTTCATCTACTCTTTTACATTCACTTTCGCTTTCCCGTTCGGCATATATAGGACATGGCGTTACTTCCTTCTGGCAACGGACTCATCACATCCCATACGACACAGGCCATTGTACACGAGTAGCACCTGGGCAACACAGAAGCGCATATTGCTCTAATCATAATCATTACAAAATCATAAGTACAACAGCATGGTCCTTGCTGCCAATCACTCGATGGCAACCCTGGCTCACCTGAAAACCTCATTAACAACTTTGAAAAGCGCCATACGTCCTTCCCATCAAGAACCGCTGGATTTCACGCACCCAATGCCAAAAGCCCCGAACCGAACCGAACCGAGAACCCAACGCAACAACTGCGAATGAGTTCAGAACTCAATGCCCTTTCGTAACCGTCGTAGTAGTCGTAACAGCCGCCTGCGTTGGCTGCATCTTCGACTTGGTGAGAACCATCATCGGAACCACCGGCAAGTGCCACGGCGGTCTAGCAACCACCGTCGTAGTATGCGGCACTACAACGGTCCTCTCAACCTCCGCCGTCTGCGTAACCGTGGCGAATTGCACAGTGACTACTGTCTCGGTCGAGTTCTGGTATTTGGTATGTGTCGCCGTGAGATTCTGGTAGACAGTCGAAGGTTGCAGCACCGTCTTCTCAGTGGTTTGATTCAGGTAACTTGTCACCGTCTCTGTGGGCGCGTGAACCAGGCGAGAGGCAGATGGGTTCCAGAAGTGATGGAAGAAGTTGGGAACCGGGATGGCAGGGAAGGTCGCTGCTTTTCGAAGTGTTGTTTCCGTCAGGTTTCTCTTGAACAGATTTGGATGTGGGTTTAGGATGTGGTCCGTGGGCTTGACGGTGCGGGTGCTGCTGGTAGGCGAAAAGACGGTTGAAGTGTTAACGGCGCTGCTCATGAAAGAAGGTTGAGGGTGCACGCTGTTGGGGGGCTTGAGTGTCGTTGTGATCCTGGCTGTCGGGGTGCTGCTTTTGCTGAGTGTGGAACTGGTCCTGCCGGTTGGCGTGACGAATTTGACGTTACTGGCGACGCTGGAGACCTTGGCTGGAGGTGTGACTCTTGGGATACTGCTGGTGTTCAGGCTGGTTGTGCTGCCGATGAAGCCAGTGCTCGAGATGATTTTGGACGCGAGAGGCAGGTGAAATGGGTTGAGATCATGTCGGCCAACCTTGTTGTACCCTGCCGCGAGTCAGATTAGAACCAGCAGACAGCAGAAGTTAACGTCCAACACTCACCATTGGAGCCTCTCACCCGCACCACGAAAGGCTGCCCACTAGCATCGGCCGGCCCAATCGCAACGTCAGTGGCCATCGCGGAAGAGTTCGTTATAAGGCTTCCGTAGAGGGCACAGTTGTAGACTGCCGTAGCAGGAGGGTTTGGACACTGCGGGCCGGGGACTTTGCTTGGACCGCGAGACACGTAGATATTGAAGGCAACGCAGCCATGGCGGTTGTCGCAGAGCCGAGCACAGATTTCGGGACTGTACTCATTGAGCTGCGGCTTGTGAGCTCTGAGAGCAAAATGCGTCTTCCGGCAGTGGACACATACCATTGTATGACCCCGACAGTGGGGCGACAAGACAACAGCACTGAAGTCCTTGAAAGCTGGGACATAGCCCTTCGGTGTGGGAGCTGATTTGGAGATGTTGGAGTACATCCCGTATTTGAGGAAGGCCTGCCATGTGTCTTCGTCGGGAAGTGGAGCGGCACCTTTCTGTAAGACGTCGCACTCACGGTCACCGGGACCACCGGACAGTGAGCTTGCCCACTTGGGACTAAGCAAATGTCAGTGAGGCGTCATCAGTGAATTGGAGTGATCTTACATTGCTCCAACGACAGGGGAAGATGGAGCGGCAGTGGCTATGATGGCCAGTGACGCCGTGAGCAGGGTCTGCTTCATGTTGGATGTGGCAACTGGAGCTGTCGTCGGTCGACAAGTTGATGCTAAGAGATATTTGGTAAGAATGAGCGCAAGGACACCGAAACGCCGAAGATATGCGAGCTGCTTGTGCTGCAGGCCGGGTGCTGGTGATGTGATACAAGTGGAAAGCAGAAAGTGGGAAATGAAGAGATGCGTTGAACTACGGGGAGTGGGCTCGTTATATAGGTAATGGGAGTAACTGACTAGCTACTGCCCGCGTTGGGAGTAAACAACCCCCAGGTGCGTGATGGCAGCTGTGGCCATGCACAGTGCTCTTGCAACAGGAGGAGTGGGAAACCACGGCACAGCCCGGAAAGGAACTCTCTGGGTCAGGAAGCCATTGTCAGGTTTATCAGAATCTGGAAATGACGTATTGACAGCCCATTCAGGACGAAAGCGCCTATGGCGAGCAAGATCTCGGGAATGGTCCCGTCGTCGTCAACGGTGAGAGATTTGGATGGAACTGTGGAACTTCCTACCTATCGTACTACTTACAATGTCGAAACATGGATTGCAGGCATGCATAGAGGTAATGAGAAATTGTCGACATACCGCCCTTGGATTCGACGGTTGCTCAATCGAGCATATATTCGCAAGCGTTTGTTCCTTTCCATTATTGACTCTGCCGATAACCATCCACCACGCAGCCTAGAGAAAGGAAGTGGCTGGATGTTTGACGCATGTAAGAGCGATCTGCAGCATGCAAGCCATGCGCGATCGGAAACCCAATTACTCTCCCAGATCTCAAAATCCCTCGCCTCAATGATGCATACAATCCCTGAAAGGTCATCCAGCTCTTCGGGTTCTCGCCTCCATAACACGAAGAGAGTTAGCCCTGTGTAATACATATCCCTTGGACGCGCTTCAAAAGTCTGCTGCCTTTGCCGCCTTATTTCAAGGACCCCCTAGCTCCTCCCATTTTCTCTTCTCAATTCCCATCTCCATTCCCATCATGAACCGCCCTTCACTAGTGAGCTCGTTCTTCCGAGTGAACGAATGTTTTCGGTTGTCCTTATATCACCCCGCGACCCTAACGGCTCTGCGTAATCCATTCCGCCAATACCATGTGTCTCCGCACAACTACATTCGGAGCTGTCAGATCGGCTGCGTGCGCAACAACATAGCACACGTCCACCGCACCCCAACAAGACTCACTCGCCTTCTTCCCAGCAGCGCCCGCCATTTGAACCAACGCACGACCAGTGGTCACAACAGCAAACCAAATCGAGCAATAATCCTCCCCGTTCACCCTTCGGAAGAACCTCCCTCGCCGGTTATCGATCGCCCTGTACCAAACAAATCAAGAGGCGGGTGGGGCTGGTTGCAATTCTTCTTGTTCTGCTCCATCGTTGTAACAGTTCAAGCAGCACTTCAGTTGAAAACTGTGCAAGCTGAGCAGGTCGCTGAATTAGCTGCGTATGCTGCTGCGTATGCTGAGTCCACGACAGAGGTTGCCTTGAAAATTCGAGAAAGGCATAGATTGTTGCGCGTCGTGGCATGGTGGAAATGTTACGATTGCGGCACGATGAACAAGTTCGAACCTTGTCCGTGTCCGGAATGCGCCCGTAATTTAAAGCGAGATCATTACGGATGTACGCAGTGTGGAGGCGATCGCCCGGTCATCCATGAGGGTTATCATGACCATGAATCCAACGACCGGACTCAAGCAGATGAGGAGTGAATGGGCTCAATGCGAATTTCATACAGGACGTGTCCCCGTTATGGAGGTATGATGCTTATGGCGGACAAGGAATCGTCCATTCAAGCACTGCGATGCAATCAATATAAAGCCACTGCCGTCACGTCAAACTAAAATTCCAATTTAACAAATGACTATTTTCAATTGAATTATTTGCCCGGATGGTGTTGCCTTGGATCATTCATCCTCGACGCATCCACAATCAAACGATCTGTCCATAGAAGCTGAACTTGCCCTTCGGGTCATACTTCTGCTTCAGAGCCCTCAGTCGGTCCTGGCGCCAAGTCTCGTAACCATACCAGCTCTTCGGGCCCTCATTACCATAAGCATAATTGACATACGCATGGAGTTCCGGGCTGCCAGTGCCCTCCCTGAGGATCTCGCGAAGCTGATTGCCGAGTTGCTTCACAGCAGCATCGCGCTCAGGACCCTCGCCAGCGTAGATGATGAGCGGGGCGGAAAGGATGAGATCCTGACGGAAGCCGAAGGCGGTGGCCTTGGTGTCAATGGAGCGAACGCCCTTGGTGCCGTAGTCCTCGAACATGAAGATGGAATTGTAGTAGGGATTGGATGCACCGGAGACGGCCGTCTTGTAAAGCTCGTATGCTTTCTTCTGGGCCGTGACGTTGTAGCTCTTGGTGTAGATGGGGAAGCGAGGGTTGTTGAAGCCGAAGTCCTGGCAAGGAGGGGAGTCGAGAGCAATGCCAGTCCAGGCAGCGAGATCCCTATAGGTGCCGGACTTGGGACTAACGGCGAGAGGACCAATGTCGTGGAACGGCTTGGTGTACTTGGGATCAACAGTGTTTACACCCTCTTGGAGGATGTACATGACGATGACGGGCTAGATTGCGTATGTCAGTGCATGCCAGTGCATGTTTGTTGAGAGGTCTACGGTCATACCTTCTCAGGATCGAGAGAAGCATCGTTGAGCCAGTACGACCAGTTAATGATATCCGCGCTCTGATTGCCACCCTGAAGAATGTACTTGTTGGCAGCAGCGTAGACGGCTTCAACCTTGTCACCGCTGAAGACGATGGTCTCGATCGCCCAGTTCGGGCGCACCAGCGGGTAGATCTTCGCAGTGACGGAGGTAACAATGCCGAAGTTGTGCCCTGCGCCTCCCATCGCCCACCACAGGTCGGATTGGGGGGTAATAGTTTTCAAGGTGCCATCCGCCAGGACGACGTTCATGGACACCCACTGGTCGGAGATCAGGCCATGATAGCCTTGAAGCCAGCCGTGACCACCTCCGAGAGCAGGACCGAGATAGCTGACGCATTCGCAGGTTCCAGTGACTGGACGTTTGTTATGTGACTGTTCACCAGGTGCACAAAGTGAAGGTACGCTTACCGGTCTGTTTACCAGCTGCCCAGAGAGCATCCACTAGCTTCTTGGAGTTTGTCCCTCCACCAACAGTGACCGTCTTTCCGTCCTTCGCAATGGAGATTGAGTTCAGCAGGGGAAGGTAGATTTCAATGCCGGAGTCCATTCTACCGAGCGTAGTGATGGCTCCATGGTGGCCGTTGTATCCGAGGATAGGGATATCCTTCGTCCATGCGAACTTGACCTACTCCATTGTCAGCGACTTCATCTGAAGCGTAGACATTGAGCTTGTCGCGATTGTTTTGGATTAGGAAACAATGATGAGCTCTTACAATCTCAGAAACATCCCTCTCCGTCGCGGGAACAATGACAATGTTAGGATTAGGAGTCTCCAGATTCGACCAACGCACGGTCAAATTGGTGAACTCAGGAGTGCCAGGAAGATAAATCTGAGCATTTGCTGAGAGCTTGGGCCTCAGGGTTGAGAGGTCATAATTTTGCCGGGGGAAGATGTTGTAAAGATCGGTAGGATTCCCAGAAACAACCGGGAGCACTGATGCTACCGCCCAAGCGGTCGCTGCAAACAAACGCGAAATCATACTTGTACCGGCAGGAAAAGAGTGACAAACGAGTGACAACCTGCAGAAACGAGGTGACAGTCCCACAGTCCGATCATTATAATAAATAAATGAAATAACACTGCAAGGGGCTCCTAAACCCCGCCATCGCTTCCAGTGGCAAGGTACTGGCATGGCTCCACACGTGCCGATGGTGCATGGGAACCAAGGGGAAGGCTTTGCGCTTATCCTGAATGCGGAACATTATTTCCTCGCTTGCATGTTTCTCGTCAGTGGGACGGACGTTACGGCAAAAGGATTGATCGCATGGTGCCTTGGCTTCTCGTGGGAAAGTTACGATCCGTAGTCGCCAACTACCTTTGTACTGTATCTTAACATATTCTGGGTAACTTCGGTGCTTTCTATCACTGTTGAACACACCAGCAATGGTTCTGGCAGTGCTTCTCCGCAGTGTTTCTTCCCGAGGTACACGAGCAGGCACAGGGGCGCTGCCGAAAATCCAGGCGGCTTCTGCATCGATGCAGGCACTGACTCGAGAAATCTTGGTTGTTGTCCGGAGTATGGAATCTTTTTCTTAGAGGACTCTGAGCACTTTGAGTGACTGCCCTAATGGGTATTTCCCTAGGTACTTCATACTACAATAATATAGGATGATCTAAGCATCCGGAGTTATCTCTCCTTCGTGGACAACTTCGCTTGCGTCTCGGAAGCATCGCACGTATTCTGCGCAAAAAAGTTTCCAAATACTTGAGGGACTTCACGCCCTGGAAGCCAAGAGGTCAAGTCCTGTGCTAGCGTGTATAAGGTATTCTCCGTATTAATGCGAAGGTTAGTGCTTACACTTATTCCACTAGTCCCCGTTCCCGGCACATCAGTGGCTCCCGTAGACGGACGGGTCGCCGTAATAGTCGCTAGAGGTGGATCCCCATGGGCAGTCGACTGGCATTGCAACCTCGTCTTGCTTTTTCTTCAATAATTGGATCGGAGTTGAACCCCCAAAGCTGAATGCATCCTTGCCTACCTAATTGGCCCGTCTGGGGTGCTGGGCTATCTGCCCGCGCGGGGCAAGATCTCCCATTACCGGAGAAATTCCCGCGCTGTTCGACGGGGTAGTGAACTTTGTCTGCCATTGTTACGAAGATTTGCTAAAGTATCCGCAGAAGACGGACAAGTGAAGACGACACTTATCGATCGCTGGTCGATCTTTGGATGTCATCCATTTTAGCCGGCAAGCCTGCACGATGTGCGGTCCGCAGGACGAACCGCTTTCCCAAGGGTTGCTCAGCGGTCCAGCAGTGACCTCCTTTCCTAAAAGCAAAATGTGACGAATCTACCGGGATATCTTGTAATTGAGCATCATGCACCGTTCCCCTAATTGGTCAGGGCCGTCCTGAAACGCTTCCGGTTTTTTCTCCGATGATGGTCCTTGCGGCTTTGGGCTGCAGCTGGCAGTTGCATCAAACTGGGAAAAGCTGTCTCGTACCTACATATAGTTTGATGATCGACTTTTGTCTCACACTTGATGCGTGTGTTGCCAGTTCGATTCTATCTCACTAACGGACCAACGGCTCCACCTGCACGCTAACCTCCACACAATGGCGCACAACCCGATAGTGGAGCTGTGGACGCTTTACGCCGTCGCAGTGTGCTTCACCATTCTCAGAACATACGCTCGAATCAAAGCTGTGGGGTTTCGAGAACTTCACCCCGATGACTACCTGATTTGGTTCGCGATTGTTCGTACTCCCTCGTCTCCCCGCCAAACATCGTCAGTGACGCTGACTCTGCTATTTGAGTAGCTTATTTACACAACACAATGCACACTGGGATACAATGTTGGCGCAGCGGCGCATGGTCTTGCAAATAATGGCATGACTGATGCAGAGCGGAGTGCGCTCTCGCCTGATAGTCCCGAGTACCAATGGAGGTGAGGTTTTCCGAAGGATGCCATGGGCGCAAAGTCGGATGCCCAATTTGGGCAGCGCAGTTGACGGTGGTAGGATTATCGGTTCTAAGATCCAAGTCGCAGGCTGGACCACGGCGGCATTTCTACTCTGGACTCTTAAAATTTGCATGACCTTCTTCTACCTCCGACTCACCGTAAGTACTTTCCAAGCAACCTCTGTTACGGAAGGCAGGACTGACCCGGCTCGTAGAAAGGACTAGGTAGTCGCTACCTCATGCGTATCTACGTGGGGATGGGCCTCATCGCAGGGACATTCATCGCCGTCATCTTTACGATCTTTCTCTCGTGCAGGCCGTTCAGTCGTTACTGGCAAATAAATCCAGATCCCGGAAACGCTTGTCAAGCTGCCATCTCGAAGCCGATTCTATGGGTCAAATTTATACTGAATGTCTCGACGGATATCTACCTGCTGCTGATTCCCATACCAATGCTATGGCGGTCAAGTCTGAGACTCCTCAAGAAGATTGCTACAACGATGGTCTTAAGTGCTGGTGTGGCCATCATTGTCTTCGCGACCTTGAAGAGTATTTATGTCATTGTGGTAAGTCCCTCAAGAACTAGTGTTGAGCTGGCAATCTGATGCTGCACACAGGACCCCATTCATGGCGGACAGGTAGCCGCCTCATGGGGTACGCGAGAGACATTTGCCGCCGTCATCACAACCAATCTACCCATGATCTTCCCGCTACTCAAATCATGGATCATGCCTCTGCTTCCCAGCCATATACGCTCTAGCTCCAACCAGAAGAACTATAAGACGCCGGATGGATTCGTAACCATTGGCGGAGGGGGTGGCTCTCGTAGCCGACAGGGACCTCACAGTGCGCATCATATCACCGCGAACATGACATTCGACAACGAGAGCGAAGAACGAATTATCAAAGGAGATGGCGTAATTAAGCTACAAGATGTCCATGCGAATGCCATTGTGGTTTCGAACGAAGTTAGAGTCACGGCTGAAGATCGCAGTAGCGAACGTACGACCACGACATTTTAACGACACGTTTTTGAATATTCTTGACGATAATAATAAACCGGGCGGCGCCTTCCTAATAGATTTGCTTACGAGCATGCTGTTCATTGCGAGAAACGCGTAGCTGTTTTTCACCAGGGTCCGTTGTCTTGCTCATTTTCACCACATTGTTCACATGGTTCCTATTGTGGCCACAATAGAGCGCACGCGCCTTTCACAGCGGCCCGTCTTTGTTCATATATATTCTTGCACAATCTCTTTGTTTACTTGTTCGCTTTCCAACCCGTCTTTCCCCCCACTGCCTCCGAAACAACCTCGCAAGTAAACTTGCCTCGACTTTTATCCAAGTCAGTTTTGTCAACATTCAAAGAAGCGATCTGATATACCTCGACCATCATGGCACCACCACAGCCACCAGCTCTCAGCACCGAGTCACTCAACCGCAAGCGGAAGCGACTCGAAGAAGACCTCGAGCTGCAGAGCCCAATCGCGAGGATCCTCCACGGAGGTGCCAATGGAGCAGCGAAGCGTCCCAAGATCACTACACGAACGGTCCTGGTATCCAAGAAGCTATCGCAGGCGAACCCAAACCTCGTCACGGGTTCTAGCGCTACGAAGAAGGCAGACGATGGTGGCAAGTCCGAGGAGAAGCTTAAAGCTGCGGTCGAGTCTGCAGACGAGAGCAAGATGGTTGGGAAAGAGAACGTCCCTGAGGACTCCGGCAATGTTGAATCAGTGAAGGCGTCGAAGGAGGTTGGACATGAGCTGAACCCAAGTGTGGTCAAGGTATCTAGCGCTACGAAGAAGGTCGATAATAGTACCAAGTCCGAGGAGAACCCTAAGGCCGCGGTCGAGTCTGCCAATGGAAGCAAAAAGAATGGGAAAGAGAACCTGCCTGAGGGCTCCGGCAATAGTGAGTCAGTGAAGGCGTCGAAGGGGGTGGTGGGACAGCCTGAGAAATTGCAGCGTACTTCGCCAACTACAAAGGCTACAATCAACGAGGAGCCGTCAAAGAAAGGGTAGGCTAATTTACCTACACTGCACTACTGGAGATATAAGCTAACTTCAACAGGGACTTCGAGTCCAAGGCCTCAGGGAAGGTAGAGAGAATGGGCACTGCTGCCGCAAACAAAGTCCGCAAAGCACAACGCGGCGGGGCCAAGAAAGTGCAGGAACCCAAGGTCAAAAAGGAACCACTTCGACCTCGCGATGCTCATGCACAACTTGAGAGGGAGATGAAAGCGATCTATAAGAAGGTCAAAAACGTGGTCACAGAACTTCAGACAAGCGGAGAGAAGACGCTATCTAGCAATCCGAAGGACAGATTCCGAAACATGACGGAGGCAAAGAGGAGGGCCGAGGCGTTCTTGAAGCACATTGAAGCGTTCAATATGGTGGAGAGTGACGAAGAGTGAGCGCTGGATATCACTGCGGTAATTAATCTGGGGAATTGGGTACTGTAGGGGGGTCCTTTGATAACTGCACTTTCAATTTTGGACAGTTTGTATGCATCACTGCTGAACATTCCCCATCGTGTTCGCCGGGGTGACTGAACTGGATGGCGGATTTGGACAATGGATTAGCTCTGGGACAGGATCTGTTCACAGAACAAGGGTATATGAAAGTGTGAATAGCGAAGTGTGTAAATTCAGTAACAAAAGCAACAATGGAATGGTGGTAAACAGTTATATTCACGTCTCGGACAATGACTTCACTTCAGGAGAGTCACTTCGGGCGTATCTGACATCCTCAAAACCGGAGGTGGCGGAAATCTTCAACCTCAACACGCTTGACGAATATCGCAAAATAGCCCACTAACCAGTGCCGCATCAATATAACGCAGAAATGAATTTTTCACGCAGGAATCAGCAGAGCATGAGCGAAGAGCTCGAGTCCGGTGTTCTAGCATCCTTTATAGCGAGCAAATGCCCTCCTGAAGATCGAGAGAACGCCATCAAGCAACTGCACGAAGCCAATGTTGGTGTCAGACAAGTGCATCAGGACATCATGGGTAAGATCTGCATAACACAGCCAGTAATTCGAGCTCTTAATCTTGTCCAGGTTTCGCCAATCATCAGTTTGTTAGCCGGATCGAATTCAGTGAGGATACTCGAGGCCACATTTCACTTGTCCTCCATGTTTCTCTGGATATCGACCCAAAAGGAATGGTTCCTATGACCGAATCCTACGACCCTACAAGAAGCCTTCAGGACGGCAGACTCGCAGCATACAAAAGGTTGTACACCAAGACCAACAACTTCCCTCTCGCCTGCACTTCAAAGAAAAAAGCCAGTTGGAAATGAAGATGAACGAAGTAATCGACAAGATCAAAGGTAAAGTTCCAATGTACGATATTCGGCCCGTCTAACGGTTCTTTTAGAACTCGCATGCCTAATTCTACCGGGTTCACAGTTCAACGTAACAGTCGATGAGCCGACTGGGGAGCGTCGTACGTATCATGCGAACTTATGGTGGGAAGGTGAAAAGATTGTGTATTTGGCGGAATCGACGGAAGGTAACCCGCTGCCAGTGCTGATAGACATGGCAAACGACTTAGAGAAAGAACGAGCAGATCTGACACAACGGGGGAAGCTTGTACAACTTTGGGAGGCCAGAGCCCGGAGCGCTGCTGTATACCCACCGATGGCGCATATCTTTGACGGGAAGGACGGTGCTATTGCGCGTGTTTCTAACGTTTTCAACCGAATGAACTTCCCCTGATATAAATAAGCGCAGAATATACCGACCGCAATTTACACATGAATTCCAAATGCATTTGACTTCATACTTCAGTCAGCATCATTCTTTCTTTGCCAGCTAAAATCCTGAGATTGCGTTTCCTGAAAACGGAAATTCTGTGGGGTTGTGCATTAGAAGTCATGGTACTCCTCTACCTAATGTTCTCTCTATGGATGGCGGCTCCAGGAAGCGTTCGCAAAGCAGTAAAGGTGACGTGCTTCCCAATTGAGAATAGCGCTTTTGAGACCGCGGTGCTGTGGCGCGCTCATTCGTGGCTGGACAACTGAGCTCCATCATCATCACCCCACAACCGTAGTCTATCGTGAGGCTCAGAAGTTGGCGGGAATCTTGTCATTATGCTTGTCCTTAGCCTATTGCTGACAAGTTTATGATCGATTGAATGGCTGGCCGCGACTCTGAGCGGGCGCACGCCCGGATCAAGGCAGAACGACCGGGTGCGATAGGAATCTCACGCGCCAGCGCGATTTATTCTTCTTCTTCCCTCTCTCAAGATCTTGTTCACTAACACTAGCCTAAATGACGCAGAATGGCGGCACTTCCGGAAGTCCCAGCGAGCGGACGCGACGATACAACGCCCTCGTCGATATCCAATTCGCATCAATCTTAGACCCAGACCTCACTCCAGGCTCTGAAGATGAGGCCACGGAAGAGAGGGCAGCACAATTGGAAAATGCCCAGTCAGCCATTGGAGTCAGCATTGGCCAGCAGCAAACTCATTTGACTTCGCCTAAGACACCGGCGGCTGAGAAAGCTGCAGCATTGGACCATGACGATGAAGACGGCCTGTTCGAAGTGTGGCAAGAGGCACAGGACAACACAGAAGCGCACGATGGCGGAGGGAGTGCTATAGTACGAGGACAAAGCACCCCGGTGGTTGAGAAGGATGGGCTCGCTCGATTACCCGCGGGCGTCGCAGACCAGTACCCTCTTCCTTCGCCCTCTCGTGCCGTTCCCACCAAGATGCGAATAGACACGCCCGACCACAGGGCTGAATTGCGCGACAACTTGTCGCAGGCACGGCGGCGACGAGCACATTCTGGCGGATTTCCTGCAGAGGTGTGGAGGAAATATATCAACTTCAATCTCCCTTCGCTGCCCAAAGCCTCCAACCTGCTCCACTTTTCGCTTCCAAGCCTCTCATTGCCGGGTATACCGAATGAATATGTGCGACATACGACCCAGCCTAGACGTATGCGGTCAATGTATGTTGAGGTTGAGAACAAGCGCACAGCTGTGAGCACTTGTCCACATCCCCTGCCGGACAGCGCCAACACCCAGGCTGCTGCTTCCAATCCTTTTCCGGGATCGTCAACCAAGTCTATGGATCCGATACCTCACCGCGATGTCTCGCCCCAGCGCGACCTCAACCCTCGCGTGAGTCACGAGCCTCATCCCTCAGGGCTTTCGAGACCACCAGCACCGGTCCTTCGCAAGTCTAATTCCGAGGGCTCGCTTTTACTATATCAGCGGAAATCTTTTGCTTCGTCTCTTGGTGACGATTCGCGCTTCGAGAACGTCCAGGAGCAGGTAAATAGCCGCTTCAAGGCGATCAAGGACAGCTGGCAAGATGCAAATTTCAAGCTCCCTAGTCTGCCCACAATGCCCAACTTCAACTTTGGGACTAAAGACGGTTCCTTCAGTTATGGCCGCATTGGGAGTTTACCGAAAGGCTCCGAATCCAGTCATGCGACCGCAAGCAAAGCTTCCTTACTCACAGGCTTCAATTCCTCCACCAAAGGCCCATCGGCAAGATTGGGAAAGGGGAAAGACGTGCCTGCAAGTTCTGCTGGAATGCCTTCCCCTGGCCTAGCCACACATCCATTCTTTACTCGAGCCTTGCAGGATCTGACAGGCGACATTGTCGTCCTTGGGGGTTACCGGGGCTCAATACTTCGCTCTGCAGAGCCGCCCCATCGGCAGCTCTGGGTCCCGATCAAGGTCGGCTTGAACTTGCGAAAAGTGGACCTCGAACTCGGATTGAACCCGGAAGACGAGGAGACAGAAGAGCAGCGCATAATTCCAGGAGGGATGCTGACTCACATTGGTCCGGTCGATATCGGAAGGCGTCTCCTGAAGAGACTCGGGGCCTCTGATAATGCTAAGCGAGGAGACCTGAGAGTTCATAATTATGGATATGACTGGCGGCTGTCGCCACATCTCTTGAGCCGGAGGCTCGTCGAGTTTCTCCGCTCCCTACCATGCAACCAACCTGGTGTTGCTCCTGAAAAGCGAGGGGCTATTGTCATCGCACACTCCCTCGGCGGCCTAATGTATGTTGAGACCAAAACATTGTCTACAGTGGCTTTCCACGTGCGACTGAACACCTCCCCGGCACTTCCTCTGTACTGCAGTTTTCCAGGTTCGATCAGCTGAACAGCCAGGAGTTGCACAGATATGAAAGCCCTCGCGACAGGCTTTCTAACGCAGCTGTCCGGGCAGAGTAACCTTTAACGCCCTAAAATTTCATGACCTGAACGGATTGCAGGCAATCTTCTTGAGCTGAACAGGTAATGCAATCTACAGAGGAAGCGCTGGGGTTTGTTCAGTCCGACATGATATGACTCTATACGCGGCAGGAGAAACGCTAACATGGAACAGCACACGCCATGCTATCAACCAGCACCCTGCACTCGTTGCTGGCGTCGTCTACGCTGGAGTACCACAAACCTGTGTAAACATACTTGGACCCCTGCGGAATGGCGATGACGTGCTGCTTTCTTCCCGCGTCCTAACTGCTCAGGTCAACTTCACAATCAGAACATCTTACGCCCTGCTTCCTGTTGACGGAAAATGCTTCTTCAACAAATACACAAAGGAGGAGTACCCTGTTGACTTCTTCGACATCAACACCTGGTCCGAATACAGACTGTCCCCATGTATAGCTCCACCTCTCCCGGCTCCTAACTCAGGCGCCATGCTTCGCAGCGCAACCGGCATCCTCAGCGCCATGACCCAAGCTCTACCAAGTCTGCCCGGCCGTAAATCCTCCCTACCTCCCAAAGCCAGCAACACTACAGTTTACCACCCCCCCTTTTCCCCAGTCCGCGATGCAGCAGACGTAGCCCGCAACGCGGCCGACAAGATCGCCGAATCCGGCGCCCAAAGCACAGGCATGGCCCCGCAAATGGGCTCCCAGCAAACCCACAAGTCGCACGACGCAAACACAGGAACCACCGTGACGACCAACAGTCCCGCGACCGCAGTCACGATCCCGCACGACAAAGCCGTCGCATACCTCACGCGCACCCTCGCCGAGGTGAAAAAGTTCAAACTGGAACTAGCACATAGACCTGAACACACGGCCGCTAACGTATACCCACCCATAGCACTCATATACGGCAAATCGACGCCGACGGTGTACGGCGCCAAGGTGGAAAGTAGGGAGGCTATCAAGCGCGCAGATGCGTACGATGAACTTGCCTTTGCGAGTGGGGATGGAGTGGTGCTGGCGAGGGCGGCGATGGTGCCCGAGGGGTACTCGGTGGTTCGTGGCGGCGTGGTGAGTTCGGATCGCGGGCATGTGACGTTGTTGGGGGATTTGGAAGCTGTGGGGAGATGTTTGAATGCCGTGTTGGGAGCTAGGAGGAATGGCGTTGGGCTGGGCGAGGGGGCGATGGGCAGGCGGAAGGGTGATGGTAGTGGGGAGGAGAAGGGAAGGCAGAAGGAGGGGAAAGGGAGTTGAGGGAAGTGGAGTGAATCTTGAGGAGCTGAACTACACAATAGAGCAGATACACATGTATGATTACACATAATAAGTATTCGCACCGACAGCTACGAAGGTTGAGCAGCTTTCCACTTCACGGACCCTGGCCCCGCTAAGCCATTAAGACATTACTTTGTGAACACATTGTCGAAGAAGCGATTAAGACCAATGACTCTCTCTGGATCTCCTTATTGCTCCACCTGGGCGAACGTCAAGTCCCAGGATCAGTTACATCTCTTTCCCCGAAAAACTTGCGTGCACTAAGATTCCAGGAGGGCTGAGCGGAAATTGACGATTTAGAGCCACCAGGCGAATCAGGTTGCAGACTTCGGTCTCTGTGGTCCTCTCACCCCTGTAGCGGCTCTTGACGGAATGGGTATTCCCGTATGTATGAATCGAACAGGCGTGGCTCTCGAAGAGAAGCGTACTCCGGATGTATAGAATCGTAAGACGTGGCTCTTGACGGGCTGCGTACTTCTGCAATATAGAATGGGACGTTCCGGTCCTTGAGACCTCGTCGGGGATCGCACCTCACCTGCATGTCTTGCTCTATCATTCCCACGGCCTATTTCCGCCCGGGGCGGGAACGATGGATTCGAGCGACACTCCTGGATAATGTCCCTATGTACGTTCGCCAGCATTGGTTGTCCATGTCAATGTATGCAGTGGGTTGTCCATTGGCGCACGGGGAGGTGTTGCTTCAGAGGATGCGAAACTGCGTCCACCCTTGTAAGACTCCACCGAACTTGTAGACCCCCTAGAACTCTTCTGAGACGGATGGAAACGCTGGATGGCGTCGTGTGAGCGAAACCCGGGAATTCCTATGGCATTATGGATCCGCTCTGGACTGCTCTTGCAGCAGTATAATGCGATCGTGACTGGGTCTCCTCGGCGCAACAATAGCACATAGTCTTACACCATAGACACAGACCGGAGCAATCCGGTCTGTGGGCCTGCATTCTACCACCTCCCGCGCCCCCTTCCCCTCCCGCCGCCGCCGCCCCCTCTATAATACGAATCTCTCTCAGGGGCAGGCGGAGCCTCGCCTCGTCTCCACTCGCCCGCAGGGAACCCGCCGCCACGTCGCTCATCGAAGCGACCGCCACCACGACCACCTCTTCCAAATCTGTCATAATCCCCCGGACGTCCTCCATAACCATTCTCACGGGGTCCAGGGCGGTTCCCATAGGGTTCTCTAGGCGGCGGCCCACGCGCAGAAGCTCCCGAAATGGGTGGAGGAGAAGCGGCCACTGAGCCATCTGCCAGAGGAGGAAGAATTGCAGCGCTAATGTAGTCGCCAATGACAAAACGTGCATCTTGTAGCGTCTTGTTTAACTCTCCGCTGAGTTGCTGCAGGGCATCCTTCACGATATCGCCTCCCGCCTTGCCCTCGTCTTTTGATGACTCTTCATCTTCTATATCATTGTCCAACTTCTTTCCTTGTGCGTCCACGCTGGCGGCGCCAACTATTACGGAACCGAGGTCGCGAGCAATGAAGCGGGGTGCGGTGCCCGGACGCGACGGTCCTTGCATATCAGGGAATATTAGGCGGTAGGCGATGCGGGTCCCAGCATACTCTGCAGGGAGCAAAGAGGGAAGCGCGGTCAGGAGGAGATGCGTGAGCTCGGACAGGGTACAGGATTGCCAGGTATAGATTTGTAGATGTGGTGGTAGCCGTGGAGATGCGAATTCTTCTAATCTGATATTGATGAGCTATAACTGCTCAAATGGAAATAGCCCGAGCTCGGGACAGAGGATATATATTGGACATATGCATACCGGTGAAATTGTCCATTCTTATAGAAGAGACGGAGCAGAAATGGTGTCGTTGTTTGACGATCAATCTTTGTGGGATCCGCCATTTGAGACCTTTGATGACCGTGGAGATTTTCAATATAGCCTCAGATTTAGAATCAGGCGGAGTCACGAGAGCAGGGTAACAATGTGTTTGTTTGCTGCGGAGAACGTTGCCATGGAGGAGCATTGCACAGCTATACCTGCACGAAAAGACGTCTTGGCAGCGAGCTCAATTAGTGGCTTGGCGAAGGACTTCCATAACCAGCCCGAGGTTCCACAAGCTCAACATCTCCATTCCGAACCGCATCGACAGATACTTACCGGCCATAAGACATCATGGATTTTAAGAGTCTCCTCTCCGCTCAGATAAACAAGGCGAAAGCCTCCGCATCAGCCGACTCCGAGAAGAAATATGTCAAGCGCTCGGAACTAGAAGCACAGCGACAAGCCGCGTATCTTGCTGAAAAGGAGGCAGCGGAGAAGGCGCGTCTAGAGCGCCTTGAAAAGAAGCGGAAAGCCGAAGAAGAGGAGGCTGAACGGGAAGCTCAGAGGAGGGAGAAGCGACGGCGTCTTGCAGAAGAGTCGAGGAAGCGGCGCGAAGAGGAGGAACTGGAGGAAGAGAGACAGCGTAGGAAGAGGTTGGGGCTTCCTGACTTACCGCCGAAGAGCGCAGAAGGTAGCCAGGATGGTACCCCTGTGCCAGAAGAGGAGGATATCCCGGAAGCGGAGCTGGTCCAGAAGTTGAGGGCATTGCAAGAGCCGGCGCAACTCTTTGGCGAAACACATAAGCAAAAGTTGAAGCGATATAAGAGGCGCATTGGCCAGGATAATCTCGCAGCGATTACTACAGATGGCCCGATTCCCACTACACTGCAGCTTGTTCCGGAGAAGGATATGAAAGTCTCACTCAAGGTGCCGAAAGACAAGGAAGGCAGGGAATTCTTATTCCGACAGCTGGCCAGCTACTTCACGATGGTGCTGAAGGAATGGGAGGGTACATTGGCTCGACGCTCCGGCGACATCAAAAACAGCTATCAGGGCAAACAAGCTTATGCCGCAATGGTCCAGGCACGCGAGAATATGCGACCACTCTTCAAGAAGATGGAAAAGGGAGACCTGGAGTCCAGCATACTCGAGCCTGTCGTTGAGATCGTACATGCGGCACAAGAACGCCGCTACGTAGATGCCAATGATGGGTATCTCCGTCTCAGTATCGGGAAAGCAGCGTGGCCCATCGGAGTTACTATGGTTGGTATTCACGAACGTTCGGCTCGGGAAAAGTTGCATGAGAGTGACAAAAATGCTGCACATATCATGAGTGATGAGATTACCAGGAAGTATCTGCAAAGCATCAAGCGTTGTCTTAGCTTCGCACAGACTAGATGGCCGCCAGAGGATCAACTCCAATTAATGGGCTGAGGACGGTTGGGTGTGTGGGGAGGAGAGGACGTCAACCAAGTGCTGGACTCGTTCAACTTAGATACCTTGCCACATAGTTAATCAGTTACATCATGCGATTACCTTCTTACATATTTACCTACGTTTATTTCAACCCTCATTATGGAAGGTGTTGTGACGCGTAGTCACGTGGTGGCAAATCTCGTCGCCTCAATCCCGACTGCATCTCGAAGCTCACCAACGATCTCTTAATCCCATCGACTTTACACAGCAACTGGCCGACTCCAGAGTGTTTACTTTCTACACGGCCCACGCCTGCGGATATGCACGAGATTGTCACCTTGCAGCTTGGTCAACAGAGCAATCATCTGGGCACTCACTTTTGGAATACACAGGTGCGTACATACGGTGGCTTCGTTGGCGAACTATTTGCCATTGAGAGTCTGCAATTAAGCCGTGCTTGCTCGAATATATTCCCACGCTTCTCGCGGGCCCTGTGTTGTTTTGAAAAATCCTTCAGCCCCTCATCACCCTCCACACTCACGGAGCTGCTTTGAACCCCATCTAAAAATCCTCAGGAGTCTTATTTCACGTACCATCCCGAAGAAGAATCCCCAGTGAATCATGATATACTTTTTAGACCCGGCATCGCACCTGATGGGTCGGACACGTTCACGCCGAGGGCCGTGATATACGACTTGAAGGGTGCTTTTGGCACTATGAGAAAGCTGAATGCGTTGTATGAGACGGAAGCTGATGTGGCGCCGACTGAATCCGACGTGTGGTACGTATCTTCCTTGAGTGAATTCCATTCGATTCAGATTTCCATACCGTCTCGTGAATGTCGACTACCAAATTGTTGAATTAAGAGAACAACTGTTTTTACAATATGCTGATCGCATTATAGGCCTTCAAAACCGATAGTTCAGCGAACAGAGCCTATCCCAGCTTCATCATATCAGAGCGCGCTTGACGCTGGCCTATCACCTCCTCGGCTTTCCACCTCTTCTGTTCGCTATTGGTCTGATTATTCTCACATATACTACCATCCAAAATCTCTAATCCAACTTTCCGAATTTCAAGTGAATGATTCCTTGATGCCATTCGAAAACTGGGACGTCGGCATGGACCTGTTTGAGAAGCTTGAAAGGGAAGTCGACCTCGTTGATCGTGATCTGAGGCCCTTTGTTGAAGAGTGCGACGGCATTCAGGGCCTTCAGATCATCACGGGGGTGGATGATGCGTGGGGTGGATTCGCTAGTGGGTGGTTAGAGAGGCTACGGGACGAATACGGCAAATTGAGTATTTGGACCTGGGGAGTTGGGGACCAGGGCGGAAACACAGCCATACCGAGAGTAAGCATGAGCTCCAAGTCGGCAAGGCAAGTGTTGCGGCTGACCCGTTTCAGGAAAAGCGGTTGCAGCAAACAGTGAATGCTGCACGGTCGCTCAATGTTCTCGCGGAGCAGTCGTCTCTCTTCATCCCCTTGTCAAATCGCCCCAAGAAGATGCCTTCCTATCTCCAAATGGAAGCGTCTCCATGGCACATCGGAGCCTTGCATTGTGTCGCTCTGGAGACTTTGACCATGCCTTCTCGTCTGCGCACTTCGCACCAAGGTCACGGTACCTTGGCTGACCTGGAACAAATCGTTAACCTCACGGGGAAGAGACCGATTGGGAAAATCGAAATGAGTATAGCAGACCCTGATGTGCTTACCAACAAAGCATCTCCGGACGTAATGGAAGTGGAAAAGGTTACCTCTAGAGTAGCGACTCCACGTGGCGAAGAGGTGGGGAATGAGAACGGATTGGACGAGTTCGATATCGACGTCTTCACGAAGGACTATCGCACGGCCGGCGCTCCCAAGCGGAGAAGGGATCATATCTTTGGCCGCGTGGGTATCTCACGCGGAGACTGGAGCAAATCCCCAAATGACGAATATGGAGCACGCGATAGATTCAATGATGGCCCACTAGTAGAAAGGCATGTTCACGATTTGACCCACAGGTCTCTCCAAGCCTGGGGGATGTTTTGCGATAATCTGTTGGGACATACTAACCTCTGGTCAGATATAACACCCCTCTCCTCTTCCCTCAACTTACGAGCTTTCCCTCCATCTTCGATGTTGGAAAGCCACGTGGAAGCAAATTAGCCGTGAACACTGGCTTGACGACGAGCACGGCGGTTGCCGACCAGATACGGACGCTCGAACATATTGCTCGACGCACTCTGCACCTCGAAGACCGGGAAACACTATCCAACAGCCTCCAGAGCCTCGCGGAGGAGTATGACGAAGGTTGGGAAAGTAGTGACAGCGACATGGGCGAGTAAGCTGAGTCCTGGCTTCCAACGCCTGTTTGTTCTCAACCAAGTCCCCAACGCAGCCTGGATCCAATCTTTCCGCCAAATGGAGGCATTAAATTACCCCGCACAGAACTACTGTTGCCAGTGTTGTGTCTTGTCGTGATAAATGTCTCACGCGTCGATTGGACCTTGAATATACTGGTCGTAGTAGTTAAAGAAACTCTGCTTCTAACTGCTCGGATCTACGCTTGGTATATGCCCGACTTCGTTTCACCACGACAAATGTTTGTTTCGAGGATGCCGCGAAGAGAAAGCGAAAAGGCGGCCAATGACGGGAGCCTTTATCAGCCAGATTAGAACCACTGTGGAGGACTCGCAAAGTGCTACTAGAAATCAATTGACGGATCTTGCGGATTAAGCATCTGCATCCCTCCAGCTTCGTTGCTGTGTTACAGGTGATGGAGTCTATAGCACATCCTATCTTCGTATATGGAAAATCGTCTTATCGGCCCGGCATTGGTTACTGTCTGTGTCTAGGAGGCCCGTTCACAGTCGGGTTACATTGCGATATTCCAAACTGGTTGCTGACGGAGGTAAGTAATGTAATCTATGTCAAACCATTGAGAGGATTTGTATAGATGGGCTATGCCTCCTTGCATTAATATTTTGGGGCAGGCTCTGTTTCCATGCTTTCTATGGTACCCATTTCCGTATCTATCTTTCTGTGCAACAATGCCCATGTCTCCTTCCAGGAAGTACATCCGTGTCTCTGTCCAGAGTCCCTTGTTTGCACTACACCGTACGCAAGACGGCTGTGAATTATTGGCCCTACATCGTAAAAGCACTTAGCCGGTTACTATTCCCTTTCTTGATCCCCAGATGTCCAGATTTGATCGCAAAAAGGCGGGACGCATGACTCGTACCCACAAACAGCTCGTTCATGTGGTTCACAGGTCAGGCGGGGTAGCGTTGTGGAACAGCGTCAAAGGTGTGACAGAGGGGTCTGCATATGTGTGGAGGAAGGTTCTTCATCGCCTTGTTAAGCATTTCGCGACCCATTATTTATGATGAATAGCGGATTTTTGAGGGGTTCGACGCGCGTGTTATTCTAGATGGCGTGAGTTTATCAGCTCGTGACCATGTCCACTCACGATGACAATGTTGACATAGTGATGGGGCTTGCTGTGGCGCATAGGGAGAGTTGTGTGGTGTAGCTGAATGAGGTGAATTCTGGCTCGTAACGTTGACCGGCGTGCCTTGGCAGTGCACGAACCACAAGGCTTGTTCAGACCGGAACCATTCCCATCCTATCTGACCGGTACACTCCCGGGTCATTCAATTAAGCTGAGAGGAGATTTCGGAAGCGTTCATCTCCTCCGTATCCTCCGTTGTTTCTTCTCCACCGTTCTTTTCCTCTCTACGGAATCGTAATCATGGCGGGATCTATTGATCCAGTTGAATTGGCAAGCCGGCTGTCTGAGAAACAGATGGATTGCTGGCTACATATGGAATCAGAGACCCCATTGAACAAGTATCCCGGTGTGTTTTGCAGTTTTGAATCCTAGTTGGAATATCTTGCTAACAGGGAACAGCAAAGCAACATGCCAGAAGAGTCGCAACTGAACTCGGCGTTTCGGCAGGGCTGTTAATACTCCACGGGGAGATAGCTCGGAACAACAAATACAGCGACATGCCGGCCCCATTTCGCCAGAATCGTTATTTCTACTACCTCACTGGGTTCGGCTCATTTTCGTCTCTTCGTACGAAGTCGCTAACTGTTCGGAAAAAGGTGCAACGAGACCGACTGTCATGTGACATACGATATCGAGCAAGACTCCCTCTCGCTCTATATCCCCAAGGTGGACACTTCACGAATTATCTGGTATGGTCGCGGCTCTACCATTCCCGAGGCATTGGACAAGTATGATGTGGACTATGTCCACCACAACGAGCGGCTACAACATCACACCGACCGGTATCTCCGTGACTACCCCGGCGTTCTATATCTACTCGATCCCAAGGAGTGTAGTCAAATTATACGTCCTGATGACAAGAGATGCGATGTGCAGTCTCTCCTCCCTGCCATGAATCGTGCCCGCGTAATCAAGGATCAGCATGAGATCGACCTTATCAGAAAAGCCAATAAAATCAGCTCTCAAGCACATGTAGAGGTGCTCGCGAATATTCGAAAGTTCACAAACGAGGCCCAAGTAGAGGGGAGGTTCTTAGACGTGTGCGTCTCAAACCACGCAAGGAAACAAGCATACGATATCATTGCTGGGTCCGGTCCGAACGCTGGCACATTGCACTACGATGCGAATAACGAAGACTTCGGTGACCGTCTACTCATGTGCCTCGATGCCGGTTGTGAGTGGCAGAACTATGCCAGTGACATCACTCGCACCTTCCCCTTGACTGGGAAATGGACGAAAGAAGGCAGGGCAATCTACGGCCTGGTGGAGCGTATGCAAAGCTATTGCATTGAGAAACTCAGACCAGGAGTCAGATATCTGGATCTTCATATTCAAGCGCACCAGATTGCAATCGAAGGCTTGCTGAAACTGGGCATCTTACACAATGGGACTCCAGAAGAGATCTACAAGGCTGGGACGAGCAGGGCCTTCTTTCCCCATGGGCTCGGTCATCATATTGGTCTCGAGGTACATGATGTGGGTCACTCAGAGCTGATGAGCGGCTTGAGCACAGCTGAGAAGGAGGTACGTGTCGCTCGACGCAAACAACGCAACCATGTCCTAACGGCCCTAGGTCCCCTCTTTGTTTCCCCAGGATTACCACCTCTCCGTTTACGATCCAGCGCTCTGTTTCGCACCTGCAACACCGAGAAGTGGTCCTCTCCAGGAAGGCATGGTCCTCACAGTTGAACCAGGCATCTACTTCTCCGCCTACGCACTCAAACTGTATTCGAAACACCCAGTCCACAGGAAGTACATCAACGTGCCTGTTCTCAAGAAATACATGTCTGTAGGCGGTGTCCGGATTGAGGACGACATACTCATTACTCGCGACGGCCACGAAAACCTGACCACGGCACCGAAAGGTGAAGCCATGCTGCGTATCATCAACGGCGAGGAGACACCAGACTTGGACGCCATTTGTTCGTCGGCCTCATCTCCCCAGCGTAGTACCGTAGCACCTCAATTAACCGAAGAGAACGAGGAGAAGGAGGAATCGCTAGTACCCGCACCAGGTATCTCGCGGAGCCGGTTATGCCTTCGCTGTCGTGTTTATCGAGCCTCTCACAATACCGATTGCTCTGAGGATTCGCATTCGTATGAGCAAATGAAGATTCCCATTCGTAGGAGCGAATCAATAGGGTTAAACTTTCTACAGCGGGGAGAAGGGAGCCGACGATAATACAGTGATGAGGGCTCAGGGCCCTTCGTCGGGATGATCACCGCGACAGCCGCAGAGCCATTAATGGAGTTCCAGCCGTTCGATTTCGAAGTTCGGTCCCACTCATTGGATCGGTATCTCAGTTAATTTAGGCAATGATCAGCTTTCATCTAGCAGTACGTACTGTTATGCCAGCGCATTTGGTATGTGAGGCTGTGCCTCGGATATAGGATGTTGAGCTACGGGGAAGGCGGAACCTCCTTAATCTTATCGGCAAAGCATGAAGTTTTTCGATGCCATGATTTGGGCGTCTATGATGCGAATGGGAGGGTGAATGTTTCTACACGTACAATTGCAACGCCATTGTATAAGGTCTCTAATCGGTACTAAGTCCATTTAAACCCAACCTCTGGTTTCCATAAGTCCCCGGCCATGCGGCATTGAAAGAATACCCATCCCACCTTCCCGACACCCATGCAACGATACGCTTCAAGTACACATATTCGCATTTGCCTTTCCTTTAGACACTTCACTTTTCGGTGTGAGATCAAAAGCGCCGGACCGGTCTGATAACATGATGATTGTTTGATACATGCATACGATTTTGACTCCTAGCCAGTCCAACCTCTCTTATCCAAATTCCTCGTCATCCTTCTCAGCCTTTCACAGCAGCAAGCCGCGACGTTCCCCAAACAAGCTCTTTCGAGGCCTGAACCAGTTCGAGATCACAGACTAGGTAAACAGAGCCTCACATCTCGCTGTCCCCGTCATCATAATCCAAAGCTCCATCGCTCTCCGAATCAGTGTCGTGCTCATTTACCTGCCGGTCATAGGCCCAGTTACGCTTGGTGGCACCCCGGCCTACTTCACTGACCTCATCCTCCACATCATCCGCCTTTTCACCATCCTTCCAGCCCTCATTCCTCCATCCAGGATGACTGGGCCACCGTCCATTCTCATCCTGGCAAATCCTCGCCATCTCCCCAAATCTCTTCCCATTCTTCCCCACATCAAAGTACACCGGCCTCTCATCAAGCCCGTGACGTGCTTGTGCCAGGTAACGCTGCGGATGCGCGGCCAGTCCCGATCGGGATGGAGGGCTGGTAAGTTGCGGAAGATGTGTTCTGGGAGGCCCGTGTGGTTTTGGATGCGGTAGCCCTTGACGCCCTTGATTGTCATAGAAACATAATGGCCTGGGCGAGTAGTATGAGCGGTGCTGTCACTGGTTTGAGTTTTGGAAGCGTCATTGTTTCGGAGACAGCACTTCTTCTTCTCGTCGCCGTGCTTCTGGATGGGAAGCGATCGCAGAACAAGCGAGCCGAGGCGTCGACAAGGAGATTCGGATGAAGTCGGTCGCTCCTCCTTCCGCCTTCCATGAATGTGTAGAAGGGCTCAAGGGCTCCATCGACCAGACCAACAATCTGCTTCAACAATTCACCCTCATTTTCCAAAGTGCCTCTAATGGGCCCGAACTTGTCCTCCAAACGGTAACAGGTCAGCCTTTCATTGAGGACTGCTATAAGCCCAGACTCTTTATCGGGGAATCTGTACTCTCTTGCCTTGCTGAGCCCCACTATCCTGACCTCGAGAACTCCTTGAAGACTCCACTGAGTCCAGGGCTCCTTCAACCCCCATCTGACTCGCATATTCCAAATTGTTGTTTTTGCCCAGGACACGCGCCAAGTCCCTTCTCTTGCCCATGGGGCCTTGTAGTCACTGCGAGTAGATTTTGTGCTCGCCTTCTCGATATGCAGAAGTCTTTTCCTGTGCACTTCGATCCTCGAAGGCTTCACATATCCCTGGAGCATGTTCCAGACTGGAAGGCATGATCGGGCTCCAGAGTGCGGGTCCAGTCGTCCAAGAACGCGCGTGAGTAGCTCCAGAGGTTAGAGGTAATCATCGGGAGGGCAGCTCGATACCTCAATGTGAGAACGGCCAGCCAGAATGCTCGAACCTGGTCGTCTTCTGCCAGAGATTCATTGGACCAGAGTTCATTGATGTTTTTCTGGTTCAAAGCCCATGATGCTGGTTGGAAGACGTGAGGGTACATCGAACCATTGACTACGGCTCGAGCTGCCACAGAGAGAGGAACAATGCATTGCTCGAGCAGACTCTCATCACTCTGTCCGGCGTTTTAATGTACACCGTGAACAAATCCCCGTCGTAAATCTCGCCTGTGACTGCACAATCAGGCCCGTAAGACGCCAAGTAGGATTCTGAATATCGTGATACGAGCGTGTTTCAATATATATCTGTTGGAAACGTGTTAGAAAAACAGGTATAATGCCTACAGATTGCTCCTACTAACATGTGTTGTAGGATAACACGCCTTTAGATCTAACACGTGTTGCAGCGTAACAGCATGTTAAAAGCATGGTAGGCTGCAGACTCTGTTAGAGCTCCTGCCTCTGTTCGCGCGTACAGGTCTGTTAGGAATTTCTGCGTTCCTAGGTCTTAGCATTTCTTAGTAGCTGCAAAATAGGGTAAATGTTCTACGTATCTGCGTAGAAATAGAAAAATAAGACATGCAGCGCAAACTTTAGGCCTAGAATACCACGCAGAGATCTTAATTGCATGCGCGCAGTCTCTGCGCAGTGTCTGTGTAGCCTCTGCGCGTAGAGGTGCAAGACAGGGAGGACAGTAGAAGGCAGGAGGCACGAAGGCAGGAGGCACGAAGGCAGGAGGCACGAAGGCAGGAGGCACGAAGGCAGGAGGCACGAAGGCAGGAGTTAGAAAGGCAGGCGAGGCTGCTCCCCTCTGTTACATGCTTAGGTCTGTTAACAGCATGTTGAAATGAACACCCTGTTAGAAGAATTAGCTTAAGTCGCTGCTTTTCAACGGAAGATCTGTTAGCTGCCTAACAACCTTTAACAATTATAACCTAATTATTCAGAAAATCCTATATAGCGTCTTACGGGTCCATCTTGCCATGCGGCCCGTTGGCAGCCCTTGTGGCCTTACAGTGCGGCGGAGCGAAAATCTTCTTCAATTCATTCTTGTACTCACGCGCCCAGTACAAACCCGTAGCCTTATACACGAGGACTTGTACCGCGGAGAACCTCTTCCGCCACGACTCATCCGTCAGGTGCTTGCTGGACTCATATTTGTTGTTCAGGATCTCTGCCGCTCTGGTGAGACTGTAGTCCGCCTTTGGCTTCAAGGGCGAGCGCATCTCGGAGATTTCGCAATGGTAGGGACGTAAGTATCGGAAGGCTGGGAGGTCCCAGTCGATAGGGCAGGCGTCGTCTTGTGTGCCTACGGGGGCAGGTTGTGGGGCAGGCGCGAGTGAGGCTTTGACGGCTTTAGTGGTCTTGTGCGAGTTTGAACCAGCAGCACCGTTGGTCGTCTTTGGCTTCTTCTGCTTTTGCGACGTCTCAGAATCTGGCTGGACGGGAGTTTCGTCAATACTCTCGTCGCGTTTCCGCTTTTTGGCTTGCAAAATAACGTCGTGGCACGGTGGCTTACTTCGGGTTGGAAGTCCGACTCAGAACTGGAGTCTTGCGGACGGCCCATTCTGTCTAACAATCTGATTCCTTGAACGACGGGTATATTCAGAGCAGGAGGGGAGCTGTGGCCTTGCGGCAAACGTACTGATTGGCGTTTAAGCGTCAAAAGAGCCGGCAAACCAGGGCACTGAGCTGCGTAATGGTGTCTGTCAAGTGATGGTTGGAGACAACCTTTTGGGAACAAAAAAGATGACGATTGCCAATGGAATGCCGAGGTCGTTTTGTAACAGCGACAGAATGCGGATTGCGACTGGACGTCGTGGGCTCAAGGGTTTTGTTGTTTGAGTTGCAATTTGAGAAGAGCAGAGAAAGATCGGATGCAAGGGTTCAAGAGGTTGAAGAGCACGAGGAGTCAAGGAGGTCGAAGAAATCCAACGAAGAAAAGCGGAAAAAAACAACACTAATTCTCTATTAAAAGTTCTATATAGAGCGAGTCGAGAGCTTGGACCTGCATACTGGGCAACCCAATGAAGTCAGACAGTGAAAGCTGTCTTCCAGCGTTGGACGAAACGAAGCGGAGTGAAAGTCTCGGTTTTTGTGCGAACATCTTTCCGCGTAACTGTGACTGTATACATCTCACGTGAAAACACTAACCATGCCTGCACTTCATTTCCGAAGTCAGGTGGTGTTGCTCCGGAGACTTGAGGCAGTGAATGGGCACTGGACGGAGAATGGGAAGCCACTAGTGGCCATGGCAGGTGGATGACAAAGCCGCCAAACCCTGCCACTCCGGTTTCCTCTTTTGCGTAACTCTTAATGCGAATAATTATGCCGCCATATAAGAAGTGGTAATGCGTTGCTGGCAGGCGGTGATCATGAAGTCTCCAATTGCATTCGGTTTCAGTGTATGTCTCTAAAGTTTATATATTACAAGAGCCCTATCTAATAGTAAATGGAATGAATGATTAACCAAATCTAATTTGAGCTTTTCCTTGCTAGTCCCAAAACGCGGTTTGCCCCTGCTCGAATGCGAAAGCCTGAATAATGGGGACCACTACGCCTTTCGTCGAGGTCACCGCAACCAGAGCCGCCGATCCACGTCGATCCCACATGGCGACCGTTCAAACCGTGTCTCCTTCCCGCACATCTCCCTTCTCCTGCTCCTCATTCTTTTTGGCCCTAACATCGTTCCATCCCATCCCCCACGACGCCGCAAAACTAACAACCGACAGCCCCGCCAGCATCAGGAAGACATTGCGCACTCCTGACGAATAGGCCCGCAACACCGCATTCAACTCAGGACTACCAGGCGGGACCAGACTCCGTACTGCTCCTGCACTCCCGCCGGCAGCCAGTGCGGCTTGCGTTGATACAGAGGGCGCGTTCTTCTTGAGTTCTGAGACGATGGTTTGTGTGAAGATTGTCGTGGCAATGACGAGGAATACGGATGTGCAGAGGTTGTACGTAAACATGAGAATGGCAAGAGAGACGGGAATTTGGGCTGGCGGGAGCGCAGTCTGAATTGCTATTGTTGGCTTCGGGAGTGACAACGTCAGCACATCTGTTTGAGAAGTTGGGAGTTGAGATAGGGCGTTAGAAAAAGCTACTGACAATTTGCATTCCGGCGCCTCGTCCAGCCCCCAGAAGGATCTGGTAACCGATCCATGTCGCTGTGCTTGTGGTTGGGGAAAATGTAGAGACCAGTCCGTTGCCAATGGCCGTAAGAACGCCGCTGAAGAGGGACCAAGGGAGATAATATCCCAATTTCGACACTGCTTTCGTAAGTATCCCCATAAGAACTAATCGAGAACACATGTTACTTACCGCCTGCTCCGGCGAGGACAGCAAACACCAGCTGCGGCAATATTGCTGGAAATACGCTTACGCCACTCATCGTCGGGCCTGATCCCTTGACTGCCTGGAAATAGATTGGCAGGTAGTTGGAGCCAACCACGACTGTCCCCATTGAAGTAATATTCACCAACGCAGATGTCCACATGACGCGATGCTTGATCATTGAGCCCGGAATCATCGCTCGTTCGCCCATATGCCACTCCCAAAATCCGAACACTATCGCCGTTACACCTGCCCCGCAAAGCAAGCCGATTATGACAGCACTATTCCATGCATGAGAATGTTCGCTGCCAAACTGAAGAGCTAGGAGCAACATGACAGCGGCAGGGGCGATGAGAGCGAAGCCTGGAAGATCGAGGTCCGGAAGGATTTTTCGAAGGAGGTTGAGCGATAGACGTTCTTTGACAGTGAGGTCCGGAATGTTGATCAACAGGAGCAGAAGAAAGGCAATGCCGCCCACAGGCAAGTTTATAAAGAAGCACCTAAGTTGTCAGTCGTCCCGTTCAAGGTGTACGAGTGAGCTCTTAGCTGTACCATCTCCAAGTCGCGTACTCTGTCAATGCGCCGCCTACCAAGGGCCCCGTTACGATGCCCAACGAGCCAACACCCATCATAATGCCAGTGTATAGGGGCCGTTTGGCTAGTGGTGTTGCGCCAGCAATGATTGTCATACCGCCGTTCATCAATCCCGACGCACCTAGGCCTGCGACGCCGCGGCCAATGATGAGGGCGGCGGACGTAGGAGCGACGCCGCATATAAGGGAACCAAGTTCAAAGATAAAGAGAAATACAAGGAAGGTGTACTGGACGCGATGGTCAGCCCAGTGTTTCCGCTGCCTAGCAGTCGGCAAGTTTTACCTTTGCACGAAAATGTGTGTACAGCTTGCCGCTAAGCGGTTGTAGGGCTGCACTGTCATCGGTAAGTTTGTGTGGGCATATAATGTTTAGAGAAAGTTACTTGGCGAGTGGATAAGCCCCGGTATACCTGTTGTGAGAAAGTTAATCTTTCCATCTCGTCTTTTCTGGTCAGTTTCATTAACATACCATCCAACATCAGGGAGAGAGCGGAACTGGGTGGTGATTTGAGGAATGGCCTGGACATGGTCAGAGATAATAGAAATGGCACGGTTACAGAGACTTACAGTTCCCAATATAGCTTGATCCAGCAGTAACAAGTATGCTATCAAGGTCACACTGCCTATCACGGCGGCCAGCTTGGATCCCGTGATGTATTCTGTGTTCTCCTTCATCGCTGTATCTGGAAGGGAGGACACTGAGGTCTCTTGGAATGGAGGTTCAGAGCTTGGCTGCTGCTCGTGGGATTCATCTAGTGGCCCTGAAAGATTTGACTCGTGCTTATGAGGCGCTCCCTCCTCGGCAGACGCCATAGTCGTAATGTTCAATGATATTGCGGGGGAAGACCTGGAATCGACACACGAATGGAGATTTGACACAGAATGTCTTGGAAGGGTAGTAAGTCACACTCTATATACAAGGCTTCCTTATATTGTATTTGCTGCTGATCGGAATTCGGGATCTGGGAGCCCCGACATCATCGACAAGCACGAACTCCGATCACGTGATTTGAACGGATTGGCTCTCAATGTGGACCTCCAACCTTAGGCGGCCCAAGCGGGTGTCAGAAAAATGTCTGTGAACCAGGAGTCATCCAGCATATTGAAGTCGATAGGTGCGAAACTCATTTCCTCGTTGGCCACTGGCGCGTCGCTCGAGGCCAGTCCTTCAGACCATTTTGGGAAAGCTTGTCGTAACTTGTCTGCACCCTTCAACCATATACTATGTTTGACCCCACTCTTTGCGGCCACGTGTGCATGCGCTTCTTGTAGTCGTGTTGTAGCTCGATTCAGGTACGACACAACAGCTGCCGATTGTTCCGCCGCAGCGCGATCCCACCATGGCTCGTCCAGATGCGAAAGGCGGCAAAGGACTTGAATGGCATGCATAAAGTGTATAATGACATGCATGGTACCGCCTGTGTATTGCGGCATGCCAAAAGATAGATAATTTTCACTGGCGCGCTTGGCTGCGTCAAGACAGGCGAGCAGGTATTGTGGACGACGGAATTCAAAAGGGTTGTCGAGTGATGTTGCTGGTAGTCTTTGACAGAAAGCGATCTCATGAATGAGGACTTCGGCATTGTACAAATGGGATAATATGACTTCTGCTCTTCGTCAGAAGGGGGTGGCATGGCTTCTGACAGAGGGAAATCACTCACTGTTAGAAAGCAGATCGGCTGTTATTGAGCCCCGAGTTCTTTCAAGGGCATCTTTTAAAGGCTTTATCTGCGCCAGCACGGAGTCCGTACTCTCACCGGCTCTGTGCATCACCTTTAGAGCTTCTCGTGAAATGCGGGACAGTCGAGCCAATATCACAAGGACCGTATCGCCTGGACATTCGGGTTCCTGAGCGAGGTGTTGAGCGGATCTCTCCATTTCAGAACTCCAGCGCATAAAATCATAATCAGGCATTGGCATTACTGATACACTTCTAGGGTCAACATGTAGCCCATGCGCAAGATGTCGTCACTTACTTCACGCTCATTATGAAGGAGGCCAGAAGGATACGCCTTTCCTCTGGTGTGAAAGTCCTTGTGATTGCACAGTGGTTCGCAATAGTCTCATTTGAGGCAATGAACAATGGCGGAAGTGTATTACTGGCGGGACCGTCTAGTCCCAGTTCGGAAACCAAAGCCTTTGCGATGTTGGCCAGAACGCCCATATATGGACGACCACTTCGGGAAAAGTGGTGTTTCCTTTAAGAAGCTGTCAACGGCAAACCAACTTCATACATGCGTGTGCTACCATACCAGGATATGTGGATCAGAAGTCCAAGAAGCAAATCTACGCTTCTCTCTCCTTCCATGACAATACGCTTCGCAATTGTCTCTCGTATCTCTTGTCCAAGCTCATCTTGTTTGGAAAGAGATGTCTCAAGAACAGCTCGCATGTTTAACCAAGTGAAGGGCTTATCCTGTTGGAATTGTTCTACTGTAGTATGCGGAGAGATGTAGATGCAAGGGTAATAGGAGAGATGGTGGGTCTGGAAATCGCAGAAAACGGATGCGGCGTGCTCACCCGTTTCTGAAGCGGAAAGAGATTTCCCACTATGGTCTGTTGCAGTAAAACTGGAGGAATTCTGAGAGTTTGGTGCGGTTAACCGGACGGGGAGGTCGCACGGCACTTCGGGTATTCGATGACCATTGCTAGATGAAGGGACCCAGACACTCGCATAGTGGTTCGGCAGGAACTGGGGTGACAAACGTTCCTGCCTCAGTGAAGGCGTTGTGGCCCGCGGTATGCCGTCTTGAGCAATACCAGGTTCGCACGGAGAATGTGTCATTCCGCGGCGGAGCCTGGCAACATCATCTACGTTCTCTTCTAGCTGTCGCCGATTATCAGATGGCCTCTTTCTCCTACTGCCGCGTTTGCGAGTGTGAGGAGCAGGCTCACAATTCTTGCCGAGGCGGTGGCATCTATAGTCAAAGTGAGCTCGGTGGATCAAGGACGAGAGGCTCAGACAACTTCCAGCTCCCGGCTATCTGCATTAGGCGCAGAGATGAACATCCATATCCACAGGTCCGGTCCGGAGCGCAAAGCCTCCCTTCTTATCCCTTGGTAGTGATCACTTACCTGTGGCAGCTGCTACCGCCGCTCAAACGGACACACTTCGTTTTTGACCGGACGCAGTGGGCACAGGCATTGCCATACGGGGCGTCCATCCCTCAGGTCCAAGAGGTCAAAGTTGAGATATGATCTTGGTATGATAGAAAATATTCTGCTGAGGCAACCTTGGGCATTGATGCCTAGATGACAGCGCGGTGAATCGATCTCTGAAACATGCACCCGCCGCTGTGCTGTTTGCGAGACAGTCGCAAAGTTGTGGTCCCTTGTTTCTCTAGAGGCCCGGGTAATGCGGAGATGGAGTTCCCGTACCTGATGAACAGTGCGTCAATTGTTCGGTTGTGGGATGTTGGATGTTGTCATGAAGTTGTCTCGGATATTTGCTTCTTAGGGTTAGCGCCTCAAATTCCGCGCCTCGCCTGTCTCTCGCGTCTCTCGCGTCTCTCGCGTCTCTCGCGTCTCTCGCGTCTCTCCTGGCACGGGTACGGGTCAAACGTTCACGCTCGCGTCTTTCTCGCAGAACTGACATGTTATGTGTCTATACCTGTTTAAGTATGTAGGAGACTATGACTTTCGAAAGTGTGTTGGTTTAACCATGAGAGCAATCGGAAGGTCGGAAGGATCCGTATGACTGGAAACCGTCACTATGTACCTTGAGACCTAGGGCCTGCGAGACGAGCATACGGGCGTAACATAGTAGGGTACGTAGGTGAGCCTCAAAATGCACCATCGCTGCTATTGATCCATTATTCGGTAATGAGATTGAATCTGTACGGACTCATACTCTATCCCTCTGTCGTCCCTATATGAAAAAGAATTCACTCCCGTAAAAGGCATTATTCTCCAAACGTGTGGAAACCAACCATATGTGTTCACATTATCTGTAGGAGAAGCATGCTGTAATAGTGGACAGAGGCTTCCGCATTATTGCTGATTCCGTCGGGCATAGTTGGCCAGAGCACCCGTCACATAGGTACCGTCATCACGCGCTTTGTTTTCAAGCTGCTGTCGCTCTTCGGCTAACCGTAATGGGACGCCGTGATCTCTTGGTCGATATCGTCCCAAAAATCGTACATCCGGAACTTACCAGTCGACTAAGGTGTCTAATAGGCTGGGTCTCGCAGAAGCACCGTGCTTCAATCGCCGTGTTGTTTGGACGAAAGGCGAAGCAGGAGCTGGTTGAAATCGCCCTCTAGCGCCTGGATATTTCGATTTTGCCTTTTCGACCCTTTTATCGGAAAGATCTTTAACCTGATTATGGATGGAGATCTTGACAAGATCTACCAGAAACGAACCAATATCGGCGTAGCCGGATCCATCGTGAGGAGTCACACCAAGAGCCCACTGCTCGATGGCTGCGATACCTTTCAGATCACTGGAACGCCGGAAAGGGGCAAAATTTGCTTGCTCTGTAGATCGTTTCTCATCGAGGCAATGTAGCGTGGCAGGATCCCCGCAGTAGAGGCTGATCTGTTCTTTTGTAGCAACCATCGTGGAAGAAATACCGGTTCCTCGTTCTTTTGGGTCTCCCTTATCAGCCATTGGATGACTCTGAGCAGCTATTCCGCCACATCCAAAAGCAATTCGCGAGGTACGGAAAGGCCATCTTCAGAGACGAACGGTTAGACGCTCTGTGAGATGTATTCAAATGCATGGTACGTGATGAGTAATTTGCATCCTCGACTGGCCCGACGAATGTTCCTAACCTTCGTTGATTCCTTTGCTTGCAAGGCTTCGCCAAGTTTTGGAATTAGTTGGCTCGCCTCTTTATAAACAGTTTCAAGAGCCGGAGTACAATAACATAATCATGCGGGATATCAGGAGATATATCGGTTCGCGCATGAATGGACTGGCTGCGGAGCGGAGAAATCGTCAGCTACGGCAACCTCTGGAGAACATAAATCATACCCTATCCAACGCTGTGGTGGTCTATATCCCTCGGTCAACATCGACCTCAACTCTCCAAAAAGCCGCGTATGTCCTGAGCTCCATAACGCCCTTCATGGATCTCCAGAAGACCTCGAAGCCGTGCACGAAAGGACAATATCACAAATTCACAGTTCATGACAGAGATTCGTCTGTGAGCTTCTCCGTTCTCGACTATGTAGCGGCTGCTTTGGATCCTTTTTCACTTCAAGAACGTGGTACTCTTCTGAAGTTCAAGCCGGCGCACGGGCATTCATTGGACGACGCCGCGGAAGATTCTATTAGCAAGGCATCTACTAGTAACTTAGCTCTTGTTGTCTGGAATAGCATTGCTCTGCGTAACTGATTAAGGGCCTGTTCGGTTCGCGAAATGGAGGCTCCATTTCGGCTCCTCATTTCAAAATAACGCCCAGGAAACGCCTAGATGCTGATGAATTTTGTAAGAAACCCCTTTTTTAGCGCTCACGTAGCTACTTGGCACGAGAAATGGAGGCTCCATTTACGCTAGTAAATAAGGCCCTGTTTAGCGCTTACACGGGCTGTTTACGGACGTGGAATTGCTCTGTGCACGAAATGGAGGTCTTTTTTAAAATAGAGCCTCCATTTCTCTTCCCCCCTAGGCTAGCGACTGCGTATTGTCTGGGTCCCTGTACCCTTCTGAGGAGAAATGGAACTGGGCACCGAACAGGCCCTAATAAGGGACTTCATGGTTCGCTTAAGCGACACCTGGAAATATCGGCGCATTTCATCTCAACTTACCAGTCTGTTACCGTCGCTTAGCTAACGGAACAACACGTTTTTCCCTAGAAGTGCGCTGTGTAATTCAAGATATGAGATTCAGGTGTTCAGTCCCCCAGAGACCAGGTTCAGTCTTTAGGGAAAATTTCCCGTTAAAGTACTCGATATCTGCTCGTCCGGAGCATATTCTAAGAAGAGATATCCCATGCATGGGCAAAGTTCCAACACCCCTTATTTGCACATGCAACATCGAACATCTGCAGCTGTCTCGCTTGCCCGCCGGTCTCACATTGGTCCATTTGGCTGCACTGCAAGGTTGCGGCGCGATGATTGATGGTATCTTTAAGGAGAGCCCTGATTTGCTATATCACAGAGACAGAAACCAACGCACTCTTTCATTCTACGCGGTATTGAGGAAACAGAAGCCCATTACCGTTTCTCTGTTGAATGCAGGTGACGACGCCAATGCTATGCTGAAGACTCTGTTGGATAGACTCCGCTATACATCGCAAGAGCTAGCTCCAATGTAACTATATTGACGGAATCCTAGAGGCCATATGGTGAACCTGATGTGAGACAAACCGAAAGTCCGTGACAGATTGGGACAGAACGGACGAAGTACGGATATTTGTTTCAGCAACCCTTGGGAAGGAACAAGACAATTTGCAGGCATAATATCTGGCAGTTATTTTCATTATAAATCAATTGTTTTTAAGCGTGAGGCGCGGTGATGTTTAGGTGAGGGGCCAGCAGGTCCAGATCGGAAGGGGGTGTACTCTGGATAACGTTTGATTGCCCAGGTGAAGGGGGATACGCTGCATGCACGTGACCCGTACCACTCGCTCTTTGCCAACTCGCGGATATTTTACGGCAATATCATGAAGATCAAGACGTAATACCAATTACGCTAAATGGTACCATTGTAACATCTACTAATAGACGTCCATACATTCACTTACTCACGTGCGTCATCAATCCAACGCACCTGGAGAATTTGGGAGCACACTTCTTCCACCTTGCTTTCCTACCATAGGTCAAAACTATTGATAATTGATTTCAAATCAATTGTCGCATTTTGTTCCTCTCTCGAGACGAAGTTAATAGACCCCAAGCTGGGCATGCCCGCCCCATTGCTCACATCCAGATCAGTGTCGGATTTAAGCTGACTAGGACCGGATACCTCAACTCTTGACTAATACATTCGATCGAGGAAAGCATGTTGTCAGAAGATGGATAGCTTCGCCCTGTGGGCCGTATAGGCGCCTTGTAGTTCATGTTTAAGTCCGTAAGATCCGCATTTCGAACGAATTATCACGGAAGTCGTAGGACAGTCTCATACATTCTTATGTATATATAGGCTTACGGGCACGACTCACATGCATGCGGTTCACCTCTAAATAAGACACCCCAATAATCCAAACTCGGCGGTCAAGACCACTATCGATAACAACAATGAGTTCCAATAAACGAATCATACTCATCACAGGTACAGTGAAACGGGAATGCGAAGCCACGTCAAGACGTTATTCACTAACAAGACCAGGCGCCAACAATGGCATCGGTTTCGAGACCGCTGCTGCCCTCGCTACGGCGTCTTCCAAAAACCATGTCCTCGTAGCCGCTCGATCGCGTTCCAAAGGCGAACAGGCAATCAAGAACATCCAGGCCCGCAATCCCGTCGGCACGCTCAGCCTTGTCGAGCTCGACGTCACTAGCGATGCCTCCATTGCTGCCGCTGCAAAGCAGATTGAAACGGAATTTGGCCGTCTCGATGTCCTCGTCAACAACGCCGGCATCTGCACACTGCACACTGTCGCCGACACTACCCGAGAGATCCTCCATTCGACGTTCGATGCCAATGTCTATGGTCCGATGCTACTTACCAATGCTGTTGCGCCTCTGTTGAAGAAATCGAAGGATCCACGAATCATCAATGTTTCATCTACCATGGGAAGCATCACTCTGCGTAGTGATCATACCGATCCGCTCAGCGCCAACAACTTGGCCGAGGCGTATCGCATGAGCAAAGCGGCGCTCAACATGCTGACTGCGACTTTAAATTTTGAATTCAAGGACTGGCCAACCCCTTGCAAAGTCTGGAGTTTTTGCCCTGGTTTCGTTGTCACGGATTTGGGGGCTAGGGATGATGGAACGGGGAGTAGGGAGTGGAAGAAGAACAACGGCGCCGAGAACCCCGAGACGAGCGCAGAAGGAATCCGACAGATTGTGGACGGGGAGAGGGACGGTGAGGTCGGAAAGTTCGTTCAAAGATTTGGCAAGCAGGGCCCTTGGTAGGGGGTGACCCAGCGCTCCCAACAGTCAGCTCTTCCGTAACTAGTAACTTGAATTACCGAGCTACGATAGAGGGTTGCTACAGTTCCTGCCTGTACTATATACAGAATTAGCAACTACGGCCTATAACAGCAGCGGCTTAAGCCTAAAAGTTAAAGCTACTGTACGGCGAGATTACGGAGGAACTGTTAGCTATGTACGGTAGTAAATTAGTACTGTTAGGTAGCACTACTACTACAAGCTAGCTACAACACTAAGCCTCTAGCTAATTAGCAGCTACGGCAGCTACGGGAGCCTACCTACAGCTACTAACTGTATTACCTACGGCAGAGCCTATAGGCAGCTCTTGACTGCTTACCTTAGCCGTAACCCGTAGCGGATACGACCCGTAGTACTGACCGTTGGGAGCGCTGGGATGACCGGCATCATCATTCTGTACGGCAGTCTGCAGCCACCTCCAATAATGAAGTTTGTGGCTGTCGAGGAATGGGCTAACCTCATGTATGTCTAGAAACATCTCGGTATGCTATGTACAAAAAAGGTTGGCCTTCCATGGCATTGTTGAATTCAGTCGGTCGTCATAAACGTGGCGAAGAACGCTCAGTTGCACGTCGCTGACATTCGTATCGAGTTGGACCACGCCGACTTTCGTATCTCTCACTGTCTTTAAGTGGCACCTGGTGACAGCAAGATGAGCAGAGAACCACAGCTGGAAGCCATACTCCTGTCTCTTGGGGCTCGAGTTCACAATCCATCCCTCCCCTTATCGTAACGACCACTGGAGCATTTCTCAACGTTGATGGATGGAGCTACTTCTGAATTTCGAACGCAAATCTAACTCGAACCACCAACAGTCGCTCGACGTCCATGGCAACTCCACATAACTTAACACCCCATCTCACCACAGGCACCGTAATTTTTTCGCGAATTTGAACGGAGCTTTCAAATGTCTCAATCTCGCCTACGGCAAGCCCGAACACGCTGCTCCGCGCTTCACCAGCGATGACGAGTTTTGTTGTTCGGTCTGTCTGTCTTTCACTTTCACTCACCCTGTCTCCGCACACCACAATCCCACTTTCACCTCCTCTTTCCCGGCAACCCCAGTCGCAGCGCCAAAACCCAACCGCTCCGTGATCCCCCATAAACTTTCCTCCACCGCCCAACCCTTCTCCACACAACCTCAACCTCGACCAACCTCGCGCTTTCAACAACCACACCAATCCACCGCCGCACCAACTACTCCACACCCACCTATATCACCAGACCTACCACTAGATGCCCCCTCAAAAGATGATGACCTCTCGCAAACCCGGCCGCAAGAAAACCAACAACAATAGCAGAGCCACCCCAGGCCGCAGTTCTACGCCCGGAGGACGCAGCGCAGGCACACGCGGACGCAGTCGCGGTAAATCAAATTCCGCGGCGCCATCCACCGTCGCGCCTCAAGAACCACCGTTTGCCCGGCCAGAAATGACTCCAGCTCAGGAAGAGGTCGCTCCGCCGGCGAAGACGACTCTGAAGTTCAAGTTTCCGGGCTTGGGGGACTTTCTAAGGCAGTTGGAGGCGCAGGAGAAGGAAAAGGCGGGCACTCACACTGCATCCCAGCATGAAGGTGATGTAACGAAGGGTAGGAATGCGGATGAGGATATGGATGTTGAGATGGACGGGTATACGACGCCAGTTGTTGAAGCGTCACTGATCGTGAAGTTGAAGGTTCCGAGACATGAGTTGGAGAAGCTCGAACACAATGCTTGTGCTACACTGTCGCAGCAACCCGACGGCTCAACTGACACAGCGGCACAACGCAGCATGCGCGATCGATCCGGAAAGCAGCAGAAACTTCGCGAAGCGGTCAAGAATCTGAATCTCGGCTCCGACGGCTCTGGATCCTCGCCTGAGGTCGACACACCACCGAAACCACTACCCGCGGATCTACCCGTCCAGTTCGGCTACCCTGTAGACTCTCCCAGGGCCGACACTACTGGCCCTATCCCGCCTTCGGACTATGATGGCGTGGGCGATGGGAAAGAATCGAGCAGCACATCTCCTACGGGTGGAGAGCGCACTTTGCAATACCGCCTCGGCCTTCCCTCCACTGCCGCTTCTCTTGCTCCCAAATCGAAGTACCCAGTGACCCTTCCTTCGTCGCTGTCCCATCTCGACCCAAACATCGCCTCCATCCACAGTGGGCTCGTCTCCTACCCCGTAACACTATCCAGACTCCCCACTCTCTTCGAATCAGCCATCTCAAACACAACCACCATCCTCTACCCCAACCAATCCGCGCCGCGCCTTTCCGTAGACCCCGAAACAGAAATCCCCTGGACCTCAAAGCATCTCTTCCACTTATACATCCTCTCCCACCACCACGCCTACTCACACCTCAAACCCAAGCGCGCCCGCGGCTCCAAATCCAACATACCCCCCATCTCCGAGAAATCCATACACATCTGCGACCTCATCGCCGACACCTGGATCCGCGCCTTCCAGCGCCTCGACGACAACCGCCGCGCGTACAACCGCCCGGGTATCTGGAGAGCGAACAAAAGTTCGTGGTTCGCGGAGCAGAAGCGCAAATTCTCGGATTGTACGTACCTGAGCGACGATGCGGATTTGGCGCCCGATGTCACGGTGTTCCAACCGTACTTGCTTCGCGAGCTGTACGCTCACACGGCTCCGAACTGCGGCGCAAGGCTGGTCTGGGCGGATGCGCTGGCACTGAGGGGGAGTTGGTTGATGCGGGAGATGAAGCAACGGGGAATTGGTAGAGATGAGTGGCCGCAGGAGTTGGTTTGGGATGTTCTTCAGACGAGTCTGAGGTTGGCGAGGGAGAGACTGACGTTGAAGTGTGAGGAGCGAGATCCAAAGGAGTGGTGCGCTAGGTATCACGAGCATGGGAAGAGGGAGAATCAAGTAGCTTGTTTTCGGGATGTCGCGAAAGCGGAGGAGGAGGCGCGGAAGGCAGCTATGAAGGAGGACGAAGAGAGCGAGGAGGATGGCAGTGTGCAAATGATGGATGTGGACAATGAGGAAGCGAGGAGGAAGCGGCGAAAGAGCGTGGCATTTGCGCAGGACATCTCTGGTGGACATTGAATGGTTAGCCTTTCGTGGCAGTGCCAGTGCGCACATCGGAGGTGGTTTTCTTGAGAGTTTGGATATCGGTTGACATGACTGTGGAAGTCGGCCTGGAGATGGGGCAATGGTGGAGAAAATCCAGCGAAAAAGGAAGCAAATGAACAAGACGTTTCCAAAGGAATGTACACCAGGAATAATGAAAAGTGCCATCGGTAGCTCTTGGGCCGAATATTATGGACTCAAGGCAGTATTAACCGTCGTATTCATGTGGCGTGGTTTCTAACCTTTTCCATCTTTCGATCATGCCCACACCAGTTTCTTGAGAGAATACCCCAGTTGTTCGAGGTACCCTGTGCTTTTCTTCGCATCCACCAGACTGATGATGTCTTTTTCCTCCACAACCAGCTCATGTATGGTTGCTGTTGTATCACCATTATCCTGTGAGACAATCGACTCTCCGGAAGCAGGGCCATGTCGTCTAGCTTTATTCGCAACTCTCGCAATTTCCTCGCAAATGTCCTTCACAACGCTCATCTCGTCATCTTGGATCTCATTGCTATCTGCAGAGGTTACGCTGCTGCACGGGGGTAGGGCTTTGAACGCCAAAAAGCGGCCAGTATCCTCTGTCTGGCCTTTGGCAGGTTTATCTTGTGGCTCGCCCCGCTCCCTGGAATCGATACTCCTGGTGTTGCGTCTGACGAGCTCGCTCCCCGGATGGACTCTATATCGGAGAATGAATCCGACATTTTTCTTCGCATCGGTATGACGCTGAGCCAAGGTACTGGTGATGTACACGCCCCTTGCAATCCCGTCGATAAGATCCAGGTCGATTCGCTCAAATTCCCGCACTTTCTCTGTCCCCCAGTCCAAACGGCAGAAGTAGACCGCCTTGTTCGTGAGGAGGAGGACTGCCTCTTCGAAAGTCGCCGTCTTCAATTTGTTAGCAGATGTTGGTACTGACAGAGTCCATCCTGCAATGAGATCTTCGTCTTTGTCTTCAATAACAATGCCTTCGCAGCGTTCTATTGCAGCCTCGCGAACCTTGCGCACATCTATAAAATAGTCCGAGCTCTTCATATCAGCCTCGAATTCAGCGAAAATGGCATCCGTGGCGCGACCAAGTATGTAGTCAATGACAGCTTGGGTAAAGAAGTCGTTGACGATGTTGTTGTAGTACCGTGTAAGAGTGAGTCCGAAATCGGTAAGGGCTCCGGTAATCTGGCGCTTCCTCGTACGGGTAAAATCCCCCTTCAAAGCGGCGGTGCCTGCATACTGTCGCGAGATGGCGTCCCCGTTGTCTGCCCAAAGAGTGTTGAACCAGTTTGTAGATGGGTCGTGCTGAAGGTCAATATGAAAGCCTTCTTCAGAGAGTTGAGCTTCCAGCGCGGTTCTCGCACATGCAGATTGGACCACATTCGTCCTGTCAAGACAGTCCATACAGTTCGTCCGCAGGATTCCAGTTTGTGTTTTGACGATCGCATCGTCAGATATCTCGGTCCAGCCGGTCGACTTCAAGAACGGGCCCAGAGTAGCCATCAACCTTGCGACATTCTCAAAGCGCATGCCACGGCAAACATAGTGGAAGTCAAACCATTCAAAACCAAGCTCTTTCCCCTGTCCATCCAATCCCCCATCACGATTCAGCGACTTGACGTGTTGCTCATACGCCTCGCCGATCTTCGCCTCTGTGCCATGTTTGTCCACCAGAGATGCGCAATAAATTGATCCGTATCTAGCGCCAAGATCAGTAAAATGACGCTTGAAAGCTTTCGCATTGGTCTCAGTGGTGCCCCAAGTATTCACTTGAGGCTTGAGACTGTAAGGCGACTGTGAGAAGAAGAGTGGTATCGAGCCTCGATATTGTGTGAACGAGAAGATCTTATCTCGTGATGTCTCCCATGTTGCTGGAGAGAGTATCTGTTCTGTCTCGACGCTATTGGCGGCATTACCTTCGTCATCCACCCCCCGACGAAGATAGCGCAAACCTGCCCGTTTTACAGAACGGCGCGAAATCAAAGTCAGTAAGAAGTCTTTGCCGCTGCTTGATCCGACTTTCGGGTCGGGACGACCCGAATCCGAGTTGGAATCACTAATCTGCTCCCGCCACGATTGGAGCTGGATGTCATCTGCCGTGGACGCTGGATCTATTATGGCACTGCTCGAGCCACTTTCTGGAGGTTTAATGCTGAATGCACGTTGTCCAACGAACCCCTGGATCACAGGGAGCACAAAGTTATGTTGGCCGGCATCGATAAATGGTGACAGGATGTGCTGGTTCCAAAAATACTAGGAGATATCAGCAGATGTAGTATGTGCGCATGGAAGCATGGCGATCGCTTACCAAAGGATCTGATTGTAAGAACAAGGGTAGGTTAGAGTCTGCCTGCTGTTGCCCAATACCCCGTGATAGATCGTAGTCATAAGAGAAGAAGAAATTTCCGGATCCAAAGTACAACTTTGTCGTCCGCAGTATCTTGGGCAAAAGAGCCATCGTGGTAGAATCTTTCTGCCCTTCCAAGGCCTTCGGAATCTCCTCAGGACTGACGGCTTCCCGTTCGTTTTCGCCGCTTGTAGGTATCCCGTTATCATTCGAATCAGTTACAGAGCGGGTTGATTCCTCTGGAACCGAGGATTCTACTCCTATCTGGTTATTTGTTGTCGCGAGATCTTCTTCGGAGCTCAGTCCTTGCACTCGCCGGCTTTCCGTACTCCATCCTTTCTTGGAGAACCACCGTTCCGCAAACCGACCATATACTCCCTTCTTCTGTATCACATCTTCTGCAACACTCGTTTTCCTCTCCACTGGCGCCTTTTGTTCCGTCACGGGGTCCTTGACTTGTTCTAGTGTAGTGTCAGGCCCAGCATCTACGATTGAGTCTGTCACGCTTAGGGTATCGTTATCATCCGTTTCGCTTTCCGAGGCATCTTCATCTTCTGAAGGAGTCTTTATGTGCCTTTGTACGTGTTCTCTGGCAGCTGTGAGGGCTAGCTGCGCATCGCTCTGTGAAGAGAGGGGGATGAGCGCTACGTCGGTGATCTTGAAAATGGAATTTCCGCATATCTGAGCAACTGGCTCCCGGCCACTGATTGAGATCAGGAAAAAGGAAGTTGCAACCTTCAGTAATCCTGGCACGATTTCTCAGCAAGACTCAAGGAGGTGTGAACCCACGCCAGGCGAGAATACCTATGATGCCATGCGCTTCCAGCGCCACTGGAGCGGTGTCTTCCTCTCTTCTATCTTTCAGAAGTGGCTTCACGTTGCCCCTGTAGTCGATCTTTATAGCCTGCTGTGTTGTAGGAGTATGATTCCTGGGTGGGGCTGGCTGTAGAATAAGGCCATCCACAGCCGCAAAGATGAGGAGCTTGCGCACCAGGCCGGGCATGCTGTATGCTGGAGCTTTGCAGGCGTGTTCAACAAAATAGTTGCTCGCTGTTCCAGGCACTGCGCTGATGTTTACTTTGGAGTGGTCGTCGGATCTCGAAATAGAGTATGACGTCGACAGTGCCTTTAACTTGAAATGGTTAGTCTCACGCGATACCGCATTGGGAATCCGCTCTGCAGGTGCAACACAGTCAATATGCGTCCATCCATCGCTGGCCTCCACCAAATCAGCCCTTCCATCCATGTCCTCGCAAGTTCCCTCTCAGCGATCAAGTATCTCCTCCAAACGCCGCTATCACTCAAAGTCGAGGCTCGGGTGTACCCAATGCAAACGCCGACACATCAAATGCGATGAGAACCGGCCAGCTTGTGCCAACTGCACCACCAGCCAGCTACAGTGTATCTATACCGCCCCAGCACAGCACTCTGCGGTGCCTACTGAGAATGGTTCACCGCCAACCAAAGCGGCGAGCCCGCAACCCTTGCAGAGCACCAGCCCAGCTTCACCCTTCCTCTCTCAAAGTGCACAGTCAAGGTTGCCAATATCGTCGCTGCTAACACCCGAGGACTCGAACAGCAGTGTGAATATGCATCATATGGAGCTCCTAAGCCACTTCATCCTCCATACCTCGCTGATGCTAGGGCCTGCACACTCATCTGCCACACGCATGTCTCTCGCCATCACACTTTCGACCCCTTACCTAATTAACCAAGTCCTCGCCCTGGCAGCGTTGCATCTCAGCTATCTTCGTCCCGAACGAGCCAGAGAGTACGCGGACGAAGCAGCCTTGTTCCAGACGAACTCGCTATCCTCCTTGAACAGCACCACTGTCGAAGTCAGTAGAGAGAACTGTGTCCCGATGCTGTTGTTCTCTGCGTTACTTGGCATCTACACTCTCGCAGATGCAGTTATAACCTTCGACGGCGACAACTCCAGATTCCTTGACAGGTATATTCGGTACCTCGACGTGCACCGTGGCGTGAATGCCGTCGTGGACCCTTTCTGGGACTACCTCAGGAGTACAGAACTCGCCCCTTTTCTCAACTCCGCCGCTCTGGAGCCAACCACATCGTCGCAGCAGGAGATTGAAGAAGTGTGTAATCGTCTCCAAAAGCTTCTGGACGCAGCAGACATGGCTCCGCCCTCCCTTCAAGCCTGCCGGGAAGCAGTCCACCACCTCAAAGCCATTCTCGGCCTTCTTTCCCATGCCCAAGCCTTTAAGCAGCAAACGACTGCGGATACAATCTACTCGTGGCCCATTCTCCTCTCAGCGGAGTTTACGACGCTCTTATCGAGGAGGAGGCCGGAGGCTCTCATCATATTGGCGCATTATGCTGTAGTGCTGCATGAAAGAAGGGATGTCTGGGTGGTTGGGGACTGTGGAAGTTGGCTGATTCAGGCGATCACACTGCACCTCGGGAGTTATTGGAAGGAATGGTTGGAGTGGCCGAATGAGGCTTTGAGGCATGTTTCAAGAACAGGAGGAACGTTGTTCCTTGGAGATGGAGCGAGATTGTATGGTCAGGCGGGCTGAAAGTGTCCACTCTTCATGGGCAAAACGGACTACAAGACTATCAACACCCGTCGAGGACACACCGTCGCGTGCTACACATCGAATGACGTTTCCAACACACCTCGGATGCATCGGCTCCCTGTCTATCATGGCGGACGGAAGACACTGAGCCCTGCCAACCACTCTACCTACCCAACAGTCGGTCTGAAACAGATAACTTCTGGCAGCGACCCTCCGCGAAAGGCAACACTGCGAAAATCAATCTATTTCTTGCTTCGACCCCAGTCACTGATACTACCGAGGCCCATCATCTTATCCACCGAGACTGCCGCGAAACCCGTCCGAACCGTTCCAACTTGGACGGACCCCGCAATTTTTGCATGCTGGCACAAGCTTTACATGAAGGAAATAGGCACTTCTTATATATTTCCGACCTGTGGAGAAATAAGGTTGCTTCCGCCTCCGCACTCCACAGACAGAAATGCCGACTGGAGCATCGCCTAATCTGCCGGCGGATGACCAGGTAGCCCCTGTCCCCTTCCTCCGTGTGGTATTTGGGATATTAGGTGCATTTTCCTGTGAGTGCTGAAGACTTGCTAGAGGGCCGCGAAGGTTGATCAGGGCTCAATTGATTGTTGGACAGGAGTTAAAGAATCTATATGAAGGCTTGGGTCGTTTAAACCCGCTTAAAGAGCATATCATCTGTCCAAACCGGGTAGAGCAACGAAATTGAGCTACAGGAGCTTGACAAAGTCTGGCTCGCAGTATTGAATCCTCTCTGGGAGACGAAGGTGCTGGTGAGCTCCTCGAGGAGGTCTATTCCTTCATACGGATGACGCACCGACGACCTGACTGGGACGTCACTGGCCGAGTATGAGCATCACCAAGCTGCGAAAACCGAAAGAGGATGCAAAAATAGCACACCCGGCTCAAGGAGCACAAGAAATTCTTCAGGCTAAACACAGTCCCGCGGTCTGAGATCCGATCAACTGGGTAGCAATGTTCCGAGTCCTCAGAATATAAATCCTCATGAGCTGCCCCTCCACACCCACGCTCTCCAGAAACACATTGCCAAGTACAACTCTCCCCTTCTCGGACGGCCAACATGCTCTCCGTCATCTTCCTGCTCGCCGCTTTCCTCCTCCCAAGCGCCCTCAGCGCGCCAGCAGCAGAGCCAGCAGAGCTCATCCAAGTGAACAAACGTCAGGGCTATTACTGGTCCAACTGGTCCGAAGGCAACGGCAACTGGGACTGTAGGAATGGGGCCGGCGGCCAGTACAGCGTGACGTGGTCTGGTCAGAATGGAGGCTTCGTGTGTGGCAAGGGCTGGCGGAACGGAGGAGCCAGGTCAGTAGTTTTGGGAGCTCATCCGTCGTTTCATTCCATTTTATCTCACGCCTATATTCCCCCGAGGTCTAAAGTGGATTTTTGTCAACCAAGGTCTAACATGCCGGGTTAGGGTCGTGAAATTCACCGGCACCTACCAACCCAAAGGACCCGGCTACCTCGCCGTCTACGGCTGGACCCGCAACCCGCTCATCGAATACTACGTCGTAGAATCCTACGACATCCTGGCCCCCGGCGAGCCGTGGACGCTCAAGGGAAACTTCTCCTCGGAAGAAGGCGATTACCAAGTCTACACGTCTTCCCGCGTCAACAAGCCGAGTATTGAGGGCACCAGGACGTTCCAGCAGTACTGGAGTGTCAGGACGGAGAAGAGGGTCGGTGGGACCATCACGATGCAGAGGCATTTTAATGAGTGGAATCGGTTGGGCATGAGGTTGGGGAGTCATGATTATATGATTGTTGCGACGGAGGGGTTTACGAATGGGACTAAGACGCCAAGTGGGACGGCGAATATCAATGTGCAGTAGAGGGTGGGAAAGGAGCGGGTAGCGGAAGGGATGGATTGTAGGGACGTTTTTGGGCTTTGGGAAGGCTACTTTCAGTTAGCAAGGAAGCAAGTTGCATCCTTAAAGGCTTAAATATTGCACTCATTTGCACTGCCCGTCTTCCTCATAAAGTACGAGAGAGACCCAAGGAATACAATATTCGTCTATCGGTATTCCTTTTAACATCAGTTAAAACGGATCTGTGATACAACGCAGCCATGTAGGTGCTTTTGTATGCGGCGAGTCCAATTATTCCTATCCGACGGCAAGAAATGTTTTGATATATATATTTCTAGGCACAGTCTTATATACGTTTCGTTGGTATTTAGAATGAGCAGAGGAGGTAGTTTTTTTTCAGTCGCATCGCTAGGTAGCTTTGCGGCACGATAAATATTTTTTGGTATTGTTGCTATTGCTCCTTCTTCTTCGAGGGCTAGTTTCTTGCAATAGGTTTACATAGTATTGACATGAGATTTCCTTTTGAAATTCCCCCTGTTGTCTTGGTATCAAAGTCTGTGTGGGTGCATATAATGCAACCGTCACAGATAGGTTCCCCCTTATGTACAGATTCGACGTAGGTGCAAGAGATGCATCCTTGCATGTAGGTATCCCATCATGATTAACTGTCCCAGTCCAAATTCCGACTCCAAGACAACACTCCGGTCGGACACCATCAACATCGACATAACCAACACTCAACATCCAGGGTATTCCACCCAGATTCCCATTTTCTTCCCTCCATCTTTTCCCCGCCGGGAACCACCTCCCTATCCGTCTTCGCACGACGTCCTCACCTTCTCCATCTCTACCACTCACACCCATACACCCACTCCCTCCCCCTCTCTCCAGCATCCTTCTCCATCGGGAATCTGAAATCCCAGTATATCGCATTCCCCTGCACCTCTCTTACCTCCGCACCCCTCTTTCCCGCGTCTTGCCTTCCACCTCCCCTCTGGTACCCACTCCCACTCTCACAATCGACAGCCTTCCACGCCGCATCCCTCCACCCCGGATGACAAGGCCACCTCCCCCACTCATCCCTCCACCTCCCCGTCCCCTCCAACCCCCCATCGAAATACATAGGTCGATAATCCCACACTGCCCTACAAGCAGACCTTCCGTCCAGGGGTTGCGCGCTCCATACCACGGCGCGGATGCGTGGCCAGTCCCACTGTGGGTATCGCAGGGGTAGACGCTGGAAGTCCTGGTTTGGGAGTCCGGTGTGGTTGATGATAGTGTAGCCGTGGATTGGGGGGAGAGTCATGTGGACGTGGTGGGCTTGGCGGGGCCGGGGGGAGGTGGAGACAGGAAGGGAGTGGGAATGGGAAGGGGGGTTGGATGGGTGTTGGGGTTGCGAGGAGGTGAGGTAGCAAGATGGTTCGCGAGAGGCGTGGATGTGGTAGGTCGCGCAGAAAGTGTGTGGAGGAGCGTTTAGAAGGGGGTGGAGGTCTGGGTCGGGGATACCGGGTGCTGTCTGTGTCTTGAGTTTTCGACTTTGGGGGATGTGAATGGTGGATGGTTTTTCGTGGCCTTGCATCATGTTCGACACTTTGACGGCGTCTTCGCTCTCGAGCCGGTCCAGCCAATCTGAGAGGAATTCCCGACTGTACTCAGAGAGCTCAGAGGTTATCTTCGGCAACGCAGCGCGGTATCTAACGCGCAGGACATCGAGCCAGAACTTGCGTACGCGGGATCCGTCGTCTCCACCAAGAATTTCGCTTGTCCAGAGGTCATTCAAATGCTGCGGCTCGAACTCCGTGATCCCCTCTGGCAGCTCGGCGGGAACATCGTACCAGAATTCTTCATTCCGGTAGTGAAGCTTCTGCGCGACTTCCTGCTTGGTCATCTCGCGCCAGTGGTCGACGATGAGGTTCCGGACGTGTGTGTTTCCGGCCCTGGCGGCTAGGAGGTACAGTTCAAAAGTGTCCGACAGCGAGACTTTTATATCCAGAGGCATGTAGACGAGCTCGTCGTTGCGGTCTCTGATTAGTCGCTGGCCCGTTTCGAGAGAGGTAGCGAGACAGTGACTCGCATTGCGGTTATGGAGGACTGGTGGTTTCGCCATGTGGCAGCCGAAAAGGAGGTCGGCGAGGCGAGGCGTAGTGGACGGAAATTCTGCACCAAGTGAGGGTGCTCCATGCCGTGCAAGGCGGGCGAATGCTGGAGCAGCGTCCAAGAAGACAGTCAGGGGGAGTTCGCGCGTGAAGCCCAGCGTCCCGTCTCTGCTGCCCGGTTCGGTGATATGTACCGTGAGCGTTTTCCCTGCGTAGCGGACAGCTCGTGGATCTCGCGCCGCCGCTCCCCTTATCATAGATCCGGTATTCCCATTCCCAATGGCCAACCCATTAACGACAGTGGGAGGACGAAGACTCTTAACATCAAAGCACTCCTCCAACCCAAACAACTCCCTACGCCAATACGCACCCGTCGCCTTGAATACCGCCCTATTCACCTTTGCGAACTTCTTGCGGTACGACTCTGAGGTGATTCCCCGGTTGTACTTGCCGTTCAGCAGTGCCTGGATGGCGGTCCATGTGTGATCTTCCTTGGGCTTCCAGGGCGCTCGCAGGAGATATGTGTCTTTCTCCTCGGCGTTGAGGTTGGAGTAGCGGGCGTCGTTTTCGAGGTCGATGGGGCATGGCTCGTTTTGGCTGAGTGGTGGAGTGGGGAGGGGTGCTGGGGCGAGGGAGGTAGGTGGGCGCTTTGTCTTCCGAGCCTTTTTGCGCGGTGGCAGAGTCGCCTGGTGTTTCTTGGACGCGACTCTTTTCTGCGGTTGCTTGTCTGTGGCGTCGTCTCCGTCGTCGTCGGAGGAGGAGGAGGGTTCGTCATCATCTTGGTCGTAAGAGGGGTCAATCTCGTCCCTCTTGCGCTTACCAAGGGAGTCATAGTTGCTTGCTTCAGAGGATGACTGAGCAGAAAAAGTGACGAGTCTACGCTCATTGTTGACCTGGGCAGTCTTGAGTTGCTTGGAGATTACAACTTGGATGACAGCCTCCTGGGTGTCTTCCTGGCGTGTCTCGTTTCCGTCAACAGCGACAGGAGTTACTGCTTGCCCATCGGTTGAGCTTTTCATGGTGTTGGCTCCGTGACCGTTGCTATACCGCGTTGTCCTTTTCAACGGCCGTGACGGTCCTTCTTTCTGAACGGCCTCCTCATTGCCTTCAAGCATCAACTCGTCATGTTTGCGTTTATGTTGTTGTATGGCAACAAGGGCGCCGCTGTCCGAGGTTTCCGTGGCGGGTGTGGTGGCTCTGGAATCAGTGTCCGCCATGATGGAGTTGCTAAGGTAGCGATGTAAAGACTAAATCGTTTTCTTCAAGACACGCCTCCAGGGATTTACGGTGTTGGTTCCGTGGTCTGAAGGTCGTGATGGCCGGTTCCACAACAACAGGGAAGACAGCCCTTGTAGACAAGAGAAAACGGGACAGTTGTGGAGCGGAGATTGGGAGAACTCGGATTCTCTATAAAATGAGGAGGCTATAAGAAACCCCAGGTAGAAGTTGACGAGCGGGTAACTAGAACAAATGCAAATGCTAGACCTTGCAACACTACTCGCGTTACTTCTAGGTTGGCACTCCCCCAACGCTGAGGTTGCAGTTTGCAGAAAATCATAAACAGAAAATCCATGACGGGAAAAGATATTATATACACGCGCCCTTCTGGTCGCTTCTTACTGCAGCCTGCGTGTCTGTGCGCGACCAGACAGTGAAGGTTGTCTTGGTCTGAGGCCGGCTGGGAGTGAAAGCTCCTCATGTCTGGGATGGGTGTGAAAGCTCGATTTTTAGGGCTCAATACAGATATTTTGTGGCCGTGAAGGGGATAATAAGTCGTGAGGTCAAATCCGACTGTAGGGGATCAGGTGAGTGGTTCGAATTTGAGGGCGCGGTAGTGACTGGACACAGTATGGAGAGCAAGCACAGGTGCATTTGACTTGGACGAGTCACGTATATGGGACCATGTGCAGGAAAGGCGTAATCGGTTAGGGCTTTACAGCACGATGAAAACAGGAGTGAGCTTAGATTCTCTTAAAGAAATGAGAAGCGTCCGAAACGCTTGCAACGCAGTTGAAGGATGGTTACTTACCCACTTGGACGGAAATAATCGGACTCTCTGCTATTCAAAAGCGCCTAGATGGCTGCTTCGCATCGCAGAGCCTTGTACCTATTAATATTGGATTGCCACTCCGTCTTGAAAATCAATGCTGAGCTCTCAGATACCTCTCCCTCGTCCCTCTCGGCACTTGAGCCGGGGACAACCGCTCCCCTTCGAAAAGCAATTCGTCACATCTGTCTTTGGACAATATGTCTGGCCATTTTTAATAAACGAAAAGATCCACACTACGCCAGTATCGGGAAAGAAAAGGAAAGTTCCATGCGCGAGTCCAAATTCCAAATTCACGGGGTATCATTGAATAAATACTTCGTAGAAAAAAAAAACTCCCAGTCCCTAGAGTAACCATATCCAACGCCATCACTCCTCCCAGCCAAAAACGCCATCCCATGCAATGCCCACCCAATCCAAAACCCCATCTATCCCCACCTCCAAAACGTTCCCCCCCTACTTCCTCCCCTTCCCCTTCCCCCTCCTCCTCCCCTTCACCCCCTCCCCCCGCTCCCCAACCTCCAAATACGCCCCCTTAACCTCCTCCTCCTCAAGCCCCAACCCCCCATCCCCCTGCATCTCCCTCAACCTCTCCCGCCCACTAATGAAAAAACTCAAATCCCGATTCTGCTCCTCGAGCTCCCCCTTCTCCCTCCTCAACCCCTCATTCTCCCTCTCCACCTCGTCCTTCCGGCCCTCCAGGAACCGGATCCGCGTCATCAAACTCTCATTCACCACCCTCTCCTCCTGCACCTGCTTCGTCAACCGTCGCGCCAGCTCCGCCGCCTGCGCAGCCTTCTTCTCCTGCCTCGCCGACTCCTTCTCCAGCGTCCGCATCTGCTGCGTCGCCTCTTCGTGCCTCCTCTTCAGCTCCGCCAACTCCTTCTCCAACCCTCCCACTTTCCTTTCCGCGCTCTCCGCCGCCGCCACCGCCTTGGCCGCCTTATCCACCGCCCTCTGCACCTGCTCCTCAAAATACATGCGCTGAGACTCCAACTGGCTCGTCAAGAGATGCGCATACTCCATGCCCATATTATCCAGCTTCTCCCGCGGCACACTCTCGGCCCCCGTCACCGCCGCACCATCCATGTCCCTCAGGGTGGAATTCGAAGCCGGTAGATCGACCAGCTTCCCATCCGCCTGATGCTGCAGGATCCGGTGCACGTACCCATCCCCCGCATAGTCCCAGATATGCTGCGTCACAATGTCCATGGCGAACGAATGCCCCGTCTCCTCGTAGTGCGCAAACGCGTGAGCGGAGTCGTACCGGCCGCACCCGATGTTGCCGCAGATGAGGCAGATCCACAGGTTCTCCGTCGAGGCGCAGACGCTACATAGCTTCTCTTTCTCAGGGTCCCAGGACTCGCCGGCGCGGGCGCCAAAGGCGTCGTGCTGAGTGTAGCGGCAGACGGGGCAGCCGCTGCCGCGCCATTTCTCGAGGCAGGCGCAGTGGAAGACGTGTTGGCAGAGGATGGTGAGGAGGCCGGTGGTTTCGTCCATGCGCTCGAGGCACACGGGGCAGGTGGGGAGTTCAACGAGAGAAGGGGTGGGCGGTGCGAGAGGTTTGGTGGTCAGTGAGGATGCCAATGAGGACTCCACCGGCGAGGCGCCTGTGGGGGCCGGAGCGGTGGGTTGGTTGCGGGGGGCTGGAGTAAATGGGTCGTTGGTCAGATCGGGGTAGCTCGATGTGTCGGACTTGGGGTCTGTCGTCTGGAAGTTGATCGATTTGACGAAAACGACATGGCAGTACTCTGACTAGAGAAACGGTCAGCTGATGGATCGTTACAGGAGACTGGAAGCTCTTTCACCTACCTCCATGCTATTGAAAGCCCTCCCATTCCACTCCTTCCTCCACTGCCGCGCCTTCTTCGCCTTCCGAAACTTCATCAACACCATGTACTTGTTCGCCCTGCTCGTCTTGATAAGTCGGAAATGGCTGACATCCTCCCTCGTCTGCTCCCCCACAAAGCCCAGAAAATCCGCCGGCGTCATATACGACGGAACCGCAAGGATACACAGCGTCGTGCAATCCTCCTCTTTGAAGTCCTTCGCCGACGCTCGCACATCGTCATAGAGCCCGGGTGTTTCCTGTCCATCCCGATACAAGTGAACCACTCCCCACCCCACATCCGTGTCCTTTACATTTAGAGGTATGAAGCTCCCCTTTGTAGCCAAACCCCCAGCGTTGGGTGTCCGAGATGGTTGCTTCTGCGACTTCGAACCAGACCGACTTTTCGCGTCCCCAGCACCAGGCATATCGATGCTTTGAATTGTGATGCAGTCGTACCTCCAATCCTGGGCTGCGGAATTGCTTGCTCCACGATATGTTTTTCTCACGGGGGATTGAGGAAAGGGCACGAGGGTACTGGATTCTGCCGGCCCAGAACCCTTTCTATGATATGCAGAGGGAGATGAAGAATCGACTGGTTTCGCGCCGGAGGACTCAGATGGAGCGTCAGAGGCGTTCTTAGAGTGACCGGGGAGGTTGGAACGGAAGATGTCGGTGTTGGACCCTACAGCGAAGGTAGGCGAGTGGATCTCAAGGGTGATGTGGAAGAAATACGCAGGCATGAGAACGGTGCGTCCAGTCTGCGCATTTCAGTATGGGAACTGGTGATGGATCTTGCGAGAGAGGTGGTGTTTGCGGTTTGGATGTCGTTGCTGGTTGCTGCTCGGCAGGTCCGATGGATGGTGGTGGAACGAACCGCGGGGAAAGGAGGCGGGTGGCATTAACGTGGGGGTGGCGCAGACAGCCTCTGAAAGCCTCCAATAAAACAGTCTGGCAGCAACCACAGTAAGAGAACCGAAGCCAACCGACAGAACTCACGATCAAACCACATGCATCAGCGTACGGATTCGCATGAGTTTTAGGAAGAGTGGAACCTTAAAGTCATGGAACAATGCTTTCATTATTCGTAATAACCAATATTCCATCCCAGCTCAAGCCATCCTCCAGGTATGACTGGCTCTTCGTTACTCCCCGAGCTATGTACACAATAAAATGAACCTGACCATCAATCACTCAAAAATGCAATGGCAATTCGTTGCCAACATCGTGTTGACCATCAGAAATCCTCGTGACGCCGCCTGGGGAATTCGACAAACCCCCTTTTTCGTATTCCGTATAACCGTAGGGGTGCAGGAGAAAAGAAAGGCGCTGGAATCGGTGTCGGCCTGGTATTCATCATCACTAAACTGGGTCTGCCTCGACGACATCCTCGCTATCCTCCACTTCTTGCCCTCTCGAGTTCACTGCAATCCTGCGTCCGAGCTGATCCGGAGGGACCCCGTCGCGAGAAGCACCAAAATCAAGAACCTATCTCAGCATTAGCTCTCTGGCGGAACGCCGTGTGAACAACTCCTTACCTCAATGTAAGTCATATTGTCCCGTTGCACAGCCGCAACGCACCGACGTTCGTTGAATTTTACCTGCCAGACCGCATTAAGATCTGTCAGGAGATCTTTCACGAATTTGCCCGTTTTGACGTTCCACATCTTCAGTGTGCGGTCTGAGCCTGATATGACCTTCTGCGCATCATGCTGGAAGCACGTGATAGCACCGGTATGCGCACGGAGCGTACTCTTGCATTCGCCCGTGTCAGGGTCCCATATGCGCAGCGTGGAATCGGCAGCTGCAGAGACGAGGCGATCGTAGCTAAGATCAAGCAGCCCGACAAGCGAAGCGTGGCCTTCTAGGTTGAACATGCATGTTCCAGTTTCAAGGCACCAGACCTTGACTGAGGTGTCCATGGAACCACTGATGCAACGATTTCGAGCGTGATCCAACACTACGCTATACACCTTCTGCGCATGACCGTGCAGCTGATGGATGGTCTCACCAGTCGAGATCCTCCAAACGCGAACGGTAGTGTCATAACTACCGCTTACCAGCACGTCTCCATGGGCTGCTATGGCGCGCACCGAATGAGAATGGCCGCTGAGAATCCGGATGAAGTAGGGGTTGTCGTTATCGTGGTACACGGGTGGTCCGGTCTGTAGGGCGGTTTTGGACCCACTCTGCGAAGGAAGCCTCCAAACGCGCAGGGTGGAATCGCGGGAGCCCGTGATGATTAGAGGCTCTTTGGGCATCATGATGGGCTGACCGTCCGCCGCCTCTCCAACCTGCGTGGGCTTGAGTATCACCAAACATCGCACCGTCGACGTATGGCCGTTGAACACAGCCGTGCACTTTCCCTTCTCGATGTCCCAGACTCGCACAGATCTGTCCGTGGAGCCAGAAACCAAAGTGTTCCCTTCATACTGTAGTGCCCAGACGCCTCCCTCATGTCCGTCAAGGCGATTACGCAAAGCTCCGGTTTTGGTATCGTACACGTTGATGTTCGTGTCATCGCTTCCCGTCAGGATCTTGTCCGTGTCAAACTGAAGGCAGGTAACGACGTGGCGTTGGTGTGCACGGAAGGCAATGTGTTTGGGTTTGGAATCCTCCTCCATCCAGCTTTTCCTGATCAGATGGTGCCGCTGATAGATCGATTTGAACAGATGCATACACCGCAAGCTTTCCAGGCCGATGTTGGGGCTTGGCACCGCTGCGACGGCTATTTCTGCGAGGACATTGGGCCCTTCGTGAAGCGCTGGTTTGCGGAAAGAGGCAATTTTCGACCGCGACGAGTTATCCCCCTTCTTTCGCTTCCTTGAGGAGCTTTGCTTTGTTGTGGCTTTTCGCTTCAGCCGACCAGATGATGATCGAAGCGCCAAACGGTCGCTGCCAGAGAGGGATGCGAGCGAAGAAGTAGTAGTGGCATAGTCTGCGTCGGATCTGGCAGCGCTCGAGGACGGTCGCAGGTCACGCTCCCAACTCTCCGAAGAATGGGGATATTGCCACCCCCAGCCTTCCTTAATGGCACGCTCAAGTTCACCCGGAGGTAATGTATAGCCATCCCTCTCGAACAGCTCTTTCCAAGCCGCCTCGTCAGTGTCTATGATGGTTCTCCACTTCTTCGACACTTGCGCCGCGTTACACAAGCTTTTGAGATCCAGGTACCGTATAATGTTTAGACTGAGCTCTAGCGGAAGAAGATCAAGGAAGTCGCATTTCAAAGCCGTATTGACTGTATCAGCAACGAAATGCAACGTGGGTCTGGGGCATCTCCGAAGCATCTCATACAGAACAAATGTCTTCATCTGGTCAGGAAGAGCATCAAACGAATCGATCATGCTGGGTATACTCATGAGGGTTGGCGCCGATGAGGCTTCGGCACTCACGGCCGTCTCGTCAGAGAGCCGTGCGAGATCAGTTGGTATCAACTGGTCTCCTTGGGCAGACCGCGCAAGTCGAGTAGCATCACGACTCGAAACATGAGTCAATCCACCACCCCTTCGCCCAGGGCCACCAGTAAATACCGCGCTATGGTTGTGGGCCACATGTGCAGCGGCAGTAATAGGAGATAGACTCGGGCTCGGTAAGCAGACATCTTGAGCTGAGACTGTGTCGAGGGGAGGAAGCCGTCTAGGCCGCACCGAGGGCCCTCCGAGGCCGGGAGAGGCAATATAGGGAGTCTCAACCCGCCCATCGAGGAATGACTGGTCATCCGTGTCGGTCTCCACCAATGGACGGATAACACCCAATCGGTCGTCATCGCCCGGCGGTAGCATCGAAGTGGAGCTACCCCTCTCCTGCTCCCAGACGGAATCCGGGCGCTCTAAGGTTTCTTCCATCCTTGTGAATGACTTATCCACCGGAGGAGTTTCAGCAGGTCCCTTGGGCTTGGGTCCCGTAGTAGAATGAGGAACACCCGCAGGCGCATCTGGCAAAACGCCCGTGTCCGTATCTGGCGTGACGAGAACCGGATCTACGGCATCCTCTATCGTAAAGGAGCCTTCGCGGTCTCGCGACCGTGGCCGTTCTCGTGGTTTCCGATGGTGTCTTCTAGACCGTTGTCTGCCAGCCATCTTGGCAGCTACAGCGAGCGAAGGCGGGCTCCTTTCATAAGAAGCGGCCGAAGGTGCGTCAGGAGGTCCTATCCAATGTACACTTCTAGGTAGAGCTGCGGATCGAGCGTGGGCCGGGGTGGCAAAGTCGGGTTCAGAGATGTGGGTTGTCTCCGTCTTCAACTGCCCATTTGAAACATCCAGTTCGCTGTTCAATTCATGGTGCTGTCCCAGTGAAAAAGTTAGCTATGTTTGAGAGTTGCAAGCGGAGGGTCGGGTTGCGCCGCCCCTTGTTTCGCATACCTCCAGCAGTGCGTCTCTCACCCCTTCCTCGTTGTCCACCGTTTGAAAGAGAGCGTCATGCCCGTTGTACTTGAAGCGAAACCGCTCGATAACTTCTGGCGGCCGGGCCGAAGCGAGTGGATATTGCCGTGGATCCCTTTCCCTCAAATTTTCCGGTGGGTTTATAACGAGCGGAGGTAGGGTTATGTAGGTCCTAGTGGTCGTGGTGACTACAGTCGTCTTGGTAGGGCGTGCAAGCCTCAATTGGCCAACACTGCTGCTACCTGAGCAGGACACTCTGCGTCTCCGTGCATGTTGTGAGCTTCCCTCGGGCGGGGGCCAGCAGGAGTCTCTAAGGGACATGTTGCGGGATCCGCGAACACGAGGGAGGGCCGATGGCGAAGAGTGCCCTGGTGGGCTAGATACACGTGTTCGTTACCGGCGTGAAGTGACGTACGGTCTGCGGTCGTGTGTTGCGTGTGTAGAGGCAGTCGAGGCGGCGGAGGCGCGCCGATGGCACGGGCAGGAGCGCGTCAGGATGAGTCTGAAAGTTGAAACCACATGGGCTCGAAGAACAAAAGTAGGCAGGCTCTGAGGAGCTATCGACTAAGTAGTGTACACTGCTAGTATAAGCTCTCTGAGTATAGTTTTCGTTTTCTGGGCCCCGTCGAACCCGCTGACGGACCGAGATGGAAGTCAGGAGAAGATGGCAAAACAGCAGCAGCAGAGCAAAGGGCCAGTAGAGAGTGAAACGAAGGCAGCACGCGGAGAGGAGAATGTCAAGGAAATGCGCAGTCGAGGTCACGCCGTGAGGAAGGGAAAAGGCGGCACCTTGGTGGTGGTGTAGTTGTGCGAGGTTGGGAGTGGGGAAGGGTGAGAGTGTGCAGAGGTGGAGATGGAGGTTCGGGGGGGCTTGGTGCTTGGTTGGGTCGGGTCCTGCTTGGCACCAACCGCCGCTCCATGCTTATGATTTACAGGGAAGGCTCGCCCCGACCGCTTCACCAACGCGTCAACCTACCTATACATTTTGAAGGGGGAGACACCCATCTGTTCAACAAAGTACGCATTCCGTATGTGTTGCAGTCACAGAATCAAAGCTGTGTATCATCAAGCCTCTGGAGGCGGCGCGTCGCTGCGGCGCAGGTGAGTTGGATCTCTTGGGAGACGCGGGCCTCCACGGTGCAGATTTCTTTGTCTTGAAGACAGGATTTATCGCAGAGTAGCCTGCCCGCGTCGGCTATTGGAAAGGGATGTATTGGCCGAACCGCTCTGATTCCCTAATAGTACTTTGATGCCGCAGGGCAACCACGCTCATGTTGAAGACGGTGGCGATCCGAAATAACTACCACCAAGTCACGTACGGGCATGTTGCAACTTTCTATCAACCGTATACTTGGTACGGCGCGGTGAGTAGTCTAGAAGCGACGAGATATTGTCTAGGAAGGCATCCATCCTTTTAGTATGAAAAGCATCATCAGGAAGTCAGAGCCGAACTCTGGTATCTGATAGTGTCGAGATAGGCAAAATTTGTTACAAAGGTGTCGATGTAGCATGGATTTATTTATAGAGAGTATCGTGAGGCATCCACTCTTTCCCAGTGAAGCCGGGCCATTCAGGAGTGATCCAATCATCGGCCAGGGGACCGGGAGAGTCTAGCTGAGAAGTCATGGTTCAAGAATACAAGTGCGTGACCTGCCCCATTATTGTCTGAGCTTGGCTGGCAGTGAGAAACTCGTGGCATCAGAAAGTCCTGCGAGTAACGGCTGCGACCCGTCAACTGATAGGAGCAGTGACTGTAGTCATTTACTGGGTATGCTCAGTCAGTACCACCGGGGACAAGACAAAGGACCGAATTTGGCAACAATGTCGCAGCCCAGCTGCTCGCGACAGAAGCAAGAAAGATGGTTTCCCGAACACGAGCGGTGGCGTGTATGCCACGAGGTGGTTTTGACACAGGGGAGAGCGCCCAGATGGATAATGGCGGGCCTGTGGGTGCTGGCTGATGCTGACCTCGGGATGGTTGGAGGACTGGTTCCGGATGAAGTGTAGCTACGGCGGAGAAACCTTTCTCCGTTTATGGAAGCTTACTAACACGGGAAAGGGGAGGTCCCTCTCCGAACTCCCGGATGCTTTTTCTGCACCGGACTGCAAGAAGGATGCGAACAGGCAAAGCGTCTGCTACGCGCAGAAAAAGGAAGTAGATGATGATCTACGCAAAGACAAGCTGTCCCCAACCTACACAGCACTTTGCAGGAACGATCCAGGACGGTGACATGTCACATGGCCGTGACGAGCCTGGCCGCATGAGGTGGTTACACAGGCAGCCAGTGCACCGTGCAGAAGTTATTAGCAGGCCCCGCTGATATCCCGATCGACGAGAATCGATTGAGACGGGGATTGGAGATTCCATTGATGGCGCGGGACGCAGCGTTCTTGAGGAGTTGAGGGTTGCACAGCCGGGCAGTTGTTGGCTACGTGACGATAAAACGTCCCTGAGGCAACCCGGGATGCGGTGAAAGATGCATGAGAGGCGTCGACCATCAATTCCAAGCCGGAGACAGTCCAGGAAAAGGAGGAGAGGGAGGAGAGGAGGAAGAGAGAAAGAAGGCCCAGATCAGGAGACGACTTTGTAAGGATACCCCAGAAAGCTTCTTAAAATGATCGCCGACTTGCACCCAATCGAGTGTGTGACCTACGGCACTAGCAGGGGATTTAGGCTTAGTTGCTTGGCCTGGCTGCTGCGAAATCGCACACCTCCTCACCTGCAGAAGAAGACCAGCAAGAGGAAACAGAAGCAACGACGCCTCATCATGGGCATGGGAGCATACATACACACACATACACTCCGTCTTCCACCATAAACTCCCTCCCATCCCAGGTCCCTCCCCAATTGTCCGTCTCCGCCTTCTCCGCACCACCACGCACGAGGCTCGTCCTGCTCCAAACCCTATCCACGGCGCTAAGAGGCCCTCCCGAGAACTCACCGTCCCACCTAAACTGCACCGTCGTTTATCGTCCTGCACCGGCTTCAGGTACACCCAGACGCCTGCCGCCTCCTAGCCACACCTAAAAGGAGTCCCCCGAGGTTTCCCCCATTCTTCTTCTTCCTAACCTCCTGGCCCAACGGCTACCCGCATGTCCCAGGCGCAGGGCCAGCGCACACGACGACAACACCCTCACACACGCCTCTCCCCCTCCTGCATTTGTCCCCTCAATATGCTTCCCTGCATGGCCCAGCCCTGCCCTTAAGAAGGTACATATCCTGAACAACCTTTCCCTTCTTCGTCTATGCATCATGCTGAATCGCTCCTTGTCTTAGACCTGAGCCACCCAAGCTCAGCCCTCCCTCTCCCCTGTATCGCACCGACATACCAGTACATCATGGGACGCGCCTCCAAGCTTGCATTCCCCCTCCCGGGCCGCAAGACGCACATCGTCGTCGAGAGAGGACCCCACGACGACCCAGACTTGGACAACCTCGCTGTCCCCGTCGACCAATGGTCACCGCGCACCAACGATCCGCCTCCCTCCTTCTCCAAAGCCGAGCGTCTGCTCGGGACCGCAAACTTCCCCTTCCGCCCCTCGTCCACGAACCATTCCTCACAGTCCTCGCTGCCCACCAGTCCCGCATACAGAACCGTCGCCGCCTCCGAAGCCAGCTTCGAGACTAGCTACACTGGCCACATGTCCTCCTCGGGGGCGAATGACGCGAGTCTCCATCCCAATCAGAGGCAGCCCTTGTCCAGGCAGCCCTCCTCGAATGTGCTCGGAAGTGGCTTCCACGATGCAGTGCGGAATGGTTCTCAGTCGAGCTCCGTCAGCCATCGGTTGGCCCCCCAAACGTCAAACTCAACCCTGCGCTCCTACTATGATCCCCACAAATCTCCATTGTCCGTTTCCCAGCAGACCTCTGCATCCGCTGTACGAGATATGGGCTTGAGGAAAGGGAAGCCCATCATCGTCCACGACCCCGACCATACTCTGCGACCCTCGTCCCGGCAGGCTGCACAGGATCTGAAGAAGCAGAACCGGAAAAGCAAGCCCACCCGCCTCGACCTCTCCAAATTGTTTCCCAAACCCAAGAGTAATGGCGTAGAGCAGCCCGTAACTGGCCTCCTATCCCCAAACAAACTGGTAAACTCGCCCTCCACCATGTCGTCGACTTCGGAACATTTCCCCCGTCCCATGACGCGCGAGCCCACCCCAAACCCCACCCTGAATGCAAACACAAGGCCTCGCGCAAAGCTGACCAAATCGCCAAAGTTGCACCAGGACCCTTCGTTGCACTCTGCGCCACGTTCGACGTCACCTACCCGGTTGTACGAACGTGACACGTACGACAATGCTAAGATTCATGTGCGCCGCCCGCCCCGCGGCATCCAGAATTGGTTCGATGGTCTCGGAGAGTCTGACGAGGATGATGAAGGGGAGAACTCTGCAGTTCCACGCTCGCTTCATGCCAACGGATCGCACTCCGGTCTCACCAAGAAGAACTCCTTCACCCCAGGGGCCGCTGAGGGCCATCGGAGTACCCAGCGCGGTGATGCCGTGAGACGTGATGGCTATCCACAGTCCGGCATATATCCTAGCCATAGCTTCCACCCTCCCAGCCAGTTTTCGACTCAAAGTCAGACTTCCTTGGGCACCTGCAGAACTAAGGAGTCTGCATTCTCGAAAACCAATCTGCAGGACTCTAGCGTACTGTCGTTTTCCTCCTCGTCCGAGGATGAAGGAGGCGAAGAACAGAGGAAACCCGCGAATCCGTTCAGGACCCGTGACAGCATCGGAAGCACGGATTACCAAGGGGAGATTATCATAGGGAAAGCCCAAGCCTACGATGTCCGGCCTTTCTCCAATGGACGAAGAACTTCAGAGTCCAAGATGAGTATGCGTACGACGTCCACAACTGCTGCGACCATCGAAGTCATGTATACTCCCGAACCGCATTACCCCCAAACCTTCCCCAGGCCATACGGAAGCCGGAGGTCCAGTCATGTTCGCCAGCCTTCCATCATCCCCGAGGACGCAGGTGAAGATGTGCGGCCCAAGGCTTCGGCGCAACGGCCCTTGTCCCCATCATCCAGCATGCGCAGTGGGCGTACGTCGACCAGCGAATCTAGGCGAAATGGGCATAAGCTCATGGCTGTCACGGAAGAAGAGGAGGCTTTGTTGGAGATGATGCGTCGGAAACGGGCTGCCATGGCCAAACACAGCTTCGTCGAAGGGTACAAGACGGCTTTGTCGCAAGAGACACGGCAAAAGACACCGCCCGAGAGCAAGTCCCTTCGGACGTCCGCTTTCCTGGCGAATGAGTCTCCCACCGGCAGCCCGGCTCGTGCACCGAAGCCCGCATCACGCGGCTCGATGACCTCGTCGCCGTTGCTGCAACCCCCTCCCCGCGGCCGGCCAAGCCGTTTCACGCAGGACTTGAACGCGGGTGCAAGTGTTCTACAAGATAACTCTTCGTGCGACGAGGCGTCTAGCCGCCGAAATACCCCATCTCCCTTGACCATGCCCCAGCATCAATTACCCATCCCTCCAGAGTTCTCCTCACTAGACATCTTCCCGTCGTCGGCGGCCACCCCAACGGAAGCGAGTATCGCATCCCCTACCACGACCGATCATCCCTCGCCGATACCCTCTCCCGTCACCCCTGGCTTACGTCAGGGCGAAGTTGAGGTCGACGTCAAAGTAGCTGGCAGCGAACCCTCGTGCAACGGCGACAATGAAGAGATTCCCGTCCTGGAAAGCGGAGTCATCCATCCTCCGTCGGGAAGCCTCAAGCCCGGCGAGGACGCTGGCGACGCTCAGACTCGCCCTCAGCATCTCCGGCGCCGCACGGCCAGCAGCGACGCACACATCACGCTCAGCCCCGTCCTAAAAGCTTTCCCCAGGCCTGACGCCCACAAAAACATGGCCGCTGCTGGCTCGAAAGACCTTACACCTGTATCCGAGACCTCTTCACGTCCAACAAGCATTGCGGGCGAGCCCCAACTGCCCCGCAAGAGCTCTCGCCGTTCCAACAAGGTGCTCAAGGTCAACACAACGCCTTCCCTCGGCACGAACAGTGGCCTGCACTCTGTGCCGACGGCATCTCCCGCAAGGGGCTCGACAGAACGGCGCAAGAGCAAGGCGATTAGCCGTGGGAGCAGTATCAGCAGCGGCAAGAGGGATAGCTTTGCTGTTGGTTCGAGCACGCGGTGCAGTGTCAGCGAGGACGTGCTTGCTGCGTGGGGGAGCCTTGGCGGGTGGAGGGACTTCGATTCAGGGAGAGCTCAATGAAAGGATTGTCTCCCACGATGCATGCGCGGCATGTTTCCGAGCTCGCTCTTTTGGCAATGGCTTTTTTCCGTTTTGTTGCGCTGCGCATCGCTTCCATCGTTCATGGTTTCTTTCTCATTCACTGCCGTACATGTTACGCAGCGCCCACCACACAGTAACGAATCTCCTTTGTCTGTTCCGTCCTCATTTTTTTCGCATTGTATACTTATATAGGCATTTGGTATTCTGGTTTTGAGGTGTAATATCGCGTCGCGAGCGCTGGTTTTGCTGCGAGAATTGTTAAAGGGGGTTTGGTATGTAGGGTACGCAAGGGCACTTTTGGTGCTTCCCCATGGAGAGGTTAGAGCTGCCTGAGGATGTAATATAATACCACAATATACAATGGACTACGACTACTCGTTACCTCTGTGCTGCAATCCAAATATGGGCCTCATCACATCATTACCTTGGTACTTAGGTAATCAATTGAACTTCACGTGATGTCGCGCCCCGCGCCGTCGCCTAGGAAACGCGCCTCTCCGCCACGACAAACAACAAAGGCGCAGGGATTCCTGCCATCGTCCGAACAACCCTTTTCCCTGTCCTGTCCTGTTCTGTCATTTTCATAGCTACCTACCGGTATGCGTCAGCTGCAATCGTCTGGATAGAATCAGGCCTTCCATTGGGATTTGGCTTGTTTATATCTTTTGCTCACATTGCGAAATTCCATCTTCACCCGAGATGATGGATGCCCTTACCTCCAAGCCACCTGCCGCGGGACACAGGCGCAACAAATCCGCCGCCGTCTTCAAATCCATGCTCTCCCCAACGAAGAACCACAAGCGGAACCCCTCAGACGGAACGGCGCTGAAAGCCAGCACCAGCAACATTGAAAACATTCCTACTCCAACAACGACGCCGTCAAAGCAACCATCGAAAGAAGGGCCCACCAAGTCCCTGCACAAGAAAACGAAGAGCTCCCTATCCCTGCGCTCGCTCGGGAAGTCTAAAGACGGTCGGTCACGAGATGCGAATCGCGGGCAAGACAACCGAGAAGATACGCCGAAGAAGATGAAGTCGACAAATAACCTGGCAGCGATGCTGGGGATATCCAAGTCCAGAGACGCTGCCGCTAGGAGCGCAGCGCTCGCCAAGGAGAAAGACAAAGAGAATACCACGCCACCTCCGTCGTCCGCCGCAGCAGAGCCTACATACACACCCATCTGGGCGCAGTTCAGCTCGCAGCCTTTGCAGGAGATTTCCACGACGACCAAGGTGCCCTTGAATGACCGGCGGAGTGTCGAGGATGAAATTAGATTGTACACACCTTCACACTACTCACCGTCCAAGCAGCGGAACTTCGGCGCCTATGGGGAGGTTCCTTCGCTGAAGCAGCAGCAGAAGAGGCCCGGATTGGGGGAACGACCGAAGTCGACGTTTTTGCCGAGTACGGGTTCGAATGGGTTGTTGGAGGGTTTCACACGACAGAGGGGGAATGAGAGGGGCGTTGGTGGGGACGGGAAGGCGGTCGGAGAGAAGAGTAATGGCTCGACCACCCGGGACATGCTTAGACGATCCAACTCGGATAGCTCTAGAAAAAAGGTGGAAGCCAAACAGCCCGAGCCGGAACTTAAGAGGACGAATCGGGTCATGGCTGCTGTGGCTGCGTTGAATGGGAAGGCGAGGGAAGCGCAGGCGGGGCCAACATCGCCAACGAAGCTGGATCCGCAGGCCGTGGAGGCCGAGTTTGAAGCTGTGCTTGTGAGCCTTGCCCGACTGTTGTTGCTGCCAGATACGCTGACGATGTGAACAGGAATCGCGCAACATACCCCAGCACCAGCGAACTGCTATGCGAACGTTGAAGCTAGAGGTCAAGGCCGACTTCGTCCGAACTCACAAGTTGGAGACGCCAACAGCGTCCCGAGCTGCTTCAGGACAGTCCGTTGGCGGCGACTCGACGGGATGGAAGTCTGTCAAATCAACATTGAGTAGTGGACGTAAATCCCAAGACTATCCGGATGAAGAACGAGAGGCTGTCGGTACAAGCGGGAAGTCCTCAAAGCGGGAACGGCCACTGAGTAAGACTTTCACATGGGGCAAAGGGGATTCGCCAGTCAAGAAGCAGAGAGCCGAGGCAGAGAAGAAATCCAATAGATCAAGTGCGATTCCGAAGTCGCCTTCTATGCGATCGCTCATTTCGAATGGTTCGGTCAGGTCAGCAAAGGGCGTGAAGCCCGCGAGTCCTGATGAGTTCGTCACGTACATGAGAAACACGGCGAAGGTCGAAGATGTGGAGGTCGGTCGTCTGCATAAGCTTCGGCAGCTGCTGCGCAATGAGACTGTGGACTGGGTCAACATGTTCGTGCAAGAGGATGGCATGACAGAACTGGTCAAGCTGCTCCACAGGCTCATGGAGGTGGAGTGGCGAGAAGATCACGAGGACCAGCTTCTTCATGAAGTCCTGCGCTGTCTCAAGGGGCTCTGCACCACGGATTCGGCACTCAAACAACTCGCCGAGGTCACTTCGACACTGTTCCCCGCCCTCCTTGCTATGCTATTCGACGAGGAGCACAAAGGCCCCAGCGAGTTCACCACGCGCGAACTCGTCATCCAGATCCTCTTCGCCCACCTCTCCACAGCTTCGGAACCGGAGCGCCACGCGCGCGCCCGAGAGCTGCTCACGTACCTGAAAGACCCTATTAAGGAGAAGGAGTCTTCGACCATCCCGTTCATATTGCAAATGCACCAACCCCGTCCGTACCAGGTGTGGTGCAAGGAAATCACCAACGTGACCAAAGAAGTCTTTTGGATCTTCATCCACCACCTCAACGTCATCCCGCTCCCCAAATCCGAGGACGAGGATCCAGCCAGCACCACCAGTACAACTCCAAAATCCTACTTGAAAACACACTTCCCCGGTCCCCGCGCCATCGTGCCTGCGGCCCCTTACGTCGGCGGCGTCGAGTGGGACGCTACCAATTACATCGCCACGCACCTGGACCTGCTCAACGGTATTATCGCGTCCCTGCCCACGAAGGAGACGCGGAACACGCTCCGGTCTGAGCTCAAGGTGTCGGGGTTTGAGAAATTGATGGGCCATTTGAGGACGTGCAATCCGAAGTATTACGGTGCGGTGCATGATGCGGTTAAGGTGTGGGTCAAGGCGAGTGTGGATGATGGGTGGGATGTTAGGGCTGTGAGGATGGGGAGTGCGGAGGGCAAGGGTGTCAGTCCGGTTAAGAGTAGTCCGAGGAAGAAGGTTGAGGAGGCGCCGAGGATTGAGATTGAGGCGCCGAAGATGGATTTGGGAATGGGGCTTGGATTGGGGCTGGGGTTGGGGTTGGGGGATGTAGGGTTTGGGGAGGGGAAGGAGAAGGAGAAGGAGAAGGGGATGGGGAAGAAGGTGGATGATTGGATTTGAGAGGCGGGAAGGGGAGAGGGAAAGGTAGGTATGGTATGGTAAGTCTTGGTCGACGGCGTTGGATGGATGGATGGATGGACGGTGCTGCTGAGGAGGAAGGGAGTCCTTTGGATCAATTGCGCCGCCCCCATGTTCATCTCCGGCGCAAAGAGGGGTTATGTGTTTGGGTCGGGTTTGGGTGTTTGGGCTGCACGGGTTTCCTCCTGTTTTACTTATCGGATCTCTCAAGTTTTCTCTATTAATACGCTCGCTTATGATGGTATGAGATACGGCTGTTTTTCCTTCTGGTTTGGTTTCTTGGCTTCCCTCCCCCTTTTTCTTTTCTTTTCTTTTGGGATGAAGAGGTTAGTTCTGGTGAGTGGAGGAGGGGGGGAAATGAAGAGAGAGAGGGACGGAGGTATGGACGGAGGTATTGATGGTTTGGGGATGGGGATGGGGATGGGGAGAAGGGGGGGTAGGGAGTGTTTGTTACTTGGTCATGATGGATCTATAGTCTAGCGCGAATTATTCGTGTCGTGGGAGTTTTTGCAGTGGCTAGCTGGCTGACGGAATTGAGTGAGTGGGTGAGTGGTGGCTATGTGTGTTGAGTGAGTGGGTGAGTGGGCGAGTGTTGGGTGTGTGTGAGAGAGAGAGAGAGTGAGTGTGTGTGGGTGGGTGTGTGTGTGTGTGGGGGTGGGTGTGTGTGTGTGTGTGTGTGTGTGTGTGTGCGCTTTTGGGCTGGGTTTTGGTTTAGGTGCTGTGCTGTTGGAGAGTTTAGGATTTTAAGGGCGGGGGTAGAGGGTTTTGTGGATGGATTGTCTGGTTCTTGTCTGGTTAAGTTTTTTTGGGTAGAGGGCGTGGTTAGTATGTGTCTACCTATGTACGTAACTTAGCTAAACTTCTATACTCTTTCTACTAATGACAATCTTCTCTAAACTTCTAACTAATAACTATTTACTCCTACAGCCTCTAAAGGGTCGTAACCCTAAGGGCTTGTTACTATACTACGCTGATTCCACCCCCGCATCACCCTCCTGTATCACATCGGACAGTTTGCGCCACTCCATCGCAATACTGATAAGCAAAGCAACGACCAAACTCGCCAAGGCGGACCAAAACACATTCCGCATTGCGTCTCCAAATACACGGACCACCTGATCCAGTAGCTGTGATGGTATCAGCCTTCTGAAGTCCTTGACGCCCGCCTCCACTACCGCCGCGCCGTCCACACCATTGATCTTCCCTAGACCTCGTAGCAAACTGTCGGTGAAGACGTTCTGAGCGATACTAGTCGCCAAAGCACCGCCCAAGCTCTCGAAAAAGAGGACAAGGACGACGACCGTTGGTGTGTTTTCTTTGCTTGAGACTGCCTGTACTGCCACGATAGGTACCTGCCCGCAAACGCCAAAACCGATGCCTGTGATAATCTGGTATCCCACCCAGCGCGACGCGTGACTGTGTAAGTCGAGGAATTGGAAAAGCGCCACACCTACGGCGAGGATGGGAGTACCTATCCACATGAATGGGACGTAGTATCCTACCTTGGAGACGATCCAACCGCAGGCTAGAGTGCAGACCGTGCTGGAGATTGCGAAGGGAAACATGTAGATGCCCGAGTCTCTGGCGCTGGTGTCCTTGACGGACTGGAAGTAGATGGGCCAGTAGTACGCTTGCACAGCGACGGCGAGTTGGAGGAATAACATGAAGCCGGTGGATGCACAGACGGTACGGTTTCGAAAAAGATGGAGGGGGACAGTGCAACTGGTTGGGCTCCGTCAATGGAAATCAAGACGAGCTCGCCAAGGCGGGGGGACTCACCTGTTCTGGTCCTTTATTTGTATCCATACGAAGAGGGTAAGAAGCAAGCCGAAGCCGATGAAACAACCATAGACCTTCGCATCGGACCATGGATAGACGATTCCGCCCCATTGCAGAGCAAGCATTAGGCACACAACTGAGGCGATGAGAACGGTAGCGCCTGGCAGATCTAGTTGGCGTATCTTTTCCCTGGGAGGCAGTCCCGCTTTAACCGCCGGGGGAGGTTTGCGGAGCGTGTACCATATCTGCGCCAGTGCAATAGCTCCGAATGCTGGTGGTCACTTAGCGCCCTAAGTATGATAACCGGGTGCATACTCAGAGTCACTTACGAAGATTGATCCAGAAGCAGAACCGCCAAGTCAAGGTGGCATTGTCAGTGAAAACACCACCCACGAGCGGCCCCAAGATCGATCCGATGCCGTAGACGAGGGAAATGAAGCCCATGAGTACAGGACGTTTGACCAAGGGGAGGCAGTAGGAAACGATAATGGCAGCGCCACCCATCGATCCCGCGGCCCCTATGCCTGATACGGCGCGCCCTACGATGAGCGTTACCGAGTTCTGGGCTATAGCGCAGATAACGGAGCCAATTTCGAAGACGAGGAGCAGAATGGTGTACGACCATTTGACATCGTAGAGAGTGAAAATGCGGCCGCATGTAGGTAACAGAGCCATTTGCGTGATCCTGTAGGCCGAGGCATACCAGCCAATGTCGTTGAGGCTGTTGAAGTCGCTGGTGATCCGGGGAATGGCAGTTGCTGTTTTTTGTGGTCTGTCAGAGGAGCAACTACATCATCTTACGATCCGGAAGATCGATGCGTACCCAGAATTGTGTTATCGAGAGATAACATGAAGGCGGAACTCGTCAAGGCGACGGTCAAACTCCAGAGGGCCCAGCCATCCAAGTAAGCAGTGGTCTCTTCATCTGTCGCTTCGTTGGCTTCGGGCGCTTCTTCTGTTGCCGTCAGGCCCCGACTTTCGATTCGTTTTTCGCCGACAGCAACATCGCTTTGGTCTTGGGTCGTGGCAGGCATAATGATACTGAAACGACAGAGGAGGGAGGATACGTATCTAGACTGCAGTGCGAACCACAGAAAACCGAGTATCGAAATTAGGATGCCAATGAGGGCAAACAGTTAATGCGAGACTGGAAGCGGTTATTTCCTCCCTTGTCACCGTGGGTGATTATGAGCAACACGGATAAGACCATTTTGCGCTGATTATGACGAACACCTGTGCTGCGCCGCACACATACTTAGCCGTTGGGTATTCCTCTCACTTGGTCTCGCAACTCAACTCGCCTTCTCTCCGGCTTACGTGACACTCGCATCCCATGGAGGACTATGAAGCCGAGCGGGATCAATTCAGACACTTGCTGTAGAGTATGTTCGCGCGAATGTAGGTTACCCAGGGGCAAAGGGGGGAGGGGAGATCGCAAGACCTCAGTATTACTGGCAGCCGTTAAATCCAAGCTTTAGTATATTTTCATAGAGATGCTGATTTGGTGTTTCGGGTAGCGTGCGCGTGTTGGAGATGCCTTGGTTAGCATTACTATGTGCTGTGCCGTTTCAGTCATGCCGCATTGGAACACCCCGCAACGACTACAAACTCCCGTCAACAAACCTTCAACAAGTGAGGCTACTCCCAAACAATGGATCAAATCCCTCCCGAGATCCTTGCGAATATCATCAATTGCCTTGGCGGCGAGGAGAAGCTGACACCGTACGCCTCCGTCTCGCGGCAATTCAGATCCGGCATCGAAAGGCGGACATTCAGGACTTTATCCCATCTCAAATCTACAGACCTCGATTTCCTCTCCGCCGCCTTTCTAAATCACCCCCTAAGACGCACATATCTCAAGTTTCTGTGTCTAACCGTCGTGCTACCTCCTCTGCAAGCCTGCTGTCCCGTAACGCAGATCCCGGACCGAGACGCGGATTCGGCGACGTACTCCGCTGCTGTGCGCAAGCTCTTTTCTATTCTGAGGAAGATTGATGATGTGGTGGGGGATATTGGGCAGGATGGTTTGGAGTTGTGCTTCGCGACCGTGGATCCGCCCTCGTATAGTAGTCACCGGATTTGGTGTCGTACCCATAACCGCCGGGACATTGTTGGGGCGATAGCACGTTCGGGTCGTATTACTTTGGCGGGTGCGGATGAGCTTCCTTTCCTGAGGGGAGTCGGTTTGTTCCTCTTCATGGGGTCGCATGATTTCAGTTTTGTGGAGCCGGGCGTGAGTTTGGAGGTGGCGGGGAAGATGCCGGATTTTTCGTCACTGGTCGTTTACCTAAGAGACAGTTTCACGTTGGGACGAGTCAGGAGGATTGCAGAGAGACAGCGTGAGGTTTGATTCCAGCTTTGGTGCTGCATCGAGAAGCTAATGGAGACGCAGAATTCGTGCAAGCCCTGCGGAGCTACCGACCGGATCATCTACACAACTTCAAGATTTACTTCCCCTATGAACAAATCGGTAATGAAGAATCAAAGGTTCAGCAGCTGGCACCGCCGGATAAGTGGGAGCAGGATTCAGTGTGTATGATGATCAAGTGTCTATCTACCTGGTCTCTGCTCACGCGCCTGTATCTCCTGGGCGGCGTCACCCTCCACACCCACTTCTTCAAAAGCTTCCACAAGAACAGCAACTCCTTCGAATCGCTGGAAGAACTACTCGTAGAGTTTTCTCCAGACACGGCGGATGGAAGGTGGTTCCTCCATCGCGACGACCTCGCCTTCCGCGACTCCAAGACGAATCCCAAATTCGCCGATTTCTGGACCGAGTACCACGAAGCGGAGGAGGAAGATCGACAGAGTCAGCGCGAGCCTAACGAAGACGAAGACTTTTGCGTGTTTGAAGACGGGCCCGTGTGGACGCACGTCGTGTGGCGCCATCAGTTTCGATCGCTGCCCGATCCGGATACTTTCTTGCCATTTCTACTTGACTGCGTCGGCGCGCTTCGCTGTCTGCGGAAGTTGCGCATGTTCCGCTTGAAGCTTAGGACGAGCGGGGTCCGCGGGGAGACGAGACTGGATTATGAGTCTTTGTCAAGAGTGTTTGACGTTTGGTATTTGAAGGCTGGGACGGAGTTGAAAGGGGATTGGAGGGATCGATTTCCGAAGGTTAGGTGCGACGCTCGGTATCTGGGGAGGGATAGGTTGTATTGGCGGACGGGGACGTGGACGCCGTGGGATGAAGTGCAGGAGGTTTGGAGGGAGTTTGTGGGGCATGATGCAAAGGGTTGTGTTTTTCAAGGAGGAAGGTTGGGATTACTATGATGCGGATTTGTACACGGAGGAGTTTTGAGTGAGGGGGTGACTGGTACATGATAGGTTCAGGTCTTGCTCCTTATTGGCATTCATTCTGTGTTGATCTGCCCGTCTAAATAAGTGACCTCGAGTTCCAGCGGTGCCGGTGACTACAATCTGCGAAGTAGCTGGTCAAACTATGTCTAGAAACAACTTTTTAGACGAGAAAAACTATTACATCCTCCTAGTTGCGTGAAGTCTCGCCTGCTCTCAGCAGTTACAATGCGGCTTCGAAAATCCTCGAGGCTAATAATGCAGTCATTGCAAGAACTCTTCGATCCAAAGGACACAACCAAACCCTCCAACGATCTTCCATCCATGATTCATCAATCCAATGTCGCGGATCCCCGAGAACCGTGTTTAGAAACATTTGAGCTTAGGTAATTATAGCGCCGCAAGCTGCGCCGCAAAAATGGTCATATCCATATCAACCGCTGCGGGGCTGCAAAGTGAACGTCGCGTGCTTCGCCCACCTCTGCTTGGGGGCGGCTGGATGCCTACACCGTAATTCTATAGCCCGATTTGATGGAAGAGTATCGCTCGCACCTGCGACCTCGTGTGCCTCTTCTTTTGCTGCAAGGTCTGCAGGATGCCCATGCCGCATGGAGGACCTGAGCAGTTCAAGTCAAGCCGCATCCTGGGAGCAAGGTGTTCGAAGCTGAGAGGGTAGTCTACCCCTGGGATGACCACGTAACAGAGAGATGTTTACTATGAGGGGTTATAGGGATTGCCTATGAACAACCGTTCGTATCGTCGTACTCCCACACCCTTTACCTTGTCAAGCCTAGAAACCGCTTCCAACCCAAGGTATCGACTGGTACCTCGGGCTCGTACTTTGGGGCGAGACGTAAAGAAGATAGGCTGTGGAATGCGCATTAGGAAGATCATGGAGGGGTTCGGTACTATACCTGAGGGAGGCATAGGTTAGACCCCGGCGCATTCTCCCTGACGGCATGCCGTGCCGCACAAATTCCTAAATTTACACACGGTATATCATGAGAAGCGCTTACACCTCATTTGAAGTGGCGTGTCTGTTTCAATGAGGCGACATTCGGATGTTTCGAACCCGTCGATGGGCCTAAAGCCTGGAACGATTCCTTTGCTCCACTGTTTCTTAGTCAGGCTTCTCTGCGCCTCTAACATACTGATATGGAAGTTTAGGAAGATTCACGGGATGTTTCATGAAAATTGTCCGGCCTGCGAGTGCAAAAGTGGCCCATTTTGCAAGCGTTCCAGGGACGGGGATGGAACAGCAGCGCCTATGTTCAATAGATAAGCATGTATGCCGCTCTTTGCCAATCTACACAGCCATGTTTCTAACCATGGCTCGATTCCTGCTGTCTGCCGGGCTTCTGTATCCTTTCTTCACCTCTGTGCAACTTGGTGTGCGGGCAACCACGGCTGGTATTGCAAACCATCCGAACTTCCTGGGCGAAATTGCTGCCTTCCAGGATTATGAAGTTCTAAGTGTTCATCAGGAGGGCGATGAAGACGTTAGCCACCTTCAAAAGCGAGCTGGCCATGATGAAAGCTGTGAGGAAACGGATTGTGTGATGTACACTGGCTGGGAAGAGGACAGAAAGTTTACGTGTACTTCCTCTCAAAACGAAGAGGAAGAAGGAGGTGACAATCTAAATGAACGTTCCCTCGTCAACCGGGGGAGCAGGAAGTCAGAGGAGGACAAGCTCTTTTGCGCAGGAGCGAAGATATAGGGCAGCCAGGGACTAGTCCACCCTGGGCTGAGTATCTGGTCTCTAACGTGGCCGAATGTGCCTACCTTAGAATCTGTAACTGTAATCCTAATCCTGCGGTTGCCTAACTGAATCTTGCACAACAGACGTACAAACGAGCCTATGGCCTCGGTGACCCCACTTAACCGTCCAAATCAGAGTAGTTCCAGCTCAAAAGCCATGATAACAGATATAAAACGCATCCCGATAGCGTCTCCAAACGGTGCTACGATGCTGAGCATGTTTTGGAATGGAATATGCTCGCCGAGTTTCTACAGGAAGAGGGTTATAAGGATGATGCCAAAAGCCGATGTCACTCTATCCTTGAATTCTTCGAAGGGAAAATGGAAAGAGAAGACATCAAGGTAAAGGTCGCCAAAGTCTACAATAAAGCACTAGCCAAAGGTGATCATTTCGACTACGAAGAGAAAACGTTCGTTTCCAGTAAGATAAAGGATGATCCAAGACCGATAGACTGGATCACGCATCAGTGGCCTGGCACGAAGAAGGGGAACACTCCTAATCCCTGGGAATACGAACTGGTTCTTCTCATGAAGGATGTCAATATAAAAAAGGAAAACGTAAGTCTTCGCGGACGCAGCTGGGGCAATGGCGCTGATAATAGCAAGTATGGAACATGAAAGACATATTCATGAAACCTACAACGGAAAGGCGGCACGTTGCAGATGAGCCAGAAGAACCAAGCAAATAACGATACGCTGGAATGGCTCTTCGTAAGCAAGACATTCAACAGAAAAGACGGTCAAACAAAATGGCCAAAGAATGAAGGGAAATGCGCCGCCATATACTGCTTCAACACGGTGATAGGCATCGCGCAGTATCATAATAACCCTTATATACAGGAAATAATGCGCGCTCAGGTTAACCAAGTAGGGGATGCCTTCGAGTATCGGGAGACTAAAGTCTTGCCCGGCCGAATGCGCGCCGTTCCAGTATAGGAACCTCAGAGGCATTTCAAGATATAAAGAGGCTACGTTTGAGGTCTTTGTACCATTCATCAACTTCAAAATGGCTTATATCCTACATTATCTTTACCTTGTCTGCCTCTCTCTCGGATTAATTCCGAGTATTTGCCTTGTCTACCAGGATAGGTATGAAGCCCTTTGTTAAAAGACTGTATGAATAGATTCGGTCCACCGGGAGACGACTTGACCAGATATCCGGTTCACCTTGGAGAAGATCTTTTGCCGTTCTATACGGTACTTCTCAAATCGTTGTTCTTGCAGTTGATGTAGTCATTATAGCTATCTCCCGAAAAACAAACTGTATTTCTCTCCCCATTTTAGGGTACGTAATCTAAGGCTTCCTCGATCTGCTTGGCTGCTCAGCTTCAATGTACTGTTGTGTTCTGCTCTGGTTTAATCAAACGCAGGATTGTTCAGCCATTGGCGGGGACCCGCATGAAGCTATCCGCTATTTTAACTGATAGGGAATCCGCTGTCGAGCCGAGGCCGAATCAATCCTCAGATTTGGTGGCAATCAGCTTAGAGAGCATATCGCACTAGAGAGAGTGGCTAAAAACGCTCAGCATGTTTTCTCCCAAATGCTTGCCCTGTACAGCCCCTTGCGATGTATTGCTGCGGCAGTTATTGGGCCATCGTAACCGTGGCCTGTCTCTTTAGGATATGGATGAGGAGAGTTAGCGCCCTTCTCAGCCATGCTCCGCAGCAACTGCATTGATGCATCAGATCTATGCGACTCCCATCCTCTTCGCTGACAGGATGCGGGACGAGTTAAAGGTACCTTCGTCTCTTTCTTTGCGAGAGCTAGTGTAGAGTAGTTTAGTAGGAGTAGGAGACAGCAGCCTTGCCTAATCACGGGCGGGCTGACGCTAGTAAACTGCTGCCGAATCTTCGATGTTCCTGAGCAGGCCCTTGGTGCAATGGCCACGCAAAGCTTGCAGATGCCTGGTAAAAGTTTGGTTTTGAATAGGCTCCGAAGGGTTTTGAAAAAGACTTAGTATTCAATAAGTGAACAGACTCTACTTCTATAAGCGAAAAGACTTGAACTCTATAAGCTAAAGGAGTGTAATATGCTAAACGAGTGTAAAATACATAATGCTGCAGAGCAGCGCTAGAGAGGACAAAGGAAAAGCAGTCTTGTTGAAACAAGGAAAGAGGTTAGCCACCTGCACTAGTCCTCGTTCGTGTAACTAACAGAGAGATCGGCTACGGGTTCATTCTCCGAGCCCCAGAATATCCTAATCACACCGCTAACCGCTCCCGTGTCTGTGTAGTGTTTCGCCTTGCTTGGTCGATAGTACGTGAGGTCGGCTGTACAACCATCGCCCTTGGATAACAACCGGTGGAGGCCATCATTGCAGAGGTCGTAGATTCCTGAAGATAGCGCCTTGATCTCGTTCATCGCAATACCTGCGGGCTTATAGAGACTAATCAGGTACGTTGCGGTGAGTTTGCGGTTGTCCTTGAGCTGATGGCCTTGCTTATCGTGCCCCTTGGTCAGCTTATCAATAACTGTACCAACACCAGCGTCTTCTCGGAGGTGCAATTCTTCAATGATCCCTTTCATTCTGTCGCAGGCGGGCTGCACCTTTTCTCTCATATCCTCCGCCCACATGAATTCGTCATTGAGCCCATCACTGCACAAAGTCGCCTTCTTGTCCAGGAAAAGCGACTTGCCCAACACCTGCACCGTGTCGATGATATCGCGAGTCTGGACATTGTCCCCCTCCTCCGGCTCCCAAATTAGCTCCTCGTCGTCCCTAGCGACGACGGCATCGTGCTGGTTGGATTTGATTTTCTCGACACACTTGCGCATCTCCTGCGACGTGGGCGTGGAGCCGTCATTTGGGTAGCCGGAGTGAGACTCCTGGAGGCATTTGATGAGAGGCGGGTATTGCGGATCATGGCGTGGCGGGAGGGTGATAGCATGCGCTGCGGCAGAGAAGATGCCCACAGCCACGGCAATGCTGGTGGTGATAGTTTGTTTCATGGTATAAGGGTGCAAATTTGCGGTTTGTTGAGAAAGGTGTCTTGTTGAAGAGGATGGATGTTTTGTTGAATAGGATGGATGTGATGAGATGAAGAGGTGAGTGAGGACTTGTTGTTCAGAGAAAGGTGGATTATGGACCCTCTTAAATACTTTGCTACGCGTCTGCCTGCCCCCTTCCTATCAGGAGAGACTGGACGTCCGGCGTCCATGTCCAAAGCAGACACGTAGGCTAGATGGGTGGGATGGGCTGCTCTGACATGGTTGAGCAACTGGTGCGGACGGCGTGGACCGGCACAGTCTCGCGTAGATCAAGGATTGCGGTTGATATCGCCAATGTCATTAGATCAGAGCTCTCCACGTGGATAGTATTTTCACACGTAAGTCTTGTAGTAGAACAATTTGCCACGCTGCCTTCGACTATGAAACAAGACAGTGCCAGTGTCGACTGATACAAGGCTGATCAATTGATGTTGGAAGGATGGAAAAGGATTTCCAAGGCTAGCTAGGTTTCGTGCTGCTGCAACAGATGTAAGATTCTAGGGTTTCCCTTCTCCGCAGCCAATGCCTTCACCGTGGCTCGGTCGCCATCCAGCAAGTCAGAATCCTGCTTTGCGCCGCGTCGTAGAAGGAATTCCACCATGGCCTCTTGATCGTGCCGAACGGCCACATGGAGGGCAGTGCCGATGATGTCCCCGTCGTGATCACACATATCATAGCGAAGGACCGCGTTCACGTCGGCGCCCCGCTCAAGCAGGAGCTGTGCAGCTTCAATGGACCCCACTCTTGCGGCGCCTTCCAAGGCTGCCGTTCCTTGCACCACTGCGCCATGGTCAAGAAGCAATTCCATGATGGTCGTCGATCCAAGCTCAGCCGCCATGTGGAGGAAGGTGATGGGGGGAACCCAATACATCCCGTTTGGGTCTGCTCCCTTGGCAAGCAGAAAACGTATGAGTTCCAGTTTGCGATTGATAATGGCGATGCCCAACGGCGTCCCGACTCGATCCACCTCGTGATCAACTGCAAGACCAGCGTCCAGGAGCGCCTGTATAACGTCAGGTACGCCTCCAGCAGCAGCTCGATCTACGACAAGGTCGGACATGGCTGCAGCGCGCCATTCCTTGGGGATGTGGTCCCAGCGAGGAGTGAGATCGAGAAGTGGGTTCCAGGGGCCAGGAAGGACGACTGGGTTCCAGGGACCAGACGCGCCCTGCCAGTGACTCCTAGGGAGGCTAGCCATGAGATGGCGGAGACTGTTGGCATGGCCCATGTAAGCAGCCTTAGCCATTGCCATCTTCATCGGTGGATTGGTTTCTCTGGCGTCGGGGAAGGTCAACAGGCGTGCGGTACAGGCCCTGACGTCGGCCAACGCGTCTCGCTTGACCGCTTGGATCAATGCTCGTCCAGCGTTGAGGACAGTCATGGCTGTGTAGATGCGAAGGTATGAATGTATTTGTGCGCGTATGTGCGTGTGTATGTGTGTAGTACTGACACAAAAGTCGGTGCGAATCCTCCAGGGCTGAGCACGTGACGAGATAGGGTTATGTTGATGAGGCGATCAGTCTGGGTAGATACTCTGCGGGCATTGCCTTTGCCTTTATACCGTGCCGCAAATGTCTTGGCCCGAAACTTTGGGCTGAGGTCGATCCTTAACTTAGGTATCTGTCACCGCCGATTACTCAGCCGGACTCTTGCAGGAGCACCTTCCCACATCTTCCAACATCACGAAACCGTGCTACAAATGTCTTGACCCGAAACCGTTGAAGGGGCTGAGCCGTTTGGCATCCTCTCGCTTGACCGGCGCGACGCTTCCGGATCGTAGGCTCCATCTACGTGGCTCATTCTGTAAATGGGTGGAAAATGGGTTGAAAATGGGTTGAAAATGGGTATAAAAGACGTTTGGAGCCGGTCCCGGGAGTCAAAATCCAAGCATAACCACAACTCGTCTCTCCAACTCCCTGCATCTTCTTTCGCTACTCGTTCAGATACGCCATTTTTTATCCTCAAAGACCAAGCATAAGCAACACTCATCTCTCCAACTGCAACCATGCGCTTCTCTCGCATTATTACTTCTGCTCTCTGCCTGTTCAGCGTACAAGCGCTGACAGTGCCTGAGGGCAAGTCACTCAACACGCGGACGGTACCGGGAGAATTGTTCAACCATGCCAAAGAGGCTATCCGGAAGCATGCCGTTGGTGCTACTAGGACAAGTGAGTGTCTTTTTTCAACCTCTCATGCTTGAGGTGCGATCTAGGCTAATATGCAAACAGTGATGCACTCTGGCATCGGGGCTCCTCGTGCTTATCAAATTGCCAAAAGCAAAGGCTTGCAGACTGTGGAGACGACTATGGCCCTCGCAGTTTCCAAGGAGAGGGAAAAGTACAAAGACACGCTAGTCAAATTCTGCGTACCTAAAGAGCAGTACTGCCGAGGCTCTGAAAGCAAATTGGCCGAGTGGAAAGAGGCCTGGGGAGAGATATCGAGGGCGTGGGCTGAATATGCAGAGCAGAGGACTACCCTAGCAACCCACAAGGGCGGCCCTGCAACAGAAAGTTTCTATAAGAAGATAGAGGAGCCAATCCTACAGCGCAACGGAGTATCGATTACTATTGAGAACAATCACCCAAAGGGCCCGGATTAGACATAGGTCTACCTGTTGAGGTCTGGTACAAGCGAGAGATCCTTCAAATCTTTAAGATCCCCAGTATTTCGTCGTGTAGCGGGACCTCAAGCATAGCGAGCAATGGTCGAGCAGGATGGAGGCACGAGGTGGTCTGTATCGTAAGGTAGATGTGTTGTTGTATCCAAATTGAAGTGTGTTTCAAGTCCGAGATACTGCCTATAAGTACATGTGAAAAGCTGAGAAATTATCGTGTCTACTTGCGCAAGTAAAAATAGCAGACTTCATTCATCTGAACAATTCAACTCTTTGACTTGGGCCCATATACACACAATGCTGGTAATTAGGAATAGTTTCGAACATGAAAGCTCTGCCTGATTTTATTTTTTGACATAGAAGCTACCATAGGTAGAAATTGCGCTAGCTTTGAAGGTGGCAACTTCGATCATTTAGGTGATCAGGCCGCCAGCTTCGGGGCTTTGGAGACGCCGGCTTTGGCGGCATAGGAACGCACCAGCGCTAGCTTGCAATAGGTCCGCGCCCGTTCCGACATGAAGAAATTAGATAGCTGTAAAGTCTAGTTTTCTCTCCTGGCACATTGATCTGGGATTTCATTCTGAAGACGTGAAGGCGCTGCTTGGTGCCATTGAAGCAAGCCAGCATGAAGAAGATTCCAGCGGTTCTACACCTACTAGCGGATATCTTGCTTAACATTCTCTACTCTGACGACCGGCTACTATGAAATGACCCTATTCGAAGACGTCAAGATACTGTGTCAACATTACAAATCATGAAGTGGTGACTGCTACTCATGACCCATTTTCGGAGGTGATGAGTGGCATCATCCGACTCTCAGGATACCTTTTTACCGTGGTGCTACGACTATCGCAGAGGTTTAGGTGGAGCGTTTTGATAAACGCGAGGGAGTGCGGTACGACGGCGGCACAGATTTTACTTGATTACCTAGAGTACCAGCCTCTATCCCTTAAACTTTATTGTCTGCCTATTAGTCGACCTGCACTAGTATCTAGAATCCTAGTCGATTTGCTGTCTTCTACTTGTGCTAACTAGAGCGAGAAAGGGACAGTTTATACGATACGGGACATTAGTCGCTTCTAAATCAGCGTTTAGCATGTTAGACTAGACGAGATACTAATTAGTTAATAGTTACAAGTAGCTAGAATATAAGGCTGTGCAAAGCCTTAGCAAGGGTGTACAGGATATCTATCGTAACTATACAGCATGTCTAGGAAAGGTTACTCGTTTGCTAACAATTTAATACAGTACTTTACCCTATAGGCCTAGACCGCCCTAGAGAGAGAATCTGCCCGTAAGACGCTACATAGGATGTTTTGAATAATTAAGTTATAATCGTTAAACGTTGTTAGACAGCTAACAGATCTTCTGTTTAAAAGCAGCAACTTAAGCTAATTCTTCTAACAGGGTGCTTATTTTAACATGCTGTTAACAGACCTAAGCATGGAACAGAGGGAGCAGCCTTGCCTGCCTTCATACCTTCCTGCTGTCCTTCCGTCCTGTCTTCCTGCCTTCCTGCCTCTTTCTACCTTCCTACCCTCCTGCCTATCTACGTCTTTCTCCTACGCGCAGAATCCTACGCAGAGACTGCGCGCATGCAAATAAGATCTCTAAGCGGATCTCTGCGCGGATCTCTGCGCGGAATTCTAGGCCTAAAATTTGCGCTGCACGTCTTATTTTCCTATTTCTACGCAGATACGTAGAACATTTACCCTGTTGTGCAGCTAGCGAGAACTACTAAGACCTAGGAACACAGAAATTCCTAACAGAGCTGTACCCGCGAACAGAGCTAAGAGCTTAAACATGCTGTTATATATAACAGCATGTTAGATCTTACTACGTGTTACTATACAGCATATATCTGTAGGAACAGTCTGTATACATTATATCTATTTTTCTAACAGGTTTCTAACAGATATATATGTGAACAAGCTCGTAACACTATATTCAGAATTCTACTTGGCGTCTTACGGGCGGACATACCTAGGGTCACGTAGGGTGTAACATTTAACCTAGAAAATCTAGGGCATCTAGGGCATCTAACAAGACGCTATTACAAAGGTGAGACGCAAGAATTTTACCGATTAACGCATACAATAGATCACTCCCCTGTCTGGCAGCTGCGCCGCCTCCACAAGGTCCGCTACCTATTCATGTGGCAGTCGAGGAAGTTGTGTCGCAATAGCTCTGCCACCTACGAGGAGCGCAACAGACGCAACCTCATTCCCAAGCGTCAACGTACCCCAAGTTTTTAACAGATCGCCTGGTTTGCCGTACTGATCACGCCATGGACAAAATTCCTACTGAGGTGTTGGATGAGATTATTGAAAATATCTGTGGTCCGTTCCATCACGCTAAGTTGGTAACATACGCAAGCATCTCCTAGAAATGGAAAGCAAACGTAGAGCGGCGGACATTCAGCTCCCTGAAAATCAAGTCTTCAGATCTTGACTCATTCAAAACCATTTTGGGAAAAGCCAAAGATAGGTGGACAGCCTTACGGACCCTTTATGTGCGGTCCCTTCTTCCTTTTTGGCCTGGGGAGTGTCCAGTGGACCAGATTCCGGACCGGAATGGTGATAATGTCTCGTTTTCGAGAGACATCGCCGAACGATTCGCCATTCTTAAGGCAGCAGAAGCCGATATCTCGGTACACGCTCCGCTCGTTCTTGTATTTCAACCATTGTTTCGACATTGTGATCCGTCCGGGTCCTCTGCCAAACCGCCGGGACAATACTTCCAGCACCACTACCCTCGCCAAATTGCTATTGCCCGAGCTCGCGTTCCGCATCTCAAGCTACTTGATGAAGCCAGTCTTCTTCAGGTCCGCAGAGTTGGGAGATTCGAGTTCCCATATGCCCTAGGTGAGGACCACCCGAAAACCAGCTGTATTCTCTCAATGTCCGCAAAATTTGTAGATTCGGCATCCATGGATATGACGGTCCCCGATGGTTATAGGCTTGGGCAGCGCAGAAGAATTATGGAGCGAATGCGTAAGGATATAATGCTTTCCTCTCTCCCTTGTAACACAGCCAGATCTAGCCACTTCATTGCAGGAGTACATACCCAGAAGCCTGCGGGAGATTACATTGCGAGCACCGTGGGCGAGAATGGGGAACGACGACTCTCCAGTCCAAGCTCTCGTCGAGACCCAAAAATGGCCAGCGGATTCTTGGGTTACTATTCTCACACATTTGCCCTCTCTCCCATTTCTTACGAAGCTGCATATATTGCATGGAATTCCCCTGCATCTACATACCTTTCGCGGCTTGTTTGCCTCCCAAAGCCACCCGTTTCCTTGCTGCAAGAGTTTGTATTGGAGTTCCTTCCCGAAACTGCCGACGAGAGATGGTTTTTTCTCCGCGACGATGCAGCCATCGAGGCAACCAAGACCGATCCAAAGTACGCCTATTTCTGGGAAGAGTACCAGGACGAGTTGAAGGCACCTACTCGCCTCACTTATGATGACGAGCGTGTGTACAAAGAAGGACCTGTATGGGTCAAACTCGCTCGCAGGAATCGCTCCCGTTCAGTACCTGATAGAGAAACCTTCCATCCTCTCCTGCTTTACGCAGCGACAGCTTTGCAGCGGCTGAAAGAGTTACGCAAGTTCATACTTCGCCCTTACCAGAGCGAAACGCATCTACACTGGCCAAATGTGGTACGCTTGTTCGAACTTTGTCATCTCAGGGCGGGAACTGCGCGGTCTCCATCCGGTTCATCGGACGATCTGTCTACCTACCCTAGGATCCTGCATGAAGCCAAACACATCAATCACAACCGAGTTTACTGGCGGACAGGGAAATGGAGGCCTTGGACAGATGTGGACAGTGCCTGGCGCAGTTTCGCCGGTGATGAAGCAAGGATCGTGTTCTTAGATGAGGAAAAATGGACGCGGAAGGGTGTCATTGCCGCCATATATAGAGGAGAGCTTTAAATGAATATATGATTCCTTATACAGATACCCAGAAACGGTGGACCGGCTATACCGTCTTATAACCTAGGGTAGGCATCTCTCCTGTACTTTTTCGTCACAATATTACTTCCCCTCTACTCCACTTCTCCCGGCGTCTTACCTTTTGAGGCAATTCTGAAGAGCATATTGGAGCTCTTGTTATACTAGCAAGAGGTATGTTCAAGCGAGCTTGCCGCTCTCGAGAGCCCCTACTCCCAAAGCGAATGGTATAATCTCTACAAGAATAAGATCAAAGTTCTTAAGGCAAACTCTTGAAATTTGCGCCCTAGAGTTAGGAACTTCGTGTGGGGGCGGTTACAGCTTCGGGCTTGCGAGATGGACTTGCAGGGTGGATTCGCCTCGAGGCGACGCTGTGCCGCACGAGGCAGTCTCCCAACCCAGGAGAGGCACATGTGCGCGCGCGCTTTACACGGTGCCATTTCTTTATTAGCTTACACGTGTTTCAAGTCAAAATTTTCTGGCGAGATACGCGGATATTCCAAAAATTGCATGGATAGATTAGGATCGTGCTGCTAGTAAGTACTCCCCCAGTCTTATTCTCGCCTCTGCAATGGGTCCGAAATGCGAAGGAAGTGGCACATGAGACTGGTTATGCGGGAAGAGGAGCAGATCGCCAACAAAGGGCAGATCCACCTGTTCATTTGAGACGCTGTGGCGTTGCTTCGAAATTCAGTCACGACCCAACAACAGCGAAGCTTGCTTGCAGACACACCTGCAACAGCTCTCCAATCTAATCCGTCCATGGGCTTGACGAAAACAGCGTCTCCGGCATTCAACAGGAGGATAGATGTTTGAGTATGAGTACCTTGTAGTAACATCCCACCAGCTGAAGAACCATTCTTCACTTGAAAGCCTCTATTCTCGCCGTTCTCTTTGATTTGAACAGTAGCATATCAGGTCACGAAATTCTTATGGTTGCACAACTTACTCGTTGGTGGAGCGTGTTTTTATGTTTGAGCTTGACTGGAGTGACAGACACGGTGGATGGGGAAAGGTTGAGTTGGGAAGGATAGAAGGGGGAATATCCTCGAGTCCTTGCTAACCCAGACGCGGTCAATTCCGGTGTCACCCGATGACAGTCTACCGGCCCGTTTGAACTCTTAGTGTTTATCAGGACGCCAGAATGCAACTCCGAAAATGTTATGCAAAGAAGCTGGCTTGACGACGGATGCAATTCCAATGTTTCAGTAAAGGGCGGCAGTTTTAGGTATTGGAAGCTTGGCGGTTTAGAGCCTTTGCAATGGAGAGGTTGGAAGTCTGCTGGAAAGATTTGAAAGACTTTCCCCAATCCTCTTGGTCACTACTAGGGAGAGAAGGCGTTCGAAAACTGCCATTTCTATCCCCGTAGGTCTGAGTCCCGTCCATCTTCCATTTAAATCAAGTAGATGAAGCTCGTCGACGCCCATCCAATTGTAGTAGCAAGTGCGATGATTACCATGTTTGTTTTGACTCTGTACAGCCCGGCAGAGGCGCTCAGCAGAGCTTCTTACTGAAGTACAACGGCCTAATAACCCTTGGGAACCGAGGCCTTGCATCAAGGTCCTTTCCACAGCATACGTGAATATTTTCAACGAAACCTCAGTGGACTGTATTTCTGAAGGATTGAGACGTGAGCACTGTTGTTCCATGGCATCAGTAACATTCAGAGCTCAAAGTTGAGTCCAGTTCACGGAGACACAGTCATGGCCGCAAGGAGTTTTCGGGTGAATTGGCCGTTCCGCAATCCCCCTTTTGCGGCGTCAACGCAGTTGCAGGCTGCGCAGGCGCATCAGTCCCAGGGCGCGTAAAAAAGCAGAGTAGTTCATTGCCTTAATTGAGATATGAAATAGCAACCCTGTGTTGAGATTTTGTAGTGTATTCGATATTGCACTTGTGATCCACAAAACAGCTAGCGTTCATCGCCCATCATCTTTGAAAGAGATAGCACCGTTGCAGTCAACTCCATTTGGAAGAGAGCCTATGTCCAACGACATTTACAACTCTACTACCAGCATCGATGCTGGTCTTGCTTCCCACAAAGCCAGCTCGCGTCACCACGGTTAAGATTTCCTACGAGAACCTTTTTGCAGCCGGTTTTCCATCCTTCCGTGATTATGAGATTCTCAGTATTCACCAGGACGGAGAAGAAGACGTTTTTCATATAAGAAAACGGACAGATGCCGACAAAAACTGTGATGAAAATGACTGCATGACCTACTTCGGTTGGACTGAGGATGAACTGATGCAGTGCCAAAATGAAGGCGAGGTAGAAGAAGGTGACGTAGAAGAGGGTGAGGGCGAAGAAAAGTGTTCTTGAGAGACGAGTTCTTGTCAAACGGGGTAGGAAGAAGGACACTATATGTGGAAGTATTAAGATTTACTCCTCTGCATGGCCTTCGCGCGATCACCTTGAAAAGGCAAGTCCAGCTCCCTGTTCCGCTGACTGGTAGTTTTGAGCTGAGAAAATGCAAGAACCATAAGATGGTATATGATATCGGAGATCCTACAAAGCCTCTAGAGCCAGAATGGTTTCAGCTCAAACGCCAGGACAAGAGGTGGACTAACGACTTGAATTCAAGAAAAGGGAACGCCGTTACGATGCCGAGCACGTGCTCGAGTGCAATTTGTTCAAGGCTTTCATCCAAGCTGATGCACGTTCTCCAGATAACCGCTGCAAATTCCTCCACAAAGTCTTTGCTCAGACGAACATGCCTCTCCAGGATATTGACGTCCCTGTTGCTACGGATTATAACAAATTGCTTGGAAAAGGGGACCATTTTGACTACGTGCAAAAGCCCTACCTCTTCAGCAAATACTCGAACTCAAAAGGTAAAGGCTCGCAAGGTGCTAGACTGGGTCACAATGCAATGGCCCGTCACCGGTGTGGGCGGGAAGCCGCCCAACCCTTGAGAATAGGAGATGGTTCTTCTCAATAATGATTTTAACGTTGCGAAAGAGAAGGTAAGTAAATTTCACGTGCTCTTCTGACGACCTGTTGATATTAATTCCGTCAGATATGGCAGGGCCACAAGCTCCTCACAAAGCCCACGCTCGATGGCAACGGCAAAATGATGGAGAACGAAGAGAACTCAAAGACGTTGGATTGGCTTTTCATTAACAAGTATTACAATGACAAAAAGGTTGAGAAATGGCTCGATAACCGAGGCATGTGCAAAGCCATATACCAGTTCGATACCCTCATGGCCTTGGTACAATATCACAACGATCCCTATATCCAAGAGGTAATGCGAGCTCAAGTCAGACGAGTAGGGGAGGCGTTTGACTATGTTGAAGACGATATAATACCGACTCAGCAGAGCGGGTACACGAAGAGAAATATAAAGAAAGAATGGATTGACTGGATGAAGGAGACGCACAAAAATCGTTTGGAGAGTTTAAACGAAGCGCTGGAGTACGCCGTGAAAATATTTGAAAAGAAATCCACTGTCATCACAAAAATTAAACGGTGGGACTTTTCGGGTTTATTTAGGAGGGAGGTAAAGGACCCGAACTGTGGTTTTGAGCCGGATGACGCTGTCATGGAAAAACGTGTCAAGCTTCTACTGGAAGCATACAAGAAGTTGCCCAAAGTAGACACGGAGCTAAAACTAGACTAGTACAACTACTCTTTATTTTTCTGTTAATAACTTTCACTGTTTGATTTTTGTGTTTCTCCTTACGTACATGTTTAAACATGTTTCTTGTTGAAACGAAGGGTTACCAACCCTGGGAAGCTTGCAGTTTCTCATGTTAGATCTATTATATCACTTAGTACTTCTCTTAACGTAAGCAAAGGATTCTCACACGAATAATCATTCACACAGTGATGCAAAGTTAATGTAGCTATAGCTTGAACCGGCGGGGTGTAGGGCTTGAACTCGCGGCCTGTGTGGCTCATTTTGTGTTACAACGTGCGCACTTTGGGTACCAATATTGAAACTAACGTTACGTTACTGTGGAAACCTAGGCTGATAACACGTGTAAAAGTAATTAAGGTTGCATTTTCTCGTGTTCGATTGATAAAACTGTGTGGAACGCAAATATTAAGGCGCCCACCTGCATTAAGGCGCTAGCATCTCACGAAGGGCCTCCTCATCTAACTGCAGCAACGGCAACAATTAAACAAGCAATTCCTCTGTACAAACGAGTTATTATCTATAGCGTCAGCACCTAACACCAATCAAGAGAAATATTTATTCGCGTAAACCCTTAGTTTTCGGGCCCTTCTTCGCATGCGCAAACATAGCCCACCGTCGATAGAACCTGGACAGGAGATAATAGCCGCAAAGTTGCTCTACATAGGTACACACCTTGCTGTATACCAATCACTCACAAAACATTTACCGCCTTTCACTTCAACAGCTCCTCCGCCCACCCCCTCAAAACGAACTTCTTGATCTTTCCACTCCCCGTCAACGGAACCTCTGCACTACAATCCTCCCCCAACCAGAACACATGCGTCGGCGCCTTATGCCTGCCCAATACCTTCCTCACCCAAGCCTTCACTTCCTCGAGCCCTGGTTTCCGATCCGCAGGCACCCCCTCCGCAAATTGCAGGAACGCAACGGGTACCTCCACGTACTTGGGATGCGAGATACCGACCACGATAGCGCGACTGATAGCCGGATGAGTGACGAGCCGTTCCTCGATTTCAAGAGGATAGATATTCTCTCCGCCTGATTTCACTTAGTTCATGCACAACCTTCGAATCCCACCTCGAGCAACCATCATACCTCTAATGATAATATCCTTAAACCGCCCCGTAATCGTACAATACCCATCGACATCCAACACCGCCTCATCCCCCGTATGCAACCACACCTCGCCACTCTCATCTCTAACCAGCACCTCATCCGTCTTCTCCCGGTTCTCCCAGTACCCCCTGCACACCTGGTACCCCGCAACGCAGAGCTCACCGCGCACACCGATGGGAACGACGTAGTTATCCCGATCTACGATTTTCACTCTTGCATGCGGCATCACGGTCCCCACCGTCGTGAGCCGCGCGTGCAAACTGTCATGCGTATGTGCGTTGAACACCGTCGGAGACGCCTCGGTGAGACCGTACGAGGATGTGAAGTCCGTCATACCTAATTCGTTTACCATGCGCTCCATGAGCCAGCGGGGGACAGGGGAGCCCGCGACGATGCCTGTGCGCAGTCTGGATGTCCAGTTTGCCGGGCGGGGGAGGGAGAGTATGGATTCGAACATTGCGGGGACGCCGTGAAGGGCTGTGCAGTTTTCATCCGAGATGGCGCGGAGGGTAGCTTCGGGGTCGAACGATTCGGCTGGGTACACGACTTTTCCGCCGTGGGTGAGGGTGGCGAGGAAGCCGAGTGTGAGGCCGAAACAGTGGAATAGAGGTGGTGGACAGCAGAGGGTGTCTGAGGGTGTGAGGTCCATGCGGTCTCCTATGAAGCGGGAGTTGTTGATGAGGTTACTGGTTTTGTTAGTTCTGGAGCTTCGCGTGATCGGAAGTTGATACGGACTGATGTGTAAGCATCGCAGCTTTGGGGTTCCCCGTGCTGCCGCTCGTGAATTGGAGGTTCACGACGTCGTGGGGGCTTATTATGCCGTTGAATATGTCTAATATGTGCTCGGGTATCGTCTCCCCATCGGCCAGAAAATCGTCGTAGGAAGGGAATCCGTTTGTGCGGTTCGCATCGCGAAGGATGCATGTCAATTGCAGATCAGGGAACTTCCTTGTTATGTCTGGAGTTTGAAGTAGTGCGAGGAGAGGCGCGTTGTTGAATCGGCCAATCGTTGGTGTTGTGAACAGGATCTTGCATCCTAAACGCAAGCTGTCAGTATTCCAATCTTCATGCATAGCGTGCTTCTAGAAAGAAAACTCACTTGTATGTTTCAGCGCATGCTCTACTTCTTGGACAGTGTATGTGTTATTCAGTGTAACACATATCGCGCCCAGCTTCGCGCATGCGAAGAACACTGCCACATAACTCTCGCAGTTACCTGCCATGATCCCCACACGGTCGCCTGGCCGCACACCATGCTTCAATAATCCTCGCGCTACCAGATTTGATTCTTGCAGGAGTCTTCGGTACGTCCATCGGGCACCGGTCCAGGGGATGACCAAACATTCACTGTCCGGATATAAAGTAGCTTGCTGGCTGAGGAGTTGTGCGAGGGTGATCGTCAACAGTGGAGGGTCGAGGGGCCCAGATACGATGCTGAGGTTGGGATAGGGTGGGAGGATGTAGGGGTCAATCTGAAGGAGGGTCTGGGTGAGACGTTGGAGGGCGTCGTTCCGCGGTTGGTCGTACATATCCGCCATCTTTAATCCGACCACTGTCTACAGTACCGAAGTAGATTGTCCGACCTCTGATGTGTCTATGTCGGTAATAGAAACAGAGTAACGTGAGCGGTCATGAAAGGAATGCCCAGCCAGGGCATGGACAAGCAAAGAGAATGTCATCAGCCAGAAAGATTCCGTGTTGGTGAAAGAGCAAGGCGCTCCACTTGGCCATCCTTGGGACGAAACTTCGAGACTCGATTTCGCTGATACCTCGGAACTAAACGAGCGTGTGCTACATGCGCACCAAGGCTACCCCCAGAGTCAGGACACAGTCCTTCTCCTTGCCAGGTACATATCCATTCCGACGTATTCCCGCCAGCTTAAGCTGAGTTGGTTGGCGATGCTTATTTCGGCTCAAGCCTAGCCGTCGCTCAAAGTGGACCTTCAGCCATGAAGCTATACCCACGTCATAGTTCTCAGGTGATTATCAAAGAATTCCGGCTTCGATCCCGCTCCAACCCTCCAAGCCCATTTTCAAGGACAGCGGTGGGGATGCCTAACCGACCATGCACTTGCTGCATTGCGGTTGGAAAAAATCTGATCTGATAAGATTAGACAAGAAATAATATCCATCTCCGAAATCGCTCCCCCACTCGCGTTGTGGGGTTGCGTGTGAATAATGAGAGCCATCGGATGGTGTTGAGTGATGAGAAAAGTTTTATCAGATGGTCTTATTGGGGTAAAGCGGCGCTCGTATGTGCAGGTGCGGATCAGATAACTTTAATCACTCTAGCGTGCGGGGGTGAAATAAGCCACCGTTCAATCTGATAATCTGCCGTCACCATCATCGGGAGAAATCGAATCCTCGCGTTTCATGGCGACATTAGCGTGGTTCTCTTTCTCGTCTTTCCGAAAATCCTTATTACTTTCCTTGTGAAGGAACGCGCCGCCGGTGCAACCAAGCAGAGCGAAGTGGGGCATCTGATAAAATTTCATCTCATCTGGATTGCCGGTATCATGGGCCCGACACCAACAACACAACTGGCGGGGAACAACGGCCTTCCCGGTGGACAGTTCCAATGGCGACATTTGTTATCAGATCCTTGCGGAAAAGTCCGTATTCCGAAGCCCTCACTTTCGATCTGATAAGCAATGCGTGGGGGAACATAACTTGCTCGTAGCGAGGAGTTGGCGGATCCTCCCGTTCCTGTTACGTTTACGTCCCAATACTGGGACGTTTCCGTTCCACCGTCTTGATGCTTGTTGGCTTGTTGGCTTGCTGGCTTGTTGGCTTGGTGGGGACGTGGTGGTGTGGACGAGGGCTGATCGCTAACCCTGCTCACTACAAACAGCGATGCTGATCCGAGCATCCGTTCGAAGATTACAGCGAAATCTGTGTAATTTCTGGCATTTCCCTGGTCGTGTGCGCTTGGTTCGGAAACCATGTAATTTAGCTATTCTGGTGCGAGAAAGCACATCCAAGAACACAGTCCCGTCCACAGCATGATGAGCAAGGGCACAGTATTATCGGAAGTTAAGAGAGAATATGCATTGACCAGAGACGCCTGAGCAGTGTCAAAATACAAGAGTAAAAAGAGTCATCTGCGTCAGGACATAGAAGATGCGAGCAACTAGAGTTTGGCCAGAGCGTCAAGACTAGGTCTTACGACCTTCTCACCATCCCATACTAACGGACTCAACATGAAGAACTTCTCACGGCTGACCATCATCAATGCACTTCGCTTGTGCGGCAGGTCGATGAGCTTCTCGACGTGGAAGCCATGTGCGAAGTCATACGCTAGGACAGTAGAGCTTGTAGCAGCAGGTTCACCAACAATGTTCTGTGTCCGTGGCTCGTCGAGGAACATGTAGTGCATCAGGCTCGACCACCAGGCTGAGACTCGGTAGGGACCACGGAAAGAGACGTCGCCAACAAGAGAGTGTCGGCCACGGTCATACGGCTGCGCGAGGTAGTGTGCACCCATGTGGTCCTCCTGTCAAGAGTTAGTATGTTTCGCAACAAGCTCAGGGAGCACTTACCATGGCCCAATAAACCTCGAAATAAGCGAACAGTTTGTCGTTGAAGGCAGCGAACATGGTCAACACGTGCGGATCTTCATGCAGCTTCCGCAGATACTCCCTGTGTTGCTCTAGTGTACCCGTCTCGTTCCAGCCTGCAGCAACGCGAGGATCGTTCTGCCACACGTGGAAGAGGTGGAGATGCTCGGGATTCGTGTAGTCCAACGCTACCATGGTAAAGTGTTCCTGTAGATGGGGGATCCAACGACTGTAGATGATGGACCCGGGAACCGGTTTTGGCTCCCGGACTGGGTGCATGGTATGCCGGGGAAGAGCGGGGAACTGGGTCGTTGGGGCAGTGTGGAATGGGAATGGCGGATATTCCTTGGTGATTGGCTTGTTGTCCGCTGTCAGACATGGTGCCCAAACAGGACGAGCACCAAAAGGTGAGCCAGCACCTTGCCAGAACGTGGCTCGGAAAAGAAGATGACCATCGTGAGGGAGAGAAGCTTTCGAGCCTTTGGGATGAGGGTGGAAGAGCCCGGTAGCATACAACTCCGGAACGAGAGACGCCTCGTCGTTTCCGGAGAACAAGATCCGGAAATTTTCGACCAGTGGATGTAGCGAAATCAAGGCATACGCAATAAGCCATATCTGCGCTGCAGTAGGCCGCTCGCCCTTCCAGCTGATAGTTGAAGTAGGTGATCTCCGTGTTCTGGCCCAAGAACTGTTGTCCCCGGATGGTGGGACAGCATCTTTAGCCAAGAAAGATATATCTGTGAAGATCGCGTCTGCATGATGTAGCGGAAGGGGAGGTGCAATTCCCCTGGTACCTGCGTTCTCGGAGAGCTGAATTCGGAAGCATGCTGGTTGGCCTTCGAGAGCAGCATCGATGATGACGTACTCAGTGAGGTATGGATGTGGCAATTTCAAGATAAAAGGAAGAGAAATATGGCTGGCCTTGGACGGAGCGGGCTTTGCGGGTGCCATGCTGTTGAGCCAGGTGTCCTGGGTAGGCTTAGGGGAAAAGACGTTCGAGGAATGTTGGATGAAACTGGCAGCTGAGAAGAAACCTCAAGCCATAGTCAAAGATGATTTTTTGATTGTGATGCCGAGGTCGGGTGCAACAGAAACTATCTTGGATCATTATATCCAGATTTTGTAATTTTTTCGATACCAGGCCAAGTGGCGGCCGGCCGCTTGAATAGCAGCCCGAACTGCCCCGACCATGCGTACTTACTAGAGTCAGAGGGAGGAAGCAGGCAAGGGTTGTTGGCTAGGCAGGGATCGTGGGTCGGTAGACCGCCTGACATGTTACCTTGGGCCCCGGGGCTATCGTGCCCATCCTACGCGGCGGCAGACAACCTCTGTACGGGTTGTCGCCAATGATCAGGCCATCCCCGTATCTGGCCGCACAGTCCACTGTCCAAAAGAAATTCCCGGTGACTTGTCTGTGTACACACGTCTTCTGGCTTGAGTTGCTGGAGCCATATTCTTATCAATATTGTTCTCTTCTTTGCTTCATTACTCTCCATTGAACATCATCGGCAACATGATATCGACAGACCAACCCGCGGAGGAGCACAACCCCACTTCAACAGCACCAAATGGCGACTCTCCAAGCTACGATATGGTGTGCATTGGGTTTGGACCTGCCCAAATCGCTACTGCGATTGCGAACAAGGAGTCCAGTAAGCCGTCCAACGTTCTCTTTCTGGAAAAGAAGCATTCGTTCTCCTGGTATCCAGCGGCCTACCTCCCCAGAACGCGCATGGAAAACGCCTTCATCTATGACCTTGCAACAACGAGAAACCCGAGATCAGCCTTCAGCTACGTCAACTACTTGTTGATGCAGAATCGGCTTGTGGAATTCGCCAATTCCGACAGGCTCAACCCGCTCAGGATAGAATTCGAGGACTACTTGCGATGGTGCGCCGATCAGTTCAAAGAGCACGTACGATACGGCAGTGAAGTGGTTGCTGTAATTCCCGAGAAGTCTGCGACCGTTGTGAGGGGTTGGAAGCTCCTGGTCAAAGATGGATCCGGCAATACACACATGGTACGAACGAAGAATGTTTGCGCTCCTTCCCCACCGAAGCGGCGTCCGTCAAAATCTCACCTACTTACCACTGTCGATTTCGAAGCTGGCCAGCGAATAATATCGACGGCCGACTATGTGTGGAGGAGGAACGAGCTCCGTGAACTCCGTGAGCCTCGTCTTAGCATAGCCCTGGTTGGATCCGGACAGCAAACACTGGAGATTCTGGACGACCTCCTGACCTGTCATCGCTTGGGAAACATCACCTTCATCACAGAAAACGAGGCCTTGTCGCCTCTGCGGAGTTTAGGGCAGGAGGCATGCCGGCCACAGCCTCGACTCTGCTCAATATGGGCGAAACCGTCCTGCAGTACCGGGACAACTGTACTAGGTTCTTCGGAGCTGGTTCAGCGTATATACGCGCGCGCATATGAGAAACAACTCAAGGGGGACTGCGCTCTTCGGGTGATTATAGGGGGTGAGGTTTCAGAGTCCATCTCGACTGCAAGCATCATTATTGTCGAGAACGAGGCTGCGCAGGGAACTATGGCCTTGTTCCGAGAATTGGATCCTCTTGTACTAGGCTGCCGACAGAAAGGAGACAGCCTCGAGGAGGTACAGTTCAAACGAGGAGCTGTGGCCGACGGCTGCAGGATATGGTTGTTTTCGGCCAACTCAGAGGGCGGCCGGTCATTGGCGAAGGATATTGCGCAGCGAGCTGGAGAGGTGGTGGGCGCCGTGGCCGTGGGCGCGCCGAGCACATCGGAGCAGGAGGACGGCCCGTTGATCAATGCCAGGATGTAAGGAGCGGTCCAGAGTGCAGAGTGCAGCGTGCAATGTCGGGTGAAGTTGGTTTAGACTTGGCTTACATAACGCGCAAATTTTTATCAGATCAATCTAGTGTCTTGGCAATCCAATTCCGATTTCGCACCGAGGCAAGCCGCCTCTCTTATTGTCTGGCACTCGTTCTCCGCCCACAAGAGCGACTTTGTCAAGCACACACCCACCCACCTGCATCCATCATGACTTTGAACACCTGCGTTCACGTGTTTTCTGCCCCTGTCCGATTGTCCGCCAATCATCATACTGGCCATGCACTGACGGCTGGGGATGGCTCGCCAACCTGGCAACCCGCATCCTGGGTCTTCACGACACCGACTTGTACTTCGTGTTGACAGTTTTTGACGTCCTGCAGCGGTTGTGTGTTCTGATGCCGGCCAAATTTCGCCCCTGGCAGTCCGTGAAGCCATTCTTTGGCTTCATTGCACTTCTTTTCTATGCGGATCCAACGTGGCTAGACAAAATCCTCATCTTTGCCGGCTTCATCGGATCCGTCGCCGCTGGAGTACCTTTCCCTCTCATCGGCATTGTTTTTGGACAGGTCATAGACACGTTTAACAGTGCAATATGCGGCGAAGGCAGCGGTGCGGAATCATCCAACACCCAATCTGCTGTCAACGATAAGATTCTCCTGATGGTCTACCTCGCCATTGCGATATTCGCTTTGACGTATCTTCACGTTGTCTGCTGGAACCTGGTGTCACAACGTCTTGCTCAGCGTGTACGGGAACGCTACTTGAAGAGCCTCCTCAAGCAAGATATCGCGTTTTTCGACAAAGTCCAAGCGGGGGAAGTGTCTTCGCGCCTGAATGGAGATGTCCAAGCCATCGAAACCGGGACCTCAGAGAAGGTCGGGGTTTTCCTCACATGCATTTCGTTTTGCATCACCGCATATGTTATCGCCTTCATAAAGGACCCAAGACTAGCTGCCATGCTCGTATCGTTGATCCCGGCGTTCTTGATCATGACGGTGGTTGGCGGTCATTACGTACAGAAGTATTCCACAGCAATGGCCGACTACTTCGCATCAGCCAGCGCCATCGCGTCTGAGGGCTTGAGTCACGTGGGGCTCGTGCATGCTCTTGGTGCACATGCCCGTCTGGAAGAACGGTTCAGTGGATATCTGAGCAATGCAAAAAGAGAAGGTATCAGGAAGGCACTTGCGGCCGCAGTGCAAGCCGGTTTGCTATACTTCATCGCCTTCTCCGCAAATGCTCTGGCCTATTGGCAGGGAAGCAGAAAGATCGCCAACACTGTGGAATTCGGCGGAGATTCCACAGTCGGAGAGACGTACACTGTCATTTTCATTCTCGTGGATGGTATGTTTGCTGTATCTCACATGGTTGGCGAAGCTAACTAGTGTAGGATCCATCGTGTTAAGTCAAGTTGCACCATTGATTCCTTTATTTGGTGCGGCAGTTGCTGCTTTTGAACGTCTCCGGAGGGATATTGATCACCAGCCAACTATCGACGGTACCTCCGAGTATGGTGAAATGCTTTCTGACGTCACCGGATCCATTCGGTTTTCCCATGTCTCTTTCACGTACCCATCTCGTCCGGAGCATCCTGTGTTGAACGACGTCTCATTTGAATGCGAGGCCGGTAAGCTCACAGCTATCGTAGGACTTTCAGGCAGTGGGAAGTCGACTATTGCGTCACTGCTTACTCGTTTCTATGACCCTCAACACGGAACCATCACAATGGATGGCCGAGATATCAAGAATGTGAACGTCCGAAACCTTCGGGGATTCATCAGCCTTGTGCCACAGGAGCCTTCGCTTCTCGACAGATCGATACTGGAAAATGTTGCGCAAGGCCTGGTCAACTCACCTGCTCATGCGCATCTTGCCCCTACTTTACTGAGCGATGCTCTTGCAAAACTAGTTGACCAGGTCCGTGCAGGAGAGGACCTGCTGAAGGCAGCTGAGAAATGCACGACGCACGTTTCCGAGATTGTCAGCCTTGTCCAGAAAGCTACAGACCTTGCAGATGCTAGCGCCTTCATCGAGCGGTTGGAGCATGGTCTGGCAACGTCTGTGGGCTCAACTGGCAGTCTTCTAAGCGGAGGTCAGAAACAGAGGATTGCACTCGCACGTGCGCTCGTTCGCGATCCTCGGGTTCTGATACTCGATGAGGCCACTGCAGCTTTGGACTCGACTAGTGAGCAAAGGATTCAAGCTGCCATCGAGAAGGCTTCTAAAGGACGGACGGTCATTTCTATTGCCCATCGCCTGTCGACAATTCGGTCCGCCAGCAAGATCATAGTAATGAAGAAGGGTGAGGTTATTGAGAGGGGGACCCATGACGAGCTAATGCGCCTGGATGGAGGATCTTACGCCAGCATGGTGAACTTGCAGTCTGTGGAGGGTACTCAAGAGACCAAAGTCTCCTCCGGTGAGAAGGAATACATGAACGACAGTATACAGAGCGACAAAGCACTCAGTCCGGATCCCGTTAACGCTGAGAAAAATGAGCTAAATCAGCCAGACGCCTCAGATGATGGCAAGGATGGTGCTGAGCTTCTTGCCAAGTCTATCATGAGAACCATGTTTCCTATGGTACGGCCATACCTCTTGCTGCTTCTGTTAGCATTCTTCGCCGCACTCATTGTTGGCGGTACTTATCCAGCTGCTGGCCTTATCTTCGGAAACACGATTGGCACTCTAACGCCTTGCAACCCTGCGGACTTCATCCGATCCCGTGGCCTGCTCCTCTCCGGCATGTTCTTCATGCTTGCATGTGTAGAATTCGCTGGTAACTTTACCAGCTGGGCCTCTTTCGGGACAATATCCGAACGTTTGATCTACCGAGTGCGGGTTTCATCCTTCCGCGCCCTCTTCCAGCAGCCGCTCCAATGGCATGAGTCCGCAGGCCGGAATCCCAACAAGCTGTTGTCTTACATCACCACTGACGGCAACGCCTTGGCCGGTTTCAGTGGCTCCATTATCGGCACATTGTTTGCAGTCGTTGTGAACTTTGCCATAGCATTGATCCTCTCCCATATCGTGGCTTGGAGGATAGCCGTGGTCTTCCTGGCAGTCGTTCCTCTACTCCTCGGTGCCGGGTTCATGCAGTTGCGATCAATCGTGCGGTTTGCGGAAAAGCACGCGGGGGCATTTTCCTCGTCCATTGGTATTACGGTCGAAGCGGTCAGCAACATCCGCACGGTGGCTGCTCTTTCCTTGGAGCAGGAAATACTGCAGACATATCGTCGATCTCTGAGTGCGCCACGAAAGGCCATGGTGATACAAAGCTTGAAGTCAAATATTTGGCTAGCGATCTCGAATGCTTCGGGCAATTTCATCTATGCCTTTGCATACTGGTGGGGCTCCAAGAATCTTCTTGAAGGGAGATACTCCCAAACTGAGTTCTTCATCGTACTTTTTGCCATGTTGGTCTCCGCTCAGTTATGGGGTCAACTGTTCACTCTGGCTCCGGAGATATCGAGGGCCAAGGCGTCCATCTCTCGTATCGTGGTTCTTCTGGAATTAAACAAAGATGCTTTGGACTCTCCTCGTGGAAGCTCAAGCTCTTTCGCTGATGAAGACTTGACGGAGAAGAGAGATATCGAAGCGCTGGCAGATTCCAGGTCACCAACCTCGCGCGGGCAAGGTGCAAGCGTCGAGTTCCGCGACGTTAGCTTCTCCTATCCCGCGCGCCCCAATATCCCAGTTTTAAATTCCTTCTCTCTCTCCATCCAGCCCGGGCAGTTCTGTGCTCTTGTTGGACCCTCCGGCGCCGGGAAGAGCACGGTGCTTGCCCTCCTCGAGCGATTTTATTCCCCTTCTTCCGGTTCGATCGTCATCAATGGCTTCGATATCTCACGTCACCACGGCACCTCATTTCGGGACGACATCGCATATGTCCCGCAAGACAATGTGCTCTTCCATGGCACCATTCGCTTCAATCTACAACTGGGCGCACGACCAGGTCACAAGCCGACAGATGCGGAGCTCGAGGACGCATGCAAGCTGGCCAACATACACGACACCATTGCCGCTCTCCCTCAAGGATACGACACTGAAGTTGGAGCCAATGGTTCGCAATTGAGCGGCGGCCAGCGTCAACGCCTCTCGGTTGCACGGGCGTTGGTGCGGAAGCCAAAGCTCCTGCTTCTTGACGAGAGTACGTCTGCCTTGGACGCCGAGAGCGAGAAGGCGCTCGAAATGGGGCTGGAGAGAGCGGTTAGGGGCCAAGGAGTCACGGTGGTGGCTATCGCACACCGATTGAGGACGATCGCTAGGGCGGATGTTATTTTTCTAGTGGAAGTAGGGAAAGTGGTTGATCAGGGAAAGCACGAAGAGCTGGTGAAGAGAAGTGAGAGTTATAGGATCAACGCTCTACACCAAATGCTGGGATAGCTGCCAGGAAGGTTGAACTCTGGCGTCAGTTGCGTTTTGTGCATTGGGAGGCGAAAAGTATAGTCCAGTTTGGTACATTATACTCATCGTTCACGTTTACTTCAGTTGGATATTGCAATTTTTGGTTGTTTGACTGAAGGTAGGGCTCACAGCCTTACCGGCGTGATCAGCTTTTTCTCAAGACGACATCATCACGCAAGGAACAGAAGAGTCACTTCTAAGCCATTCATCTCTTCCCTCCCGTCGCATGGGAGTGGCTGGATATTGGCTGCTTCGAACAAGAAAAGGTGACCAAGGCAGTGATTACTGGCAGCCAACAAAAAAAAAACTCCACCCCTTGCATGTCACATGTCTCATCTTCCTGCACTGGCTTTCCGAGACTACCCGCCATAGTACCTAACGATTGGGGTAGACCTCGCGGCAATATTATCAGATCATCTCGAGCCCTGGTGCTACGCACCTATGCCCACGTCTCCGCGCCAAGCCTCCCCATCTGTTTCCATCTCCGAACTTCGGCGCTGCAGAGTTTTATCGCTCGATCTAATCAGATGGAGCCACATTACGCCAATTATTGCCCTCACCTCCCTCCACAATCCCACCAGCAGTCGTCCACTCCCGCCCATGCAGCCTGCATGCACGCATGACGCCAAAGGCTCTGGTCCTTGATGGATGCTCATCGGCGCATACCCCCAGAATGGGCAGAGCGCGGGATGCTCCGGTCTTGGAACGTCTTGGGTATCCACAAGTGTCAAGGCCAGGCGCGAACGGTCGTGCAATTAAAGTTATCAGATGGGATGAGAGATTTATCTGATCCGCTGATTTTGCCAGGGCTGCTGGGGTCGCGTCTTGGGTGTGGGTCCGGGATTTGTTACGGGGGTGCTAAAGGGGGGTATTGATTGAATGGAGGATTTTGCCGCTTGGGTTGAGGCAGGCAGTGAAGAGTGGGGAACCTGGAAGGGTCTTTCGCACCCGAGCGGAGCGGTTGTTTGCGGGAATCGGGAGCCCACCTGATGTGTTAGAACACCCTTGGGATGGTTGGAGGATGTGGTCTTGTCATTCTTGGCTGGATCAATGAAGGTTGGGGGTGAGGCCTCGGATTGACGGACAGCGTGGTACCTCGTTCATGCCGTTGGGAATTGACGAGAAGAAAGAGATATTGCTGCGCTTTCTGATCGGAGTATGCATCTTTCGAACGACCAGGCGCCTCTGTCAGATGTCGGGGATGGGTTGGCTGTGATACTGGAAACTGTCGAGTGTAATGGGAACGCGTCAAACAGCAACGGATACCCTTCCAAAGCCACTGTGCAGGCCAACGAAGTGACCATTCCTATACCACCGGATCTGATCGACTCAGTCATCGCTGCGTGGATTCTGTTCGTGCATAGATACCAGCGAGATGCATTCCACTGCTTCACATGGGCAGTTGAAGGAGCTGGGAATGGGGAAATGCAGTGTGTCCAGGCACAGGAACTGAAATTATCCAGCGTTACAACCGTGGATGATCTGCTTCACGTAGTACAGAGAGTAACATCGGAAGAGGTGGCGGTGCGGCACAGTGCATTTCCGAAGCTGACGCTGCTAGACGGAACTAAAGATGAGGTGAGATATGGAAACGAGACCATGAACAAGCAGGATATCCTGACACCGAACTAGTGGGCTTTTCAGGTGACAGTTGAGTTGCAGGAGCGGCAACTAAGAGCGACCTGCACATGGCGAGGACCGGCCTTATCAGAACGTCAGGCCTTGTTGCAGTTAAACTTCTTCGCTACTGCAATCAACACCATTTTCCGGGACCAAAGCCACCCAATTGCCGATGTCCTTGCTCTATCACCCCTAGAGGTTGACCAAATCTGGAGCTGGAATACTCCCTTACCACCAACTATAGACAGATGCATGCACGACCTGGTTTCCGACCAGGCACAGCAGCGTCCTAACAAAGTGGCCATAGATGCCTGGGACGGTACGCTCACATACTCACAAGTGGAACGCTACTCAACACACCTCGCTGGGGATCTGCTAGCTTTGAACAACGACCATCCCATTATCCCTTTACTGTTCGAAAAGTCGCGATGGACAAGCGTTGCGCTCCTTGCCGTTATGAAGGCAGGAAAGTGCTTTGCCCTCCTTGATCCCGCACAGCCAGAAGGCCGACTAAGAACAATCGTCGAACAAACCAACGCAACACTGCTCGTTGCATCAAAAGCACAAGCTTCACTGGCAGCACGAATTGCCCCTTCGGCGACCATCATTCCCATCTCGGAGTCAAAGTTTGAGCAAGTGTCACAGCAACAGCCTGACACCACTTTGCCTTCGGTCTCTCCCTCCACACCTTTGTACATTCAATTTACTTCGGGAAGCACAGGAACGCCAAAAGGATGCATAATATCCCACAGCCAGTTCACATCCGGCGCCATTCCCCGCGCTCAAGCCGTAGGCTACCGGAGCCACTCCCGCGTCCTCGACTTCGCCAGTTACGCCTTCGACGTTTCCATCGATAGCATGCTGTGCACTCTCGCGGCAGGGGCTACCCTCTGCACCCCATCCGATGAGCGACGTATGAATGATCTAAGCGGTGCTATGCGGGACATGAAAGTCACCTTGGCGGGGATGACGCCTTCAGTAGCTCGAACGCTGGCTCCTGATATTTGGGAGCAGTTGGAGACGCTGGCGGTCGGTGGGGAGGGGGTATCGGCGAGCGATGCTCAAGCTTGGGCGAAGAAAGTGAGGGTTGTTAATGCGTACGGGCCATCTGAGTGCACAGTCGGTGCTACTATCAATGAAGATGTGGCTGCGAAGCCGTACATCACCATGGGCAAGGGGAAGGGCGCTGCGATATGGTTGGTCGACCCTGCGGATCATAACCGGCTGGTTCCTGTAGGAGCGGTAGGAGAGTTGCTCATCGAGGGGCCCATTGTTGGAAACGGATACTTGAACAACCCCGAGAAGACGAAGGAGGTCTTCATCGAAGATCCCGCGTTTCTGCTTGCTGGAAGCCCACGCTATCCTGGACGCAGGGGCCGACTATACAAAACGGGCGATCTTGTCAGGTATGATCCAGACGGACACGGTGAGCCCATCTTCGTCGGCCGTCAGGATCAGCAAGTCAAACTGCGAGGTCAACGTATCGAACTGGCAGAGATCGAATACAACATGCAGAAACACCTCCCTCCTGAAACCCTCGTAGCCGCCGAGGTAATCAAGCCTGGAGGCACTGGAGATCCGGTGCTCGTCGCCTTTCTGGTTGAGCAGAAGCATGTTGGCATGCGAGTTCTGGATGGCAGTATCTTTGCGTCGTTTTCGTCCAAGTTTCGAAAGCAGCTGCAGGAAATGACAAGACAGCTTATGAAAGATTTGCCGGGGTATATGGTTCCGACGGCGCTGATCCCACTGTGGAAGATGCCTCTCCTTGTTAGCTGTAAGACTGACAGGAAGAGATTACGAGAGATAGGCCCGACCATTACAAGGAAGGATCTCCGTCACTTCAGCTCAGCTATATCAGAGAAGATTGAACCCACGACCGAAATGGAACTGAAACTTCGGGAGCTCTGGGCAAAGGTCTTGGGCGGAGAGAGCGATTTTGGTGCGAATGACAACTTTTTCAGCATGGGTGGCGATTCTTTACGAGCAATGAGACTGGTAGCAGCGGCCAGGGATCAGGGCATCCTGCTCAGTGTTCCGGATATCATGCTCAACCCCACCCTGTCTACGATGGCGAGCAAAGCAACGTCAGTTGATCGCTCGGTGTCAGATGACGTGCCCCCTTTTTCGCTGTTGCCGTCAGATTGGGCTGCGGACGAGGCAAAGAAAGAAGTTGCGCAACTGTGCAATAAAGATGAGAGTTCTATCGAGGACATATACCCGTGCACAGCACTTCAAGAGGGTCTCATGGCTTTGTCGGCCAAGTTTGCGGATGCCTATGTTGCACAGCGCGTTGTTGAACTCCCACTGGACGTCACATTGAGACTAGGCGAAGCATTCAGTAAAGCTGCTGCCGATTGCCCTATACTCAGAACCCGAATTGTCAATGTTCCCGGACGCGGACTTTTCCAAGTGGTCATCAGCGAAGCCGAGCCCGCTTTCACGGGCTCTGATCTCCAGCAATATCTCGAAGACGATCGCAATGACCCGATGGACCTCGGAAAAGCACTCTTCAGGTACGCAGTCCTTACCCCTCCGGACAGCGACAAGGTATATCTTGTCACATCCCTGCATCACGCTGTATACGACGGATGGTCAATGCCGCTCGTTGTCGAGCGCATCAACCGCGCCTACAATAACAGGGAGACGAAAAGAGCTGCCGAGTTCAAGCATTTCATCCGATATCTCTCGACCATCGACCGCTCTGCATCCGAGTCCTTTTGGCGGACGCAGCTGCTGGGTGCCAATCCGAACCAGTTCCCTCCAGTTCCGTATAAGGGATACACTATGCGTGCGGACTCGCTGCTCGAACACTACGTCACTGTGCCTACCGCCGCGCATTCGCAGAATACGCTAGCGACTATCATCAGGGGTGCGTGGGCTCTGGTGTCGAGCTTATATCTTGGATCCTCAGATGTCGTCTTCGGAGAGACATTGACGGGTCGCTCTGTTTCCGTACCAGGGGTCGAGCAGATTGAGGGCCCCATGATCACCACGATTCCCTTCCGGGTACGTCTGGATTTGAGCCGCACTATATCTCAATATCTCCACGAGATCCATGCACAAACCGTTCGCACAATCCCGCATGAGCACCTGGGTCTGCAAAACATCCGCCGACTATCCCGCGAAGCACGAGATGCTTGTGACCTCAAGACCGGCCTGGTTCTGCATCCGAAGGAAGATGAAGATTGGACCGACATTCCGAGAGGAGATGACGCCCCTGCGAATGGCTTTGTGCCGGCTGATGATGCGGAAGCTGCGCGAGAGGCATTGAAGTTCAATACCTATGCGCTTATGCTGGTGTGCACTCTGGACGAGAATGGATTTCTGATCATGGCGAGTTTTGACTCGAATTGCATCTCTTCCCCTGTCATGGAGCGGGTGCTCAGGGTGCTGGATCGGATTGTGTTGAAGTTTTGTGGGAACTCGGACTATCGTCTCGGGGATGTTGCGATGCTGGATGCGGAAGAGAGGGAAGATGCGGAGAAGATGCGGTCGACGGGTGTGATGATTGACAGTGCCGTAGAGTCGGGTCAGATGGTTGAAAGACACTTCGAGGAAGCGAAGGTGGAGCCCTCGCCAAGGGAAGAGAAAGTGAGGGAGCTGTTGGGTCGCATTATGGGCATCCCGCTACGGGACATCAATTGCTGGGATTCATTCTTCGAACTCGGTGGCGACTCCATTACTGCCATGCGACTTGTCTCTGAGGCTCGAGCGCATGGCTTAAACCTCACTGTGAGTGAGATCTTCCGGAGCCGCTCAATTTCGGCATTAGCGGCATCAATAAAGTCGAATAAAGAAGAGAAACTGCGAGAGGTGTTGGCCCGCATCCTGAGCATACCTAAAGAAGATATCAAAGCCACGGATAGCTTCTTTGACCTTGGTGGAGATTCCATTGGAGCAATGAGGTTGGTTTCCGAAGTCAGGGCCTTGGGATTGAAAATCACCGTTGCGCAGATATTTGCCGCCCAGTCCCTCTCTCAACTAAGTGAGCTGGCAGTTGAAGAGGCTCCGTCGGCTGCATTCCCAGAAAACATTGAGACTCCGTTTGCGGCCCTTGGTTCGGAGAAAGATGTTATCACACCAGAAGCTATACAGCCTCTCCTAGAGAATCAGGATTGGAAGATTATAAATATCTATCCCACTCGGCCTTTGCAGCATTTGGCCGTAGAAGGAACGGTTGACGTCCCACGCTTTTCCCTTCGATACGACCTCATCCATTTCAAGGAATCAGTTGATGAGCCTCAGTTGCTAAGCAGTTGCCAGGCTCTGGTCAATCTCAACGAAATACTTAGGACTGTCTTTGTGGCGCACGAAGATCGTATATACGGAGTGGTTTTGGAGGCGTTGCGTATCCCGTTTGAGCAGATAACAGTGCCAACCGACATCGACTTACTCTCATTCGCTCGGAAACACAGCGAGCAGGACATTGCCGCGCCTAAGCCATATGGCAGCTCCTTTGCAGCCTTCTTCCTTTTTGCCTCGAACACAGGTGAATCTGTCCTTAGCTTTCGCATCTCACACGCCCAATATGATGAGATGTGTCTACCCCTCCTCTACGAACAACTGGCCGCCCTCTACAAGGGAACCACTCTCCCCACCACGGAACCCTTCTCAAGACACGTAAACCACGTCGTCAACAACACCATCACTAACTCCATCCCATACTGGCGCGACCTGCTCTCCAACTCTCACATGTCCATCTTCAAACCCTCCATACCCCTCACGACTCGCAACCCCAAATACATCTACCGCGAATTCGACATCTCCCAGCGTCCCCAGGGCATAACCATCGGCTCCCTTCCCACCGCCGCATGGGCGCTCGTCCTCTCCAACCGCCTCCAAACCCACGACGTCGTCTTCGGCGAAGTCGTCACGGGCCGCAACATTGGTCTTCCGGGCGGTGACAGGATAATTGGACCGACGTGGCAGTACGCACCATTCCGCGTCACCTTCCACAAGCACTGGACGTATCTGGATCTCCTACGCTTCGTGCAGGACCAACACATCGCGTCTGCCGCACACGAGAGCATGGGCCTGCCCGAGATCGTGGCGCAGTGCACATCCTGGGATCCGGAGGAGGTAACTTGGTTCGATTCCGTTGTGCACCAAGCTCCGCCGTGGGTAGAGACGATGGATTTTGGTGGGTTGGAGGCGAGGTTTGAGACGTTGTATCCGCATGCGGAACCGCTTAGGGAGTGGAAGTGTCAGGCGTTTGTTAGGGATGGGGGCAAGAGGTTGGGGATTGAGATTGTGACCTTCGAGGAGTGGGCGGGTGTTGGCGAGGAGGTGTTGGGGGAGGTTGGGGAGGCGCTGGGGAGGTTGGTTGGGGATACAGTGGGGGAGAGGATTTTGATGGTGGACGGAAGGGTAAGGGAATGAGTGGGGAGGGTGATGACAGTGATGTTAGTGGCAAAGGGGACGTTTAGAACACTGTGATCGGACTACGGTCCGCGGTGGAGAAGTGCATGTCATTGAAGGATTTTGAGGGACTGTCTAAGAGGGAACTGGCTGGGACTGCACTCAGTGAACGAACTTCGCATCTAAGTATGAGAATTGCGATTCCGACTGTTGGTCACTTAATAGCTGCAACCCCAAACTGTCACTGTTCGTGGATTATATGGCTTCCGTCAGTGCCGTTTTTCTCCGAGCCATTCCAAGAGCATCACGCTGAACCTAAAGCAACATCATGATTGATCTCTTTCTATCGACAAGCTCCATCTCTCATTCTATTGCATTCACATGTCATACGTCAATTCTATTCAAGCTTTCTACCAGTGGTTTTGTTTTAATGAAGCCTATGGCTGGGGGAATTGCTGCAATCACGAGCTGTCTGGACAATGGCAGAGTGATTCTCTCGAAGTCTCAAAGCAGCCCAGGCCTAAATGATGTCCAGTTGAGTCGTGGAGGAGATATCTTACTAAGTGGTTGGTGTACTTCGCGGAGCCTCTGATTGGTCAGATGCGAGCAACAACGCGCGTACATCTTATCTTCCCCACAAGGATACAAATACCCCTGTCTGCCAAGCCCTACCCCAGATTTCCGGTGGACATCATGAACACGCAGTTGCCCTCTCCTCACGTCACAGCACTTCATTTTCCACACCTCCGCTTTTCCACTACGTAGTTCCCGCGGCCGCCAACTGTTCGCTCGAATCTACTTGTATAACGAGTTTGAAGCCCCCCCTCTTTCTTATCCTGCTTGGCCTTATCGCCTCCCCCTAGTCCTAGTCTGAAGCTATGGCGTCATACTTCGATGTGAAGCCACGCCCCAAGCACACCACCACTCTCCAAGCTGTCGAAAACAATGACGGGTCCCCCCGACCGAGTCTCCTGTCTCCCCAAGTCTCGCGCATCATCGACGAGCTCGGTGACGATTCTTCTTCTTCATCCAGTGATTCGGATTCCTCAGACGAGACAATCAAGCGGAAACCCGCTTCTACCAAGAAAACAGCCAAACGGGTGGCAAGTCCCCATCAGGCCACACCTTCGTCGTCGTCAAGAAGTCCAAGCGGAACCCCCACTGGAAATGCTCCCTTGCCACGCTTGAAACGACATCCTCGTCTAGAGAGATTTGTCTCGCTTCGAAGTTCACTGTTCTCGTCGCACATTGCGGAAAAGGTGTCCAAGTGCGAGGCAGAGCAGAAATCCGATATGGCAACTCAACACGAGCCACGCAAGAGTTCGAGACTGGCGAGCGGAGGCGAGACTCCGCCTGCGGATATTGAGCGACCTGAAAGAAAGCCGCTGGTGCACAGGATGGGCGACACACTGCGGAGGATTACTAGTAGAGATGCTCCGACGGTGCGGAAGGGCAAGGAAGAAGAGAGCGACACCGGTGGCTCGAAGGTGAGGCGGGATTCCGCAATGACTCCCGGGGAGGAACATCAGAAGCGCGAATTAGGAGACAGGAATGACAGTGGTGAAGAGGATCGGTGTCTGTCAGAATCCCATATAGAGGGTTTAGTGCGCTTGGTGAGCGCTAGTGATTCCGCCTCCAGTCCCAAGGGTCAACCCCAAGACTCGCCGCTCTCCGGGCAATTCCAAGAACCAGCGGAGGGGCCACGAGGACAGGGCGTGAGAAAGAAGGACGCAGATGACAAGGCACAGCAAATGTCAACAGAGGCGGATAAAGCAGAACATCGCGATTACGACGACATCTCGACCGAATCCGATTCCGAAGGCGGCGACTCGGCCCTCGACTACGAGGATGTTGAGGAGCTCGTACAATGGGTCAGCAGAAGCAACGATCCCAACGCGGAGCCAGGAGACCCTATAATTAACAGACAAGCTCTCGGACGGAATTTCCTTGCGCAGCGCTATGTCGATAATTTAACGGAGGAAACGAACACGCCCGACATGGAGCGGTCGATCCTGCACGAGGACGAAGCGAGTCCCATGTCCGAAATGGAGCAGACGCGCGGCAGGATGACCGACGAGTATTCGCTTGCCACAACACAGGATGACCGTCCGCGGCTGGATGAGTCTACTGGACTTGCACGGGCAAAGAAGTCCGGGGTGTCGCCGGCGGATGACGAGGCACTGAGACAGGCGGCGATATTGAAGTGGAAGCTGGAGAAGGAAAGGCAGCAGCGATCTGGAAAAGTGGATGTGACGCATCGTGGGAGCTTGACGGAGAAGGATATCGAGGAGCTGGTCAAACGTGCGCGGGAAGAGCTGAAATCGAAATCGGGGGAAGAGCAGAAGTAATGATATGTTCACGCGGCATGCCCCAGCATTTTTGTTGGCTGTCGAGGGGGAGTCGAAGGCACTTTCACTTCTGGCAAACGCCTCTTGTATATTTTACTGCTTTACTTTTATGCAGAACGTGAATCCGCGTTTTATAAAAAATTCTTTGAAGTTAAGCTGCCATGATATCTCGTATGTACATAAGATCGACAATTCCATACCTTCATAACACAGGCTTTGCACCTTCCCTCGGTCCCAATTCTCTATATACAGCTAAAGCGTCCTCCTCGCCAACACTTCCCCACCCCTCATTCAAGCTCCGCCTCATCCATATTCCTCACAAACCCCACCATCCACCGCACAGTATCCACATGCGCCTGCACCCCTATCCTCTCATCCACCGTATGTATATTTCCCAACCCCCTCTGCTCCTTATCCCACCCAGGCGCATACCTGAAAATGTTTTCGCTCAACACCCAGTAGTACCTCGTATCCGTGTTCCCCGTCATAATCCCCGGTGCGACGAGAATCCCATCCTCAGCGTACAATGCGCGCGTCGTGCCTGCCAAGATGGAATATGCAGACGGACGCTTCGGATCGATGAGCGTCGGCGTCACAGGCGCAGGTTGCAGGAGCGTGGGTCTATACGACAGTGTGATAGAAGATGGGGACTCGGTGCCATTGAAAGGCGTGAGTGTTAGATTATATTTCCTCGCCACGTGGGCCGCTAAGTCGGTGATGTGGGCGAAGACGGCAGAACTGCTGGATCCGACGTTGATGCGGTGGTTCACTGTGAATTGCGTCCGCTCGGGTAGCGCGTTGGTCTTGACGCCCCCGGAGATGAGATCTACGGCTACGGAGGTGGTCATGAGGTATTTGATATCGAGGCCGGCTTTGCTGGCTTCTTGGGCTAGGGGGTCGTGCTTTTTGCGGCAGGTACGGTCGCGCTGGTCGAGGAGGTGGCGCAGCTTCTTCGGGAAATGAGGCGCGTGTTCGGCACCGCAGCGGAGGAGGGAGAGATAGGGGTTCTTGTCGTCGAGGAAGGGTTCGTAGGGGTTGGCTTCGATGAGAGTGATGAGTTCGCTTGCAACGCCGATGCCGTTGTGAGGTGGTGGGATGGAGGAGTGTCCGCCGGGCATGCGCACGACGATGTCGATGTCTACAGCGCCTTTCTCAGCTACGCCGGGCATGGCGAAGTTGGCGCCCCAGGATTCGGCGATTACGGCGCCTTCGTCGACGATGACGGCCATGGAGTTGTGGCCGTATTTCTCGACCAAGTGCCTAGATAGCCGTTGTGCACCCCGAAGACCGGATATCTCTTCGTCGAAACCAAAGCTTAGAATCAGTGTGCGCTTTGGTGTGAAGCCTGCTTCGATGAGAGCTTCTACAGCCTCCATGATACCGATAAGCTGGTTTTTGCAATCGCTACTCCCACGACCCCAAATGAATGTGCCATCATAAAATCCAGAGAACGGAGGATGCGTCCATTGTTTCTCCGTAGCTTTGGGGACAGGAACCACGTCCTGGTGTGCCATCAAAAGCGTGGGTTTCAGAGACGGATTCGTCCCGGGCCAAGTATACAGCAGTGCATGCGTGTTGATTTTATCCAATTGCAGGGTAGAGTGTACCAACGGGAATCTCTTGTTCAGGTATGCTGCAAAAGGGTAGAAGGCATCCCATCTTGGGTCCTCGCCCACGTTACCCATATCATCGAAGGATTCGGTGGGTATCTGGACTGCGCCTGAGAGCCTGGGAATGGTTGCGTTCCGGAAATCGTCAGAGTTCAGGAATTTGTCCATGGCATCTAAAGCTTTGGTTCGACGCTTAGGATAGAGCGGCTCTACTTGTGGACATCTCGGCTCTCGAGTTCCAGTTCCATGTCGAAGTTTACCAGTTGTCCATTTCCAAGGTGCCTGTGGCAATATGAGTTGCCGCACAAGGAAAAGGACGGTTAGGAAGGTTAGAAACTGAACACGGAATGTAGGCAGCTTGACCCCACGCTTCCGATCCCTCGGAGCGTCGAGTACGGGCTGCTCCTCAAGTTTCTTATCCATGGCGATGTGGGTGGTTGACAAGCTCCATCCGATGTCGAGCTGGGAGTTGTTCTGCCGCGCCTCGGAACACCTCAGTGTGGGGAAAAGACCACTAAGCCTCTTATGGAAGGTCGTTAGTCTGGAACTTCACCAGTCGCATACTCATCGTGTCCATGACTAGTGATGAAATCAGGCGAAGATAGAGCACGAAAATGTATCCCTTTCATGAGAAGGAGGCGTTAGCGCAAGAAGAGACACAGCCATCCTATCATACAGTACTTAGGAGGCGACTCTTACATCGCCATGCTACTCGCGCTCAGCTTCATGCTTCTCTTTTAACATAATAAACGTCGCAATAACGCATGTAGGCCATGCATTTGTAAAAGGGAGATGCTTGATTCATCGCTCTGCTCGCTCGGATATTTCCGCTGAGAAGTCCGGGGGTATGGAATATGACTTCCGCTTCTTCCGCTCTAAGTTCAGTCATTTCAGTCATCTGGTGACGCACTTGAGGTTTGCGCGAACCAAGTCCACTAAATTTATTGCCGTTTTGAAGTCTGCCGTTCGTAAAGCATCGGTATGTTCGCACCAAACGTCATTATGGTGTCGGGAGCTCACAGATTCGAGCATAAATACGACCTGATGGACGATTTGTTGATGCTGTGCTCCTGGCTCCTTGTTGGGCTCTGTTGTATAAACCACGTTCACCTCCATTGCGTGATACAGGTGAGAAAGCTCACTTCTCCCTCTGAGGAGTTTTTCAGTGCGGAAGACGGATTGGATCAGTCTGCAAAGTAGTCCCGCTCCTGTTTTTGAATTCCGCTTCGTGTGTTGAGATGGTGGATATGAGGGCGTTCGGCATCCCACCGTGACATTGAATAGAACTACTCCGGTTTTGGGACATTGTCGGAATCCGTTAATGGCAAAGCCATTCCAATATTTACCATCCGTTTCCTCGAGCGAGTGGTGAGACCGAAAGCTTTGGCTGCCTCATTGCATACGCATTCGCAGCAACGGTCAGGGCTCCATTGAGTGTTTCATCCCCGCCTGGGTTACAATTCCATCGGGTCTAGATCCAGTACTAGCATTGCGCACCCCCTCTGGGATCGATACATTCCATAACGCCAAGTGAAGTTCTTGGTCAGGGTGTTGCACCTTGTGTCCAGCATGGTCACTTTCATTCTGCGTTCGAACCCTGGTCCAACATGCATGCGCTTTTGGAAAGGCAGACGTCCGAAGGGCCTCCTGTTGTTGCTTTCCATTGAGGTGGTTCAGAATAATAACCCGATAGCTGGAGATACTAGCCATTGAAATAGCCACGGCGCCTTCCACTTGGAGCAGAAAGACGAGGCCAACATAGTCAATTCGAGGAGAATGTCGGGACAGTATGAAGGCCAGCCGGGTTGCTGCGACGATGATGCTGAAGATAGAAAGCCCTTTGAAGACACCGTTGATGAGTGAGTGGAGGCGTGAGAAGTTGGCCATGAAAATGAGAGATACCGGAATCAACATCACTAAGATCTTGATTAGTAGTCTTTGAGTATCAATGGGCGAGGTGCGCACCAAGGAAGTCGGTAATTATATCAATGACTGTCAGAGCCACCTCCAACGCGATTGCCCATGATGACGTGCGGTAATATTGGCATCTTTCTATAGAGGCATCAGCAGCGCTAAGAGAAGGTACTTGGGCCTGGAAACGAACCAGCAGTTGGACAAACCGCAATCGGTTGGCTTAATGCGAACAGAAACGCTGCGCCGCAAATGCAGACGCAGACCCAATAGTAGCGCGTAAGAGCCACTGAGACATAGGCATATGGTGGTTTGTGGAACTTGAACTGCGATATGAAGCAGAACTTGACACAGAAGATGGATAACCACAACATTTCCATCAAAGCCTTGAGCTGCGATGGAGCATTTGGTAGGACGGGCGGAGAGTTTGAAGGCTGAGGAGCGAGCCATTCCGAATATAAGATGTCTATGTTAAATTGCAGTAGTCCAGTGCCAGTGAACAGGGCGGGAAGAGCCATGAAGAGGTAGTAGTCGCTTGTCATGAGCCGTCCCTTTGTCGACATGCGAATGGCGATACGGGAAGCGAGCAAAGAGATTGAGATCCCGCATAGTGTCCATATAACAAGCTGTATTACATTAGAAGACGTAAATGACGAGGATAAACAGGCATAGTACCAAAAAGGTCCTCTTTCCAACAAGAGGTCCTGTGATGTGCTCAACTCCAGGAGTGCTAGTCATGGTCACATAAGCGGGAAGCCGCAGTCATCGGCGCGTGTGAAACAACTTAAAATCTCGCAGCATCGACAAGACATGGCGAGCTACCTGTATAGAGCCCAGGGAAGCTTATATATATGTAGTTGAAAGAATAATGTGCAGTCCGAGACTGATGTCGTTCGGAACACCCGAAAACTTGGCATAATCAACTGGGTAAGTTGGGTAAGCACGAGCCTCACTCAGCTGTTCAAGTGTGGCGGTGTCCTTGGCAAGCGCGCTGTAGACTGGGATTCAGCCTCTAGTACTTCGGTTATCAGTACACGCTGATCTCATTGTTTAGACATCACTTAAAATTGTAATCGAGAACATTTTTGCTGTCGCAAAATACCTGTCACGTGATCGAGAAGTTGTGTCTCATCGTCTTGAAATATCGAGACATTGAGCACCCATGATTTAGGACGGTGGCAGTACGCACCTACAAAAGTGTGGACGGTAAGAATTTTAGAGACGGACGGATTCTAAAATTTGATCCATGTGGACTGCTGTGGGGGACACATGTTCCAGCGTGTTAATCTGGCTTTCCTGACACTGAAGCGCGAACAGAGAGCACAAAGAAGAAATACCTCGACTAGAAAGTTGGAAGAAGAATAAAAAGACAGAAAAGAAAGGAAAAGAAAGGAAAGTGAAATAGAACCGAAAAAAAAGAAAACAATATAAGTGAGCAACCATATCTCAAAACATTCTTTCCTCCATGCTGGTTTTCTGATAGCCGCTTTGAGGCCGTCATACTTCCAAAGGTTACCTTATGTGGTCAACAAATGCAATCACACAAGTTACATCCGAAACCCTGGGAACGCTTGCCATAGCCAACGGCACCCTGCATGCTGTCAACGTCCTAGCTTGAAGGACGGATCGAATGCTTATTCCCTTCACTCGCCGATTCGCCAGGATGATGGTCTCTTGATACATAATGTCACGGAGCGAAATGTTTGCATCGGCATCTGCAATTGTGTTTCCCAACTACAAATTATCACCTGTAGAGGCCAAGATCGGATCATCATGAGGCGGTCCGAGAATCGGAAAGGATGCACTGGTGCCGTATAGTAGAAATCATGGGAATCAGCCGTGGGACAGTAAACTGATTCGATATTAGCACACTTTTAGACACTTATATTGCATACCCAGGGTACTGGTGTATCAAGCACGTCGATGTTCGTCCCCTTGCAGATCCATTTACTCGAACATTTGCACACAATGATCTCGAACACCCTGCAGCATTTCCGGAGCGACAGTCCACCAGTCTGGGTTATGGGAAAGACGGTCGCAATCAACTCCCTTGCTACATATACAATCCATTAGCTCTCCAAGCGGAATTCTAGGGAGTCAAAACAAGATTATCCTAGATGCCTCATCAGCTGTGTTCATTGACACCAGTAGAATAAACAAAACTCCCAAGCAGATCGCCAAAAAACTAGTCGTCTGGGTGAATTTGCAGTAATAACAGGTCTGTATTTCTCTCCCGGTAAGGGCTTGGTCGTCAGAGACGGTGTTTTTCTGGTGGCACTGCTGGCGCGAACGAGAAGGGCAACAGCCGGTTGAGCAAGCATCATTACCTGATGCGCTAGAGTGAGGAAGAGAGTAGACTGTATAACTCGAGAAGCGCGACTACTCAGTACCCTAGGGTATCGTTGGCGAAGAAGGCTCATTGCTCTAGTGCACTTTCTCGACGCAGTCAGTGCCAGTGAGGCAAGCTTTGACGCTCAGGGTGTAAAGCCCATTGTTGTTATCTGCGCGTGAATGGCCTGTTTCCGGTCACTCCTCCTCATGAGCATTTCTACAACTGGACTGCCGACTCCGGCTTCGAGCGTATATTTGTATTCGCGGCGAGCTTTGCGCCATGGAAGTTCCTGGAGAGGAAGAGGCTTGAGGAACGCGTCTGCCGGAATGTTTGGGAATCGATCTTTGAATCCCAATCTTGGGTTCCCAAAAACATCGCCATCCCTCAAAGTGATGTGTGTGATCGTGCCATCCGCCATCGCCAGCGTGTCGTTCCTTCTCAAGTAGGCCTTTTCGAGAGGGGAATGACGGCCTACGAAACAGGTTGCCTTCGCATTCTTGTCTTGAATTTTTTCCATGTAGCGAAGCCAACGGTGAATATTCCACAATGCCCCTAAGGGAGTAATTGGTTCTTCCTGCCCACTTTGTTGTCGGACTTCGGGAGTTGTAGGAACGAGGAAGTGATTTACGTGGACGGCTTGGCTATGAAGAGGATTTTGAGGAGCCCGTATACTCCAGCAATTATTCCCAGCCGGCCAGTAATCGTGGTCGAACCCACTCTGAGGCGTGGCAAGCATATCGTGGAATTGGTCGGCTGCGAATGTGTTTTCCACATTCATATCGAATGTGTTGATTGCAAGCGCCTGTTGTCGCATTGAATTGTACTCGGCCATTTTCTCATCTGTAACCAGTTTGCTCTTGTCGGTGGAGCCGCTTCGTTGGTAATCGTCAGTCAGGGAAGCGGACACGTCCTCCAAGTATACACCCATCCCTATGCTCCATTCGGCCTTTGGTCGCAGTCCATTCCTGATGTACAGCTGGTACATCTGCTCGGTAACATCATAATTTTCTGCTTCACTGTTGAAGAGGCTTGGTCCTTCTCGGTGATCACGGTCCAATCCCTTGCGGTGCAGGATCTGCTCAAGAGCAATGCTCTTTGGACACACTGGGATTGGAACCATCAGCTCCTCGTCAGCAAAATCAGCGCAGACAACGGTCGCCGGTGTGTCGGGACATTGGGTAGGATAGATGAAGGAGGACGCTGCGCTGGTAGTGGAGTTGGCACGGGTACTCTGCCCGTCATCGAGCTGGAGAGGAGCTATCTGTACCCCGCCCTGTGCCTCTGAAACGGGGGATTTAATGCTTCGAGTTGCACTTCCAAGGCTATCCTCTGGCATGCGGCCTTGATAAGCAGTGGCCTCCAAGCCGGAAAGAAGAGTGACACTAATTTCGGCATCAAGATCTAGGTCACAGCCGTTAGATTCGTAAATGAGATGATGTCAACAAGTACTTACAAGCAGGGCCGTCAAAGTCAGGCTCCACGCCACTCCTTCCACGGAAGAGGACGACGTCGTCGGCATCACCATGGTTATTGGGACGTCCGCGATATACAACAACATCTTCAGCACGTCCCCGGAATACGACATGGTCCTCACTTTCGGGATCAGGATGATCCATGCTCGAGGAGTAGCCGGAGTCGCTGCTCGGAGTTCTGTTCCCGGCTTTGCTATGGGTTGCGACAGTTCGCTTCTCTACATCAATAGAGCCAGAGGCTGTAGTATAGTTATCGCGTGCCACTAGGATTAATGTTAGCATGCAAAATAGAAGGCATCGGTTGCATCGAATGGCTCACCTGCGTCTAGCTGCCTTTCGTCGATGGCTCCGAGAATCTGGCCAAACTTGAGGATTGTCTGGGCAAGCTCATTGTTCTGACGGACCATATCGACGTAGACGCGTTTCAGCTCCTCTTTCGTATGCCCTGCTACTTGGAACTCCATAATAGCAGGATCGGCCGTCGTAGGGTTGCGCACTTCGCCAGTGAACTTGCCACTGCTCGCGTAGAAGGGTGTCGAATGATTGTTATTGGCGTATAGCAGAGCGCCCAACTTTCTATGGTGGGGGGTTTCAGCGGAGAGAAGCGTAAGGGTCTGAGGCTGGGTCCTCGCGAAGATAGCGCCGTTGCTGCAGTTCATGATGACGGATCGGGATTGTATGGAGAAGTATATATGTCTTTAAGTAATGGGCTGAGCGAGAAAAGTTGGGTGTTCGAGGTTGGTGTTGCGCAAGTTCAAGAAGGTTGATCGCAGGTTGTGGGAAGTAGAGCTTGGGAGGTTTGTTTATGTCAAGCGAGCGACCGCAAGCTGAAACTCCAGTGTATCTCAAGCGAGGCAGGCATGACGTCAGGTGTTTTTGTTATCAGAGAAGTATTGCGGTCATGGGGTGTTGTGTATGGTCGAAAATCTGAACTAGTCCAGTGAAAGCTGCAGAAGACCTTTCACTACTACTAGCGGCAAGTTTGGGACTAGGCAGGTCTGTTGGGTAGTTCCAACACTTTCAACAGTAAGAAACGGAGTACATCTCAACTAGCTACTGTGTTGTCCGGAGAAAGGGGGCTATATTTCCTAGCTGAGCGTTTCCGATTCGTCCCTGTACCTTTCAGTGGAGGAACGGATGTAAACTTGCTTCCTAAAGTAAAGATTTAGCTTGAAAGGGGGTAGGCAGGCATAACCACACACTGAGCTAAGAGGCTCTGGTAAGGCTGAGTACGCAAGTCTCGGGTCCTGTGCGATGGCCCTGTTCCGAAGTTGGGCGCTCGCTCAAGCGGGGAATAGGATAGATAAAACTGTGCGGTCATGATTTGATAGGCAGGCGCCGCGGATGTTTATTTCTAGCGATAGGGAGAAGCTCAGGTTACTCATGAATATGTGGATGACCTTTGAAGGGACAGTACGTGAATGCCTCCCATCCTGCCCGAGTCCCCGCTCTGGTGTTCTTCGAACCCTAGTAATTGATGCAAAGGTGAAGGGACTTAGAAGATTCTCTGAGTAGATTAATATAATATAAGACACCTTGTTTACACTCCTTATGGTGGTATTTAAGCTGCGACTGCACCTATAATCGAAGTACCGTCAAATTATTTCAGGTGAATGGCAAAATCACGTGAGCACATATTACTGCTCCGCAATCAGTGGTTTCTCCAGCCAAAACTTTGATTTTGCTCGGGAAAGGAAGAGCTCATGTGTTAAATCCAGTAAAATCAAGTACAATGGATTCTTCCATAGTGGTGTCTTTACATCACGTGTGCTCTTGGCGATCCACTTTTTACCATCATGGCCAAAGTTAAACTGAACCTCAATCATACTATCATACTCAACGTAACTCCACGTCGTTTGAACAGCAACGCTTCTGGTCCATTAACAACCCGCCCCGTCCGTATCTGTTGCAAGATAACTCGGCTGACTTGGATAACCGCTCCTGTTTACATCAGCCTACCAAGGCTACTCTCCGTCGCTTCTCCAGTCTTCCCATTGGACCTCTCCGTCTCAGCCTCACAGAAACCAGACGCGTGCTCGCGTGGAGTTCGTCAAGCGAGCGCAATACCCACGGCAGCAATCGCTCAGATGGACTACTTTTGAGGCGCCTGCGTTGATGCTCTATCGGGTTGAGCTTGCGCCATCAAGCCACAGGTCGCCTTCGATGTGTAACGGTTGTATCCACTACATGGACAGTACCTCGCTCTTCGAGGGAACGCCAAAAGGGAAAGGCTACTGAGTCGCGCCTCATTGAGGCTGCTCTCCTCTGGTATCATATGGTTCTCTGCTGCTCAGGGTCAACGTAGACAGGCACGTGTCCCACCGCCGTTTCTCTGAACTGTGATCTCCAGCAATCGGTGCTGAGGTAGCCACATCGTCGGCGGCGCTCATCAGGATCTTCTAAGCGCCCACTCTATCCCTCAAAATTTCAAGCTTTGCATCAGATTTGCCTTCTACACAAGCTTCGTCGCACGGAGGACGTGCATCATGGGAGTGGAGTGTTTTCCTGCCATTACTGCGGTTAATGTGCTGGCTACAGCTGTATATTGACTGCTATGTGCAGCTTGCTTCTGGATGATCGGGAACCTGGGGCCACTGACCGCCGCCACAGCTCTGGCATGCATTGTGGGCTGGGCAGGCGGCGTGCGCCGCCCACAATTTATTCCCTCACCTCCCCCGCATCGACACAGTCCCTCCCTCCTTTCCACCTCCCTCGAGTCTCAGCATATTCCAAACTCTTCTTCTCCCCCATTGTCGTTTCAAGAAATTCCACTGATCATCTCATTCTCTCGGACCAACCATTTCTCTTTTTCTTTGTCCGCTTCCTGCCTATCCATCGTGTGAATGCACCGCTGTCGGCAGCTTCCGTGCCACCCCAGGACAGGCCGTACGCGACCATATTGGTGGAGGGTATCTTTCCTACTATGTTCGACATTCCTACAATACTTATTAGTAGTAGCCACCCGCGAAGACACCATGAGTGACATAAACGAGTGCCCTACTCTAGCACTGTATTCTCGCAACGATGATCCGATGACGCAAGCCCTTCGCTCTGAGAGAGATATCGATCTTGATCAGCTTGTTGGGCTTCATCGACTCGCCTCACCGGCAACAGTTGCCATGTCTTCCGGCCATACTAGTACTGGCATCTTCAGCTCGAAGAGACCTTCTACCATCACAAAACCAACCTCTTCCGGGACAAGTTACCCCTTGGGGGGAAAGACTTGCAACGAGAACATAATTGCGACATATGAATCATCACTGTCGGCTACGCATGGCTCCGGTTCAGAGAATGAGCGAGAGGCAGTCCGTGACGACGCCTTGTTGGGTATCGGCGACTGGGTTGCCGACCAACCCAGAGAATCAGATACACTTAGGGGTACTGCTAAAGCTCGCAAGCGAAATCAGCCGGCCCGCCGACGACAAAAACACAAGAAACCAGTTGTCATAATCCAGCAAGAGCGCTTCGATAGTGCATCAGAAGAAGACAACTTCCCTGTTGCGGCACAAACCTCCCGACACAGGGCTGGTACAATTTATCGGATATCGAGCGGAAACGGTACTGATCTGCATAGAGGAACGAAATACCTCAAGCATCGACGGGAGGAGCGAGCAGTTCACACACTCCAACTTGCGGAAGAGGGCCGTATCGGAGTTGACAATGCTATATCGTCCTCTTCGGCGGCGGCGCCTATCACACGCACACGCCGCGCTCTCATCATCGTGCTCATCGTGGTTATTGTACTTACCTTTCTCGTATGTTCTTTTGTGGGAGCGCGAACTGGGAAGAACCACGTGCAACACACCAAAGTCGCCATATTTACTGGGACGGTACTCATTTCCTGCTGCACAGTGTTTGCAATGGTTCTAGCAGGGCGTGGCTGGCACGAGAGTCTACTCGCTGGGGTTTTGGAGTCATTGTTTGGCTTCGCACTTCTCGTTGAAATCGGGGACTTCATGGAGACATAAGCTAAAAGTTTGTCTTGCGGCATTTGCGTTGTACAATCCCGTCGAGCACAGAGGCAACTTGAACCAGTCCGTCTACCTTAATCAAATTTCGCATATCCGCCGGTGCCCTAGCCTGTCTTCTGACCATTATTTCGGAATTGAATTGAGCCTGCAATTGAACCCGCAACTGAGCCAGGCATACCGCCCTGTAACTGAGGATCCCGATGTCAACTCCTGCACCTACACAATACACAATATGTACGTGCCAACACTTCAGAGGTCCTCCGCAAACACACTACAAGATGCATTCTGAAAGGACCAGTCACATCCTGAGCTTCTCACACGTTGCTCGGTTCTCGTTGAGAATTGGCAAGGCGTAAGATAGATGAAGCACCACGACCACTCAAACAATTCACTTTTCTCACGTTGCCGGTTCCCAGCTGACCACTGGGCAGCATCCCGAAGCCCGCCATTAGCGAACCACTGAAGATTTCCAGATCATTCACGTTGGCTTCCGGAAGACGGTTATTGGATATCACTCCAGCTGAATTACGAGCACAGCCACTGCTGACAAGTTCCGGTCCCCTTGTTGTGCGCCCACACCGAACACAGCCACTGAAGATCGACTCCACAGAAGTGTAACAGCCAATTCTTCCGCTTGACGATAGTCAACGGTATTCGGTGAATTGGCCCCTGCAGAATGCGCGAGCAACCCTGCCACGCGAAGCTTCCCCGCATGGAGCGGAAGTGGGACGAAATCTGTCCCACTGATCAGGTCGCAACTCTCGGAAGTGGACACGACAGAGTCAGGCTGGGAAGAGTCAAATCGCCCGGCATGCCGGGGCCCGGGTCCTATCATTTGCAAAGATATGGATCCGCCGGCGGCGGGGAGATTGCTGTATCTCGTCGAGAGGTGAGCTTTGCAGATGAAAGCCCTTCGGCGCGATATGTGAACACTGGGTCATTTGCTACGTCAAAAGGCGCAGCCCGCCGACGCAGGTGAGCGACTTGGAAAAAATCCTAAGCCGTGGAAACGGCTAGTGAGAAAAGGAACGCCGCCTTTGCAAAGATCGGTCCTGCAGTATTCACGCATGGCATTGCAATTCCCGTGTTAGTAGTTGTCAACTCAGCCTAGCTGCGCAGTCACTCGTGAAGGATTTTGGAATTGGTCACACTGTGCCGATGGTAAAAGCGCTTGCGAGACCATTGCTCATAATCACGCTCGTCGCCATTGCCTTGGGGTTATTGTGGTTAGGCGACATGACGCTCCGTCGTACGGCAGGCGCCGTTGCTTGAGTTTGCCAACATGACCTGCGCCAAACAGCGGTTATATGGCGCAGTCCACGAATAGCCGACCAATAGGTCATCTCATGCACAGTACTCCGTGCTCTCTCTCTTTGGAGCGTCAAATCTGCAGCTGTATGATTTGGCTCGTACTGAAGCTCAGGGTTAGGCTACTTTTCTGTACAGAGTAATGTTTGCGGTTTTTGCTCTCGACGCAGCCACTGGCTAATTGATACGTTGTCTTGACGATGCTTTTGACCCATCCAAGAGAGATATCAAAAGAATTGAGGCTTGTACTTCAGAACTCAGTAAAACCGCGATGCATACGTTATGTTTCGTTATCCCGAACCTACTCTTTCACCCCAAACCGACGAAACCGGAAAGGCCGGGCTTACCCTACCACACTCTGTCCCGAAACTGGGCTGACACCCCACGCGATGGTATGTTACCGCCGTCAGCCCGACGCTGGAAGAAAGCGTCGACATGGCAGATAGCTGGATCTAGTGAAGAGAGTGTAGTACAGCGTCTAAGCACTGCCCGGGAGACGAGTTAAGCGCCACCCCCGGTCATGCATGCAGTCCTTTTCTACTTTAGAGAGGGGGAGGGAGCCCATGCAGATCCGTTGCCCTGCCCTGCCACGTATCTGGTGTTATTCCATGCCCTGGGCCATGCTGTGTTGCGTGCAGTGCAGGGAAGCATACCGGACAGTATGTGCAGATATAATATAGGCAGTGACATACATCGTGTCTCTGAAGCGTTCAATTGTCCCACATGCCATATTGCCTATAGTTCGAGTGACACCTCTCACACCGGTCAAGATGAGGAGTCCTTCGAAAGTCTCATTATTCTGGTTGCAGCGACAGAAACGTCGCTTACCCTAGGGTAGGAGGCCATGATCTTTCTGATATTGCCAACACCATGTGGCTTAATTGGTACTATCTCTCTCCGTCACAGCGGACCCGGGGAGGCATTTGCTAGAGGACCCCCGCCTGCAGTGACGGGGAGTGGGGGCGCCAGGGGTGTAAGCGTCAGACGGTATTCTCGGTCGAGGCTGAAAGACCCAACACCATACATATGCTCCATACATATGCTGTGCTACCATCTAGTTATCTGGCGGAGAGAGGCGGTTCCTAGACAAGCATTACACTCCTGACAACGCGGGCATGCGAAAATGAGCAGGCGATGCCAAGGGCTAGAAACAAATGCCGCGTTCCTCATCACTGCACTGCACGCCCTATGCATCTGGCGGTGCCCTTGTATATGTGTGCGCAGTTGCGTATCTTCTCGAGTGCTAGCCCTCCAACGACAGTTAAAAGGCTCACGTCCCTCAACTCGCATTCTGACATCGCACTCACCACCGTCAATCTCCTCCGTCTTAGCTGACCGTTACTGAGTTGATCCGTCACTCTATCACCGCCATAGCCACCACTACACAGGAATGGCCCGCTCAGGTTAGTACAAGTCCACTTCCCGTCTTGCTCTATCCGCTCCCTTGCTCCACCCCCACGTGGAGGGCAAGCTCGATCTGTAACCCGATCCTTCACCCTGGGCACGTTTTCTCTGTCTCCACTCCGCTCCCGAGCCTCCCTACCCTGTCCGGTACCTTCCATCTGTAACGTCTCGATTTTTTGACCTTGCACAGTCCCTTATACCCAACCTCAACCTCATCCTCTACTCGCCAAGCACCCATGCCGCCGTTCGCTTCGCTCCGTCGGCATCCCTGATGCAAGAGATATACTCGCTATATATTTCTGGTGGGTGCGGCAGCGGTACTACAGGGTACAAGTTGATCCACTTCTGTCTCCCGCGAACCGGTCGCAGTCAACATCACTGGGCCAGGTCAGCAGCAACAGCGAAGATTCGAGACTAGACGACTTGGACCCACATTCAAGTCCACGGCGACTGTTTTCAAAGCATACGGCTGGCTTAGATTGTTCTTTGTTAGCCGGCATTGGGGCGCAGTTTGAATGAAGACACTTTGATTGATTGCGATGTGAGGTGATGACACATGATTGATGATTGATGCAATTGGGGACACATGAGCCGTATGTCGTTTTAGAGAACCGCAGCTGTAAAATATTTCAAACTCGGATAGGAGGCGTTGGTAGAACCTTGATATCTTTTTATTCGGCAATGCGCAAAATAAGTTCGGCTTTCTCCTTATCTATGGAAGATTCTCCTTTCGCGTACCACTTGTGCTTTTCTTACAAATGGGTTATTGAACAACCTGGTTTAGCATACCTACTAGGGAAAGGGCTTGCTAGACAGTGTTAGAGGCGGAACTCCTGTCTGCAACATGTGATTATACCAACATTGATTGTTTCTATTTAGCCTCGCCTTGATTTCAGGATGTGGAAAGAATGCCTAGACTCTCTAGGTTGTCACTGTCTGGCCGCGCACGTTGCACGGGCTGTTAGAAGAAGCGTGCATATTTTCTACCAGCCCTCCTATTTTTGATCCGTCGCTCTATACGATCACGAATTCAGATTTTCTGCAACATCTAAAGCACATAGAAAAGAAGATAGAACTAATTGCAGGGGATTGAAACGATGTCTGCCTCAGTGCAACGAAAGAGACATCTGCGACCAATATCCGGACTTTTAGAGCACTCAATCAAGTCCTTAGTTTCTGTTAGTATTATAGGACTATATTTCTATGTTGGTAAGGGCGGGAACTTGCAAAGGAGCAGTGCAACGGTCCAACTAACTTATATGTTCGCAATGCTTAAAGATGTTAGACATGCAGGCACCGGACTTTGGCGACATGCACAGTGCTAGCTTACTTGATGACAGTGATAGGAGGATGAAGGATCCGCCAAAGTCTAAATAGCGCTCGGCGAACTTGTGAGAATTAGCCTCGATAACCTATAAATTTTCGGCCATATATAAATTTTTCAAATCACAAGTAACCTCCTCAGCCTCTTCATAACCCCAAGCCCAGCACCTTCCCACGACACCGCCCCTTCCACCTCATCAAACGGAGGAAACTCCCCATTCTCAAACCGTCTCCCGACCTCCCCTCTACCTCTCCAAGAACCCAACTCCGAAAACGGCGGGGGACCTGTTACAAGAAAGTAAATCGCCGATCCCAAGGCAAAAATATCAGCTGGGAGTCCTTTCATTCGCAACTGTCGGATCCGAACGAGGCATCGACGACCGAACGCCTTCAGCCGACCTACTATCGAGACGAATCGTGCAATTACAATGCAGTAGTTTTCCTTGAAAGCCGCAGCGTTTGATGATCATGTCCTTGTCGAGGAGGAGTTGCTGGCGCTAATGTCGCAATGAAGGACGTTATTTTTAATAGATATACGTAACTGCCTCTGTAGCCTCTAGTGCCTATTTAAGTTTTGCTTCAGCGGCGGCAGTAGGTCAGATGCGCACAGGTACTCTGCTACGGATCTATTTAGCATGTACTCGAGCAAAAGTCCGTCTTCATAGTCTCCTTTGAAGCCGATGATTCGATCTGCATGTCCGAGAATACTCGGTATCTCTTTTCGACGGTCAAGCCGTGTACTGCTTCCCACCTCAATGTTGCGAGAAGCTTTGCGTCTCTTACTATATTTGGGGTCGTTTCTGGAGGGATTTGCAGGTATTAGTCAAGCACTTTAAATCCTTCCTTGTTACTAACAGGTAGAACAAACACTAAGGGATATAGCACTGTATAGAACAAGGAGAGAGGGTAATAACAGGGTACTATCTCTGTAACAACTATAATTATCTATAAGATTTTATAGATGTAAGAAGTTTAACAGGAAGAACCGCGGAGATAGGAACGGGGACTATGTAGCTAATACAGCGGTAGACCATTGCTATCAACGCTATCCGTTACCGCTATCAGCGCCTGCTCATCTACTAGCCCCGTTACTAGCACCGTCACTATCGCCTTCACCGCCGCTGTTTTCAGCGCTATGGTAATCATTACCATTATCACCAGTACTATTGCTATCAACCTAGAACATCGCCTCGAACATTTAATTACATCGAATTACACTAACCTCCTCGGACGTAGAAAGCCCTGCAGAAAAACCATTAGGATTGTTAACTGCCTTTTGAAGAGGAGAAGCAAATTTAGCACGGTAGAGTGTCGAAGGAAAAGAGGAAGTTGGGGGTTTATATACCTTCCCGTTAGCAGCTGCAGGCAGGGCACAAGTGAACGGGACAGTGCAAGAAAGCGGCTAGGAGTCTTGGGTTTCTAGGGTAGTAGAGAGTAGCGTGATAACGATGAGCATTACCGCTATTACCGTTAGTATTGTTACGCGTACAGCGACGAGCGCGTTTGCGGAGTACTACAGCCGTTACCACGGCTGTTACTACCGCCGCTATCAACCGGCAGAGCTATTCATCCCTCTCATTACCGCCACCATCATCACCACCATCATCACCACCACTATTCCTCAACATACTGCCCTCCCCTACCGCGAGGCACCCTACCCCCTAATCCCCCTTACTCTTACCCAATACGTTTTACGCAAACACTGCAGGAGCAGGGGCAACATGCGAACAGCAGTCTCAAGTTTGAAGTTTAGGAAAGAAAAAAGAGGAGAGTTGTAGAGACTAAACAAAAGCGCAAAAGCGGACTGTTTATATAATTGCACAAACGCGCAGTAGTAAATACAGGACTACCCTAGGGTAATAAGAGAGCACGAAGCACGTAGTTTAATTCCGCAGCCTGCTTCGCAGCCCCCGCCTAGGGGAGATTAAGAGAAGGTAGTGAAACACACATGCCCACCATCGTACCTTTTCTGATACATAAACACCGACATCACCACTTTCCTAGATCAAGAACATAATTCCTAGATCATGAACATAAGTTCGACTAAGCATGCAATTTAGCAGGCTCTCTCGTTATAATCATTATTTATAATCATCACCACCACCACCATCACCATCACCATCACCATCACCATCACCATCATCATCACCATTACCATCACCGTTTCCCAACCCAAACCCCGATCTACCATGTAGCCTCTCCGTTCAACACACACCAGCCCACACCAGTCCTACCACCACATACTTCTGCGCTAATTGGAATTTAGGTACAACCAAGCATAAAGCTAAAAAACAAAATCAAAGAGCAAGTCGAATCCAAGCACGACAGAAAAAAAGGGGCAATTTATATCCCTTCCCCCCCCCCTCCCCCCCCCCCCCCCCTCCCCCCCCCCCCCCCCCCCCCCCCCCCCCCCCCCCCCCCCCCCCCCCCCCCCCCCCCCCCCCCCCCCCCCCCCCCCCCCCCCCCCCCCCCCCCCCAAAAACCCCCCCCGGCTCGCCCCCCCTTCCCTCTTGGCAAAAAGGCCTTACAACCTTAACCCTCACGCGAACGAGAAGGCAAGGCCAGACAAGAAAAATACTGGGAAGAGGAGGGGAAGAAAAAATCAAATCACATACCCATGGTCTTACGCCTTTTGTTTTAAAATTACCATCGTTCGACAGCTGACATTGGTTGGGAAATCCATCCATGTCTAAAAGTGAATGTTACCTATATCTAAACATGAATATACTTCGAGAATTCAAGAAGAAGGAACACACATGGTGATACTCATCATCTTCATCATCACCGCCACCTCACAGAAACAACACCACAAAAACAAATACAACATGCACAGCACGACACACACAAACACAGGCAATTCACCCACCAAACCACAAGCACCCCACAATCGCACACAAACACAAGACTAAAATCCTCACATTTCCACTACCCTAGCAAAGCTAAAGCCACCTCACCCCATACCCCACATACCCTCCCTCCCTCCATCTAATACGAGCCACCCATCCGAAACCCTCAACCCCACAAAATACACAATCAAGAAAGTGAAAAAAAATGACATTTTCTGCTTTACAAAACACACATCTAAACGCCAAATCAACCGCTCAAAGGAAAAGTGAAAAAAATAACAGCATTACAAGCCAGGCAGGAATCGAGGGGATCGGGGCAGACACTCTACAAAAGTACGCAGCCAGGTCCTGCGCTGCAGGGCGCGTGCTCTGGGTTGAACGACGCTAAGAACGCCGACGGCGGCACACGCGCAGCACGTGGACATGCAACGGAGCAAAAGGGAAGGTGGTACACGAGGACAGATATGGTTTCGAGGGTACGGCCGTCTACATGATGGTTTTTTGGGTTGGGCGCGCCCGCAGTGTTGCATTGGGCTTTGCCTGTTTACCGCCTCCTAACGCAGAAGAACAGACCGCTCCGACCAAGGAACCACAGACAGCCGATGAAGCGGACGAGGGAGAGGAGGGCAGTGGCCCACAGCAGGGCTTGGAAGAAGCGGGCGGTACGCTTGGTGGCGTTGGACTTTGAAAGTTAGCTGATGAACAACCACTGTTGGTGGATAGACATACCGAGAAACCAAACTTGTTGAAACTGTCTTGAGTAATGATGACCGCGAGCAGGGCGTTGGAGAAAATCCACGAGGTCGTCAAATGGGTACGGAAAGACTTGTACGAATCGTCCAGCGTCTTCTCCGTGTTCTCCGGAGGTGGGACATAGGGAGCCAAGGCGCGCTTGACGGTTGCCTCGAACTGGCTGTCAATGTCCGCCTGCGGCAGGTCGGGCTCTTCAATGACCGTGTGCTTGCCATCGGAAGCTTTCTCCGTCTTTGCCGAGGGAAGGGCATCGGCCTTGTCGGCACCCTTGGTACCCCACGAGACGTCGTGCCAATTGCTGAAGGCGTACACGTTGAGGATGTTGATGTACGACGACATGATGAGCAGGTACTGCGGGAAGGACGTGAACATGTGCCAGGGGTCCAGGTAGAGGAAGGATGCCACAAAGTACAGACCGAAGGTAGCCGCCAGAGCGATCAAGATGATACCCACGCCATCCGACGAGAAGAACGATTCGACAAAGTTCTTGGTCGAGGACGTGTCGAGTTCGACCGAGGTGGGTGACGTGAAAGCCTGGACGACAAGGTACATGGAGAGAACGATGATGTAGAACTGGATGAGACCGAAGACGCAGAAGGAGACCATGTACGACCACCTGGAACCCTTCGGCCTGTTACCCAGGGCAAGAATGAACTGGAGGCCGAGGAAGGCGAGGTACATGTACTTCAGGACGACGTTCAAGATCGGAGTGACGGTGTTTCCGAAGGGCCAGGCATCGCGCTTGGTGTCCGGGTTGGGGTTACCGACTAGGTCCATGATGACCGAGGTAGTGAGCCAGAAAGAAGCCAGAGCAAACCAGGAGAGGAAGACGGTGAAGGTGTTGTACAACATCTGAATGTGGAAGAAGAACATGCGAATGATGTTGTGACCGCTCTTGTACATGCGGCCAAAGTGCATCAGCGAGTAGATACTGGCCGCGAAGGAACCGTTCAGCCAACGACGACGCTGGCCAATGAACTCGGGTGCGCCTTCGGGAACGTCGGTTTCACCCTTGGATGCCTTGACATACGTCAGATGCCACTTGGATCCGGCCTTGGCGACCAGCTCGAAGCAGAGAATACGATCTTCGGCCAGGAACATGTTCTTCTTGAAGATGTTCATACCCTCGATACCCTTCTTCCCAAGAATCTTGGAGAGCGTGTGGTCACCGTGGAAGTACTGCTCCAGAGGACGGCCCATGATGGCGCGGAATCGGTAGGCGGAGAACGCACCGGGCAGCACCGAGACGTAGCCAAATGAGGACTCGAGCGGCTTGTCCAGAATATTGGAGATCTTGTACTCGAAGTTCTGCGCCGCAACAAGGGGGTTGAGCAGGTTCTTCCAGCCCTTACCTAAAGGTAACTATTAGCGTTAATACCTAAGGAGATAGAAAGAAACCGACCCAACATGGCGTGGATTTCACCGCAGGCACCACCGAGATCCTTGTCGTTATAGAACGCCTCCCACAGAGCAAGGAGCGACTTGGGGCCGGGCTTGGTACCGGCATCGAGCAGAATGCAGACCTCGGGATTGAGGATGCGGCCAAAGGCAGTGAAGAGCCATCGATGCGAGTTGATCTTCTTGCTGTTCTTCTGCTTCAAGCAGAACATCATCTGGACGGGCGGGAGCGTGCTCGCGCTGTCATCGTGGGGCCGGATGAGCTGCTGGTTGGGAGTGACGGACAATTGCGTAGTGTATTCAAACTGTAGGGGTCAGCTTTTCAAGGGTTCTTCAGTCGTGTGCCGCAGTGCTTACAATGTGAGCAACGGTCTCCTTGCCATCGATATCCTTCTTCATGACACCGTCTTGGTAGACTCCGATTGTGGCAAGCAAATCGAGAGTGCCCTTGTCGCAAGGGTCGATACCGTCGAAGACCAAGCAGACGACAATCTTCTGCCAAGCCGGGCCGCCCTTGTTCCAAAACTCGGACTTCTTGAGGTTCACAATGTCGCGGATGTTTTGCATGACGCCGTGCAGCGTGCGGGCCGTCAAGACCTTGTCTTCATTGTAATAAGTGATTGCGATGAGAAGCTCGGTGTGGCGATTGTACATGGCCGGGCGCAGATTGTAGCCGTTCTTGAGGGTGAAGTCGTTAGGGTCGCACGTCGCGGCAGTGTCTGGGCTACGTCAGCAGGTCAATCGCAAAGTTGGAGAAGGAAATCTACATCGCATATGGGTAAACTCCTCGCTGCCGCTCTCGAGGTCGTTTCGATATTTGGCCTGGATGGCATTCTGGATGGCGCTGGGGACCGGATAGTCTGCGCTCAGCACGGAGCCCTGGACGAGCTTGACCTTTCGGGTCATGCCACGCTTGAGGCCGCCGGCAGCGCCGCCGGGCTGCTGGCGCTGCCTCCAGGCCTCGGTGGAGCTGGTCTCGCTGCGCGAGTATGGCGAAGGGGCACGAGCAGGGGCGCCAAAGTCGGCGGCTGGATCATAGTGGCCGGTGGCCGAGTAGACATCGGAGCCATCCGGGCGTTGGCCTGGGTATCTGGTGGTGGGTGTGCTGTCGGTAGCATATGTTTCTGTCAGGCTGTAGGCGGAGTGTGGACGGTCGGGGACTCCATAGCCACCGTGGTGGTCATCGAAGGGGCCCGGGTTGACGCCCGTGGGATTCGAGTGCAGCAAGGAACGGCCGACCTCGTCCTCGTCTCCCTGGTGTCGATGCGGAGGGTCGTCGTAGGGGTGCTGGCAAGTGTGTTAGTACAACCGATGGATTGAGGGGGCAAAGTGATTGGCATACTCCTGAGTGAGGGTCGCCGTAACCTCCTGGGCCTTGGTATGCCATGTTTGTTGGTGTCGCAGCAGGCGCGCTGGACCGTGAAAGGAGGCGCGGAAGGGGATAGAGAAAGTTGTGCCTTGGAGCAGCGAGGGCCGGCGGGCAGGTAAAGAATGAAAAAGAAAGAGGAAGAGGAAAAGGCACAACAGAAGCTACTAGCTGGGGCTGAGGCGGAGAGGGTGCAAAGGCTGGGGCTTGTGCGAGAGAAATGGGGAGCGGTCGGGAGAGCTGAATGAGTGAAGGGAGGAGGCGATCCAAAAGGGGGCTAGCGTGGCGCGGTAGGGTCTGGGGGGGCCACAGGCAGCGAATTGGCGGGCGATGAGGTGTTGAAACAGGACAAGACGTGGAATGCACTCGACTGGTCAAACATCCAACACACTGCCGGTCTTGCCCGTGTCGCAGCTGGTCCTTGAATCAAAATGTAGTCTACTCTACTGTACTGTACGAAGTAGTAGGTGTACAGCATCACGTCCGCGTGAAGGAAGGAATGCAGGCCGTGTGACCGCCGACTTCACCGCATGAGACCTTGAAAGGGTACCTGGGTATGGTCAGGAGCACAGCTGTGAATGCTTTTCATGAGGTGTGGCGCAGCTCCTACTGTGCATAGCCGGCTATTCTTAGACGGTTCATGAAAATTGAAGGGTTGTGGCTGTGGTTTGGGATCCCTTTTCCGCCGCTCGCCGGACCTCAGCCCTACACTACTGTTTACTGTAACGGCACTCACTGAAGCCCTTCGCTCACACCGACCCTCCCATACGACTGACTGAGCATTTGAAGTTGCTGCCACCAGGTACGTTATGTCACACATTCTCTCAAAGATTTCACATATCCGGCTGGTCTTACATCATCGTCGCAAATTCTCCGGATTGGATATATTAACTCATATCCCTGCGCCGATCCCAACGTCAACTCTTCAACCTGCTTGCTCTCCCTCCAACAATATTTCCAAGACAAGATCTTAGAAGAGAGGGAAATATTGGTCCTTTTCTCCGTCTCAAGGGAGTAGTTCTCTCACAACCTGGCAAACATCCTAGGTGTCCGATCCATTCCACATAGCCGTCAGACACAGGTTGATGATGCAGATGCATGCCGTTCAGCTCTCATATTTTTACTTTCACAGTAACAACACTTTCTTACTCCTCTCTTATCAGTACAGCCCACCCTCTTTTGGTTCTTCTCAGGTAGTACTCTCTTTTTGCAAATCTCGAGTCGCACAAAGCAACCCGTCTATCCCATCGTCCACTTGCCCGCTATCGCTCTTACCTTGTGAATGTATCATGATGTCATGTTGGCATTCCTCACGCAGCCTTCAGCCTGCACCATCTCTCCACCATCTCGTCTTATTACTTGCTTTCCTATAAGCCCCGGTATTCATCAGTTTCACTGTCATCCTAGTTTCTAGCTGACTGAAAGCGCCCCATTCTAGTCCCATATCCGTCTCGCCACAGCATCCATTCTACTGCCAGCGCGTCTGCTTGCTTCTTTTGGCTATCAAATTGCGCAACCCTCGCTGCAGCCCGATAATCCCTATGACCTCCGCCACATCGTCAACAAGACATCTGCCAAAGTCCAAATTCCACCAGAACATTGCTTCGACGCCAACAGAGAGCCGGATTCCGAAAGTGCCATTGCATGAGGCCCCTCCTCATGAAAACATTCATCTCGAAGCGGACGCACCTTCCTTCCTCCACCCAGGTCATGTGATTCCCCCTCGCAACTATCCGGGCATCGACACGCTCATCATCGTCTGCTGCCATGCCATATTCCATCCAGATCCGAATCAACCCAGCTTTCCTCTTTGCAGTCCATTCGACGAGAAACACTGGCACCTGGCACCCTTCCAGATGTCGAACCCCGTGACCGGCAAACCGGGAGAGCATGAGACCTTCCTGGCGCATATAACAGCAGGATTGGATGCCCCCACGACAGGATCCTGTGCAGCAAAATCCCTTCTGGTATTCAGCGGAGGTGCCACCAAACCGTCCCTGACTTCGCTCACCGAAGCTCGCTCCTACTACAATGCAGCCTTGGCACTCGCACTGTCACGGGGCTCGAACGGGGGCGGCCACGCAAAATCGTTATTCGATAAAGGCTGGATACTGCTAGAAGAGTATGCCACAGACTCCTTTCAAAACTTGTTGTTCAGTATCCTCCGTTTTCGGCAAGCTACCGGCGCTTATCCCAAGCAAATACGCGTGATAACGCATGCTTTCAAGGCCAGGAGGTTTCTGGACTTGCATGCGCCGGCCATAGCATGGCCAGCTGACCGTATCAGAGTCCAAGGGATTGACCCTGTCATGTCTAGGAAAGAGTACGAGGAGACGTGTGCGGGCGAACGACGCTTTGGGTTTGAACCTTGGAAGCAGGATCCTCTCGGACTCGGAGAGCTGCTGGGCGGAAAGCGGATCCAACGAGGATGGCGGCACAGTGCCGTGCAAGAACTCGGAGCGAACCTGGAGGAGAGCGTGCGGCAGTTGTTGGAGGGCAGGATGGTAGACGATCTTCCCTGGCGCGTCGTGGAGCCGCAGAAGAACAGCATGGCCGAGGACTAATCGGCGAAGTCGACCAACTTTGCATTTCAGAACTCCAGGCTGCATCCACGCACGTCGGAGCGATTCACGTTCGTCCTGCTTTGCTTCCATGAATCTGGCTATGCTGCCTCCGCAGCCATGCTAGTTTTCGTCGCTCCACGTCTTTCACCGAAGCCCACTGCCTAGCAACGACCACCTTCCGCACAGCGTTTGGCTAGCAACGCGCCATCAAAACAAAAACAAGGGCACGCAATGCACCTAAACACACGCCTTCTCCCACATCATCGCTCCACATCCGCGCAAGCACCACTCCCATGACACCCGTCTAGGTCTCGCCGCGGCTGTAATCGAAAGGACTTAACATGCCGCCTTTGGTATTACCCATCAGGCGTAAGCGTGCTGCGTCTCCGCTCTTTACTGTAAGTCTACATTCACATATCCTCACGTTCGCTTTCCGTTGGAACCGCACGCTACACCGCACTAGAAGCCAGAACCCTCGATCCAGCAGCAGAGAAGGAGGAGGAAAAGAAACCAAGAGACGATCGACTTCGACAAGCTCGAACTCGTCGAACCCGCCCGCCCAGCCGATCACCAACACAACCTACCCGACACCGACGACTCCCTCCTAGACGACGACGCAGACCTCTTCGTGGCTCCCACCAAAGACGAGATACACGAACGGCAAGCGCATCTCGCGGCTCGTCGCGCGGCCAAGGCGCAGAAGATGGCCAGACGCGAGGCTGCTCTCGCGGCCGCGGCGGCGGAGCGGACACGCAGGTCTCAGAAGATATTGAAAGACACGTTGCCCTCGGTGCGCCAGCGCGTGCGCAACAAGAAGCTGCAGAGCGTGCTGTCGGGTTCAGGCAATCGGCCGAGAATTGGGAATGCCAATGTCGCGCTGATGGCGACGCGGAGGACGCCGGGGAATCGGGCGGGGAGGTTGATGAGGAATGATTTGGTGGGGATTATGAATAGCGTGGAGAATGGGGCGGAGATGGAGCCCACGGAGGAGGAGCGGGAGAGGGAGGAAGCAAGGATTGAGGTGAGGGGGCAGGAAGAGGAGCGGGACTTTTTGAGCAAGGTGCTGAGGGAGGCGGAGTAGGCTTTGGGTTGGGTCTTCGAGTGACATTTCGGCGTTGGGGTTGGTGGGGAGGGGGGTTGTCTGGCGTGGTTGTTCATTCCATGGGATTTGTAGATTAGGCTTCATTCGTTCTGGCGCCTTAGGTATAAGGCTGATGGGTTGTAGCGACCTTGCAGGTAGCTTCCAGTCCTTTCTACATCACTTGCACGCTGTCGGCCGCCACGCACGTTTTCTCAAAAGAGACTCTACATTGTTTGCTCCTCCGCCTCTCCACTTAAAGAACTTATTCACGAATCGAAACATATACTTCCTAGATACCGGCAACGGGTTCCGCCGTTCCGTTTCAACTTGGTATGGACTGATCACAAGTAAAGTTAATCCTGTATAAGCTTTTGAAACAAATGACGGTCTTGTCGGCACGCTGGGTGAGTAGCTTATCCTTTTCTAGCACTTACTCTAGATGCGGCTTTCTTTACTTATACGAGGATTATTTTCCCTCCCCTTCTTCTCCCTCCTCTCTTTCCCTCCTCCTCCTCCTCCTCCTCCTCCTCCTCCTCCTCCTCCTCCTTCTTCTTCTTCTTCTTCTTCTTCTTCTTCTTCTTCTTCTTCTTCTCCTTCTTCTTCTCCTTCTTCTTCTCCTTCTTCTTCTCCTTCTTCT